TAATAAGCTATACCTCTCGAGCTATATACCTCTAGCTCTTATAATAATATAGTTTCTTAAGATATATTCGGTATCTAAGAGATACTAGATTATTAAGATATTCGTAGATAAGGTTATAAACCTTCTATTATAAGGATTATTACTATCCTTTAAACGCTAATTCGGACGCGAATACTTACCTTAATTAGCGCCCTATCTGCTATCGTAGTTTTAAGGCTTCTAATTATGTTTATACTAAATAGCAGGACGTAGTTTGATTAAGAAGCCGATTCTTACATGGCTTACAAGCCCTGTAAGGGGCCACTAAGTTTACAAGGTATATGTAAGCCGAGGTTTACATTGCTAGGTGCGGGTCACTGGATGCGCTGGACAAGCATTTTTGGTCATCATCACTCGCAATCTATCTCACTTCAGGCGGCAGCAACGTATCTCCGTCGACGTATGCTCGAGAAACCATTCAAGGAAGACGTGGCTCGTCTCTTTTTTTGCAGAAGCCCCTGAGTGCCAACAATCAAGCTCACCATTGTCCAACCGAAGAAAGGGCGGTGGAACGTGCGGCAGTGCTACAGGGCTAAACTCTGCGACCAGAATTCTTCGCTGCTCCGCGTCGGATCTGACGGCGAGTAGCGTAGGGTCGATAAGCACACGCGGAAAAGTTTTTCGAAGACAGGGTGGAGCATCAAGGACCACCTGCAGAGATTCCCGAGCTTAAGACATCAGGCGCTGCGACAAGTGGGCTCCATCGTATCCATTCGTCGTCTGTGACGGGACAGATACAGCACGTTCAAGTTGCACAGAGCCAAGTTCATGGGCCAAGCACTCGACCACCCAACTACTGCTCCGGCTGCCGAAGATAGGCGAGTCAGTCGGGAAGAGCTACGGTGAGGACGTCATGTAAAATTGGCAGCCAAAAGAGTCTTCCAGCGCCACCAAGACATCCGTGATCTGAATTAGTCTGCGCGGCTTCCGCCCATAGCGGTGGAAGTCACCTCAGTATCCACACAATGTTGCCGGTTTCGACTAGCGAGTGCCGACGACATGGAGTGGTACAGCACATCCTCAAACTTCGGTGACTGAATCGTCTTTGCAATGGAATCTGCACTCTCAGCAAAACTGTCCTCGTGGCTTCATGCTTTGACGGACTGGACCAGCCGCTAATCACCCAAGATTTCACTAAGCAGAACCTTTCTCCACCTGTGGTCTGAGCTTGTCACAAGTCTTGATGAACCAAGACATTCAAGCGTCCGCCGGACTCATCGAGCCTCCGCACCTTATGCACAAGACTGGAAGTCTGGGGAACTATAGTACAAGCGGACTGTTGCGAACTGTTTTTGCGAAGTACAACGGCGCAAACTACGCAATGGTCTGTAGATGTGACTTCCCTCGCCACCGGAAAAATTGAGGAAATGCCAGCGAGCAAGCTGCTCACAGCAAAAGATGCGGCCTGGTCGCTGCTAGTGCATAAGCATGTCTGACGGTCAAAGAGCCTTAGGGGAAGGGTCTTCACGTTCTTCCGGTAGGGACGTCACTAATCTCATTCGAACATCTGCACTATCGTCCGAACGGTCTAGGCAATAGTCCCTCAGTGTTTCGAATGTCTTATTCGTGGCCACTCATTCCCTGCAATAGACCATACTGGAACGCCCATTGCCCCTCACATATCAGCAACATGGTGCGGCTCTGGTCGATACGGTGCTACGCTGCGTCTCCGCCCGTCCACCGAACCCCTACCGAGCACCGAAATAACACACTTGCTCGTCTCCGTACAGCAAGAAAATGGTCGGGTCTCTCGTATCTGTCTTCGGTAGCGGTCCGGACAGTAGGGAGAAAGTTCAACGAACATCATGCTATCGGTTTAGTCTCAGAGCTTTGCCATCTCCGCCGTGTCCGGATATCCAGGCCTCGGACGTTCCACGCGGACAGGGAGAACAGTTGGAGATGTTCTCAAAGAACTTGCCATCTATAAAGGCTGCCCTTCCCACCGAAAGTAACCCATCAGCAACAATTCAGTTCAAGCAGCACAACAGACAACCAAGCTCCCCTTCAAAAAAATCCCCAGACCAACCACCATCAAAATGAAGACCACCATCATCCTCGCGCTCTCCGCCCTTTCCGGCTTCGCCCTCGCTGGCAAAGACCACTCCGAGCACAACTGCTGCTTCCGCAACGACCGCACCGGTGGCACATGGGCAACTCATCCAGATCTCACCAAGGCTGCTTGCGGCGACTTCCCTGTAAAACTTTCAAAGAATGCTCTCTACATAGTGTGACATCAGACTAACGTCTCCCAGCAAGGAACCTACGACAACGGTGTCTGCACCGAGAACATCAACATTCGCCGCATTGATGGCGATGCTTTCTTCGCTGCCTGCAAGTCTCACTCGGAAGATGTCCACATTGTTGACAAGAGCAACGTCGGAGCGGGTTACCGTGGAACTTGCTAGATGGTTGAACAGAAGTAATCGGAGGAGTACGTTTGAAGGATATAAAAGAGAGCATTGGTTGTTGGGGAGTTTCTGAGTGGCTGTTTGCGTCTCTACTGGTGACCGGTTTCGCGTGTCATTCAGTGCAACCTTCGGTAACCCTACAAATGGAAATCGAGGACTCAATGCGGTCAATTTCGCCCTCGACTCAAATTCCACGACTCTTTCTTCGCCGCTCCTCCTGCATATACGAATTGAGAGAGAGATTTGTGGGGTTCACTATTGTCTAGCAGGCGGCACAGTGGGATGGCAGTGTATAAAGCTCATAGCGCCGTTGCACGTTGGCTACCGGTATTGATTCTTGATCTCTTTCTATCGAATATTGAACGTCATGCGATTTGCAGGGACCAAGCGACAACAGTCTTTGATCTGACGATATCAACAAGAGAGCTTTTAAGCACGGGTCTCACACCCACTGCTCCGTCAATATGTGACTTCGCTTCATGAGTGCACGCTCAAGTCCGCCACGACGCACGTAATTCTCTCTCCCGAAGAGAGAAATTTGTGCAAGCAAGAACCTGAATTGATCATGATGAAATCAATCCGTTGGCAGTGTTTGCAGCCTACTTACAGTCTTGAAAGCTCCAATCAGCGTACTTCGTAGCCACTCCCAGCACGCCGAAAGCAGAGTCAGAGGTGTAGCTCGCGAGACAGATTGTGAGAGATGTGCTCGAGGAAGTCCGGAGACCACGATACTTTTGTGTGGTCCATGGAAACTGAAAAATTATGGTACAGGGCACTATCGAAGCCTAGAGCTGATCAAGAGCCGAGATGCAGCTGCAGCTCGAACCGATGCTTCAGCATTCGGTGTGTTTCTTTTTGATGTGGTGTAAAGGTAGCGTCGACCGAGTGTAGTAACGCATAAGTGGTGCAGAACGTCGTGCGTAATCTCTTCATTGCATAACAGCTCTGCAAACATCTCGTTCCCGATACCAAGTGGTGATGAAGCGGCCCGCTGCTCGTTCAGCATCGAGTACTTACGTGCTGACAGTTGTCAGATGAGCATTCACAACTTCACGCCGGGGGTTACTTACATGAGCCAGCGCCATAGAACCACCTTCCACGGTTTGACAGTTGCAGTCCCCTGAGAGACGTAGCACGCCTGGCTCCCAAAGGTCGGGAAAGTTGAGCACAGCCATGACGACAGACTCGCCTTGCAGCTTCATTGCTTTTCGTCTACCTTGGACGAATGCGACATGCTTGTCCAAAGCAGCTATCGACTTTGTGCAAAGTGTGCCATCTTCCAAGCTCACATCAGACGAAAGTCCTGTTTCGGGCGAGAAGCGAAAGGTGACGGTCGCGAATACGCCCCAACCATCCAACTTGCCGACGCACGTGCGGATTCGAAAGGCTCTCAGGTACTTCATGCAGTCTCGAACATCGAGACGCGACCAGTTCGAAATCGCCTTGAGCACTCCTTTGGGCGACCAATCCCGTTTGCGCTCATAAATATGGTAGAGCCCCGGATGGGCGAAAGTCGCTTGTTGGTAGAAGATCGGTCTGACCTCCTTGCGAGTCGCTCTGTTGACGGAACAGATCGATAGGTTCGGCTCATCCTCGTCGATAGTTAAGCCATTGTCGATAGCAAGAACGTAGATTCGTTGTCTGATCTCTGGTGTCAAGCGGAGGAATGGGAACGGCTTCACGAGGGCCGATAGAGACTTGAAGAAGCTTGCGATGTCGCCTTTGGCAGTATCTGGTATGCGTGGGAGCAGAAGTCGGGAAATCCAGCGGCACATGTACTGTATATCCGAAGCTTCGTTGACAACTTTCTCCTTGGGGACCTTAGCTGCCACGAAAGTGGACATCTTCGGGCGTGGTGGGTTTCGCAGTGGGATTCGTGCCTCCTCCATCACGCAAGCAACGCGTTTCAGAGGGTCAAATACCGCTGCCTGGGTGAAGGCATCGAGCCGCGCTTCGAGCTTTGCAGCATGATCCTTGAGCTTCGTAATGTGGCCCTTGAGCCTCGATACTTCTAGTTGGTTGCAATGGAGAGCGGCATCGCGCATCGCTTCTTGGATTTTGTCGTCGGACTCCATGAGCGCCATTAATTGTTCATTGTCCATTTGCGGGTGCGTTGGGGGTAGATCGGCTGGCTCTAAGCCATTGCGTGCGCGGAGCGTGACACGCATGCATGTCTTCCACGCCTCAAAGTCACTGCCTTCGTAGAGGAAGCCGAATTCAGTGAGGACGCCCACGGACATTGTGTCGGTCCACTCTGGTATGCCGGCGATGGCAGCGGACACGGAGCGCTGTTGCGAGGATGTCCGCCAGGAGAGGCTGTCGTCTTGTGTGTTGTTGTGAAGCTGATCTCTGTTTTCCGAGCTGTTCCAGGATGTCGGCGCGCGTCAGCTCGCGCGCGCATCCAGCGGCGTGGACCGTCAACGCAAACAAAACCTACGTGAAATGAAGGCCATCCATCCCGCAGAACCAGAAGGAGATACCGGAGTAGCCGCATCCATCTTTCCCTTGCATTAGCGGTTCGCACCAGGTCTCGCTTTCCACAGCGCTTCAGTGTACTTTGCACCTCCTGATGATGAGACCATGTCCAGTGGCGCTTCCCTTCACTTTTTGTTTATCTGCTCGATAGCGGCACGAGAACACCATTAGATTGGGTTAGAATGTCAGCGACAACATCTCCGCACTTCACGGGCTGCCAAACAGGAACCGCACTAAGAGTGATGCTGTCGAATCTGGTCGCAGACGCTTCATATTAGCGCCTGACCGTCCATTTCCCCTCGTTCTGCTCTATCGCTAACCAAAAAGCAAGCCACAACGCCACGCTGATGGATAAATAAGCAGAAAACTGAGCGAACTATGGCTAGTAATGAGTTCTCCTCTGGCGCCGTGAAACATGATCTCATGAGCTTTTGACCCTTTCTGCTGCAAGAGATGTGCGACCTGTGATGGGAAAGCTCGCTGTCGAACATCGGAAACGTACTCGTCGTATCTGGAAAGGCGCTATGGTGTCAGGTCGCAAGGAGCGAGGAACTCTACTTCTTGCCGCCCTTCTTCCCTCGAAGGCTGCCCTGAGCGCTGTCGGGACCGCCAGCTTCGACCATGACGGGCGCGTCTTCGTCACTGCTTCCTTGTTGTGCCTGGACCTTTGCGATTGCAGCCTGTGTGGCCTTTGCAGCCGCAGTCTCCTCTTCATCCAGCTCCTTCATGAAGTTTGCCTGAATTCCTGTTCTCCTCTTCTCCCACCAAGCCTTCTCTGCTTCCGTCGTTGCCTGCAACTCAGCGATGCGTTCCTTGATGATGCGATTCTGGTTGATCTCGTTGGCTGATTGGAAGATGATTTGTCCCCAGTTTTGTGCGAATGCGTTGGCCTACATCAGAGTTAGCCTTCTCGACATCTTACGTGAGGTGTTGCTATTTTTACCTCGTTCACCACATCCTTGACCTCTTCCTCCATCTCCTTCTCAGCACGCAAGTACCTCTGCCATAGTTCGTCTCCGACGCTTCCTCGTTGCAGCAGTGTTTGCAGAGCAGGCTTGCTCGTCCTCAATTGCACGATCCTCTGAATGTCTTCCACAGCGCGGGCCAGCAAGGCAGCCTTCAACACGTTATCCGGCACTTGTTTCAACTTCTTCTCATCCTCCGCTGCGTTTTCGCTTGGGTCCATATGTAGTAATGAGAGGTACAAGTCCCGTGCCTTGTGCGGTGGAAACCATGATTCGAGAGCGGCGGCCTTTGCTATTTGACGTTTGCGGTATAGTGAGGAGAATGTGGAGAGGGAGCCGACGAGGATCGTGATGTAGAGAATAGGCCATAGCAGTCCTATCCAGAAGTTCCCGGGCGCAGGAGGCGTGAACTCGGTGTGTGTGCCATTGAAGGTGCCGTTGTTCGTGGAATTGAAGGTCGAGTTGGCATCGGCCATGATTAATGCAAGCGCTCAGTGCGCGGACTGTCGTTTTCGGGTCGCTGATATGTTCTCTGTACTTGATCGAAAAGTTGAGGTGAAGGAGTGTGTTGCAGTTGAAGAGAATTGGAAGTGCCGGTCGTCACAAGTGGCTCTTTCAGCGTGACCAGGTGGCTCTTTCCCAGAAGTCGGACATTTGGATCCCTGCATGAATTCGGCTCAGAGATCCGAAGCTGCAATGGGACTAGCGCGAATTGGTGACATAGCTTCCTGCCGCTCAGGCACATGCAACTGCTGTTTCCTACTCGTAATCATCGCCGCCTGCCACAGTCACTAACTTCTGTTCACGCGTCCCGCCACCTTCACTTGTCGTCGACACATGGCTCCAGCACATATTATACAATAGCCCTTCTCTCTCCGCGCTCGGCACCTCCTCCATCCACCTCATCATCGATTCGACATCAACCGCCGACGCTCGTCTCGCGAAGCACGCAACATACCAGCACACACCACCTCCATCATGATACTCCGCTTCCAGTCCCGCGATGGCAACTTTCGCCTCAATGTCCAGCCTGACCAAGACATCGCCTCCATCCTTCCCGAGGTCCTCGCCAAGTTGCCAAAGACTGCGGTGCCTTCCTCGATACAAATCTCGCCCAAACCACATGGAGGAGAAATGCGGCCGTTGGAGAAGATGAAGGGCGTGACGTTCAGCCGAATAGGACTCGTCGAGAACGGCACCATGATCTATCTCTCCTTCGACGACGAGGTGGCTGCGACATCGAACGGTCATCACGCTGCTGCTAGCAAACTGAGCGGGAAAGAGGTGACGCAGAAAGAGCTCGAATCTGTTGCAATCAATGTGGCACCGGCACTTATCAAGAATCCATGGGAGACAGTCAAGCAGTCAGAGCTCGACGATCGATTAGACAAGCTGGATGGAAAGATTCATCGAAAAAAGGATCCGAAGATGTGCAGACACAACGCTCACGGCATGTGCGATTACTGTCAACCCGTGGAGCCGTACGACAAGGGATATCTGGAAGAGAATAAGATCAAGCACATGTCATTCCACGCATACCTTCGACAGAAGAACCAGGGCAAGAACAAACCCGAGTCGGGCAGTTCGTATATGCCGCCGCTGTCAGAACCATACTTTCGCGTAAACCCGAATTGCCCGTCAGGCCACAAGCCTTTTCCTGCAGGCATCTGCAGCAAATGTCAGCCTTCCGCCATTTCGTTGCAACCACAACCCTACCGCATGGTGGACCACGTCGAGTTCCAGGACTTTGCGATCGTCAATCGATTCCTAGATTTCTGGAGAAGAGGCGGCGCACAGCGAATCGGTTTCATGTATGGACGATACGAGCAGTACGACATGGTGCCACTTGGCACAAAGGCCGTCGTGGAGGCCATCTACGAACCGCCGCAGATTGATGAGCCGGACGGCGTGACCATGGCAGAGTGGGAGAACGAGGAGGCCATTGACAAGCTTGCAGAGCTCAGCGGGCTCCAGCGAGTCGGCGTGATCTTCACTGACCTTCTAGCCCCACCCAATCCGGATCAGGGCACAGCAGTGTGCAAGCGACACGCGGATTCCTATTTCCTCTCCTCTCTCGAAGTGTGCTTTGCTGCGCGATACCAGGCGAAGTATCCTCGGCCTTCGAAGTGGAGCGAAACAGGCAAATTCGGCAGCAATTTCGTGACGTGCGTAATCTCGGGTGACACCGATGGACAGATCGGAATCTCCGCCTACATGGCCTCGAATGATGCCGTCGAAATGGAGCGAGCACAGATCATCGAGCCTTCTGCCGACCCTGCGGTCATGCTTGTCCAGGACGAAGAGGAGGTCGACCGGCTCGGGCAGCAGCGCTATATCCCCGAGGTGTTCTATCGCAAGATCAACGAGTACGGTGCGAACGTGCAGGAGAATGCGAAGCCCTCATTTCCCGTGGAGTATCTCTTTGTGACATTGACCCATGGATTCCCGGATGACCCTACGCCACTGTTCGCGACGAATGAGTTTACAATAGAGAATCGAGACGCCTTGGGTGAGCTGCAAGAGCCTAGAGATCTGCAGAAACAGCTCAAGGCGGGAGCGAACAGAGTTGCGCTCGATACGCCGCAGGGTGTGGTAGTTGTTTCCGACTTCCATGCCTTGACCTACATTCTCAGTCTCGGCATTCTCAGCGAGGTAAGCAATCACAATTCATTTGACATGTGGGACATCACTGACTCATTCACAACAGGACGAAATGAAACTGCTCTGCCAGGTCGCCATTAAGAAAGACGCCGCGCTCGGTGCCACACTTATGCACACTCCAGGTTGGGCGACCCTCCAGACGATCCTGCAGATGTAGAATTGTTATGCACTTGCACCTCCCTTGCACTTGTATAACTATCTGCCCATACTCGCATCCATCGTCGCCAAGATCATTGGTATCTTGGATAGTACTAATCTTCTTCTTCTGGATCTAGGCTGGCTCACTCTACTGGCCATCTTGGACGAACACGGCGTAAGACCTGCAAAGAGGGGCACAGTTGCAGACTTCTCATCTGAATTGAGCAAGAAGATTAAGGGTATGAGCATGAATGGAAGACGGCTATGAACGAGAGTATGACGCACCTGCGAGACGCTATCTTGCAGCTCTTGTACATTTTGAATCGGCGGACATGAGCTACGATGTGCACGAGGTATGGCTGCACGATGAGGCTCGCTGCCTCGAAAGAGAGGTTCTCCCTTGCTAAATAGAAGCTAAATGGGAAAGGAACTCGCTCATGAATACTGCTGTTCTCCTGGGCTGGAATACTGCGGAGTGTTTGATCCCAACAGAGTTGAAGTCTGATTGGTCGATAATCCTTCCTGATGCATCGTCATGGCGCAGGTTCGTACCTCAATCCTTCCGTGTGCTTGCGCATCCTCCTCAAGCCGGTAACCTTGATACGCACTGCCAATCTTCTTGTTGGGTTAATGGTCACGCATGGCCGATGTGGATTTATGCCATAAGTCAATACGCAGCAATGTGAGGACCAGATCATGCTGAACAAAGTGTAGTAAATAGGCATGTCCAAGGACCCACATCGCCGTTTCAAGGCACCAAGGCCGAACTTCTTCGAGTGGCACAGCCTCCCAGCGACTACTGCTTTGTAGGCTGAGCCCTGCCTAGTATATGCACGAATCCTTCACAGCGTTATACGAATCACTTCAAGTCACAAGCTTTCATTTGCACTCTTCGTTGTGCAGTTCCGCGGATACTTCGGCAACCACAGTCACATTACCTGCACAGGTCCTGCCATCTTGCTTTCCACCTTCTCTTCTGTACTCATGATACTGGGTACAGCTCGCGACATCCATCACAAGATCGGCACCGCAGACCAACTTCGCAATGCCCAAGTCTCGTCTACTCCCGTCTGTAGCGCAGACAATAGTCTTTTCTCTCTCAACGATGATCATCTCTCATCATCTCTGGAAGAACGCAGGCGACTATGTCACAAAAAGCGAAGTCTTCCAAGACTGGAAGGTCGCTGCCGAGAAGATGGAAAATAACTCAAAGTCCACATCCTCTTCCGCCAAACCTGTGGCAAACTTGACGGGACAGTACGAAGTAAATGTGAAAAATTACGACAAGGATGGGGAACTAATTGACACGTACAATTATACAATGGGCAAGAATGAAGGAAATAAGACTGAGACGAAGGCCATCGAGGAATCTGTCAACGTAACAGTCGAAGACACGGGCAAAACGAACCAAACGACAACAAAGAACGAGAATCCGCACGAACATCAGAAGCCCTTCTACAGCCACAAACTACCTCTCAACTTTCTCTACCTCCTCCTAATCACACCACTACTCTACCTCTGGCAAATCCAACTCGAGCGAACATTTCCCGGGAGGCTGAAAGCTGCAGACATAATCGCCAAACAATCCCATCACAGAAATTCGTCTTCCGCTTCCTCGTCCTCAGCATCTTTACTTCAAAACCAGGATCCCGCTGGTTTCGACGACATCGGCGAAGACGATTCTACTCGCGAAGAAGCCATTGTGCAGAAATGGATCGAACAAGGGAAAGTCAAACGTCAATCGCTGAACTGGCTGAACACTTTGACGAAATGGGTTCTCGAAATGACAGTCGCATCGCTTTGTCAAGTCTTTCTTGACGCGGCGTGGGATGATCTTGTTGTTCATGGAGCTTGGAAGAAATTGTGGATTTTTGGAGGGAAGGGGTGGATTGGCTGGTGGATAACACTTGTGAGTGTCTCCTTTCCCTTCTTTCAGACTGTTTATTCGTTCTTGAAAACTATGACTAGTTCTAATACTCTGCTAGGAAGTCCTACTTCGATACCTCTGGTCCTTCGTCGGCCTGCGACCGCTTGCAACATTAGTTTCTTTCGTCGTGATTCCGGCTCATCAGCGAATTGTGTTTGTGGCTGGAGTCGATCTGGTCTGTGCGACATTCTTGGGATTGGTTGTCAAGGCATTTCTGCCTTGGGTGGAAGGAATGCAGCTTGTAAAAGATTTGGTGGGGAATATGACGGAGACGGCGAATTCGGGTGGAACTGAGTTCTCGAAGATAGGAAGAGGTCCTGCTGGTGGTGAAGAGATGTGAATGATCGCGAAAGGCAGGACACAGTCCACACGGACGACCGAGAAAAGCTGAAGATCTTTCGACGAAGAGATGAGCATAAAGGCATTGATAAAGTATAGCCCACCTCACTACAGTGCTGAAGATCTGGTGGGCTTGATATACATTATATACCTTACGGCAATATCTCATCCGCTCTCACGAGTCTACTAGTACAGCGGCTCATCCTTCCAGATTGGCGCCTGCTTTGCATCGTCCTGATTCCACTCAATCCTGCCCTTGTCGTTGAACACTGCACCCTCATCCGTCATCTCATACCCTTCGCCACCTTGTCCCTCTCTAGTCAGAGCGATCTCCTGCTTCGACAATCCATACTTATCTCTCGCGATCCAAATGATAGGACAAGGAGAGATGATGGCAGGATGGAGATATGCCTCGTGGTGTTCTTGAGGAGTGTAAGGTCGAACAGGCTCGCTGAGATTGGGGGAGACTTGAGCGAGGGCAGTGCGTGCTGCATCGTCTGGGGAGGCGAGGAAGTAGGCTTTGATGGGGCCCAAGAGGCTGGTATCCTGCTTTGCGGCCGGGACAGGGTTGTGAGCTGGGTTCTCGTATTCGTTCTTTGCGGCAAGAGGTTGGCCGTTGGTTGCATCAATGGATCCGTGGACCTTCTCAATGTCGCTCGCATCGTCGTGACCGATCTCACCTGCGGCTGCAGGAGCAGATGGGTTGATGGAGTCTTCCGGCATTTCGGCTTCCATCTTATTGATGGAGCGGCGGAGCCAAATGTGCCAGGCGATTGTAGCAGCAAGGAACACGACCATGAGGACGAGTGGGCCGATTGCCTGGTTTGTTGAGGCTATGCCGATTGCGAAAAGTCCAATCAGACACACCTCAGAGAGGTAGATGCCTGTAGTGAGTTGCTGCAAAGCGCGAGCATACGAAGCGCCACGGGTGGAGGCATTGGTGCCCAGAGTGAACAGGACGTTGTATCGGAATGCGAGGTAAAGCAGAAAGAAGCCCACAGTCGCGAACCCCAGGACGAGTGGGGCGATGCCCGAGTATGCGAGTGCTGGTATATAGTGTCAGTGACTGTAGTTCGTAAGCTCAAGTATTGCACATACCGATGACTCCCAAATTTGTGAATTTGGGATAAAGCGATCCCCATCCCAGGCCAGCCAAGTTGACATAGCGATTGTACATCTTTCTTGGGGTCTTGTCCAGGATTTTGCCTAGAATGATCGCGAACAGCAACGGCACAACGTTCAAGAATTGCATTGCAGCTGTCATGAGTCCAAACAAGATGAAATAGCTGATGTAGAAATTGGACGCCCGGGGCAGATTGGTCGCGAGAAGCGCCGGTGCTGAAGTCGGTTCCGAGACAATTTGTCCTGCAACTGACGCCGCGCCTGAGGAGAAGGTCGTAACCAAGAAAACTTGGATGACTTGGAATGGGAAGTACCAGCTTTGCACCTTCATCTGTGCAGATCCTTGCGTTGGCTCGAACTGCTTCGCAATGATGTTGCAGATGATTGGCACGAGCAACATCAGGATGGACAGCAAAAGCACCGGCAGGAGACCAGTGACGACGCCGAGAATGACGGGAGGAATGTCATTGATGAAGCTCAAGAATGGGACCTGCTCAGTGAGGTTGTTGATGTTCGAGATGGCACCAATTACTGCAACTGGGATGGTCCAGAAAATGCACAAGAACCAGATAAAGGCTGTCCCGGCGGCGTTGAAAGCCTTGACCTTCCAGAACGGCTTGATGATGTTCTTCCAGATCACATCTTGAGGAGGAGGGCCAAGCTCCTTTGGTGTCATCTTGATCTGTTTCTTGACCTTCTCTTTCTTGCTAACATTGGTGGATTGTAGCAGTGCAGCGTGAGCGGCTTGGACGGATTCGAACTCCACAAAGCAAGCACCTTGGGGCTGCGAGGTATCGGTGCGAAGTCTGTTCTGCTCAGCAGCGATCTCAGGAACAGAGCGATGTAGTTCGGCACGAGCCCAGTCAATTGTATCGACTTTCTTGCCGAGAGGAAGAACCTTGAGTTTCGGCAGGCGATGCTGGGGACGATCTTTCTGCTCAACTTGAAGACGAACACCTTGCTCAGGATCAGTACGCGTCTGAGCCTTGCCCTTCTTCTCTGCCTTTGTTTCGCGCTTGATGTAGTTCTTGATCATCTTGATCTCCCCGGACTCGAGCTTGCCGGCGGCCTTGTCCCGATCTTCGACCTTTTGCGCAAGTTCTTCTGGAACGTTGACGAGCCACACTTTCTTGACGCCAGCAAACTCTGATCTGATGTGTTCCTCATTTCGAGCTTCCTCTGGGACGTTTACAAAGAGGAGTGTTCTGGTCGAGATGCGGGTTCGTTCGTTGGGAGAGAGGAAATATCGTTGCCGCAGCCTGACGAAGAACTTCGATTCGCGTGTGATCAAGAACATGACCCAGGCGAGGAAGAGCCACGATACGAACACTTGCGCGTAGTATCGAGGACCAGGAACGATATTGCTGAAGGACAGGATCTCCAGGCCCGAGATGCCTGGTGCGCCTCCTGTTGCGTTGACTGGGAACAGGATAGGCATTGTGATGCAGCAGCCAACGAGACACATCAGTGTCAGCATCTTGAAGAAGCGAAGCCATAGATAATTGTCCAGCGACGCAGCCCCGAGCACGAACTCATCAGTCAGCTTGTTGTACTGCTGACGCCATCCTAGGACACCGTCTGTCTGTTGAGGCGAGCGCTGCCAGTTTCGCAAAGACCCGAGGAATGTACGCGGTTGATAGACGCGCGAGTAGCGCTTGCGGAACAGCAGGAAAGCCACGAAGATGGCTGTCGAGATCAGGAGCACAGGAACCAGAGTCGAGACTAATCCGGAGAGCGAGGAGGAGCCACCGCCCGCGTTGGAGCCCGTATTGTCTGCGCTATTCTGTAGGGTTCTTGTCAGTAGGCATTGGGCTGGTAGGGCAAAGAAACATACCTGTCGGCGGAAAACATGCATCTCTGCATGCTGAAGGGCCTCCATGCTGCCCTCAAGGATGATGGCAGTCAGCGGTTCGCAGCAAAATCACGTCTCACCAACAAAGAAAGAACTGGGCAACGACCAGGAAACATACTTGTACCTACACGCTTCGCGACTCCCGCGCGATCTAGCTGCAATCACTTCAACCGACGTCGAATCACGTCCAGAAACAGGAATCACGCGTACCAAACGCACTCATTGCAGCAATTTGCTGGCCATCCTGTTTGCTTGTTTTGAACTCAATCTTAGCTTGGCAACGTAATTGTGGCTTGTCAAAGTGATCTACCGTGTGCTAGCGCATGACGATCGGTCGTCATCTTGGGTTCTGCTCGACGCGTGCAGTTTAGAGGCCTATAAGCCCGTTGGAGTCTCCGTCGATGGCATGCCGTCAATAATATAAGCTGCAACATTGTGCAGATTGCGGTGTTCAGAGAGGCATGGCTGACAGTCCATGTCTTCACTTCTCCAGGTCGCAGGAGAGGAGGATAATCGAACATGTCGTGAGCTTCTCTCATCATGGTCTTTTGTCTGATGTGCGATGTGGCACATTGCACGATTTGTAATAGGTGCGAGGTGGACGAAAGAGGTCAAGAGAGTGACGCCTGAAACCTGTTCTCGAAATGCCAAGGAAGGAAACAACGTCCGGATTGAGACGCAAATTGCCTGAGGCACCTTGAAGCTCACCTCATCACTTTCCTCCACGGTCTGACTCTTCAATTCTCATCTTCCATCACGATTCCCGCCACACAACTTCGTTCGAACAACACAAACGCACGAATTGAACAAGCGAAACATGCTTAGTATGATAAACGTGCCTAATACGTCGGAGAGTTTCCCCAATTAGCACCAGCCGCTTGGCAATTTGCCATTAGGCAGGACGGATTAACAGGAAAAACTATGGCACCTTACCGTGGTGCCATGAATCCGCCGAATACCACAACATCTCAAGGCCTCGATTCTGCACAACAAGCTTGAAAACATTTGCCAAAGCTTGGGAAATGCTTACCCCGTGGCTTTGTTCCCATCACCAAACAGATTTCTGAATTTACCGATCTTGGCATATTTCGGGCGTGCCGACTTCTCTATTGCTTTGCATCTATCCGAAAGCAAGACCGGTACGTTGGTCTTTCCCACTACAATCGCACGTGCAATACCCACCATGGCCGTGCACGCCCAGATCCAGCACGAGGCCACGAGATTCGCCGAGACACCGTATGGGAGCGATTGATGTCACAACACAGGAAGTATAAGAAGGTTCGATGAGAGCAGCACTGTTCCAAGAGGCAGAATCAGTTCGCATCATCTTTTCTTTCTTGTTTCTTTTTGCTAAACCCAGTCTGCTGGTCAGACAGCTCTTCTTTCATTGTAAAACATGCATTTCTCTTCCCTGATCACTGGAGCTGTGCTCCTCCTCAGCACAGCAGTGTCTGCTGCACCTGCTGCTGCTCCCGCCGACCTTTCTGCTCGCAATGCCGATGCCGAGCCTTACATTTCGACCCCGGGAGATCTTGTAAGTAAAACGATATCTTGCTGCCACTCGCCAGCAATACTGAGGGCGTTCGGGCTAACGCTCTGTGAAGTTGAATTTCTTCGACGAGCATGTTGACGAGGAGAAGCGTGATGTCGAGGATGGTCCTTTCTACATCGTCGATAAGCGTGACCCAGTGGCGCCAGGACCCGCTGGACAGAAACTCGAGAGAATCATCACCGGCCCCTTGAAGTTGTTCGGTAAGGTCGCCAAGTTGTTTGGCGGCAGAAGGGGACGTGGCGAGGAGAAGCGTGAAGCTCGTGGCCGCGGCCCATCCATGGGTGCTGGCCTCAACAAGTTGATGAAGCCCATTGGCTGGTTGGAGAAGATCGTCAGCAAGATTCCTGGTGTCGGCCGTGGCGAGGAAAAGCGTGAAGCCCGTGGCCGTGGACCATCAATGGGCGCTGGACTCAATAAGCTGATGAAGCCTATCGGCTGGTTGGAGAAAATCGTCAGCAAGATCCCAGGCGTTGGCCGTGGCGAGGAGAAGCGCGAAGCCCGTGGTCGCGGCCCATCTATGAACGCAGGCATTGGCAAGCTCTTCAAGCCCATCGAGTGGCTCGGCAAGATCGTCAGCAAGATTCCTGGTGTCGGTCGTGGCGAGAAGCGCGACGTGGAATTCGTTCCAGTCTTGGTCTCTGAGAAGGCCGCCTCCGTTGACGAGAAGCGCGCTGTCTCGTTTCAGGCTTAAGGCGAACCACTCTGAATGTGGGAGGCGTAGGCGGGAAACCGCTGCACGACATTGAAAAGTACCGGATCGAGGAGAGCAACTAAGATGGGATTTTCACGGACTCACGAAATGTATGTTTTACCATGATAGATGATCAAGAGAAAAGGGCAGAGCCTTTTTGTGGTTATCAAACATAAGTGCGAGATGGTGTTCTCTATGGTGCCTCGACTAGACCGCAAGGTTGGCTTCGACTTTATCCTACGCTGGCAGAATTCGACCACTCGCCCTGAAGTCGACCAGTGCAAATCCCGATTGGCCGAGAGCAGCATTTAACAACCACAACAGTGTTCAACTGCATTTCACTGCAGTACTGGCTGGCCACCAATGTCAAGATTTACGGGCCTGCGGGAGCACTGTAATGGATTGCCACGCCTCTGGTAATACAAAGTTCCCGTGTTGCACTACCTTGTCCCCGAGCTATATGCAGGTCCCCATGGCGGTCAATGCGGATCTATATAACGACCCCACATGCCGCCTCGCCACTTTCGAAAGTGGTTTACTGCTGGAGACACTGGGAACTCGGTGGGCACAGAATAGGAGACTGTAAGTACCCCTTCCTGCTTCCTTACACTGACTACAGCAGGTTGCGATTTGCTCCCGCCATGCTGTCACGTTGCTGAGACATACACGTCTTTCCACCAAACAAGTCTTGTTCACTAACGGACGCCCTTCAACATGCCATGCTGGATGCCTAAACAATGATTGCATTGGTATTCGTCCATCAAACAACAAAAAGAACACCACAACAAGCCAAAGACGGGAAAGTCAACAGGATGCGCGCATGGCAGCAGCCTCCCGTTCATATCTCGCATCTGCCGCTTCCCGTCGTTCACCGCCACCTTTATGACTGGCAGACCACTATGTGACGGCATGTCTCGGCAAGCAATACAAACGATGAAGAGGATACATGTCCTGATAGCAAGCTGCCGCTCGTTTGCTCACCACTCATCGGCGGCTCCAACTTGTTCTTTGCTCAATCCTATCAGTGATGTCTAACAGCGTACAAGCGAATATCACAATGCACAGAACTCACAGCGTACCGATGCAGTTCGGCTGTCCATCCCAACACACGCCACCATCAACGCCAACCATTGCTGTTGAACAAAATGTGCATGCTCAGCATTACAACGAAGGATTGCTCGGTGTTCAGCAGGATCTCCAGAAAATCTCCAAATTTGTGGCTGAGCAAGACACAATCATCAAAATTCGAGACCGCCAAATCTTCGATGCGAATGCCAGCAAGGTCTCCGCGATTGCTGAAAAACAAAAGGAGTGGGAGCGCTTTCATCAGCAAGAGAAGACTATTTGGGATAATAAGGAGGCAAGGCTTACGATAGCTCGGGAGAACGCTGATGCACTTGCATTGGACAATGACCGCGCGCTCAAGCGTGCTCGAGAAGATCACGAGCAGGCATTGAAGAATGTCGAAGAGCAACACAAGGATGAGGTTGGCGGCGTGAAGCGAAAAGCTGATGAGGAGCTGGAATCTGAGCGTAAGAAGTTACGGGCATTTTCACTCACCATCAAGCACACCGTCGAGGAGAAGAGCAGTATTGAGCAAGAATTGGCACAAGAGCGAGAACAATACGCCTCCGATCACGACAAGTGGCAGGATGATATTCATGATCTTCAACAGGAGATCAACAAGATCAACGAGGAAAAGAAGGAAGTTCAGAATCACCACACCGAGACACGGAAAACGCTGCTTGACGAGCAGCAGAAGCTACGTGAGCTCAAGAAAACCTTGGTCGATCTCAAAGAGGAACTGGCCAACAAGGAGACCGCGTACAATGAGCTGAAGACAGAACACCAAAGTCTTGACGAACGTTTCCAGAATCTTGAGGCATCACACAAGGACCTGCAGAAGGAATGCGAAAGTCTCACAACCAAATGCAAAAACCACAACGAGGATCGCGAACAGGCTGTGAAGCTGTGTCAAGCAAAGCATAAAGAGCTTACGCAGGAGAAGAATCTTCGTCTTCAGGCTGAGCAGAAACTCCAACCCGAGGTGAAGGCACGGCAGATGGCGGAACAGCAACACGCCACGGCTGAACGAGAATTGTCAACTACAAAAACGAAGCTTGAGACGAAAGAGAGAGCTCTCGAGAGAGGTCGTGATGCCTATACAAGGCAGCAGAAAGAGATCACTGCGCTGAAGAGGGAGGTGGCTAGTCTGACAACGACAGCGCAGGAGCGATTGGCCGACGAAGAAGCTGCAAAAAATGAGCTCCAGAAGGTGCAAGCTGACCTCGCTGCCTGCGAGCTCTCGCTGGAGACGCTGGCAAGTGATGAACGTGTTGCAAAACAGGAGTTGCAGGATGTGAAGGGCAAGCTTGACACATCGCAGACCGAGCTGAGAGGTATGAGGCGCGCCGCAGAAGGCTACAAAGCTACACTGCTGAAATTGGGCGAGAACATGAATCTCGCAGCTATGCTGCAAGGTCTTGCGCCTGATCAGAAGTGGTCTTTGCCGCAGAAGCTCAAGTTATGGGAGGGCGGGCGACGTCGATCGAAGTAGTTACTTTCAAGAAAGCTCGCGAGGATGACTTTGCCGAAATCTTCCGAAAATGTACCACCCTTCACAGATGAGGTATCGAATGGAGATCCTTCCAGTAAACGGTAAGGGATATTACCTTTCTTCTGATGAACAGCTTCTCCCGAGACGGAAGCCGTGAGGCGGTCAGTAGCTCCGTATCTCATACCTTGTTCCCGGACGGATGTCTGCTCGAGCCAGGATAGCCAGGCTGCTGGGACGCCCTTTTCTGTAGCTTGCCGGTCGCGGAAAGAAATACACTGATAGCACTTTCGGATATCGGCAGAAACGACTACGAGCGACAATGAGATGAGACATCGCCGTCATCTCCACGATCGCCCTCAAAGCAATCCTCCTTTGCCTATGCCGTGGAGAGGCAGATTGTGGTGACGATCCTAAGTCACCTGAATAGATGAAGCAGAGACCGCATGATACTCCCCTTGAAAATTACCAGACTGAGCAGTATGGCCGCTTCATTCTTTCTGTTCATAGTCAAAGGTTGCACAGGCATTCAGTGGGAGCTAGTGCGCTTGTTCCTGGGGCTTTTGGACCGAATGTGGTCATCTGATCTTCGCCGGACAAGCTGAAGGAGCTCACCATTTCAGCCCGTGAGAAGTGTCACGAAGCTGTTGGATCATCATCTTGCCGCCTTCCAGCCGAATTGCTGGCCGGGAGTCCACCAGCTGGAATTTCACGCATGTCAATCATGGGCCTAGGGACCGCGTGACTAGTGTACTTGGTCGAATGAAAAGAAACCCACTGAAGAGAGCCCGCCGAATTTGACCATGATGCTCAGCCTGAAAATGTGTTTTGATTGCCAAGAGCCATGCCTGCAAGAAGTTTGGACCTGTCTCTGCCGTACCTTGCCAGATGCAGACTCCAGCGGCCGTTGCTTGAAAGAGTGGGACGTCTTGCGGCTAAGGCCACTGGTTGAAGCTAAAGAGATAGACTCCATAATAAACAGGCCAGACGAAGACTTGGGCGCCTGGTGATCCGGGCCAGGCAGTCACAGCCATGAAGTTTGCATGGGTATCCCTCGTCTTCTCTCGACTTCACCACATCTTCGACCATCATTCTGCCATCGCCAGTATGAGGACACGCGCTATGCGCGAAGCACATGTTGACGGAACCACTTGTGGTGCCTTGGCTTACTTACCTCGCTGGCATGTCTGAGCATGTGGAGCCACGTGTGCACATCGTGTCCTGATGAGCACCAGTCTGCAATGCATATCAGCCCGACCGCTCTTTCGACAGATGGTATGTATTCACTACGGCGCCGCCACCACGGGCAACACTCCGAGCAGCTTTTACACCCTTCCGCGCACCTTCCGTCAAGCGAGAGGCCGATCATGCTCGATCCTCCGTCACCGCCGCAACGGACACCTGTCGCCGCGCGCAAATTGCCAACCTCACATGGCGGACTTGGCGGCCTGGCATCGGGACAAGGTGCAAGAGCTGTCGGATGCGGAACCTTCGATCCGACAACAACGGAAAGAGCGTGAAGTCGTCGGAAATCAGGGCGGAGCGGAGACGGCAGCGAGGTGGTGTAACCCGCATGCACAACAACACGGCTTGACACTCGCTCAGGCTGCAACGCGTCGCGACACGCCGATCGGACCGCGTCAGACCAACAACCAATCAACCGCATCAACGGAGCCACCACAGAATTCAGCGCGCGGGCGCTGCATGAGGGGGACGAGTTGGAGCTGACAAGACAATCCGCGGCCGCTCTCAGTTGGCCTCCTCCGTCACCACCCCGTCACCATCACCACACACGCCGCCGACGGCAGACAATGCGTTGGCGCAAAGGCGATGCAAGCACCGCCAAAGACGCGTTGCCAGCTTGAGCAAGCCGCCCGCCCAAGCTGGCTGTTTTGGAGCTTGGGCTCTTGCTCGAGACTCGGCGCAGCAGCTTATTACAGCAGCTGTCCACGATGCCGGCGAATCAGCACCCAATGAGCTCGCGCTGCGCCAGCGTCCAAAGTGTGTTTCTGGACGAGACCAAGCACGAGAGGCTTCTTGACACCTCCAAATTGACCGCCTCAAGGCAGGAAGGTCGCAACGTGGAGCACAAGGCTGCTGAACGATGGCCAAGAACACCTTTGACCCCGCCGCGTTTTACAAGCGGGGAACAAGTATAGTCTACCCTTTGCGTTGCATGCTGTCGCTTTTACGCTGTGTCGCAATCCGCACGATCCTGGCCATGAGGCGATGACACACATCCTTTACTGGAGTCGCTTGTTTATGCTTATGCCATGGGGTCAATGGCTTGAGGCAGGTGTGTGCTGCGCCTGCGCTGGCGACTTGCTAGGTCCAAAGCTGCATCCGTTCAAGCAGAGCCGTCGGCCGCCAACAACGGTATAGAGGACTGCAGAGGCCGCCAGCCAGCAGCTACGTAAGTCCACATGCTTTCACTTTTTACACTTGTTTGCTGCTCCATTACGACGCTTCTTCTGTGGCACTAACCTTAGTGTCTCGACTCGACTTTTCTCCTCCGACTTCCTCTTCCTCCAGTCGTACTGCGTCATCCATACCGCCTCAACAATATATCTACGAACCTGATCCACGACACCTCCTCGATCGGCCGCCCCAAAGTGCCTGACTGGCACATCCTATGAGCTCTGCCGGCCGCAGAGACAACCGACACGATGGAGTTCTCATGGGGCAATGTCGACAACATTGACCCTCAACTGCTGATGCAGCAGTCCGACAATCTGGCACAAGTGGGGACGTTCACTCAAGGCGTCGCAGACAGCACCGAGCAATCTCTTGAACAAGAAAGGGACAGTGGTATGGAGATCGACGCGCACCACGGCGGCATGGCCCTGCGTACGGGTGTTGCAGACCTGGACATCGGCCATGAGCTCGACATTCAGATGGAGCAAATCTATGAGGCCGCAACACCTCAGCGACCCCTCCATCCGCAACAAGCCTTCAATCCGCAAGCGCAAAACTTTTACCCGACTCCACCGTCATCCCATCAAGCCATCGGGACTGGCCATTACCCACTACCGAGCCAGCGTAACCACAATCGCTTCGCAATTCTGTCAGAAGGCGGCAGTGAGCCTGGTGCGCTACAAGAGCCTTATCGGTACATCGACACCGCAGGTTTCTTGACGCCGAATTCGGCAGCAAGGAGCCATGCTGATGCTGCTTATCATCACGACATGTCTGGATCTCCAACGCCAACGATGACCACTCTGCTACCCACAAGTCAACGTCTCTACTCCCAGGCCGCTCAGGCCGCACCTGCTATGAACATGAATGGCGTACTAGCAGGCGTGCCCGCTGTTGAGAATATGCACAACTGGGCGATGGGAGCTTCGAGCTCGAATGCGACTGTCCGCAATCATGTCCAGTCTCTTTTGCCACAGAGGGGCAGAATTCGAGCAGCATCGGTCGCTTCCTCCATTGGCCAAGGTGATTTTGTGTGCGAAGGCGGTCAAGGCAAGACGTGTGGCAAGCGGTTCGACACCAAATCCAAGATGACACACCACGCGCGCTGCCACAAGCCCGCTCGGAACTTCTGCACGATCTGTAATGCCGGCTTCTACTATATGAAGGACTTGAAGAGACACATGAACACCCATGGGCCAAGAGACCGTCACCTTGTTTGCAACAATATCGGTTGCCCGCACCACACCAAGCCTTTTGCCCGGAAGGATCATCGCGATAGACACGAACGCAGCTGTCAGCACAGTCAGGCCTAGCAGACGCGATAGACACGCTGATTCACCATTGTACATGTATTTACGACGCGACGGATTTGCACGATTTCACGCAGCATATCACAGCAGATGTACAAACACCAGCAAAAAAAGCTCATGTATCATAGAAATAGAAGAGCGGAGCGTGCCCACAGCAACAGTGTTCCATAGTGTAGCTTCTAGCAGAGAAAGGAAAAGAGTCGCCTTGCCAATACCGACTCCTACCAGAGCTTCGACTCGGCCCCGAAATCATGTCAACAGATCGACGTAGGAGGCTCGCAGTCCCCTGCAAGCGAGCATTGACAAGCGTGCAAGTCGCGACTTGCCAGCACGACCTGCTGACCACCCATCTGCATCTTTTCACCGGTTGGCGGAAGCTACGGCACGACGCAGACCGAGCCACAGCCAGCAACGGCAGAGGGATGCTCAGCGAATCCGGACGACGAATGTCATGCATGTCGGCATGCCTGTGAGCATTGTGGCAGAGAATGTGTGGCTCTTCCTCGACAGAAAATCTCGCAAGAGTGAGAGCTGTGGAGAGCCGCTTTCCCGCTTCGAGCTTGCACAGCCTCGTCGATGCCTGGAGACGAGCTATGAAAGTTTGGGCGCGTCTGTAGCACCAACGTCAATGGTCTGTCTGACGTGCATGGCTATGAGGTGAGCCGCATGCTGTGGAGTCTTTCGCGTGATCTCGTGAGTTGTCAAAGTGGCTGATTAGTTCTCTCGTGAGGCGTTTTTCGATAGTCTTGGCTGGGATGGTGATGCGTGGGTTTTGTGCACTAGTCGCTAGTACTGGGGAGGGTCATGGCTAGGGCGAGGTGAAGGTGGGGTAGGGCTGGAGGGAGAACTGGGTGATCGTGTCCGAGCTTTGCGATGAAGTGTTTGGAGAGTTGTTCCGTGGTATAGTAGAACTGTCTTCTAGTTAGAAGTTGGAGATTCGAGGTGTAGAGATGACCGTGCGCAATGCCCCGCGTCGTGTGATTGGCTGCTCCTGCTCGAATCCCCTCCTGTCCCTCCAGCTCGCTGCTCACTGCTCACTCTTCTACACTCCAACAACACCGCTCAACACAGTGACGACAGAGCCCATATCGCATCTCGCCGCAACTCCTGAGCGCGTCAAGGCATTGTGATGCTCATCCTGCATGAAGATGCCTGAACGAGTTGGAAAGTGGATTTGCGGGAGCGCGGCAAAGCATGCACGCTTGCCTGCACAGCCCAAACCCCACCGACCGCAGCACACATCGATTCTCTCTCCCTGACGCCAGTAACAAACAATGCTTATGGGCGTCCTCAAACGCATGCGCCCATGGTTTAGATATAAGGTAAGGGGGCATTGGCCAGTATGGATTTTTGCTCACCTCGTCGCCGCTCTATCATCACGACTCTTCTTATAACAGCATCGTCGCGGTTCTTCTGTTAGTCGCACGAAGCTTGGCACCACCGGCCGACAACTGACTATAGCTAAATCGATGGTCACGTCGAGCTTTCGATCAACGACGTTCTTATTGATATTGGTATTATTACTGGCAACACTTGTACGAGCGAGCTCTTCAGGTTCAGAACACTTCGATCCGAACGACCTCAATTGGACTTCTGCTGGAGAAGAGCTTTCGACCATGTTGGCCTACTCGCAATACAACAGCGGCATGGTATGCTTGGCGGAGCGCGCTATTCACAAGACTCACGCAGCTTGTATACTAACATCTGGCAAGGCTGCCTCACCCATGGCGAGTGGGCTGTATCGTTCTGGTCCTCAACCCATACCACGACCGCGACCCATCCCAAACCAGCGCAACGTGACAGACTATCTTCCCCAATATCTCATGGAAACCTCAGGTCTCCGGCCGCAGCAGGATCTCATGCAGATGCAGCGACTATCAACAAGCGCACCTTCCATTGTTCAACCCGAACACGGATTCATGCCTGGCAACATGAATCATCCCACAATGATCCCGTTCGCTGGCCATCCGAACCCTTCGATGAACGGTCAGCACTTTGGGCAAGCTATGCAGGCTCCAACTTTGTTCACGGCGAACTTTCCGGCGCCATACTCAGACTTACGCGGTATGAATGCTACACCACAACAGTTCAATACCAATCAGCACTACAATGCTGATCTTACACAATTATTCCCGGAATTGCCGGAATTGACAGAGCCCGCGCGAACGGCACCACAGCAGCCCCAGGTCTCGCAGTATGAGACGACTCCTCCGTTTCCGGTGACGAGCGGTTCACAGGTTTTATCGAATGAGAATCTAGACAATCATAACCTTCGTGTCGACTCGCTGCCGCTCGAACACATGCACGGCTGGCTGGGCAGGGCAACAGCTGCTGGTGTACGAAACATGCCGCGACTGGATACAAACCGCCTCGTTCCTCCTCCCGTCTCCGATGCGCACCTCTCGCCAACCTCTGCCTCATCACCTGGATCCTCGGCCTCAAGATCTCCACGCCGCACGAAGGAGGAAATGCTTGTTGGCGAGATCAGTTGCAGCCACTGCGACGCAGCTTTCAGCACACAAGGTGACTTGACGCATCACCTGCGTTCGCACCAGCCGTATGCGAACCGCAGCCACGTCTGCCCGACCTGCAACAAGCGATTTCAGTACCGAAAGGATCTGGCGCGACACGCTCCTCGCCACGATCCGAATCGACAACGCTTCTACTGCAAGCATGCGGGCTGCAAATACCATTCCAAGGGATTCGGCAGACAGGATCATTTGGACAGACATTTGGCTACGCAGCATCGAATGGAGTCGTAGTGATTGGACTTCGAGATATTTTTTGCTATGCTTCGACACACGTACAACGACGGCATGACTTTCAGACTGACGATTGGCAAAGATGCAACACTTTGATTTCTACACAGCACTATACCCTTGTAATTTGCACATGATTGGCGCAAAGAGGAAACGGATGGAACACGGCATTTAGAGGCTGCATTGGGCGGGCATGGACGGCGTTTTGAGATACCCCAGATGTACGATAGATGCATCTACACTACTTTGTTTCGCATTGCGACGCAGATTTCCGCAATACACTCATGATTTTTACCCACTCTATCAGCCTTACAACCCAGCACATTGGAACAGACATGATCTTGTCCTGCGTCATGCACATCGCACCTTCACAGCTCTCACCGAGCCGGCAATGCACGTAAACGAGAACTCAACTCACGGCAGAAATACACACATGACCTTGTGCACACATACCGCGGTACTCAGAAGAAAGGCAACCAGGCTCGGCCAGGCCAGGATGCACGGAAGCTTCCCGAGAATACCTCCTCGGCAGCATTCAGACAGAACCCACGAATCAACGCATTCTGTTTCGAGAATCTAATGCCGAATCTGCTTCCATCCGGTTCTTATCTCTCACGTCCGACGCTATCGGAAGTCCGACGGCGCGCTGCGAGAAGGAAGGATCAAAGTGTTGCCGTTTTTGAGGGAGCTCGGCTCACGAGAGGGCTTTGGGGGAGAATTGTTAAGCCGACAGGAGGCTTTGTTGCCCCGGTAGGCGAAGCTGCAGGTGTAACAAGGAACAATGTAGGTGTGACAGCTTTGGTAAAGGCAATTGATCCTTCCGCACGGCTGGCAGTGCTGGTGGTTTCGGCTTATGGTGTTGTACCTTGGGTTTTTGAGGAAGTTGTTGTTGTCATTGCTGGAATTGAGCTCCGATGTCGTCGGCAGAGGTCAGGTGGTACAAGACCTAGACACCCTGATTGATCATCCTCGACTCTGCAGCATTGTGAGTTACGCGCTGTGAAGTTGACGTCTGTTTTGGCTTCGCGGTCTAAGGCAAGCTTGACAAGCATTGCTAGTAAGAGATCGGAGAGATCACAAGCACAGTAGAATGACGTGACGGGGAACGACGTCAGAGCGCTGTTAGTGGAGCGGAAGGAGGCTGTGTCCGTTCTGGAAGATTGCTGCTTCGAGAGAGTGCAGAGCCACTCGATAGTGCTGAGATGTGTGAGGCAGTGCTATAGCCCCACTTTCTCCACTTCGCTGGTGCACAGACCTGGCTGGCGGGTGCACAGACCAGGAGAGCTTTGCTGGCGGCCGGCTGGCGGTGTTCTCACTTCCTTGCACTCCCTGCACGTCACTCTTCGACACTTGACTTGTTCCTCGACAAGTACCGCATCACGAGACGCTGGTGTGCAGCTGGGGAACTGCACCCAATGCAGCTTACAGATCCCGGCCCCGAACCAAGACCGCCTCACTCTTTGACGCGATTGCATTACGCGCCTCTGCAAGTCCGACGCGTCTTCCACTGCCTGCGCGCTCTCATGCGAGCTCTTATCAGCGTGACGTCGCTTGACGGCAGCAATGGCTTGCTGAGATACAGCGGCAGCAGCATCACTCCGAGTACGCCGCAGTTCGCCGCGAGCTCTGGAATGCCTTGACCGGTCGGTCACTGGCGCAGGCAGTGAGAGCGCTCTCCGCTGCCACGCGAAGTCACGACTCATTTCACGCCCCCTTGAGACGAGGTGTCCTTCCGACCGGCTTGTCGTCTCTTGCATGTGTCTGCGATGTCGCTGACGACCGCTGCAACGCATACACTCGGCACGAACGTGCTTGACTGCTCACTGGCGGGCCCTCTGCGCTTGGCAGCAACGTCGGCCATGTGTGCAGTCATCGCAGGCTTCGAGTAGGTTGCGCAATCCTGTAGTACTGAGAATGATGATATGTAGGTCTGTTCGCCACTGCTTGTGCAAGGTCAGATCACCTCCTGGAAACTGCTGGACGCGACGCGACTTTGTTCTTGCCTTTTCGTGCACCGCCAGCACCGCCAGCTCTTGCCGTGTGGTTCGGCGCCGAATACAAATGTGCTTGCTCTCCTCGGCTGCGACTCGTTGCTGTCGTCGAGATCCAACGTGAGGCCATTGTTATACTGCCGTAGCCATGGACCCTTTCTCGTCATCCTATTGGGAGGAGGATGAGTTGTTGGCAGATACTGGAGCCGTCTTTGACTATCATTATGATGAAGATTATTTGGTATGCTGCAGAGCTCATTCGCACCCAGGTTTAACATTTGTGTTGACAGAGGGTTTAGCAGAGTTTCCACGACCCGACATGCCCGGTCCCGGAAGGACCCCTCGATCAATGTTTCTACTGCTCCCTCGTCGGCCGCAGTGCAGCAGGATACGACACTGCGCGTCCGCGGCGCAGTACTACGTACGGACTTCAGGACGAGCCGCAGCAGACTTGGGAAGACATTGTCGCCGCTGCTTCACCACCCGAGCCCACTGACACGGCGACGCATCACATAAGCCATCGACTTGTCGAGCAATTGCAATATCCTTTGGGTCAATTTGGACCAACGCAAGCACGAGCAGCGACGGTTTCGCATCTAGATCCTCAATTGCAAGGGCGCAATACATCGGCTCAACAATCTCATGGCGCGCCATCGGGACTGTTCTTACCAGCGCGTGGTGCTAATCTGCATCATGGAGAGGCTGGCAGCGTCCAAGACAACGGAAGTCGCTCTGCACAGACAAACTTCGCACACCATCGGAGCCATCGATTATCTGCGCATACTGCTCAAGAGTATCGACAAGACTCTACTTCGTCGGCAGAACAAAGTACTCCTTTCAGGCACTTCCGGCACGATTCCGTCGTTGCGATCTGCCACAGGCCCGGCTTCTCCCGACTCTCTGAGGAGTATTTGCAGTACCGCACTATCGACGATCAGCGGCACGACACGCCCGACTCGATAGCACACTCTTCGTCACAGGATGAAATAGGGCGCTTGTATGAGCACCACCTAGCTGACCGGGCCCACGATCCTCATGGCGTGAGTCGCCTGGCTGACGGCATAGCAGTTGCGCATCGCCACGATACGCCAATGACAGATGATGCTAAAGAGCTTGTGGTGCCGCCGCCCGCAGTGTCTCTAACACCGCCTACTGCTTCAGCGCTGTCCACTACGTCTTCGAATGGACCTGCTCAACGACCAAGACGAACTGGACGTCAGCTACTCGATGGCGCCTTCAAATGCTCTAAGTGTGCCTGCAGGTTTGACAGAAAAGAGCGCATGAGGGCACATCAGCATCGCGTGCACATGGACCATTCGGTCCGCCCGTATGCTTGCACGGCGGGAGACTGCGACAAAAGGTTTGTGTATTACAAAGACCTGCTGCGGCACCAGAAGCTTCACAGATCGCACCAGCCCGTGTCATGTCCACACTGCAAACGAAAATGGGTGGTCTTCCGTGCGGACAACTTCAGACGGCACATGCAGACGAAGCATGCGGATCAATTGGCAGTCACAACGGGTGATTCGGGCGTGGCCATGTCGCGCCAAGCTTCTCGACTTTCTTCATCGACAGAGTACCGAGCCTCCACGAGAGCCAGCTCGTTCAGCGGAGACAGCGAAGAGGATCCCTTGGAAGACCTTCAGAGAGTGGCTGCGCAACCTTTAGAGCCTACCTGAAATGCGTTGCAAATAGGAGTCGGAGCAAGCGCTCACATTCATTCACTTAGGTATATTTGGCTAATCGCTATTGGCTCTTGGCACAATATACTTCTTTCCGTACTCACTCCAGCGCCTTACCATCACTGACCCGGCATCATTGCCCCCATTGCAAGAACAATGTACACGTGCTCACATAGCCATATCTGCCCGCTTGAATGGTGCAGAAAGGGGTTTCGGTCGGCCAAGGATTTGAAGCGGCATAGAGACACTCACTTCCCAGACCAGGTGGAGAAGAAGTATGTGTGCGAGTGCGGAAAGGAGGATAAGCGCAGGGATAATCACTTGCGGCACGTGGAGACCTGCAGCAAGAGGAGGAAGAGGGATAAGGACGGGAGAGGAGAGGGTGGAGAGGGTGGAGATGGGGGAATCTGAGGGTGAGGATGGGTGGGTTGCCTGGGTGGACTTTGTTCTTTTTGCATTCATATGCGCGGCGTTTTGTTTTTGCTTTCTCTGGTTTCATGTACGAAGGTGAGGGAATGAGCGTCAGAATGTGTACGATAATGTTGTTTGATTTGAATTTGAGTTACTGCAAGTTTTATTGCTTTCTCTGACCTGTAGTGCTCCTGGGTGGCAACGACTGGAGAAATGCGCGGAACCTTTCAGATATCGTTTTTTAGAGTCGTGAGGAGTCGCGTAGTATCTCTAATCAGTCGTGTTGTGGTGTGCCAACGAGTGTTAAGAAGCGCAAGATTCGCGGAAAGACGTCTGGCAGAGTTAGCATGAGATGGATCGTATCTCTAGCGGTGTCCGCTTCTGTGTGCCAACAGGGAGGAAAATGCGGAAGATTCTGGAAATACAGTCCTGTGGAGTCAACACGAGATGCATTGTCTCTCGGGCCGATCACTCTTCTCTATGCCAACGTGTAGGGATATACGAAAGATTCTCGGCTTTCGAGCTTGCAGAGTCAACAGAAGATGCGCCCACTCTCTGGCTGATTATTCTTACGCGCGCCAACGAGTGTAGAATCGGCGAAAACTTTCCATGTGCGGATTTGCAGAGACAACAGAAGGAGTACTGTTTCTCTCCGCGACTGCTCTCCCCTGAGCCAACGAGTGTTGAAACGTGGAAAACTCTCAAGATGCGGTCCTGCAGAGTCGACAGGAGGCGGACCGCTTCTCCAGCCGGATCAGCTCTACTTTGTCAACAACGAGTAGCATGCGAGAGCTCTCACACAAGCGCTTGCTCCAGAGTCAAAGGTATGGTCGCCGTCTCTCTCCTTAACTCTCATCCAGCCCGCCAACGAGTGGGAAGATACGGGCAGTCGCTTCGGAGAAAATCTTGCAGAATCGACAGGAGCCATGCGGTGTCTCTGGGCAACTGCGGGGTTGCGTGTCAATTGAGGAAGATATGGGTGGAAGTATCGGAGAAAAACTGGTCAGAGTAAATGAGATGCGCTTGTCTTTCTGTGCCCGTTCGTTTTCTTTTTCGCTCTCAACATCATGTGTCGTAGCTTGGGACGCCTGCGATTTGCGGAGACAAGATTTGCCGAACTGGATGTGTAGTGTATGAGCTCCTTGTATCTCTGTCTTCATGTCGGCTTGTAAGCCAGTGGCCATCCAGATACTGTGACACCTGGACTGCTTCAATTGTCAGAGGCAGGTACAGAGTTCCTGCGTCTCTGACTCCACGCCTCTGAGGAAGCTGCTCCATCTCCAGCAGGTTGAAAAATCAAGAGGTAGAATGTGCTGGAAACACGAAAATTTCATCTCCAATTGCTCTCTTTACCTGCTCGAAGTTGATAGTGTTTCCGAAAATCATTGCACTTCCGAGCAAGCATGTCTGAAGTCGCTGGAGAAGAATTTCGGGAAGGAGTTCAGAGGCACAGAATTGACTGGAATTTCATGAGCTCCAGTCAATGATTTGACGGGTTGCTGTTCACGCTCCACTTTCGCGTCACTTCAACCAGATGTCGTCCACGCGCCGACTTCGCGAAGAACACCTGCTGCCAGGAAACAGCATCCGACAGCGATTGATCAGATCATGACTTTCAAATAATAGATACAGACCGCAAGTCATCCAGACCATGGCCCCTCGCCCCTCCAAACGTCAGAAACTAGACGACGGTGCCCACAAGAGCTCGCCTGCTCCCTCGAAGACGCCAGTAACTTATGGCAGGGCCTCCAAATCTTCACCGGCAGTCAATGGCAATGCAACGAACCCAAGCCCCGACGCGAAGTCTGAATGGTTCGCAGCCAAAGCACAGGCGGCAAGTGCGAGGAGCCAATCCCGGTTAATCGCGCGCGAAAAGAAGAAAGAGGAGATAGATGTCTACGATGATTTCGAGGGCGCACATCGAGGAGGACACCCGTATCTGCAAAGAGGGAGTGCGGATGTCAAGAAGAGACAGCAGAAGCCTGCATCGGACCCATTGAAAAACCAGAAAGGTGTTGCTGAGAGTCCAGTTAAAGCAAGCAAGCCAGCGGATCTAGGCTTCTTCAAGAAATTCGGCAAAGGCAAAAAGGACGATGGGCATAAGGAGACCGGTGAGAATGAGGAGACTGCAGGTGCCGGAGAGAGTGCGCGCAAATCGACTACACGAACAGCGAATCAAGGCAAGGGATGGATCACGGCTACAGGACCGCCGAAGAAGACTTTCGAGGATGAGATGCGCGAAATACAGGAGCGTGCACGGCAGGAAACACGGGATGGAGACAGCGAGGACGAGCTGGCCAAGCAGAGCGATACTAAGAGAGCCTCTGCCCGGCGCCCAGCCCAGAAGGCAACTACGGTGTCATCTACTACTGCCACTGCTTCTGCAAGAACGAAGAAGCAAACCCTCGATCGAAGGAAGAAAGCAGTGTCGCGAGAGACGTCTTTGGAAATCCCGGAGAGCGACGAGGCAGATCGCGTGATCATCGACATGCCATCGGCGAGCTCAGCAGCAGAGTCTGAAGATGAGGTCGAGTTCGAAGACATAGTGCCAAAGGACAAATCTGTGCCGAAGCTCGCGCTGACGCAGAAGCTGGCAACACCAAAGAAATCAGCCGCGAAGCCAACTAGGAATGCAGTCGCGTCAGCCAAGGCATCTTTTCATGACGACCATCTACAGTGCTTGCGAAACATCGTGCTGGAAAGGGTCACGCGAAAGCGACCGATCTCACTCCTCAATCTTGACGATGAGTACGCGAAAGTTGCAAATGTTATCACTCAGACAATCACCGCAGGCGAAAGCAACAGCATGCTGCTGATCGGCGCACGTGGCAGTGGCAAGACGACGATGATCGAGCAGATCATTCGTGAGCAAAGCAAGACACATGCTGATGATTTCCACGTCGTGAGGCTCAATGGCTTCATCCACACTGATGACAAGATTGCCTTACGAGACATCTGGAGGCAGCTTGGGAAAGAGATGGAGATAGACGAAAACGAAGCTGTGAGCAAGAACTATGCCGACACGATGACAAGATTGCTTGCACTGCTTTCACACCCCGCGGAAAACGGCATCGAGACGGAGCAGGTCACAAAAAGTGTTATATTTGTTCTCAACGAGTTCGAACTATTTGCTGGACATCCACGGCAGACGCTGCTCTACAATCTGTTCGATATTGCCCAGAGTAGGAAAGCGCCGATTGCTGTGCTGGGTCTTACGACGAGGATCGATGTCGTTGAGAGCCTGGAAAAGCGGGTAAAGTCACGTTTCAGTCATCGATATGTTCACTTGAGCCTGTCCAAAAGCTTGGCTGCTTTCGAGCAGATTTGTCGCAAGGCGATTGCGATACAGCCTGACGACTTGACCGAGGAAGAGGCGACGATTCTCGGGGAAGCGAGCGGACTCAGCGTCACGTTGGTCAAGACTTCCCACAAAGACACTTCGCCCCTCTCGAATTGGAACACTGTGGTCAATGACTTGTTTGCTTCCGAGACATGCAAGAATTTTCTCGAAAGACTCTTCTATACGACGAAGTCCTTGTCCGAGTTTCTCACAACACTTACACTGGCCATCTCAACTCTGCCAACCACTTCTCAGACCACAAACACAGTGCTTGAGCATCTCTTTACATCACTCTCGAGCTTCGCAGCGCTCCAAGCCCCAGATTCTAAGCTCTCCCTACTCCCCTCCCTCGGAACGCTCCAATTGGCACTCCTCGTTTGTGCTGCTCGACTCACGAACATTTACAATACAGAGCTCATCACGTTCCCACTCGTCTACGAAGAGTATAAAGTGTTGGCGAGCAAGGCCAAGCTGCAAGCTACTGCTGCGGGAGGGATCGCGACGGCAAAGATTTGGGGAAAGAATGTTGCAAGAGGTGCTTGGGAGGGCTTGATCGATGTTGCATTGGTAATGCAAGATGGAAGCAGTAGTGCAGGAAGGGTCGATGTTGGTCTGGAAGAGTTGAGGGACTGTGGTGTGGACTTGGGAGGTTGGCAGAAATGGTGCAAGGAAATATGAAGGATAATATCTGTTAGCGAATGGAATGCTCATGGTTCGTTCGACGATACAATGCGGACGAAGAAATTCGGCTGAATCAGCCATCGCGCTTGCTACTCCTCATCCAAGTTCGTCCGAATTGTAGTCCGTGGCCTTTACGCGAATGACTCGTCCCCAAAACCATTGGCGCGTCCAGCCAATGTGACACAACTAAAGGATCTCGGCTGAATTATTTCCGGGCTGCTGAAGCTTTAAACCCGGAAGGACCAAACAACATAAAACAACGTCGGATCAGCCCGCCTGTTCTTGTGCACCTTTGTCGAATGCGATCATCTGCATTGGCGGCAAACGGCTTTCTCAGATTCTCAATATGGCGTCGTTCCAAAAGCTAGGTACATTTCCACGCACTAGCTCTCACCTACGCCACGCCAAAGCCATACTAACAATGCGTAGCACGGCCACGTCTTCTCGAACAAACGTTCCAATATGTTACTCGAGGCACTCCAAAAGTCACAAGGTACCACCTCAAATTCCATTCATATCGCAACACTTTGCTGACCTTCAATTTCCAGACGCCTCGTCAATCAATCCTCACCCCGTAAAGTCCAATTCGAAATAATCCAAGACAAAACCCACCACCTCACAACCCAACGCCTCAAACGACCCGTCTCCCCTCACTTAAGCATCTACCAACCACAAATCAACTCTTTCCTCTCCATTTCCATGCGCATCACCGGAACTTTCCTTTCTGGAGGTCTATACCTCTTCAGCTGTCTGTATTTACTTTCTCTCACCTTGGGAATCGACATGTCTTCTGAGCATCTGGCTTCAGTTTTCGGAGCTTGGCCGACAGGAGCTCAAATCGCGGCGAAGTTGTTTGTGGCGTTTCCGATGAGTTTGCATTTCTTTGGGAGTTTGAGGAATATGGTGCAGGTGGCTGGGAAGGGCGTTGCGGGAAGTAGGAGTATGGTGAGGATGGGGTGGGTTACGGTGGGAGCGGCTGCTGTCACGGCGGTGGGGTTGGCAGGATGGGTGTAGGATTAATCGGGATCTCTTTGAGAGGCTGTCTGGAGGCTGGAGTGTCTGTTGGAAAAGAAATTCTCCGGAAGATTTCGAATCTGTGGTGGCTGTAAAGACTTCATTGCATAAATTATTGCTGTTATTCCGGACTGCCCCCCTCTCATAAGGCATTCTGATGTACAAGCGCGTGCAAGTCCTTCTCGTGGAGCCCATGCGTATTTGCGATTGTTTCGAAAGGCCAATAATATTTGAGGAGTTCTCAAACGCAATTGCTGGACTGAAGAGTTCGTGTGGGTAGCCTGAGCTGTTTGCTCGATCGAAGTGTTCGGGTCGATCCGTGATACTATTCTGTCTTACGCTTTAGCTTTTTAATTCGGTTTCAATCCGAAGCTGTGAAGCACATCATCTATCCTAATAAGCCCGTGCCAATCCGTCTCCACATTCTTTCTTGCTCTATTCTGTCCTCCTTTTTTACTCATGATAGACTTCGGTAACAACTCCTTGACCATACCGCGACTTAGGTTACTTGTCAATGCTCTATCTGCCCAACGACATAAACCCGTTTCCACAAAAACACTACATCTAGTACCATGGTGCTAGAACTCGAATTCATCTCCAACTGGATCCAGATCAACGACATCTACACGAGATACGTCCATGCCGCGGACGACTGTGACTTCGATGCACTAGATAAGCTGTTTCTGGACGAGACTACATTCGACTGGTCGTCCGAGACGAACCCGCTGCCATTGGTTACTTGGGCATCCCTGCGCGAGGCTCAAGCATTTCCACTGCAGAGTGTGCTTCCTTGGGCTTTCCATATCTGCGGCAACGTGCGAATTGATATCTCTGCGGGAGGCAAGACGGCCGAAACGAAATCTAAGACAATCATGCCGTGTGGTTCAGGCGAGCAGTCGACACAACGACAAAAGTTCTTCCAGGTCAATGGGGAATATGTTGATCGGCTTGTCAAAGTTGAAGACGGTTGGCGCATCGTATCACGGAAATGGCTGGAAAGATTTGCTATTGGTGTGTTTGATAAGGTTGAAGATATACCGGGCGAGCTGGGTATCGAACCGTCGCGTCAGTAATGGCAACAATTGATGCGCAGGATGCATTCCATATGCATACGATCGCTGCTACTCCGGGGAAAGGGGTTGCGGGGAAGAAGAGGATAGTGAGGGTGGAGTGGGTTTGAAGAGTTCTTGATTTGGGGGAGCGGGAGTTGGAGAATCGGAGGAGAGTGGCTTTGCGTTGAACGGTCATGTTCAAAGCGTTATGGAGCCCGTTTCATGTTTCGACAGTTTTGCTGGGACCCGCCAATGCTGCAGTCCAGTACGGAACCAGAAGTCCTTCTAATGGAGCCTGTGTGGCTCTATGATAGCTTTGAGACGCCATCGTGTGCGAAAGATCTGAACGAAATGCTTCATATCGATTATCACCTTTGTTGTTGAGGTTCTGATTTGCTTGTTGGATTCTCGCCTGCTTTCGTTGTCACACTCGTTCTTGCAGAGAACCAACCACCGTCACATTTGTTGATGTCCCATTCGAGTACCCTTCAGTGTCGATCTTACCCCAAAGGTTCAGCCTGAATTGGGCTCCTCAAAGTCTGCGGCTCAAATTTGATCGACGTCCTAGTCTTGGACTTTTCACAACATCTCCCATCCAATCTTTTCTCATGCCAAATTCGTTATCCTCCATCAAAGGCCCTCACGCGCTCTCGCAATATTGTTGCTCGTATCCTGACACGTCATACCACATCGCAATATCAATATACCACCAACGCACCAACAAAATGCTGTGCTGTGCCGCAACCCAAGCAAAATGACAAGAAGCGAAGGATTCCTATGACCGCATACCAAGAACACTGAAAAGGCAATGTAACGTCTGCATTCGTTCAATGCCACTGGACGCATGATCTATTCCGTCCCGTATAAGGAAGTTGATGTGCGACAACGAAGTATGCTGCGCATTTGAAGGATTCAGTTTGGCTTGGTGGCCGAACATAAAATGGAGAGGTGACTCACCCCATGGTATGAACACATTTGGTGTTTGCCTAGCATACCCATCCGCTTCACTCTGCAGCACAAATTCCGCTTGATCAGTTCCTCAAATATCATGGCTGATTCCAAAGTCGAGAGAGAATTCCACACCAATTATAAGGCAACATGGAAGCGTCGCGTCCTCGTCGGCACGGCAGCTTTGGCAGTTCTCGGCATAGCAGCTGCTGCAGCGGCTTTCGCAGTCCGGTCTCGCCATGAGACTTGGTGGAGAGAAGGCCAAGCATTTCCTACATATCCTGACACGGAACCATTCTCAGGAGGGCGTCGAATCCGGTGGTATGGGCAAGTCTACTACCTCCCTCCGGGTGTGCGAAAGGGAGGCTTGAAGCCGCAGGTATCGCCTGCGCAATCGTTGGTGGAACGGCTCTCTTGCCCATTCTAGGTGCTGCGGACCAGGTATTGCCAATCAGTATCTAATCATGTTTCCGGCTAATGTTTGATAAGAGCCACACGCGGAAGTTCCGTGCTATTTGGGCCGTTTGGCTTATGCTTGGAGTCCTCGCCAGTTTAATTGGACTTGTGTGGTCTTTCGTCGAATTCTACACATCGTCTACTGTCGACATTGAGAGTTTTCTCGCTGGAGGCCCTAGGGAGGTGCCAAACGATCCTCGTAGATCTGCTGCCTTCACCCGAGATGGAACATTCGGCATTGAAAGTTGGTCGTGCCAGATCGAACCAATTTGGAGGGACTACGGGCCATCTATCCGAGGCTCCCGTTACAACACGCTGCCGCCATGTACAGACGCGGTAAGCAATTCTTTAAGCCCGTCGAGTAACCTCAGCTGATCGCGTGCAGAAAACATCAAGGTGGCTCATGATTCCGTTGTTCGTGATGTCGGTGGTGCTTTTGGCATTGGCAATGACCCTCTCACCCTGGCAATCCAAAGGAGCGAAGCGCGCAGATCAACAAATGGAGATGGCTGGTACAGATGGCCGTCGTGCATCTGATCGAACGGGCGACGTGTCGAGGGCAAGCTCCAAGTCAGCGACTGCGGTCTGAGTGAGGTAGTCAATCCCGATGTATGGCCACCAAGGTGCATTTGCGAGTGCAAAGTCTCGAGTATCAGCTTGCGTGCTTCCTGACGTGGCCAAGCTGAGAGCTAAAGCCTGTACTCTTGAGCGACAGGTCGGAGGTTTCGGCAAACGATAATTCTGTAATGATTTGAACGAATCTTCATCCCAAGTTGTTCTCCCATTCGCGTTCAACGAGGTCTAAAGCTTCTCTCCGCTCGTGCTCACTTCCACAATTTGGTCGCTACCCTTGTAAGGCGGAACGTCGAACCCATACTTCTCAGCAATCTCCTTTCCAATGAAGCGGCCTCCCACGAAATGCCTGCCCTTGAACCACTTCGTCAGTGGTTTCGGAGCAGAAAGCGAGATCAGCGCGTGAGGCTGGTAGCCTTTGCCTGGTCCATCGTCTGGCGGACCATCTTCGATGTTCCAGCTCGAGGGTGCATCAATGGCCAAGACTGGAATCTTCGACTCTGCAAGTGCCTTGATGACAGCTGGGAAAGGCTCCCTCACTTCACCGCTGAAGCTGAAACCGAAAATGGCGTCAATGATGTAGTCTGACTTTGCCAAAGCGGAGTGGAAGTCGTCTGTGAAAGGCACTTTGAGCTGTTCCAGCTGCTTTCGTAGTCTGCCGTATATTTCTGCTTTGCCTTGCTTGGGAAAGTAGAGCGTTGGCTTGTAGCCAAAGTGGTGCAGATGTCGGGCAGCGACGAGGCCGTCACCGCCGTTGTTGCCAGGCCCGCAGGCTATCAGCACGTTGGGCGACTTGGAAGGTGGTGAAAGTGCATAGAGTGCTTGTGACACGGATAGACCTGCCAATTCCATGAGTTGATCGAGGGTGAAGGCGCCAGTGGACATGAGCTCTTCGTCGAGAGCAGCAGCGGCCTTGGGGCCAAGTGTGCGGAGTGCCATGTTGTCTTTCCTGTCGTCAAGTGAAGATGAGCAGGAAAGATTGATCGAAAGGAAGAGAAGGTGTTTCTTGTAGTGCAGAGGTCGCTGTCGTGACTTCCGATGACGCTGTCTCTGTGCTCGGAACTGCGGCGGCAGGACCACAAATGCATCGCAGCTGTCACCTGGCACCAGGCCAAACTTGCGAACCAGCTGAGCCACTGTCAATATTCACCACGTCTTCACTTTACGAAGTGGCGTCTCGAAATTACGATTCAGATCTCACAAGCAGCCTCACGTGGAATAGCCTCAGAAACTTCATCAGCGAACCCAACATGCGATCCAGAAAAGTCTTATCCCGACCGCTCCGGCGAGAAGTAAATGTCGACACTTACGAGGCACAAGTATGGCAGGATGTTGCGATCAAAGTATGGACCAGGCTAACGCGTATCCAGCCTGAGTGTCGACTTCTTCAGCTACCCGCAGAGCTTCGCACGACCATCTACGAATTAGCCCTCACATCCAAATCGGGAAGCATAACAATCGACTTCTCCAACCCGCCTCCCAAATTCTCCGGCAGCAAGCTTCTTTCCGACATCATCAAGTCTTCAGCTTTAACTCGAGCATGCAAGCAAATCCGACAGGAAACTCGAGGCATGCTTCAAACCTTGAACACCGTGAGATTTCATCTCCCACTTTGGCCTCAAAACGGATCTGTCACGAGACTGGATGGCCCCACGATGCATCATCTTGAAGAAGCTTTATCACCCAGACGAACGTCGTCAACTTCTCAATCATCTTTCCCTGCATGGAAAGCGATGGAAGTCGATCTTGGCAGACTTCCGATCCTCAGATTCGAGCCGGCCTTCCGAGGATGGTATAATGGGGAGCAAGCGCTGAGTCGACTTCGAGGCACCTTTCCTGGCATGACTTTGAGACTTGAAGTTTGGAATGCTGAGACGGATCGTGCGACAGTCATAAGAATGCGTATGACAGGCGTTGAAGATATTGCGAGCAGCTTGGAGGAAGCGAAGTCAAGCGGTCAGCTTCCAGAGAGAGATTTTGCTTGCTTGAAGGATTTGATGGAGTTGGAACGGATCAGGAGAGTAGTTGTTGGTGCGAGAGACTGAACTTGACTCTCTTCTTTGACTTGCAGTGGTACCTGAGGCAGCAGTGTTTGCTTGCCCGCACGCGTCTGGCTCGCGTCAGTTGCGAAGTGACAAACGGCACTGCCGCACACACCTTTCTCAATTTTGACCCACCCAGCTCTCTTCAAAACAACATTGCCCACTGCGTGAGGTGGTTATCAAGACCGCCATGAGGTCCGATTGAACAACAAGCACTACATCAACCGCTTCACGATCCGAAGGTGCGCTTTCTTCCAACGCGAAGGCACAGCCGCGGCTCTTGCTGACTCTTTTGCCGCCCCCAGTTTCGGAGATGGCACGCAGGAATAAGATGCCGCTCAAGAAGAGCAAGAAAGAGAAGAGCCATTTGCTTAAGCTACCAAGAGAGCTGCGCGACATGATCTATCAGTGCACTCTCCCGCAGCAATCTGGAGTTATAATCGTCGACGTCCAACGTCCAGATCCACTGAAGCAGATCGAAGCTCTCTCTGCGCTGTCCCGCACCTGCCAACAGCTTCAAAGCGAATGCGGTGACCTTTTCTCTGCTCTGGCCCTCGAGGTCCAAGTTGATGCCTTGCTGCTACACGACCTCAAGATTACTTGGCTAGTCAGCAAGTTTCTTAAGTGCCTTTTCGCGCCAGAGTTCTCCGATGGCCACTGGGGCTGGGAAGTGTATTGCAGCAGCCTTTCCCTTCAAGACTTCAAAATTCCTGAGGTCGCTATCAACACTCTGCCCTGGGCCTGCAAGAAGGTCAATCTTGGTTTCATCGACTGTTTGGACCAGCGGATACTTGAGCAAGTCTTGTTCTCTCTCTCGGAGAGTGGAGTTCTTACAGTTCCCATGAAGTATGCGCCAGATGTCAAAGTTGTGGCGGACACGAAGACCGCGAAAGGAGAGCCTGTGCACCTCATCTTCACCATGAAGCCACAGACAATGGCTCTCCGTAAGGAAGCAGACCGGGAGGTCATGGAGCAATCCACTGATCTCAAGGAATTCGTGATGAATTTACGTCGAGGGATGGCATCGATCCGGGCCTTTGACGTCTTCATCGATCGAGGTGAGCAGGAGAGACCGTGGAAAGTTACTGGTGCCTGTAACGGTTTGATCTCTTGATCCATTCCGTGTCACGCGTAGTGAACTTGGAGGCATTGCCGTGGCTAGTGTAGTCTACACGGCCGAACACAGCCATGCAGCGAGTCCGTGTGCATCGAGCAAAGATTTCGGAATTGGTATGGGAGTCTAGGCAACACAGCGGGCGGCGCATATGCTTTGATCAGCTCACAAGAGCAATGCCAGAGAACCTTTGAACCTGGAAGGCCTTTTGCAGACCTTCGTCACTTAGCTCTACGATGAGCTTTGGTTTTGCTAAAAAAGCATAGGTACTTGGGCAGAAAATGAAAATCAGAAAAGTCTTTGTGCATTGACGCTTCCTTCGGACAGTATCTAGAACCTGCCCGTCTCTCTACGGCGAGCGCGATCTGAAGGATCAAGAGCTCCGCTCCCTGGCGTACTTGTGCGCTTCAGCGGGCTCGCAATCGTCCTCCTCAAATCCTCGCGCCCTGGTCTCAGCTGGTTGCTACTAGCAGCTTTTCTGAGCGGACTTGCGGCGTGACTGTACACTCCCATGCTACCTCCATCTCCCTTCACCGGACTTCGCTCCCTCAGCCTCTCGTGATGTGGCTTGAGGGGAGAAGAAAAGTCGGTGGCAGCAGTGCTTGGTCTCGAGTAGGACTGCGTCGATCCGTTCAGGTAGCCAGCTGTAGTCGGGGTCAAATTGACTCCAGAATGCCGCCTGGATTCTGTTGGACGTGATGACAGGTCGTCGGGATCGTACTGTCGAGCGTAGTTCGTGTTTGGATGCGTCTTGAAGCCACGCTTGATGATTGTCGTCGGTGTATAGACGTCAACCTCTCGGGTCTGCGTAGCGCGTGGTGTGCTGCCGTTGACACGAGTCTGGATTCCGACGTCTCGCATAGGTCGGATGAGATTTGGATGCACGAATTTGGTGTCATACTCGTTCATTACTTCTCCGTGAACGAGCGAGGTATCTTTGGATTGCTGGCTGAAAGAGGCCTTGAGCATCCATAGCTGTGCCGAAAGAAGTGCACTAAAGGCAATTGCTGTGAACACTGTGACAGAGGGTCGCGGGTCCATAGCTGCTGGTGGAAGAAGCAGACTGTAGATGACCAGGTGGCCAGGCGAGAACAAAGTGAAGATGCTGAGGTTGAAGGGCTTTGGATCCCAGATGGTGAGCTCCCAGACTTCACGCTCAGCATCGGGGTATGCTCGTGACGAGGCTGTTGCAGAAGACATTACGGCCTGCAGGTATCGTAGTGGAGAAGATGACATGGGCGAGCTGTCGACTCGCACGCGATGTGCTGAAGGAGTGGGCGGCGGTACATCCACGGCCTGCTCAAAGAGGCGGTATGATCTCCGTTTCCAGAAGGTGAAGAGAGCGTTGGTGCAGCATAGTATAGTCAAAGCGTAAACAAGGAGAGAAGCCTGTGTACTCACCTTGTCAGCGATCCTATCCCTCTCTTATTGTCTGGTCACATGTACCACCTACCAGCCAGGCAAACCATCCACTTCCACTGCTGCCATCGTCGCCAAACACATCGTCGCCTCCTGCTCCTGCTCCTCTTGCGCTCGCGCCTTTAGCGAGGATGTATGTGATATTCAGACCGAGCCCGATCGGCGTAGACCACAACTGCAGCCACTCATCGTATGCGTCGTCATTGAGCTCTTCTGCCAGCCATAGGAGCAGATCCCACGGGTCGAGGTACGCCTTGATACGCTCGATCAGAGGGCGTTTGCGCACGAGTCGTGGCATAGTGAAGGTCAGGTCGATGACGAGCGAGTCGTGGCGCGAGCGATCATTTGTACGCCGACCGCCTCCTGGTGAAGGCAGAAGCTATCGATGTCACGCGTCGCAAAAAGTGAAAGACGTGTTGTTGATCCGCAAGCGGAAGTGCAGGCGTCCGGAGGCGTCAAATATTGAGCGGCGTTGAGCTGGTCACGTCAATATCGGCTGTTTTGCTGACGCAACCTCTCTTTCCACTTGCACTTTCCTTTCCTCTGCACCTTGCCCGGTCTACACGTCAGACATAGGAAAACGCGCCGATTCTCATGGACTCAAAGACATCACGAACGAGATTTTCGCCCGATCGGCCAAACGACGCGTGGAAAAGCCGTCTAGTCCGCGATCTGGAGTACACACAAGCTCAGCGTGATTCTGGCACGATCGCCAGTTCGAGACGACGCGTGAAGAGCCGAAGAAAGCTCTCCGTATTCTCTCCTACAAGGTGAAAAGCGCTGAGAAGTCTCGTCCAACAAGACCGAATATCAGGCGTGGCTTGGTGATGCCTGGAGACCGCGCCCAGAGCGAGCAGGGACGCGCTGCTGCAAATGTGGATGCAAACCAGCTGACAATTCCGCATCTCAGTTCCTGCGCCCTACACACTGCATCGGTGGTCCACTTCATCTACAATCATATCTTCACTTCTCTCACGCTTGCTTCGTCCTGTCTCTACGTCTCACATTCGATTGTCGTCCTGCTGATTTTACATAACTTTTACAATCAGCCAAGTCCTCATCAGCCGCCATTTCTTCGGTATCGCTCTCGACCGCCTCTTGATGAAGGCTGTGCCGTGCGGAAGCAACAATCAGACCCTCGTCAAAGACACGATACCAAGCACATCTACAGCGCCAACTATGCTGACGACTCGCCGCGCTTTCTCGTCCTTCTTGACAGGACTATCGCACGAAGGATGTGTTGCCACTACACAATCTCCTTCCTATGTTAGATGACTTCCCGAGAAGGATGATCCGGATGTGTCAATAGCAGTGTCTCACTTCTTGGTGAAGGATCCCACACTCTAGGCGCTCGGTCTTTGCAAATGGTCGGAACGGACCAAGACCGAGGCGAACAAGACCGAGTCGGACTGCGTACCGTGATATCTCGAAGTCTGCACGGAAGACATCAAGCAATCATTCACCTGCATCCACACCGGGCGTATATTCGTTTCCATTCGCATGCGTCGCAGTCTCCACCGATTGCCATACACCACGCCCAATAAGTATGCCATCGCCAAGGCCCACAAGCATTGGCGTTCCGCGGGCCCCACACGCCACGAGGACTTTCACGCGCCAGGTAAACGGCATGCTAAGAGAAATGACGTCCATCCCAAGTGTTTTGGATGCGATAGACAAGACATTCATGGACAGTGCGGTTGCTTCTTCGTGCCGGACACGCGGTGATGGGAGGTCGCGTGCGTGCCGGCATGCGAGACCAACGAGGTTATAGATTGGCATGCCCGCGCCGACCCTGCTGATACAGCTCTCTCTCCAAGTCCCTGTTTCAGCATTTCTGGACGAACAACCTACTTTCATCTTTGATCACAATGGCTCAGCGGACGCATGATTATCCGAGCCATTCGGACGGCATTGACCATCGCCGCGAGAAATACGACAGCGATTCAGACGGGAAGCTCGGGGATGCCCCACCATATCCCACAAACAGAGATGGGGAAACTGGAGAAGTGTACGATCCATATGGAGGCAAGAAGTTGGGCATGGTTCGAACGACCTTGATCTTCTTCACGAATCAAGTGGGCATTGGAATTCTCAGTCTGCCCAGCTTCCTGCACACAGTCGGCCTGATACCAGGAATTATTGCCATCATCGCTCTCGGAGTCCTCGCGACCTACACGGCTTATATTCTGATCCAGTTCTGGCGTCGCTATCCTACCATCCGAGATGTCGTTGACGTGGGTCGAATCATGGGAGGGCTGCCACTGGAAATTATTGTAGGACTCGCGCATGTTCTAAACTTGTGCCTGATCTGCGCTTCATCCAGCGTGACGCTATCTATTGCGCTCAATACAATGTCGGAACACGCCCTCTGCACAGTCGGCTTCATCGGGATACCGATGGTCATGGGATGGCTGCTATGCTTCCCTCGCAGCTTGAACTTCGCTGGCTGGTTCGGTATCCCGGCCACTATCAGTATCTGTAGGTGTATTTCTATGCGGCTGAGAATCGCTGCTTGCCTATTCTGGATTGTGACGTTTGCTAACTATCGTGCTAGTCGCTGCTGTCATTATCGTTATGGCCGCCTTGGGCATCAATGGTCCGGACGTCACTGGCTCGAGTCAAGGCGGATCTGGCTTTTGGGGTGAACCACCAAACGAGCCACTTATGATACTCCTGGGCCCAAATCCAAGGACCGATTTCAAGCAACAATTCGATGCTACACTGAATGTTGCCTTTGCGTATGCGGGTAAGCGTCAGAATGGGATCTGGAAATCATTCAATCACTTACTGACCCTCAATGTTCATAGGCAATCAAGCCTTCATCACAGTTATCTGCGAGATGCGCAACCCCAACAAGGACTTCACCAAGGCCGTCATCTGGCTCAACGCCCTCGCGATTCCAATGTACGTCATTGTTGCTGGTGTCATCTACGGTTTCGCAGGACAGTATGTCGTCTCCCCAGCTCTTGGATCCGCGCCCGGTACAGCCAGCAAAGTCGCATACGGCGTACTCTTCCCGACATTACTCGGTTCCAGTCTGGTATTCGGCCACACCGCCATCAAATACATGTACAACGTCGTGATGGATCGCATCATCAAGACTCAGCACAAACTGACAGACAATACGCCTTTGACTTGGGGAGTCTGGCTCGGTCTTACCACTGCCTTCTGGGTCGTGGCATTCATTTTGGCAAATGCAATTCCTGCCTTCGGTTCGATTTTGGGTATCACTTCGGCTCTATTCGTGACGTGGTTCACGTTTGGTATGGCGAATGCACAGTGGGTGTATATCAACTGGGGCCAGCAATTCTCGACTTGGAGGAAGAGTTGTTTGGCTGTGTTGAATTGGTTTATGATTGCTGGTAAGTTCGCGAACAGTGCCACGAAAAAGATGAGGAGAAGTTGATGTGCTAATGTGCTTGTGCAGCATCTTGTTTCTTGACTGTCTTTGGATTGTATACTACGATCTCGGCTTTGGCTGCGAGGGTCGCGGATCCGGATGATCCTCTGAATGTCTTTACTTGTGCGAACAACGCACTGTTCTAGACATGGAATTCTAGCTTGCACGGTCGGTCGCATTCGGTTTTCGTATATATACAGTATATATACGGCACCTTCTAGAAGAGTGTCGGATGTTGCTCGGAAGCGAACCCGAAAGTCAACCTCCTCAAGTAATTTCCCTTCCCTGCTCTTCTGCTCTCCTCCTTCCCTCTTCCCCCTCTTCCTCCAATTTCTCTATCACTGCTACGGCAACCATCACGGCCTCCGGAGTTGATCAAGTCATCGCGCTATGGTATCGAACCGCTAATTTGCTCTACCACAAGAACCACGTCAAGCCCGAAATGGACCCCAACATTTCTCCGGCGGCGCCGGATGACATGCAAGAAGCTCCAATCTTCGATTTACCTCCGGAACTTGTCCATTCAATATTCGAACGACTCAAACAAGCTGATGTCCTGCAAGCCAGACTTGTGTGTCGTCTTTTCGCCCGCATTGGGCTTGATCACATGCTAGATACCGTCTCTATTGTCTACAAACGAGATCAATTCGAAAGACTGGGCAAGATCGCAGGCCATCCGATGGCCAAGAGCGTGCGCTCTTTCTGCTTCCAAGCTGATCGCTTTGAGCGACAGTTCTGGTCTTACGAGGATTGGAAAGGCGAATTACTAGTCAATCCGTATCGTCCCGCGGCTCGCAATGCCATTGCTATACCCTCAGATTGGGACATACTGAACTTGGCCGCTTCCGCGGCAAGACGACGAGCAATGCAGCACGCTGATCGTAAGTAAACCTCCGGTGCGTAAAGCAGCGCAAAAGACAAGATGTCAGCAAGAGTTCTATGTTGTCGTGATCTGCTTCCCATAGTTACTAATGTTCTGTAGTTCGTACCCAGCTAGGCATTTCCTCGGAAGAACGAGTACGGTAAGCGTACAGTGCATACATGGCGACTGTTCGAGACCAAGACAGGTTGCAAATTCTGAAGTGGACCTTTCGTTCCTCACCACGTTCTTCACTGGATGTGGCAAGCTTGATCATGTCACACTGGCCTTGTGCGAGGGCGCCGACGGCTTGATTGTACCCAACCCGAAACTGTTTGAAGACACCATCTTACGGCCCTATGGCGACTTCACCATCCTTGACCAGGGAGTGGATCAATTCTGGGTGGTCGCCGAGGCTCTACGGCAGTCTGGACGAGCTATCAAACACTTTACGGCTACGAACGTCTCACACCGTATTCTATCACCTGTGTGGCGCGAGGCGCCAACCGACAGCATAATCAAACACCTCATGACCGAGTTGCGAGAATTCCGGATCGAGTTCACATGTCGAGACGATGACGAGGATCAAGACCCGAAGGCAGAAGTGGACATACAGCTGCATCACGGCCAGGGTCTACTTGCGCACTGGTTGAGTTCAGGTCAAGACTTGCGTGTCATCAAGATTTGCACGTACGCTCCCAAACGTCACTATCCAGCGCCAGACCTGCAAAATGCGTTTGGCACAGAAACTTGGCCAAAGCTGCGTGAGCTCGGCCTGAGCGACTTCTCCACCACGGAGGATGATCTTGTGGATCTGCTCCTACGGCACGCAAAATCCCTTCGCAGGCTATCTTTGTCTGATATTGAGCTTCTTGACGGTTCATGGGAGTCTACATTCCGTCGCGTTGCTGGTCAATTAACGAAACTCAAGAAAGTCAGATTGCGCGGTCTGCTCCGTGATCCCGAAGGTGATCTTGTAATGAATGATCTGGATTTCGACGGCACTCGAATTGATGAATGGAGAGACAACATCGAGAACTGCTTACTCTACGGACGTGAAATGCCCGATCTCACTGAGGAGGCTAAGATGAATCTGAACGATCCGCTCGTTGAGGACGTGCCCGGGTACAGGAAGCCTGGACGACTGGATGATGAGGATGCTGGTTATACGACAGACGGTTCTGCAATATCCTACGGATCTGATGCCCTTGACGCGAGGATATGAGCAAGGCTCTGCTGCGACGTCTCAGGATCTCAGGGCCACATTGAGTTTACCTGCGTGCAGTCGAGCATTTTCTATCGACGCCGGGCCGCGGAACCAGACAGAAATATCACAAAGAGGGTAGTGCATGGGGTCACCTTATTGACGCCGCTGCCGTGTACTGGACACAGAACTCTGGTAGCATCACGTATTGGTCCACGTGCTGAGGTCAGAACGCACGATCTTCGCACATCACCGAAGTCGTACGACTGTCAGTGTTCCTGCCTCTGCATCTAGTATCGCACCACATCGATCACGATCTCGCCATCACGTCCAGATATCTGTCCATGCCCGCAAGGCACATGGCCAGACCTTACCAGCATATCTTCGCTGTAATTGACCGAATGCTCCTTGCCATCGATACATCCCTCATCGACTCTGCAGTGCAACTAATCCGCATCGATAATTATCTTTCCAAAGTGACTTGAGGAACTCACCTGTAAGCAATTGTCTTGGAAAAGTAGCTCCCGATGTATACCACGCTAATCAACATGTTTCTTCACCAGCAACGATCAGCAAGCATCAAGCCCACAAGCGGACCGATTGGGTGATCTGCTTGCTACCAAGAAACTACCACAATCATGGTCAAGTTGTCAGCTCGTCTGAGCAGCTCGGGCACCATGATCGCAGCTCTCTCTTTGCTCGTGGCATTCCCGCTCTCCGTATGCGTTCCCACTCACGACACCTGCTTGTTGGCGGCAGGAAAATCGGCAGCCAACAGTACCATTGTCAGTCGTGCCGATACCGACAAGACAGATGAATGGTTTCCTTTCCCACCCACAGCCTTTCAGCTTACCGACCCACAAATCGACCAGCTTTCTGCAACCGATAAGCAGAAAGGCAGGCTACGACGTGCGCAACAGGGTCTGAGGATGTACCGTCAGATGCAAGCCCAAACGCCGACTCCGCCTACGCGCTTCGTGCCTGGGTACCCCATGACTTCGAACACTTGGCTCAAGGCCCATGGTTGGGTTACCAGGGGCACAACAGAGGTTAATGATCTAGCTCGCAATGGTCTCAACCCTGCATTCCAGGGCTTGGGCATACGCACTGGCCTTGATGATTGGATCGAGAGCACCATCACTCACGAAAGGGAGACTGTAGATAAGGAGACTGGCCAGATCTACCCACCGACTAGAGGCACCTACCAAAGCCTGTTCAACTTCAAAGATGGTGTCATCGTGAGCCTCGTCGCTTTCAGTCCTGATGTTATGGCCCTCAAAGATGGGCACAGGGTTCCGGAAAAACAAATTGTACCGCTCAAGACGTTCTCGGATGTGGTATTCTTGAATTGGCGCGGTGTGATGTCCCATCACCAAGTGGACTACGACAAGTCACCGAAGATTCAGCATATCTTCCAGCATAACATTGCCGATCAAGGCACAATCCAGGTTTTGAAGTCTGTGACTGGGAAGAAGACTGCGGCAGAAGTTGGCAAGGTATGGCATCCATATGCAAATTTTGAGCATTGAATCATTGCTGACTCTATCTGACAATCTAGTGGCCTGGCATGATGTTCGAAACCTGTTCGGCAAAGGGTTTCGTTCTGCTCAACACCCCTGACATGTGGGGTCCGGCCTTGCTGTTGGCTCAGCACAAGCAAGGTGGACCACGAGTGATTGACCGTATGAATGTGTTTGATTGTGGCCTGACTGAAAGTGGAACGTGGTGTGTGTATATGCATGTGGGTTCTGGCTGAACAAGCGAGGTGGAGATATCTCCCAACTTGTGAAGGTGCATGGGGATGAGATCGTTTCAGGAATGCACATTGAAGCTGTATATTGTGCTTAGTCGGCGGCGACTGCACTCATTTGGGACACTTGCGGGATCAAAAGGTGGGAATAAAGGTAGTGTGGCAGGTTCTGGCGTCTGACCTGCGCACTTGAGATAGCTTGTCGACTTAGCTCGACGGCTGAGCTTGGGTTGGGACTTTTTGGGTGTTTTGGGGATAAAAGGAGGGCACACAGGCATGTTGCAGAACCTTCTGGTAATGTGCATCTACACAAATGATGGACGACAGTTTCCCATCAGCTCTTGCACTTTTCTCTATCTTCCTGACTTTACTGGCAGGGCCATTGTCGAGGGTGGCTGAACGACCGAGGGATTGTGTTCAGCTCGATGCTATGTGAATGCTGTGAACTTCTTGGGCACCTCAGTAGGTGAGTCAAATCATGTGCCTTACCAGCATTGATCTGGAATCTGGAAGTTTGAGTCCGATGAATCTTCACATGTGAAAGGGCTCGAGATCCTGTTGGTCTTGTGAGCATAGCCATGTAACAAATGTGACATCTTTATCATAAGACGACTTTCTTTCAGTCACCCAACGCCCTGAGCACGTGAAGCAGATGTAAGACATGACTTTGACCTGCGACGTCCGGCCTCCCTAAACCATTTCAACAACATTACCACTCATTCTTGCCTTCGACAAAGGCTAGCCAAGTCGATTGCATCGACACGACCACAGCATCGACGACATATCAACAGACAACGGCCATCAACCAAGATGGCGAAGTCTTCACACAACACCAATCAGGGGCGCATTGTGCTCTGGTGCGCTGTTCTGATATTGGCAGTATGGTTCATTCTCCAGGTTGGGTCAATTTCTCATCACCCCATTCACGAAATCGAATCTACTGGGCCTGCCCTCGACCTCCCTTTGGAACCTGAACTCGACATCGAACACGTCAATACCCAGGGTGACGACACTACGGCATGGCTATCTAGCCTCCTCGTCGAGCGCACTCCAGGCGACTCGGTTCCAGGATGGTACGACCTCTCAACGATAAACTTGCTGGACAACAATCAGCAGCTCAGCCCAAGAGGAAAACTTGTGAAAGAGGGACTTATCATGCGATGCATGATGATAGCACAGATCGGGGTTCCAGGATCAGACGAGCATGTGCCACAGAGCGATTTCGTAGTATTTCGAGATCTCTACGAAGAGTATGGCTGGGACCCTGACATGAGCCACAACAAAGTCCTTGGAGAGACCCCTTTCAATGTCGACACGAGCTGGTTCGATCAGATCGGGGTTAGCGCAGACCGTGCGCGATGGACGACTATGAGTAACTACCATGCCGGTAATGCGGAATGGGAAACGACGCAGGGCCAATATACGAATCACGTTAACCTTCAAGATGGAATGATTATTGCTGCAAGCAATTGGTCTCCGGCTTACATGGTGGAGAATGAAGATTTGGGTTTGACACCCGAACAGATCGTCCCGCTGCAGAGATGGAGCGATGTAGCGTGGTTGACATACAACCATTGGCTCGAGTTCAACATTCAGCAGGCCCGGCCAACAAAACTGCTGGAGCATGTTATTCGTTACCATATCAAAACTCCTGCAGTCAAGACTATGCTGCAAGACATCACTGGCACCGACGTGGAGCACGTAGGCACGGTAAGTTCAGGATTTGTCCCGATTCTAGAAGATCTTGCGCTAACTTTGTGCATCAGTGGCCAGGTCGGTCGTACCCAATTTTGACCTCTGAGGCTCTCGCAATCTTGGGATTACCTCATGGAAAAGGTGTCGGGTGGTTCCTCGCTCAGCACAAATTGAACCTGGGAGTCAGAACTGTCGATCGTATCAACGTCTTCAACTGCCCTAAGTTTCCTGATGGTGACGCGCAGTGGTGCATCTACATGCACATCGTTCCAGCTTAAGGGGGAATAGTGACATTCTGTCTTTGCTGGATTTCGGGCGGTCGAGCTGAGTGACTAGGTCACCAGAGTCGGCTCATGCGAACGATATCGTGTCATTTTCGAGCGTGTGCGCGTGTGCAATGGTCATCATGTCGAGCTTCTCAGATGATCTCGCCAGCGGCGCACTTATACTGCACTTTCCTCCATAAGTATTGATCACAAATATCCAAATCATTTGAATCTCCAACTACTCTTGAGACACCAATCAACACTGCAGCCATGGCACGACTGACCGTTCGAGCCCGCAAGACCAGAGCTACAACCCTGTTGCTTCTGGTAGCTTGCATTGTGATTCTGCTAATCGCCACTCACTCAAAGCATACCAGCGACGGTGATCTGGACCGACAACCATCACCATTTGACGCAACAAAGCAGCTCTCTAGCCGGCTCCTCCCTCGGGTTGACGACGAAGACGAAAAGTGGCTCGGGTTCCCGAAGGATGAACTGGCAACTCGGACAAGCTCTAGCCTCGGCGCAAAAGGCAAGCTCGCCAAAGAGGGCTGGGCCATGCTCTGTAGAATGAGGGATCCGCCTGGCTCTACAACGATACCAGCAACTCCATATACGGAGTACTCGGACTTGGAGAAGTATGGCTACGTCGACGAAATCACCCGTGATTCCTACTATCCAGCAGAAGAGGTCGAGGAAGAGCAACTCGCGGCACTTGGCCTCAGCGAAGGACCCAAAAATTGGAAAGAGTCTCATGTGAGGCAGATTGATTCTACACCTCAGTATCCTGCAACGGGCGCGACGTATCAGAATGTGCTGAATGTGAAAGAGGGCGCGATCGTTGCCGTCGACAATGACGGCCCAGATTGGTTCAACAAAGAGCACGGCTTGGGCTTGAAACCAGAACAGATCGTACCTCTCAAGCACTGGAGTGATATAATATGGTTGGCATATGATCATCAAGCCAAGAGGGCTCGGAACGCGAACGCCGCGCCACTAGAGCATGTGATCAGACACCAGGTCGAGACGCCCGAGGTCCAACGCCAGTTGCAATTAATTACGGGAAAGGCCCATCCTGACGAGCTCGGTGCAGTATGCCTGATCCATTCTACGATGACTTGCTAAAATGAGCCTCATGCTGATGACGTACACAGTTTCCTGGAGTGTCGTATGCCGTCGATTCCGCTCAAGGTATGGCAGTGTTGGGGACGATCCATGGCAAAGGCGTGGCATGGCTTCTCGCCCAGCATAAGGACAGCCTAGGATGGAGAGCGATTGATCGTGTCCATGTCTATAATTGCCATCCACATCAGCTTCCTTTGTGGTGTGTCTATCTTCACATCAGCGAGGTCAGGAGGTAGAGCGGAAAGTCTGCGGTGTTGTGCAGTGTGTGCGATACAGCCTGCTCGAATGGCACAGGAGTCTGACTGCATTGGCTGATTCTGTTGGGCTCTTCTTGTTGCATTGAGCATGTGCGATTGGTTGTGGCATTCGGGCAAGGAATTGAGTTGGTGTCCAGGATGAGTTTTCCTTTTCATGATCGTGCCGTAGAGTCGGCCATGGTACTGGCTTCAGAATGGCAAGATGACTCGATAAGGCTGAACAGTTCTTCTCGGTGGTGGATATTTGCTGCAAGCTTGTTAGAATCCTCTCATGAATAACAGCTGCGGAGATCTCACAAAAGTTTCACTTTACACGAGAGTGATCTGCATCCAGCTTCCCAACTTGTCTTGCTCAAAGGATTCCACCCAAGACGCCTGCACCAGGCTGAGCCAACACCTGCCAAGAAGTGCAAAGATGTTATGACGATGAATAGCAAGGCAGTGCTGTACATAGCCGCTGGAACAGCTGCAGTACAGGAAACAACCAGAGCATACGTATACAGATCCGTTCGCTCGCAAAAGCTTCAGATTCATACCGCAATCGGAATCACTTACGATGTCCTCGGCTACAGAAGGCAAGCCACTCGCTGACAACAGCACACCCAAGCAAGACTCCAAGCTCGAGAAAGCGAAACATGGAATCTCTTATGGAATTTATTCAATATTCAAGTAAGCCAGTATCTTGTTGGCTGCATTCGACGCTTCGCTGACCCGAGTGTCGCGGTAAAGTGGCTTCGGTGGGATATATGCCTCACCGCCCGAAATGAGCGAGAAGAATAAGCAAAATGCAATAGAGAAGATTAAGAGGAAGGAGAAGGAGCGGGCGGAGAAGAAAGCTCGGAAGGAGGAGGCGAAGGAGGCGAAGAGGGCAGGTGGGAGTGGAGATGAGGTAATTAGGTGAAGCTAGTTTTCATGGATACAATAATTTCAATAAGACTTCTTGTGGCGGAGTGGCACTCTTCTTAACCACAAGATTGTTGTTCTTGTCCGTATGCAAAATGAGAGGTCGTCAGAGCAGAGCCAAGCATGGAAGTGGGGGAAATTTGTTCACCTCGCCCAAAAAAAAATCAACTTGCGCAGCTTGCTTAACGCTCTTCGACGAAGACTGTTACCTGCACTGGGGATCGAACCCAGGACCTTGTCCGTGTGAAGGACACGTCATACCACTAGACCATACGGGCGAATGTGGAAAGCTGCAAAATGTGTTGCAATATGATCGCTCAATAATTGCTTGGTACGCCTGCTACTCTCGCAGGGGCTCCAAAATGCTTCCAACGACGACAGAAACTATCCCACGACACTGCAGCAACATCATCCGTACTGAGTAGGCTGATCTTGAAGTGGATTTTGGTCTAAGGTGATATTCTTCCGCTTTGTGATGAGCGCAGCGACCGATGAGCCAGGGAGCATCGATGCACAACTTGTCAGTGGCCCGACCCATTGCAATGGTATGATCGAAAATACAAAACAGTCGAAGCAACATGTTTATGACCGCCATGTAGCAGACGGGCTTCCTCAAAACAGCGACAGAATACAGTCCTCGAATGCGTACAGGCTCTTGTGTAACTAGATTTCACTCAACTAGAAATGAATCAGGCCCCGGACTACCCGTATGAGTCTAGATAAAGGGATCTTCAGCATCGTCGCATCACTGGGTCACACCGGACACCTTGGCTGCATACCTCGCTCGAGCTTGGACCATCGACTTGTGCTTCAATCTTGACGGGCACATTATAAACCACCTTGAGTCTCATTCGCCCAGCCTGCTTCGAACGGTCACCTGTAGGAACCTGTTAGGAATCTTGAATACTGGCGAAATGCCGAACTGCTTACTTTCCGCAAGTGGTTCCGCAAGGCGTTCCTGTCCAAGCTGCGCCAGCTTGAGCACATCCATCCGCATCATCGGTAGATGCGCATCCTCCATCTGGATCCGGTAGAACACAGCATCCCACCGCATTGACCGTCGCAGCCGCTAAGACAGTCGCAAGGAGAATGGTAAGGTATTGACGAAGCATCTTGGGCAGGGGTTGAAATTGGATGTATTCTTTCGTAGATGTTGTATGTGTCTGTTAGACCTTTTGAGCGAGAGGTAATAAATGTAACTATGAAGATGCGTTAGAGCTTGGCATATATAGACAGGCGCGCTTCCATCTTAGTTCCTCCGTTTCTTCCGTGTATAGACCGAAAGTCCGACGCTATGTTACGGCTCTCGTTGTATTTGGATTGGTGGCGAAACGGCTTCGAAGAAGTGCTTACAGCATGAGCTCAGATCGACTAACTACAAGTCGACGGAGGTAACGGATCAGAGTGTTGCCGACACAAGTAAGTGGTAGTGTGAAGCTCGTATCATTTGGCTACGCGTCTTGCCTTAGTGCTGTCTAGGTTTGCACACTGCCACTCGCATTGAACAACGTCTCCGGATCCAACTTTTCGAATAGCGAATAGTGGAAACACACTTTGAGCGTCGTATGTCTGGCTTGCTTGAAGGTCACCTGTACACATAGAGTTTGATTTCTGATTATTCAAATCAAAACCCTCCAAATCAAAATCAAATCAAAACCGCAGCTGAATAATCATAATCAAATCAAAATAATCAGTAGTCAAAGGCGTCGGCGACGACGTGCAACTAATTTTGCGTAACGGCCTAAGGTAAAGGCTTGTAATAGTAGTAAGTAAGGCGACAAGAGCGAGTCCAATAATATCGACGACAGCAGCGACGATAGCGGAGGCAGTAGAGGCAGAGAGAGGCTGCAGAGGCAGAGGCAGAGACAGAAACAGAGGCAGAACTACAAGGCAGAGACTAGAATCCGAGCCTTAGGCAGCATATAAAGTGGGTCTATAGCTGATCCGAGCAGGGGCTTTTGATTACTTGATTTGGCCTGACTAGCCTGATTATTCAAAAACCTCGAAATCAAAATCAAATCAACTCTGATTATGATTTGATCATGATTATTGTAATCAGAAATCAAACTCTATGCCTGTACAGCCTGTCAAATCTTGAGTGCCAGCAAAATGCCGAATTGCTCACCTTTCAGCATTGGGGAGTGCAATCAGCTTCCGAATAGGACCCGCCAGCGCTGGCACAATCAGCTGGAGAAGAATTTCCGCATCCGTCTGGTAGTCTGCAGCAGCCTGCATTGACCATTGTAGCCGCGACGATGGTCGCAAGTAAAATGCTGAGATATTGACGAAGCATGCTGAGGAATTGTTGAAGTGGACAACTTGTCTTGATTGTTGTATGCGTTTGGTAAGGTGCGTGAGCGAAGATCAATCCATTCCACTGAGGAGGAGTTCGAGCTTCAGATATATAGACAAGCGACCTCATTCTTCGTTGCTCCATGAAGTTCCGCTTTAACATCGATGAGCTAGGGCCATGTTAGGGCTTCCTCTTGGATACTACAGCTACCACACCAGCCAGACCCGATCGGTACAATGCACCAACCTAGACCGTTTGAGGGTACTGTTTGATCGCCAGAACCAGCACTCTCCAAGAGCTTGGGCGGGATACAGTGTGAGACTCAATGGAGATGCACGTCAACAGGATGCGACAGATTATCGATCAACCCTGCGGTGGTGACTGCACAGTGGTCACTCGTCCAGCTTGCTTCAAGGCCACCTGTAAAGCCTGTTAAATACCGAGTGCTAGCATATGCCGGTCTACTCACCTCTAGCATGCTGGAAACGCGCAATCCGATGACCTCCAAGTCCCGCCAGCTTTGAGACAAAGGTCCTCTTCTGTATTTCCGCATCCTTCACCTGGTGTGATGCAGCACCCTGCATTGACCATCGCGGCGGCAACGATAGTCGCAAGTAAGATACTAAAATACTGGCGAAGCATCTTCGGAGTGGTCGGAGTGGAAAATGTTATTTGGTGTTGTATGCGTTGGAAATTCTGAGCGTAGGTGACAAATAAGTCAGAGGGCGGAAAGATGAGCTAGAGGTGAGAATATATAGACAACTTTCTCGCTCGGTGTTTTCCACGCCAGAGTGGTACGACAGATTATTGATCGAGCCTGCGACGATGACTGTTGAAAGTACAGTAATGTCTTTCCAGCTAGTTTCACCTAGTTGAAAATTGACCGGGTAAGTGGGGATGCCATTCCTAGCTCGGCATAGCTACATGTTCGTCGTTTGATTCGTACTGTATTTGAGACGGAAGCTACATACACGGTCAGCACACTTTCCGATAAGAGCCGCCATCGAGGAATCGGGCAAGACATCACGCATGCGATGGTCGGAAAGTCCTGGGGTCCGGTGAACTTTGCGTCTTCCAACGTTGTCATTCTACCTTGGCAGCAAGTTTGCCAATCGATTTGGTGTACAGTCACTTCGTGCTTGAGTATGCGTCTAATGTTCTGCAGTAGATCGTCAGTAACCTGAAGCGAAAGTACCTGCTCGTAGAAATGAGGGAGACTGCAATGTCGTGAAATCTTGTTGTACATATGTACACTCAGAGAGTGCTCGCACACTTAGTAGCGGCTTTTTTGCCATCTTGACTTCTCTGCCTCTAATACAACCGCCTGTAGATGCACTCTTAATCCAGTCTAAGGCTTTTGCGTGGTTCCAGTATGCCTGTCCGCCCTCTCGTGGCCCACCCATTGACCTGCTGGCGGCTTCTCCTCGAGGTCCTCCCACACCTTGTTGTCCAATAAGACCTGCGCAAGCTCTCTCTCGCCCTCTGCAACCTGGATAACCTCTTCTACCAAACCCGCGCCGATCTGCTGCTCGATCTCGCCGATTTGGCTAGCAGTAAGCGGCGGCTCAGGCTCGATTTCCGGAATGCTGGTGTGGTGTCCGATTTGATCGTATGATAATTGCTTGCCCTGGCTCTCACGCTCCGAAAGTGTTCGTGGTCCTTCCAATGGTGCTCTACCCTTGTATTCCAAATTGTCCTCCGGATCTGATTGTCCCAAGTATGCGCCAGCTTTCCAGATGATGTTGACCGCCTTCTCGCCATCGCTCGTTGTCACTGGGATGGTCTTGAATGCGCTAGAGTTGGCCTCCACGACCGGCATCACGCGTTGCTGCCATTCCTTGAGTCCTTGCGGCTTGACAGATTCGACTATTCGCATGCGGTGTTTTGTCAAGGCCTCGGTTGACTGTCGGTAGACGCTGTGCTCGGGAAATTGCTTCAGCTTTTCCAACGTGTCATTGTAGAGGTAGAGCAGTGTTGTTCGTGGGGAGGCGTGTGTGAGCAGTCCCGTGAGGCCGGTAGGAGCGCCAGCTTCGAGATACTGCGAGCCGCTCCTTTGCACAGTCGCAAGGAGGCGGAATGCGGGCCGCATGGTGGAGGATGGGCGGTGGCGCTGGTGGTGCGATGGGAGGGTGCTGGCGGAGTGGAGGCCAAACAGAGTCGATGAGGTAGCAGCTCTGGCATCTCGACGAACGCATTGACAGTCTTGGCGCCAAAGCGGAAAACAAGAACTATTATTGGCTGCGATCAACGTGCTCACTCGCGGCAGGGGCGACATGAAGCCGCGTGGAGCATCTTCACATGCACACGCCCTCTGCGACTGCCACTTCCAGACTTCCAGACACTCGCTACTGCCTGCTATACCATCAATCACACAGCGCCGCGACTTCCTTTCTTGCCACTGACTCTTTCACGCGGCGGGCCCACTTCCGAAGACACGTTCGACTTGCGAAACGGGAATACTTAAGCTCCACGAATCCCCAACCAATTTGCTGCCTCGACCTGTTTTGCACGAACATCACATCGGCCACACCCTGGGCGTGAGGCCCATTCTTCCTCACCATGCGCGCTTCTAGTCTGTTATCGTGGGCGGCGACCGCACTCCTGGCGGCGAATCCGGCCTCAGCGGGGCTGTTTAGTAATGAGAATAACAACGTGGGCGGATTGATCAAGAAGGACGAGGATGGGACACCCAAAGAGACGATATTCAATGGCAAGACTGTGCCGCCGATGACTGAGCTGGAAGGCGATAAGATCGACGATACGGTCAAGGACGGCTACTGGATGGTCGAGTACTTTAGCCCGTACTGCCACCACTGCAAAGCATTTGCTCCAATCCTGCAGACGCTATACGAGTTCTACTACACATCAGACCCTGTCCCGCAAACCTCTGGATCGGGAGAGTCACACGACGATCTGAACAGCTTTACGAGATATTACAACTTCAAATTGGCCAAGGTGGACTGCGTTGCATTTGGAGATGCTTGCGTGAGCCACGACATTCAATCTTTTCCTACTGTGGTTTTGTACAAGGATGGTAAGGTGGTCGAGAAGAAGACTGGGCAAAAAGATCTTGCTACAATGAGCAAGTGGGTCGAGGAGATTCTGGAAACGATCAAGCCCGGCAGCAGACCGCAGGGCGGCCCAAAGCTGCCTAAAGTGGGCGCGAAAGAAGCGCCTCCACAGCCCGCAATGGTAGCAATGGCTGCCAAGGATGGCGATGACAAGGTTGCAGCTGGCAAGGCGAAGACGACATTAACTGGCACTCGAGTATCCGAGCACATCAAACAGACTCCAAACCCCGCTGGCAAGAGCGTGGCCTTGACTGCCGACAACTTCCAGCGGATGGTCACGACCACTCTCGATCCATGGTTTATCAAGTTCTACGCCCCCTGGTGTCATCACTGCCAGGCAATGGCTCCAAGCTGGCAAGGCATGGCGAAGCAGATGGAAGGCAGACTCAATGTGGGCGAGGTCAACTGCGAGGCTGAGAAGCGACTGTGCAAGGACGTCAAAGTTCGAGGGTACCCTACGATCATGTTCTTCCGTGGTGGCGAAAGGATTGAATACGAAGGACTACGAGGCCTGGGTGATCTTCTCAACTTTGCCAATAAAGCGGTGGGTCTTACAGATGGCATTAAAGATGTGACCGCGGTCGAATTCGAGGAGATGGAGACTAAGGAAGAGGTCATCTTCCTGTACTTCCACGATGATGCCACCACGAGCGAAGACTTTGCGGCACTGGATCGCCTAACCTTGAGCCTGATCGGACACGCAAAGCTGGTCAAGACTCACGATCCAGCCCTTGAGGAGCGCTTCCGCATCTCGACCTGGCCACGGCTTCTCGTATCTCGCGACGGAAAGCCAACGTATTACAATGCCCTATCCCCACGCGATATGCGCGATTTCCGCCGCGTCCTCAACTGGATGCAGACTGTCTGGCTGCCGATTGTCCCTGAACTTACCGCATCCAATGCCAGAGAGATTATGAACCACCGTCTGGTCGTCCTCGGCATTCTATCTCGCGATCGTCCAGAGAGCTTCGCTCAATCGAAACGCGAAATCAAGAACGCCGCTCTCGAATGGATCGACAAACAGACACAAGCCTTCCAGCTCGAACGCCAAGAACTTCGTGATGCTAAACAGCTCCGTATTGAAGAGGCCGAGGATCGCAACGATCAAAGAGCTCTGCGCGCCGCCAAGCAGATCCGCATCAACATGGACGATATCGAACGCAAAGAAGTTGGGTTCGCCTGGGTAGATGGTGTCTTCTGGGAGCGATGGATCCGCACCACATACGGCATCAGCGTCGCAGACGGAGAAAAGGTCATCATCAACGATGAAGACAACCACCGATACTGGGACGTCACAATGACGGGTAATCCAATCGTCCCTTCAAGAACAAGCATCCTCGAGACACTACCCCGCATCGTAGCCAATCCACCAAAGATCTCCCCGAAGTCGACGACGAACGCCATCGGACACGTTTGGTGGGTCATCAAGGGCAATGTCGGCAGACATCCTTTCGTCTCAATAGGACTCCTCATCGGTGTCCTTATCGTCGGTGCGCTTTACGGAAGGAAACACCTCCCTGGGAGAGGAGGCTACATCCGACTCGACGAGAAAGGAGGCCATATGAACGGTCTGTTGGGCGGCAACAGTGGAGGCGGAAAGACGGATTGAGAGCTTCGGAAAAGTCAAGTCTCTTTGTACGAATAAGGTATGCGTGGGCGTGAAAGCATGGCGTTTACGAGGTGTTGCCTGGCGTGGTGGAGCAGTGTTGACTCTGGATGTGAAAATCTTCACCTTGTGGATGAGATATGATTGAGATTATTCCCTTTGACTTTTTCTACTCTTTCCTACTGGAAGTAATCAAGATTCCCTTATTTTTGTTCAATTTTCTGGCTTCACTTAATTGTGCAGACATCGTTGTTGTGTTTTGAGGACATCAAAGGCATGGAGGACACTTCCCGGATCGCGCTGCGGCCGTTTTTGTGTTTATTGCAGAGAGGTCCCTCGACTCGCGGGAAGTTGGTAGTCTTTCATACTATACAATCTTGCGATCGAGACAAGCTGACGCTAATCGTCATGATCCATCCTCCAGGTTCAGCCTCGCCATATCATACAGCTCGTCCATTTTCGCGAAGAGACGCACGCCTCGTCTCAGATGCATCTATCCACAAACCAATTTCGCAGCCTCCGCCTCGCTCGACTCGGATCTCTCCATCCACTCATGAACCCAAGCCCCTACTCTCACACTCTCCCAAGAAAACCATCATTCTCCAGACCTTCCTCATCATAACCTCAGCCTCGTTCTCCAACGCACCCTCCAAATCCTCCTTGATCGCCAACGCGGCCCTCTTCTCCCGAATACCATCAATAACAGTATCCACGATCAGATCCTCTTGCACACCAAGATATTCCACAACCTTCTTCTCCACAAACGGCCGAATCTGCGCGTCAATGAGAGAAGGCGTGAGCGATTCCCACTTGATGGGATGTGCAAACAGTTCGTTTGTATCGGTGGGGATTTCGGCTGCGAGCTGTTTTTGCGCTGCGGCGCGTTCTTCGTCTGTGAGGTCTTGGCCGTGCATTGGGACCGTGCTAGTGTCCTGGAGTGGCTTGAGATCGAGACGTTTGGCGCCTGCTGCGGCGGCGTCTTCTTCGTCTTCGAGAAGGCCTTCGACATCGGCCATGGGTTTGCGGGGAGCAGCGGCTGCGGCTGGTTGGCGAGCGCGAGCTCCGCCGAGGGAGATCTTGAAACCCGCGGGAGCTGCTGCTGCGGGAGTGGGTTGGTCGGGTCGTGTGTCCATCTTGTCGCCGAGCTGGTCGAGGAAGTCGTCGGCTTCGTTGTTGGCACGACGCTCTTCGGCTTGCTCGCGCTCTTCAGCTCTGCGGTCCGCTTCGTCTTCTCTTCGTTCGAATTCCCGTGCACGTTCTCGCTCACGTAGCCAGACAGAACGGTCCTTGTAGTAGAGTTCTCTTCCCTTAGTAGCCTCTTCATCGTCGTTCCAGTTGGCCAGCTTGTTGAGCATATCCTCTTTCGCTCTCTCCAAGTTACGTCGCTCGGCCTCTTCGCGATTCTTCTCTCTTTCCTGAGCCATGCCACGTGTGCGTTCTCGCTTTTGCCATCTCTCGACTTGATCCTTGAACTCATTTGTGAGCTCTGCATTACGTCGCTCTTCCCGCCGGCGCTCGAGCTCTGTATCAGACTCCTCTGCATCTTCGTCTTCACGGTTCAGCTCCACTCGTGCAGGTCGGCCATAACGACCAGCTCCGGGAACAAAAACCACCCCATTCACATAGTCGCTTGGTAGCTGTGCACCGCGATATCCTTTTGGCCCCGCGGGAGCGCCTTGCACACCTTGCTGGCCTCGAGGTCCTGCGGGAATGCCGTTTGCACCGCCTGGGCCTGCTGGAGCGCCGTTCGGAGGAGGTGATGCCAATCGGTTGACACGAGGAGCACCACCGTTGCGTTGCCGCTCCTCACGCTCAAGTTCTTCCTCTCGACGCAGACGTTCGACATCGCGTCGATTGGATCGATCGCGGAAAGCTTTGATCTCTTCCGCGACAGTAGCTCTCTGTTCGGCAGGAATATCTGCAAGCTCTTCGTCCAAGTTACTGGCATTTATCGTAATGAGTTCGACTCCGTCGTCCTTAGCCCCAGATCCATCTCCCATTGCAGCATCGCCTTCGACGTCACCGTTCGCGCCATTGATGCCATTCGCTCCATGAGCAGCGTCGTTCGAAAGACTTGCGAGGAATGATCGCAGCTCATCCTTGGCACTGTCCAAGCGGAACTGTCGACTGTTCTCGTCTTCCTTTCGCTTGCTTGTCCATGTCTCGATGTATTTTTGACTCTCCTCGTCCACAACTACCAAAAGCTTCATCTTCTTCACTTCGCCCTCGTCGTCCTTTTGCACAGAGCCGTCTGCATTGAACATGGGTACTTCCAAGTCGCGGAAGATCTCAAAGGCAGCCTCCAGACTGTCGACATCCTCGAATTCTGCGAAGCCGAATTTGCACCTGTTGTCATCTGCGTCTCTTGCGCGAGTCCATCGTCTTAGTTTGCCTGCACAACGCAGAATGGAGGCCAGATTGTCGTCGCTCGGTGCTTCCTTGCCCAGTCCTCCCACAAAGATGGTGCGCGCTACTTCTTCTCTGGTAGGAGGGTTGAGCGCCTGCATGTTCTCACGCAGCTTTTCTCGATCTCGGTCCAGATTGCGCGAATCCATGCCACCTGCTCCTAGACCTGCTCTGCCTCTGTTTCCAAGCGGTTCTGCGTTGCCGCCTCGTGGTCCTCGATCACCTCGATCGCCGCGATTACCACCTTGCCCGTCTGACCGCGCGCCGTCCACGCCCAAGCGGATGACTGGTGCATTGAAGTTGATGTTGGGCATATTTGGCGGAGGTTGGAATTGACTCTGGTATCCAGCAGGTGATTGCGCCATGCCCGGCGGAGCATCGAAAGCTGGCGGTGCTCCCATTCCTGGGGCGCCATATCCTCCGCCGCCATAGGAAGGCTGGCGCGCGCCGTAGCCTGGTGGGCCATACGGGTTGGCCATTCTGTTCGTCTTGGTCGCTAAGATACCGTCTCGGTGTGATAGGACCGCGACGTCCAACGAGCACAATTGCGCAGCTGCAGCACAGAGCAGTCGAGTGGGTGGCAGTTCAAGTGAAGAAGTGGATGCACGAAGCTGTGATGCTTGGCGGGATCAGCATCCCTGCTGCTTTCGATGCGGAGACACTCGTCTCCTCCGCCGCTAGACACTGAGACATTGACACGACCGCATTCAACTCGACGCCGCCATCATCGAACGCTCCGTCACGCAGGCAATGGCTCCATCACGAGCGGCAGACGCAGTGCTGCGTCTCGCTGCAGCATGTCGACTCCCGCAGATAGCCCGCTCAGCCATTCCCACCACCACCTTCTCTTGCAGCCATCGCGCCCTCACCACAACTCCACGCCGACGAGAGGAGCGACGAGATCAGCCAGCAAATTCCAGCATCAGCGACGACATCTCCTCCCTGCTCGATACGACGCTCGATTTCGACAAGGGCACTCCGGCTGCAACTTCCAAACGGCCTTCACATTTAAAATCTCGCAACGCACAGCAAAATGCAGGCTCTCAAGGCGTTGCGAACGAGCTGCAGCGAGCTCGATCAAGCACGGAAGATAGCGTGTCCAAGCTTCTGGAGACCATGGTCAACAATAGCAGTTTAGGGGACCGCCGAACGCGCAGAGGCTCCTCCTACTCCTCCACCGATGTTGCTGGAGCTTTTAGTGGGCACGGCGGCGCCCCGCCTCTACTTGATGGAAAAGAATCTGCGCCAATAGTCCTACCACCGAATGTTGGTCGATTAGTCGAAGTGGATGAGAAACGCAATATGGATGTCGGTCGAGCTTTCCGGACTATGGAGATTTTATGCAACAAAAACAAGGTCAAGCGCACTTTTGCTCAGCAGCGCTTCCACGAACGACCGGGGCTAAAGAGAAAGCGGCTGAAGAATGAGCGGTGGATCAGGCGGTTCAGGGAAAATTTCAGAGGCACTGTTCAACTTGTTCAGAAGATGAAGAAGCAAGGGTGGTGATCATCGCGAAGTGTGAGCGGTGGTGTTCAGCAGCAGGAGCGCAAAAACGGCATCATGTGACGCGCTGCACACCACGAAACAGTAGTGCGTTTGTGAAATTACCGGTTGCTGGCGAACATGCAGGGAAGCTAGGCTCCGCAAAATGTTGCGACCCATGAAAGTCGGTGCGTCCACGAGACCCTATTGGAGTGGGACATCGTCTGTATATGTCTTGGGAACCACTCGACTGCCGGTTTCACCACTCGCTCCGCATGGCTGAACGAATGAGCGCCAGGCTTCACTTTAGCTTCCGGACTTGGTGAGGATCGTCGGCGACATAGAGCCTCAAATGTCCTCAGTTCCAGCTCAGCAGTAAAGGTTTCCTGACACAACAGCGAATCGTAAGCCACGACGGGCTCCAAGCCCTCTCTCCGGACCCCGAAGTTTAGCTTTCTTAGCACTCAAGGCAGGGGCCACTGCTGCAGCAGGGATATATTTCGACAGGGCAATGATGTAGACATAGAAGAAACTCGTCTGTACATATAATTGCTGACTGCCTGTATAGCGTGCAGTCACCGAATACCATTGCAAGCAAGCAGCATTCCATCAAACTTCAACAGAACCATGGCTACCTCTTACCAGCAGGACAACTGTACCACTGGGCGTCAGTCTGGCGCTGAGGACCACGCGGCTCATCCCGGCACACCAGTCGAAAATGTATGCTGGCGATACGAGTGGACGACTTCAGAGTGTGAGGCCGCGGACTGCCTCATCGACGAATTGAGAATTTTCAGCTGCCAAAATGCCACGATATCCGAAGACTACAAACACTACATTACCGCACAAGACCTGCCCTGCCAAATTCAGTCTCTCGAGCGAACGCGAAAAATAGTCCACCCCACTGAAAGATACGCCGCCAGTCGACAAGCAAGCACAACCACGTCTGCATCTACCAGCTGCGACAGCCTAGCACTCAGCTCAAGACCGGATACCCCGGAACAGTACGACTTCTTCCACGACTACGAGCGCGACTGGGACACACGTTCAATCACTGATTGTGGAACAGCCAGCATTCCACCCCAAGAACTTGATACAAAGCCCGTGCGGAAAACCGATTCTGGGTACTGGTCATATCAGGAGACCGAAAACATCATGTCTGAGACTCTCTCGATTAGTAGCAGCTACGACAGCGGCAAGGCCATGGACGCAGAACCAGTTTGCTGCAGACCGCTACAAGCCCGCAACAGCCTCGATCTCGATCGCAACGGCATCTGCCTGTGCAATTCCAAGCGCACGACCACCCCACGATCGGGCCCTTCTCTATCATACAGCAACAAGAGCTTCGAAGTGGTCGAAGAGCGTCTCGACTGGTACCTGGTGCATCGCAACAGCCTCGATCTCGCCCAACCATGTGGTGCCAGAAAGTCTCCGGCAGCGAAGAAGAGCCGTGGCCTCAAGGAAAGATGGGCTGCTCTGCGAGCGGCTCTTTCTCGGAAGTGAAAGGTTAAACGCGGCAGCGTGATGAAGATGACTGCAGTAATTCGAGCATAGCTGAGCGGTTGTGCCACTTTCGGCGCTGATGTCACCCCCAGAATCACAGAATGGCGGATTACCGTGTTTGATGATACCCTTTTGGATGGATGCTATTTTGATAGCCGTAGCGTAGCGAGTTTAGCTCTGCTGTACATTGCTATGATACGAATTTTGAGACAACGACGTGAAGTTCAACTTGCCTCAGCGATACCACACTAGTTTGATTCGCACTCCACTCGTTTATGCAAGTTTTGGTCTCAGTTGTGAACGGTGCAACCGTGCGCCGCGCTGGTATGCGAGCTGTCGTGTCATCTGTGTACTACTGTAACTTGACCTCACCTCTTCTTTCATGATGCAATTTCTCGCATCTCTTTCTTACTTGGGAGGTGCTGTCCTGCCGAATATTCGGTTCTCGCGCCTTTTGAAACACACATGACGACAGATAAGCGCGTCGCGGTAGAAATTTGTGTGAAATGCGGTTGTTTTGGGTGCCAAGAAGGGGTATCCCAGACTTTTGTTGAACACCACCTCACCACGTGGAAGGGGGTTGTCAGCAGTGTTGGCCATTCGTCATGCTGAGAGGGAGAGGGTTGTGACGTTGTATGTAGTTGTACATGAGCGAACTTCATGATTGTATTTCATGTGAATACGATCCTCCTCGGTGATGTTCATATATTTTGAACGAGGAGGCCTATCAAGATTCATTGCGCCATTGTCTTGGCGGGACAACCTGAAGATTCGTGACGAGAGGGTCGTCCCGCGGAGTTTGCCATTGCACTCATCTCTCCTGGACACGATAAGTTCCTCTTCAAGTTATCCGATTGCTGACATCGAGTCCAGGCAGTCCTTGTTCCATAGATCCATCTGAGATCATAGAGAAGTAGGGATCTTTTGCACTACCGGAAACGGTCTCGGAACCAAGTTCGAGGGATGAGCGGAGGGTGCGGCCGCAGTGATGACATCAAATCGAACAACGACCCCAGATCACAAATTCAGCCAGGTCCCGATATAGCCGAATATCACCACCTCCAAGTCTGAATACGAACATGCTGTGGAAAGGCGTTGTTGAAGGAAGAGGCACAGCTGGAAGCCTGGAACCGATGAGGAGCAAGAGCGGAAGACTCCGTGATGATCGATGGACTTGCCAGTTCGCGGCTCCCGCCACACAGCACCACACTTCCACTCCAAGCCAAGAACTGCCTAGTGGGCCTCGTAAGTGTAACTCTACGCTAGTTTCCAGCTTCCTCGTCGACTTCATCTTTGCAATCTCTGTTTTGTCTTTTGTTACTGCCCGTTTCACATGGATAAGGTACCGAATGTACTGACAGCAGAAACCATGGAGCCTACGGGCGCAAAATTATTCTCATGGAAGCGACTGAGTTATTTCCTCTCGGTGCTCGTTGTGGCGCAATGCTTTCTTCTCTATAACAGCATTGCCAGGAGCGATTCCTCGGCTGAGAAGTGGGACACCTCAGCTCCGGTTCAGACGACACAAGCCGAAAGCAACACAGCCCTATCACCTGCGACATTGCCGCATTTCGAGTGGAAGGATGAGAAGAGTCCAGCTGAGCAACACTTCGATGATGGATATCGAGATGCGTTGTCGGTGGAGCAATGCGACATCGCGTTCCCCGATCTCTACTACGAGATTGACCGCGCGACAAAATATTTCCGCGACCTTAAACACAAAATCACCCCAGAGGACACTTGGGACAATCCGATGGGGTCTATCCGATTTCTGATACACCGCAATGAGCTCCGCATCATCAACTCAACGAAAGCCTACATGCAGATGGGCGGAGCAGAGCGTGCCCACGCTCTGACAAACATGCTGCATCGCGCTGTCGAAAGTGCAACCGCAGGCGGCGAAATGCTACCGACTGTGGAGTTTACTGTCAGTCTGCCGGACTTCCTCGACCTCCCAACAGACTCGGACACAACTACGACATGGGCCTGGACTCGCGTGAAAAAGGAGAACGCCGACGAGAACCGACGAAAATTTGGCGAGCGCCTGTTCCTCATGCCCAATTTCGACATGTACTCACTCGGGGACCGCAAAGTGGGGGCATACCATGACGCGCGATTTCGCGCTTCACAATATGATTCGCCTCTCGAAGATAAGATTCCGCAGGCGGTCTGGCGCGGCTCAAGATGGGTGAATCCGGAGATTCGTGATGCATTACTGAATATCACGCGCAATGCGACATGGGCTGCGGTTGAACAGATCGATTGGATGTCTCTCACCCATGAACATCAACTCACTGTTGATCAGTTCTGCGCTTACCGATATGCCATCCACACCGAAGGTATCTCGTACTCTGGCCGCTTGAGCTTCCTCTTGAATTGCGATAGCCTGCCCATTGTCCACGATCTCGTATGGACGACACATTACTACCACCTTCTCGTCCCCAGCGGTCCAAAGCAGAATTATATTCCGGCGAAACGAGACTGGAGCGACTTGGAAGAGAAGGTCCAATACTACATCGACCACCCGGACGAAGCAGACTTGATCCGAAAGAACTCCATAAACACCTTCCGAGGGAAATACCTCACCCGCGCCGCAACGAGTTGCTACTTCCGAAAACTCATCCGCGAATACGCAAAGATCAGTTTCACACCCGAAGTACACGATAAATGGCCCGTGAGAGAAGGAGACGGGAGTGGTGCAGAGGAGAAGGCTGTCGCGCAGAAATTGAAAGAGGAACAGGACGCGAAAGCCAAAGCTAATGCTGATGCGATGAAAGCTGCTTTGGCTGCGGCTGCAGGAAACAGTACGGCGAATGGGACTGTGACTGTGACTGTTACCGTTACTGCTGGAAGTGAGGAGACTCCTGCTCCTTGCTCCAGCTGTTACCATGGTTGGAGCACCCGCTGGTCCGAACACCGATCACGAGGAATCACTTCCAGTGATGAACATCGATCCGAAAATCATCAATGATGGTGTTAATCATCGGATGCGTAGGGTACCAAGAAGCGAGTTTGTACGACGAGAGGAGCACAAGAGAGACGGCATTACATCTGCTGCTAAGCCAAAGAGAAAAGAAATTCTGGTGAGGAGAGGTCTGAGTTATGAGGAATTAATGTATGGACCAAGAGATTTTGAGCATGTGAGCGAGTTTTATGTGGAGGATGTCATTTTTACGGATTGGCAGGAGCGGAAGAAGTTGAAAGAGGAGGAGAAAAAGAAGGGAGGCAAGGCAGAGGATTGAGACAGACGTGGCATTGAAGAGCCTTTGCATAGGGGTCCTTGTTATGAGTAATGTGTTTACGGCCTTGTGTGGGAATACAAAGAGGTCACAAGCGCTTATGGCATTGGGATGTGCGCACGATTATATTGCTGAAGATACCCGCGCCGTGGTGCTTTGCACGTTAGACATACTTGAAATCACGAGAGGTCTCAGTGCGAAGCACAAGTAGATTTACATATGAACATGTAAAGAGATGCGCAATGAGGACTTCTGGCACATGTACATTCTCAAGCGTTGATTCCATTGCTCCGTCTATGGCCGAGACTTTTGCACTTCGCTGCTTCCACTGCACTCCGGCGATGCAGCCGCCATGCTAATCTTCTCAAAACAAAAACTTTTCGATGCCGCAATGCGTTGCTGTCAACCTTCTAAAACAAAACTTTTCGATGCTGCAAACTGTCGCTGACAAGCTGGTCACACTTTTCAACCTGGTGCAGTTTCCCAATTCTTCCAATTCTTCCGTTCATGCTTCGTGTGTTCACCCCTGCGACCATTGATTCCGCTCTGCACTCGTTCTGTTTTCCTGAACACTGCGCAGTAGCATCTTGTCTTCGGCAGAGTCCTCTCTTTCACTCAACGACTACGGAACTCTATTTCGACTTCCCTCCTATTCTTCTTGTGCTCTGGCGACGCAGACGAATTACGGATCCACGCGGGCTTTTCGGAAGTAGAGCCAAGCGGCATGTTTGAGTGCTGTCCTAGTCTCTTCGTAGCTCCATTTGAATTCTGAAGAGCGTGATGAGGAGGACTGCGCTCCGCGTGCTGCACGACTTCTTCCTGCATGTGTTCTCCCGCGTGCTCAATTCTGTTTTGAAGACGAGGATCTCTGCTTTGCTCCTTGCTTGGGCGGAAGCTACCGCTGGAGGTGCGACCGACGGGTGCCCGAAAGCTGCTTTCGCCTTGTGCAGAGCTTGCGACGATCAGATCAATCTTGTATGACCCTGACCAGCCCGGTCGGCTCAATCGCTTAACGAGATCATTGTCGATCGGTCCTGCCATCGCGCACCAAGCTCGCACATCATTGAAATCAGTCACCGTTTTGTGAACAGATCTCACATGTGCTGCAAGGCCGATGAGGCCTTTGAACGGGCTGCTCAGGCTTGCAGCATTGGCTGAACAAAGACGACAACTGATCTCGAACCAGTTCTCGTCGAAGTACGCCGTGGTCGGAAAATCGCGATGAAGAATGTTCGTATTCCACGCGGGGACAGCGTCGCTGTGCGGAGTGCCACGGACTTTGTTGCCAGCGTGCGGAACGATCTCCAAATCGGCAAGACGAGACGCGCCCACCACAAAGCGACGAGGGACGGGGAGAGATTCCGCGAAGTCGAAAAGCACGTTGCGGTCAATACGCACACGAGGATGTGATTTCTTTGCGTGGTCGAACAGCCCGTCGAGGCCGTGGAAGAAGCGAAAGCCACCATTGGAATAGAAATCAGCATTGGCAGAGCATATCCGACAGCTGATAATGCACCACTGTCCCTGAACCTGCGCGGTTGCAGTAAAATTGGGATGCAGTATGTCAGAGCGACGCGGCTCCTTTGGAGGTGTCATCTCGCCGTGAGAGCGCTTCTGTCCGCTTGCAAAAGGCTTGAAGAAGCCCGAATTCTCGCGAGTGGGGACAATCGCAGATGAAAGTCCGACGACATCTTTGTCCCTCTCCCTGAACAGGCTGCTGCTACGCGGAGGCGCCATATTCCGCGCCTCTACATCCGTATCTGGAGCACCGACGTTGGGAGCAGCTGTCTTTGAACGTTGCCCGATCTGTGAGGGTATGAATGGTTGTCCCAAACCATTTGGCGTCTTCTTGCCAACGACATTTTGCTCCGCAGGAGACTCCGACTGCAACGTGGGCTGCGAGCGGGTTGTAGGCCCTGCTATCGTCGACTGACCCTTTCGAAAGAATGTTGAAGCTTTCGCATGGGCATTCGCAGCTGCAGGAGTGGCCAACTCATCTTCAGAATCACCGAGCTCGACAACACGGCTCCCGCGCATCAGTGGCTGGAAAGCTCGCGCTCTGCTCCCAACATCATCGTTTCGACCACGAAGATTCTCGTGTGCACCATCCTGCATCTCTTCCATTGCCTGGTTTTTGTGCTGATCCGGACTCGCAGAGTCTGAGGAAGTATCATGTGGATCCGCAATGATCCCATCCTCCAACTTCAGTGCTCGCCTGTGGGCTTCTCCAAAGGTCGTCTTGATCGGAGCTCCTCTCAATGGCTGCTTGCCATCAAGGAGACGCTTCACGTCATCTGCAGAGAACTGGCGTCTGACACATGCCGCAGCGACTTCTTCGCGGGGAAAAGATCCATGGCTTCGTGCGATGTGCTGAACGAACGACGTAATGCTGGCGAAAAATTCAAGCTGCTCGACAGACGTGTTTGCGTGACAAACAAAGCATCTGAGTTCACACCAGGCGCCATGCACATCCTCAGGTTCCTGAATGTAGATGACTGTTGGGAACTCCTCGCTCAACGAACATTCATGTACCTCTTCACCGTAAACTGTGGAAGGCTTCTGGTCACTACCAGCAGACTTGCGTTTCTCCTTGTCTGTACTCGTGGATTCGTCTGCTGCTTTGGCGAATACTGGTGGCTTCGGAGTTGACTGTGATTTGGCGGTAGATCGAGCCCCGCTCGTTCCTTTCAAAGCCGCACGTAAATCTGCGTATTCGCTCTTCAGAGCCAACTTTTCCTGCGTCAAGGCGGACACAGACTCGCGGTTGCGAGTACGAGGCTGAGGCAGAGGGTCAGTCTGAGACTCAGATCTCGTATTGCCAGTCTCCTCGGAATTTTGCGGCAAATGCGAGTTCGTAGTAGATTGCGACTGTTGCGCGTCCGAATCAGAGTTGAGATTACCGCCGTTCGTGGCGGCTGGCGTATGAACAGGAGGACGCGGCGAGCGAGGTCTTGACGAAGGAATCACCTCTCGCGCGGGAGTATCGCAAGTGAAGAACGGTGGAGATGTATCGGCATTGCAGGTCGAAATGAGGCTGCGGCGAGCGGATGCATCAGTATGCGAAGTCGTTCGCCCCACGATGGGCTTCCTCGAGGTGGAGTCAGGAGTAGCTTGAGCTGTAGCCGTCGATTGAGTCACCATGGCCTCGCCAGGCATCATCTCCGCGTTGTGCGTCGCCTGTTGAGCGGCAGTCTCCATCTCGATCAAGTGCTCTGCTTCTTTTGGATGTGGCTGCGCAGTCTCTGATGAGCTTGAACTTTCATTTGTCACTGACTCGGCACTGAACTCTGGATCGAGCTGCTGGAGCTCCTCCCTCTTCTGTGCAAGCTCGATCTGAACGGAGTTCAAGCTGTTGATTTTGGACTGTGTAGCCTCGTTCAGCTCGTGAAGAGCGTTGCGCACCTGTAGTCTGTCCGCTACCATGTCGCTCTTCAGTTCCTCGACATGAGACTTAAGGGTGTCCAGGTTGAGGTTCAATTCGTCGGCACAAGACTTGAGAGCGTCCAGGTTGAGCTGAGCTGCTTTCAACTGTTTCTCATGGTCTTCGACCACTGTCTCCGCGGTTCGGACGTGGCCTTCAGCTGCGGTAAGGAGGTCGCGTTTGGCATCATGCGCAGCATGGATTTTCTTTTCCTCTGCAGCTTGCGACAATCGCACCTTGTCGATCTCACCGGGGACGTTGCGCTGCTTGTCTTCGAGTTCTGCAAGTTGCGCGCGAATTTTGTCGACTTCAGCTCGTTCCAGCAGCTGACGGTTGACCTCTGCCGTGGCGGCTGCAAGTTGCTTTTGCTCCGCGATCAGCTCCTCCTTGGACTTGAGCCAACCGGCCATGTCGGTCAGAGTGGGTTGGCGCTGTGTATAAAGTGAGCAGACAGTGAGAGCAGCGGATATCTGCAGTTCAGACTTGTTGCCTGAGGGCGACTTCAAGCGCGTCGAAGCGTCCGTGCGCGCCACAAACAACAAACAACGCCGACACGATCATCGGCGCCTCCAGTGGCAACTGGAAGCCTTCAGTGCGATATGATCGTTCGTAGTGATGCTTCTGCTACACGTCGGACGATAAGCCCGCACGCCATCCAGACTTTTCAGGGAATGTTGGCTGCAGAATATGCACCGCCAGGGAGGAACTCACCTCAGTAAGCGAGCACCCTCGAAGCGTTGCTCGACTCCAAGTCGCGCTCTGACGCAAGTCTGTGCGGGGCCCTCGACGAGCTCTTTTGTCGCCTGCTGCAAATTCTTGCTTCGACTGCCACGTCCACCGTGCCGCAAACAGCCAACGAGCCATCAGATGTACATAGCAGCAAGACGCGGCCGGTTGTACTAACTTCTTCTACTTCAGGCTGGTGGCGAGGTGCGAACTGCGAGTAGCTCCTTGTCAGACCAATCCTTTTCCAAGCACAACTCTGCCGCAATGGCCACGAAATGGAGGGATTTCAGCGCAAATGTCCACAGTATGTCCGTTCGCCCCAGAGCTCTTCCTATGCGCTAACCTTGGACAGAGCTGGAGATATTCGAAGGCATTCTGCAAGAGCAAGATCGAATGTTGCGAATTGGCATCGAAGAAAACTACATTGCCTGCCGATTGCTGGAGCAAGAAGCTGAGGACAAGAAGCAGAAGCGTGAAGATGTTGGTACAAAGCTTGCAAATATCGAGAAGAAGAAGGCAGCCTTGATGCGAGGAGAATCTGTCAATGTCGACGAGGACGATCCGCTTCTGGGACTGGAGACCAAGAGAAGGAGCATTTCGCGTACGATTGACAACGAGGCTGGAAATGAGTCTGCGAGCCAGGAAGACGATGCCACACAGTCCGAGAAGGAAGCCTCCGTGTTCAGCAATCCAGATGACGAAGACTTTGATGCGAGCTGCAGCGACAATGACGGCGCTCGTAGAAAGCACGCCCGTCGCGACAGTCACACTGCCGCACTCCAAAACGTCCATAAGAAGTTCCCTACAGTGCTTCTTATCGACGACGTCTGGGTCGAGGTGTCCTGCGCAGAGTGCGGGATCAACGCATCTTCACGCAACGGCTTCTTCAAGGCGATTTCTGGGTTCCGTTACCATCACAACAGGAAGCATACAGGTGTTGCTTACGAAGGGCTTGGCTTTTGCAAGAGACGTGTGGTCAGCGAGGCTGATGTGCAGAACATGAAGAGCGGCCGTGAGCCTGACGAGGTACCCATTGCGCGCAAGACCGCGCCGAAGAGGATCGGGCACTAGAGTGGCGTATCGTCCCAGTGTCAAGTCCATGCTGAATGGCGATGTTGAGATTGGACAACCGAAAGATATGCAGAAAGCTGGAAGATGATCAGGTGTCTCGCAAATGACTACGAGATCCACGAAGAGCGCCAGCAATGACGGAATGATGGAGCGCACTTGTCCAAGTTGGACGGCATCAGATAGATGACTATGGCAGCCGCAGTCTGTGAACAAGATCGAATGAACAGAGCAGGTAGACCATTGCAAATTGATGGCGTGGCAGAGGCAAGCAGCATGAGAAGTGAAGTGAAGTCAGATCCTCCCGAAACAGTTTCCGCCAAGCTTGAACCTGATTCGCCCCCGAGCTCCACCCACCTCGACTTGCAGGCGTCTCCATACATCATCCGCCGGTCTAACAATACGTCAACACAATACAACATGGCGAACGGGTAAGCATACTGCGGCACCGACGAGACTCGGGCTAACATACTCGCTAGCTGGAGTCTCATCATCAGCATCATCGTGGTCGTGGTGATCGGCCTTGCAGCCTGGTTCTTCAGTCCGAAGGGCGAGAACCAAACGTACGTCGCAGAAGCAGCCGCACTCCCATCGCTGCGCACAGTAGCTAACATCCTGGATACAGTGTCTGGCGGTCAACAATAATTCTGTCAACAGCGAGTTGTTGGCTCATGTGGGGTATGCACGGCAATCACAGACCACGGTCCTGGCATCATGCGCTGACAGCGACAACAGCAATCACTTTCCTCGCGCAATGGCATCCTCTCATCGTACCCGAGCGAAGCGATCTCCGATTAGAAGTTGAGCCAAACCAGAGGTTTTGAGCTGGGAAAGCAGACATGATTCGGCATGGCGAGGCGTTTCGGGGCGTTTGGGCAAAGAGCACGTACTTGTACTTCGTGAGAAGGGAAAGGCAGGCATCATCATGACAGAAGGAGCATGCGCGCTGCGCGGGACGGCAAACTGGGAGAATAGAAATGTGTACTGTGATACCAAGTGTATGAATATCGCTGCACTATCCCAGCCCAACTGTCTCCATGAGCGTGCGCCATACCTCTATAAGGTCGCCAGTCTCGACTACTCCTGCAGCAGCAACGCCTCCACCTACGCCGACTGCGCGCAAGATGCACTGTGAGATGGGTCAGCGAAGAAAGAGAGGATGGTAGAGGAAGAGACATACCCATCCTATACTTGCTCGGCATACAGCTCCAACAGCAGCTAGACCCGCAGCTCTCACATACCCACAATCAAGCAAAATTTCCAGAGCTGCCACGTTGTTGATGATGACGGCCCACGAGACAGCACTTGCGCTGCTTGGTAGATCATAGTTCCACACCAGAAGCATGAGCGGAAACAGTTTCGTGAAACTAGATACCAGTAACGCAGTGCTGATTAGAGCCGGATGTGGATAGTGCGGAACCAGTGAAGACAGCGGCCGTGGCAGACGTGTTGACAGCAAAGCTCGTATTGGTAAGTGGAATGACGCGGACTCCAGCGTGCACAGCACCAGGAAGAAGATGTACTGCACCAGGATCGGCTGAGCAGCTAGAGGGCTGCTGGCATCAAGTCCATCGGAAGTGCTGTTCCCTGTCAAGGACGAATCATTTGCTGTGCCTGACGGGAATGGGGGAAGTGGTGGTGGCGGCGACAGTGGTAGAGAAGGCGAGTCTGATGTGGCCTTCTCGATCCGTGCCCAAGTCAGGTAGACGTCGAATAGCAGTAGTAGGATTCCCAAGCGGATGATCGAGGGCTTTCATAATGTCAGCTGCTCTTTTTCAGAATATGCATATCCCACGTCTGCTGCTCACATCGAATCGCCCATCTTCTCTGCCAAGTCGATTGAATAGCAGATGTCTGTAGACCTAGGTCAAATCTCAGTATTCGAACAACTTGCCATATCCGCTGAATTTGCAGTCGTGGTACACACCTGCGGCTTGATCAAGACCAAGTCGATGAAAAGCACGACGAAATCATGCTCAACATATTTATCCGCGAAGCGCTTACATCGCGGACACTGTGTCAAGCGTACACCCTTGCCCAGCGCTTTGTCATCGGCTTTGCTGTAGGTTGTGTATAATGTGGTGACCGGATAACGGCATTCGATGCATATGGGCATGATAACCTTTCATCGGGTTCGGTTCTTGTTCTCCGGGATATGTTATCGCATGTCGTGTTGATTATAGAGTACAGCATGCTCAAGAAGCTGTGAACGGCGACGCGCCAAGACGTGGTCGAAGCCCCGGAAAGTCAAAGCGCGACTTCCAACACAACTCTCAAATCTGACATCACGTCTTCATGTTCTTCCCATGCATCGCCAAGCTACTCTACGGCCGCATACCGGATGTGCGGTATCTTTTAAGCATTCTCACGCACTCTGTTCATGACCCTGTACCTGCTCTTGTCGCGATCTTCGCCACGACTGGACCAACACAACGGGATTCTGGCCGCATCTAGGACGGAATCTCACCTACCGCCTGATGCAGACGCTGCTCCCAGGTCAAGGGCTGCGGAAGAATTAGATCTCCGCGGTATCGCTGGCTCAGTGCCTGTTCAGTGTTCTAGTTGCATTGCAGCTGTGTTCTCGAACGTGTTGGAGAACGCTCGACCATAGCCGCCCTGGTCCTGCGGGAAGGATCAACCTGGCGGTGGCTGACATGCGCGCTTATGCAACCTCGGAAACAGAACGAAGAACTCAAGCTCGGAAGACCTCTGCACCCGAATAGAGCGCCTGCCAGAGAAACGCATTTGTCGCGTAGCAGGCGAACTCTGTTGACCACATTGACAAGTGCAGCCCGCGTGGAGATGCCGTGGCGACTCAGTTGTCTTCCTTCAAAATGCATCACATGCACAGCTCCGGGGGTTTTCCGCCGAAGGACCAATACTCATACACTCGCTAAGAGCCAGACACGCCAGATTGCCCAGTTTGTGCGCGTGGCTGCATAACAGTCTGCAGTTGGTTTCGCGGCCAGATGCTATTCGTCGTGCACAGCCGCCGATGCATTGATTGGGGCGCAGCTCCAGGTCGCATTCTCGTCACTGTTGCCCATCCTCTGGAGAAGGAGCAGATGACGGGTTGACACCATCACTGCTTTCCCAGCCGGTAGGTCTGCGATCTCTTTCAAAACGTTCACATGTTACACGCTTTCCCATCTGATGGCTCTCCTGGGAGGACCATCGCACAATTCCATCAGGTACACGGCCTTGGAGGGTATGGAGGTCAGCAACGCCTCGGACACGAATCGTGTCGAACAGGCAGGCCTTGAGCCGACTTTTGATAGAGAAGCAGCCGCACCCGAAGTACTTCCGACTTACCTCTCCCGTACACCTTCTCGACACTCTCACCACAGCCCAGAGCCATACTACGGATCTACATACATCGACAGTAAACCAGGACAGGAAACAGACGATGGCCATATCCCCGCTTGGTCTCAAGAGCCGGGGACGCGGAAGTCCAAGACCTACTGTGGGCTCCGGAGGCGGACCGTCATCGCGATTGCGGTCATCTTGACTGTGTTAGTGATCGTAGCCATCGTTGTTGGAGCCGTGCTAGGAGCGAAGTCGAGCGGAGGCAGCGGAGACAAGACGTAAAGGTTGACCGCTTGATACCTTTGCAATGGTGACTGACAGTGTTACAGGCAAGGGAACAGCTCTGTGTCGCCGCTGGTCATTCGCGACGGAGGTGGCCTCGCCACCGTAACGGCTTCGAGTGCTGTCTTCGCCTATTACCAAGCCGAGAATGGCTCGATCATTGAGAGCCGGATGGCCAATGACACGGACTGGCATGTGCAAAGCGCAATTGCGACACAAGGCGCGGCACCTGGAACAGCCATAGCGGCTTCGAGCATAACGCTATACGGCACATCTTACGTAAGTGTGGCAAGTTTTTGGTTGTACTGGCGATCAGAGCGATCATCCGCTCATACTTTGCATAGGCTCTGGTCTTCTACACAGATAACGATGGCGAGATCATGATGACTAACCGCACGTCCACTTCTCCCGAGCAATGGTCCGAGCCGATCAGTGTTCTCTCAAACGATGGCACACAACCAGGTACATCTGCGCTCCAGGTGAACCTATATCCTGGCTTCGGCGAAGATCCAGTCACGATTCGAGTATACTACGGTAGAGATGCACCTTACCCAGTCATACTCTCAGTTCTCACTGACATGTCACTACGACAGGCTCTGCAACACCCGCCCAAGGAGTTCGAGAACTGGGTATGGGCAGCGATAATGATTATGCGGTGGCGTCATGGAATGGGTTTGCCAAATTCAGCTTCCTGAACCAGAGTGATCCGAACAGCGGCGTGGGAGCCACCAGCTTGAACGATTTGGCACGGCTGTACGTCCGGAATAGTACGACCGGCTACCTAGCTCAATGGGCTCTGGGCTGGGGCACAGAGGTCGAGGGATGGTGGCAGAGTAAGTTGACCTCTCAGTTCAAGGATCAGAGGCGAGAAAGAGCGCTCACGATCATGCTTCTGCACACACAAACAAAAGCCAGGGATGAATCATGATCTAACAGAAAACTAGCTGGCTCATCTTCCTCGACCGATCCTCTCGTTGCGAACAGTTCATCGATCACTGCCTGCAACGACCAAGCTTCTACCCGAACAGATTACGTCTTCTATCAGAGCATCACCGGTACCCTCGTATGCGCCATCTCAGCTTCTGATCGCGGGTTCACAAGCTTTCACGTACTATCCGAAGCAACGCCTGCAGACAGCACCAAGTTGCACGCTTGGTACGACGACGACAGCGATGGTGAGGATGGCGATGGAGGAGCAACACTGTTCTACCAGGATAGTGGAGCTCAAGCGGCGTTGAAGTACCTCAAGATTCGTCGTACCGGGGAGGTGCAAGCAATTGGAAGTGTAAGAAGTTCAGGTTGAGGAGAATGTCTCAGCGTAGCTCCATTGAAGGGCTACGGAGATGGGATTACCGCACGTACCGGCGAACACAATACACATTCGCCGTTCTGCCTGCCACTCGGAATATATACGTATGCGAACTCTGTCAAACAGTGGAGGCTAAAGTCTACCCGTGCAGCAGACACTGCACTTGTAGGTGTAAATAGCGTGAAGTCGCGTGGGGTGAGCAACAGGGTCGGCCGCAAACACAGGGAGCAGTTTCAGATTCGATCTGACATTGCCAGTCGGCAACAGAAGCTTTGGTTGCTGGGATACCAATCCGGCTTCCTCACCCCAAACAGACGTCAGATTCCAGACGTCAGCTTCCATAGACCAACTGCCAAGGCTTCCAGATTCCTACTCTGCACGAGCCAACAAGGTCACGCCATCGAGATCGGATGGCTCCGAGTACGACCAAGAATGGGGTCGAAGTGCTGCAAAAATTGCGCTGAGAGGAGGTAATGACAATTGACAAGTCAAAACAGTCTCACACATCGAAATGAGCACTTGAGTTTCGCCAATGGTCGAGATTTGTCACGCCAACCATGTCGAAAATCTTCACAGCTGCCAGCTGTGATTAAGAGGACAGACGTCATGCCGCTCTCGACATGGGTGCTCTGTCCTGCCAAAGTGTCGAAGACGACCAACGCGGAAGTGGTCGCCAGGGAATCGTCCTGTCCAATTGCTGCATATCATCTCACCGGAGTCGCGACGACAACCATGTGTAGTTCACCCGGACAGTCAGCTGGGAATGCTTGCATCTTTGGCGAACGTTGTGTTGCGGTGTAGCCCGATCTGTCAGGCGTGCCAGCTGCGGGTTGTTGTTGCAGCACAGCAGCAGTCCACGCGATGGCTTGGCGGGGTAACAGGTAGGTCAGCGGGAGCGGCGGTGCACGACGAGCCACGGCAGTAGTATATGGAGGGTGTGGGAGAAGGACGGCAGAAGGAAGTGAAGTTCACGTGTCGAACGGCGCGCCGATTCAGGCCGCTCGAAGCAGCTTAGTGCCGCTCCTCCCTGGTTTCATCGCCGAGTCTTGGAGTGGTCCGTGCCAGGCCAAAGCCAAAAAGGCTGCCCTCCGCTCGGAGCCAGTTGTGTAGCTCGTTCTAACAATAGCATCCATCGAGAGACAACCTCAGAAAAGCGGCAGACACGCGTGCCAGCGTGCGCGACACCCCGACGATCGCGCTGAATATCACCACCCACGCCGGCCATTGCTGCGAGCCCCGCCAGCAGCACGTCGCGCGCCAGAGCACCCGTCGTGTGCAAACCGCGACGACGACCGACAGACTCTGTTCCATCGCCCATCGATAAGCGCCGAGTCTGTGGATGCATCGAGTGTCCAGAGCTTCATCACCAGCTTGGACCTTCGCGCTCGGTAGCGAGCCGCTGCGTGTGCACCGGTAGCCATGGGTAGAAGAAAGATTGAGATCAAGCCCAGTACGTCGCGTTCTCAGACACTTGCCATCGAGGAAACCTCACTGACCACTGTTCCATCAACACACAGTCCGCGACGATCGAAACCGAAGCGTTACCTTCCTCAAGCGCAAAGGCGGCCTCTTCAAGAAGGCCCACGAGCTTTCCGTGCTATGTTCCGTCGACGTTGCCGTGGTCATCTTCGGACATAACAAGAAATTGTACGAGTACAGCTCGTCGGATATCAATGAGATCATCGGCAGATTTCAATACGTACGTATCTCCGCTGCGTGATACTATGGGAAAGAGTGATGGACTAATGGGGAGCAGTATGGCGGCGCGCACGAACACAAAGGGCCACAGGACTTCGCGGACAAGGCGGGCGGCGACGATGACGACGAAGATGGAGAGGGCGGGGACGACATGGGTGGCGATGAACACAGAGGGACACCACAACCAGACCCGTCAATGATGCATGCCCACATGGCGAACCATCCAGGCTTTCAGCATGTCAGACACGGGACACCGCACGCGTCTCCGCCAATGCACAATGGAGCCATGCCACAATTCACGCGAGGACCTTCGCCGCTTCCACCAGGCATGACGGTTTCGCGGCCGAACTCACGCAATGCACAGCACCCTGGAGGTCCGCAGCACATTCGCAGGACAAGCTCGAACTTGGTTCCCCAGCACCCGCAAGGCGCCCCGCCCAGCTATGCCTACCAGCCCAATCCGCCCTTCTACAACCCCCAAGCAGCACAAATGCAAGGTCGACCGCCGCCAGGATCAGTGCCTCCGCCCGGAGCATTCCCGGCTCCATATCCACCGCAACAGCCACAGCATCCCCCAATGCAGCAGCAAGCGTTCATGGAGGATCAGCGACGATCCATGCCTCCCAATTATCCTCAGCAACCGCCGCCACCTCAGCCAAACATGCAAAGACATCCCTCCGGCGATCATCTTGCACCTCCCGGTCAACAAGCTCAACCCTCGCCCAGACTCCAGCAACAGCAACGGCCCACGCCTTCACCGCAGCCGCCTCAGAATGAATTCCAAAGCCCACCCTTACCGCAGCCCAAGCCTTTACCAGCACACGCCAAAGTCAATAGCATATTCACACCAATAGACGACAGCAGATCAATGCTAGCACAGCACTGGGGTGGGCCTAGCAACGCAGAACCTCGGTCAGATCCGGCAGTCAAACTGGAAGGCGGTGGCCCTCGGTCACAGTCGATAGATGTCGCTCAGATGCAACGAGAGAATCACGCCAAGGCCAATGGACTTTCACCGAGGCCGCCGCCATCCGTTCCGCCTCCGACCACACAATCCGCAACGCAATCACCTCAACCACCTCATCGGACTGCTAGCACACCTACCATAGTGGGACCTGGTCGCAGCGGATCTGTACAGACCGAGGCTAAGAGACCGCGGTTGAAAGTGCAGATCCCCAGCGAGCAGTCTGGAGATGAAGGTGGAACAGCAGAATCTGCGCAGGATCTCAACACCAGTAGCGAAGCGCAGACTGCCAATACGACAGCGGGACAACCGCAAGTGCCAGCTCACGGAGTTGTTTTACCCCCGCCATCACCCAGTGCAGGCGCACTACTATCGGCTGGCGCACAAGGACCACCTAATCCGTTTGCCAGACCTGCGCCACCGATGAGTACTAATCCACATGCTGCGAATCGCGAAGCGAACCACATCGAGACACCGTTGTCAGCACTGCCGAGCAGATTCATGAACAACGAACTACTACCCTCGCCATCTGCTTTCTATCCTTCGGATTGGAATAATAACATGTTGCCTTCGCCGTTCACTTTCCAAACTCCCGTAGCAGGGAACGGCCCCAGCTGGCGGACCGAGGATGAGCGCAAACGAGGCAGCGAGGACCAAGGCGAAGACGGAAACGATCCGAAGCGAGTAAAAACTTAGCAGGGCTCCTCAAGCATTTTCGATCGACGACTAAAGTACATGAATGGAGGCACATCTCCTATAGAGCAACAGCGAGTGCGGGTCATGAAGGAGCTAATGACGAAACGATCCTGCATACGGATGACAAAGGCGCAAAGAGAGAGATACATTTTGCATTGAGCAAGCAAGCAAGCAGGAACGAAACCCCCTTCCTTTTTTCGGAGACTTTTTTACATTGTGTTATTTCATTATTAGCTTACACGGGGTTGTATGATTGCATTTTGCAATATGAGCGTGCTTTGAAGAAAACAGATTGATTGGCACTCAACGATAATGATTCGTGTTTTTGGGAGGTTGTCACTCCTTTTCTATTAGAGCAGGAGGAGAAGGTTATTGTCGGCGACAATACGGTATGGGGCGGATGGTAACAAAAGGACAGAGGAGGCTGGATCAGAGCAGTAAGGACTAGCATAATGACAATGTGAAAAAAGACATATTTATCTGATCTCCTCAGGCATACTCGAGTCTTGCTGATGGATTGTCCCAGGTTCAGCGGGTCTGCTCGGCTTGTTAGGGCAAACGTCGGCACAAGGTCTTTTCACATGTCAAGCACAGACGTCACTGGAGTGAATGAGAAGCAGGCGGAAGTTTGCTAAGGCTCTTTGAATTGTTTGCTTCGCGAGAAATAAAAGTTGCTTCGTCGACGAGCATTTGCGACTTTCCTTCTGACATCAAACAACAATACAAGCAGCAACATTCTGCGTTGGCCTTACTCTCCACTTGAGCCGTATACACGCCTTCGATCAACAACAATACACACAACGCCAATACAACTCGCCGCCTCTACCGCTCCTAACCATTGACTCGTTCGAGTCACTCTCCTTTGACAATACAAGTAAACCAGTTCTTCACCACTTCGAGTCCTCCTTCTCCGCCATCATGAACACCGACGCCACCAACACCGCAAATCCCTGGCTCCAAATCGCCCACCTTGGCAACGAGAACGCTGCTTTGCACGAGCAGCACATGGAGACTGCCGCAGAGATAGACGGCATCCTGGTCCAACAAGCTGAGAGGAGAGAGGAGCTCTCGAGTCTGGAGAAGAGGATGGAGGAAGTGAAGGAGGAGTTGAGAGGCTTGGACAGCAGGTTGGTGGCGAGGAAGCTATCGGCCGGGCAGATTGGGGAGGAGATGAGGGTGAACTCGGAGCGGTTGGCGGAGTTGCAGCGCAGGGTTTCGGGAGCTGGAGAGGCTGGGCAGGGTGGTGATGGCTTGAGAGAGGGCGAGGATGGGCGCGGTGAGGGAGGAGGTATTGGGGGTGCTGGCGTGACTCCGGTCGAAGGTCGTGGTGCTTCTGCTGAGGTTGTGCCCACGGGGCAGCAGGGTGAGGTCGGAGTCAAGGGGGAGGAGGAGGAAGACAGCTTTGAGGATATCCTTGGGACCGGGAACACCTACAACCGGCAGTCCTCTCTCATGGACAACTCTGGCACGACTTCTTCCCGAGAATCGGCACTATCAGACAGTGCCACCATGCCAAGCAACTCCTCTCGCCGGCCATCACAACCACGACCAGAGGCACGGTCGCTTCCTGGGCCGAAAGCTCGCCAACCCTTTCCCGACGGCAAGCCTCGACCACCAAAGAGAGCAGCGTATCTCTCGTCATTCTCACCGTACGCTGCCGCCGCCATTGAAGCCGGCCACTATGGTCCAAGACATCTGCGACCTGAGACGGCCCCAGCTTCTCCTCGTGCTCCTACGACTGCTCGCCGCACGAACGCCTTGAATGCGGCTTCGCCGCCCGTCACACCAACCTCCACGTCTCAGAGAACGAGACAAGATAGCACTCTTTTCACCGGCGGAGCTGCGGACACCGCTCTCTTGGCGAGCATGCAAGCTCGTATCGAAACGACCTCTGCTCGTTCCCAGCGGCTTCAAGATCCAGGTCGTGATCGTGTGCCATTCGGTGTCAACGAGCGCGACCTGTTCAGACCGCAGGCAGATGGAGAGGGTGGTGATGGAGGAAAGAAGAAGTCAAAGAGGAGAAAGATTGAGTAGATTCTCTACAGTGACAACACTAGATTGTACTCAACTCATCTGCTACGTAAACTTTCCTGCTCAGATTCAACTTCCCTCACAGTCTGTTCTACAGGTTTATAAGTCGTAGAAATCGACCCAAGATCTCTTACTCCATGTTTCCCTGGCATGTCACCATACTGTGAATCAACAACAAGTTGTGCTTCGGCCACATCTTTCGGGCAAGGATCTTTGCCGGGGAGATTCGGTTCTGTCATATTTACATCTATGCTGGCGTTCTTCGCGATTCGAATTATTGATGAGAAGTTTGCGGTGAAACTTGCTCCGGTGTGGAATATTGAGACTAGGCCGAAGATTACGTTGAGGATCGTGACGCCGATTGCGAGACCGTAGGTGAGCCAGAGTTTGGAGGAATCGTAGGCGTAGATATTTCCGTAGGTTTTGAAGGTCACGTCAACCGGTGGTGGGGCGAAAGGGTTTGAGATATTGTATCTGGGTGGCGTTTAGTGAATTGGCCCGAGACTACATGGCTCGTGTCCATGATGCGAAGGATATGCTTATGTTGAAAAAAAGTTCTTCGAGGGCGTTCGATAAGCTCATGCTCGGGCCTGAAGAGACATGTGGACGACTCAGGCTCAAAGCTTGTTCGTATGCATTGTCAGAAGAGCTATTGGCGTAGGTAGCGTTGAGTGTGGTGTTATGACTTGATATTTGCGCAAGCTCGATGGTGTCGGAGAGTACTGTCGGGAAGATCTGGGTCTTCATTTCATCGGTATTGGATCCATAGAGTATCGCCGATCCTGGTATAGCACCAGCGGTGTTCTGACCACCAGTGATTAGAGACGCAAAGGCTGTAATAGCTGCGGTATACGACCATTCAGACAACGTTTGTTTGGCGAATGCGGACGACCAATCGGCATAGGTCTTGTTCTCTTCGCAATCACAATGCTCGATCGTCAGTCCGGCGTCTGATGAGTTCAAATATGCAGTAAAGGCTCCGATCGTGCACGGGTCGACATTTCCAGGAGAATGCGTCACTGACATTACTTGTACTCTCTGGGTTTGCGCAACTCCTTCGTACGCGAAGCGCAAGGTATATTTCGACGGTTGAAACTTGCAACTTAGTAATGTTGCTCCCTGAAACACCTCGTCTATCAACGTAGCGTTTTCCCACGGGTTGTCCAGCCAGTAGCGTCCACCGTAGTCATGCATTGCACGAGGGAACACCGCTAGGCCGAGAGTATGGTCGTCAATCCTCGGGCGACGCCCTGTCACAGATTGGGAGGGAGAGGTCATCGAAGCTGCCGAGCTGGAACTATTTGGCCATGAGAAAGGCAACTCCGCGCCGAGCCATGCCAAATAAGAGAACATGAAGGGTACAGAATCATCCACCGAGCAGTCAAACAGGCTGTCCTGCTTTCCTCCTCCGCATTTGAACCTACGATCAGTCGCAGTCACATTCATGACGTTCCTGATGTTGACTTTCAAGGCCTGGCGATAGGTCGAATTCATGTCCTCACAGCTTAAGCTAGGTGCTATCAGGTCCGTGCTCCAAGAGCTATTGAGTCCAGGGGAAGGAATCGAGAGGATGTCGCCAGTTAACGCCACTGCTTGTACAATGCGCGCGACTTCTTGATCAGGACCTGTATATTCCAGTGTAATTCTGTTAGAATTCTGGTCTTCCACGTGGGATTGCGAGAGCGCATCAAACGCGGAACTTTCGAACGCAGGCACCGACACATGGTGTGACCCAACACGCCGTGGAAGTCGCCAGCACCAAAACTGACTTGACAAAGAACGCGAAAGCTGTTCCGGCGGAGATGTTGATCTGCTGCGATGTAGTGGCTAGTCCTGCGATTCTCATGCTTTTCGTGTCCACTTCTGAATCTCTCAGGGCTGCGTAAAAGAAGTGATGCCCTACTGCGAGAGCGATGGCGGCAAGGAGAGACAGGAGCATGACAGTCGGTGTTCGCCAGTGGATGCCGGCATGGCTCCGTTGCGTAGCCATAGCCTGCGCGGAGCTGATTGATAGTACCAAGTTGAGTAAGCAGAGTAGAAAACAACGTGTGGCGGTGACATTTTGGAGGGCAGGGCTGTTCATACATTCCAACTGCTGCGGCTTGTGGTCCCCGCACAAGGCTGCGCACAAGGCTGAGAACCCAAGTCAGCGAGCCATATGATCAGCCACCAAAGATCTCGACTGCTATTCGCCCTTGCTGCGCGCTTGGCTTTGCTCGGACATCGTAAAACAATGCAGGGACAGGATACGAGACTTCGTACCGCTCCTGGGACTGGCTGTAGTATGACTTTGCCGACTTGAAAGGACCTTTCTAGCGGTGCCTTGCTGCTGGTGCAGCGATGATCGAGGCTTGTTTCAGACGCTCTTATTTGTGTGGCTGAGTCTCAATACTAAAACACGATACGTGGACACGGCGGAGTTGAGCCTGTCGTTAGGAGTTGGAGAGCAAGTCTTTCATGCTTCCGTCTTCGTCCGTACGCCAGCACGTGCAATTCGAGCTATCTTGATCCTCAACTCGTCTTTCTGAGTAGCTCAACTTCTCGATGAGCGTCAGCATTCTGGTGGAAGGTATCCAGCTCAGTGCATGAGCACCAGGCCTTGCTCTCAAGAGGTTTCTTCTGATTCTGCAAGATCAAAACTTTCAAGTCTCGTCGGCGTTTGAGTCCTTCTCACTGCATGAATCCAGACGATCATTTTGTAGATCTCTTGTGCGTTTCTCCACCGAAGCGTCCGAATTCGATAGAAGTAGGTGGTGTGAGATGGTTGGTATCCGCAGTCTGGCGAGCTGAGGAAGTCATGTGGTGAGTGCCTGAGGCAGACTCGTACTGTAGTCTTGGCATTCCATCTCGCTTCCTATTCTCTTTCCTCCGCCACTTCACTATTCCAGGGTATTCATTGGTTTGCCCTTCCACACAGATGACTGCAGCATCAGTGAGCTTGAAGGTTTGCTTGATATGTTTCGGAAATAGGAAACTCGCTTCTCACTTTTGAATTATGCAGCGCAGAACTGTAACAATAATACGCATACTCTTTCTACAAGTACAAACGGCGACACAATTCTACATGAACTTGCAGTCTAAACCTTGCCTCCATGGTTCGCACGCTTGTGCAGGTCTTCGAGTGGTGCCTCAACGAGGTAATCCATCTTGTCACTGAAGCTTGGTAGCAGCAAGCACAGGACGCAGCCAACAGCACCAAATGGAGCGGCGATTATGAAGACCACGCGCACGCCATCAGCGAAAGCCTGCTGATACGCAGCTCCTGCTGCTGCGATAATAGCTGGTGTGACTCCAGGAACCTGCGCTACTGCTTCTCGTGCCCCGCTTGCAAAAGCCCCGATGAAGGCACCGATCGATTGCGGAGGCAGACCGGCTGGCACCACGGCATTGGCAATATATGTCGGGATATAAGTGCCCAAGCGCTGATTCAAGGCAGTACTATACGCAGCCACGAACATTGATGCAGCGAGAGTCCGAGAAGCGACCACTAATGCAGTTGCTGTGGCGATCAAATGATGCTGTACGGAAAGCTGGGTTCCGGTGAGGATCAGTACCAGAGGTCCAGCAAGACCGATTCCGCACAGGGTCAGACTCCCAATGGCAACTCCGGGCTGTCCTGGCTGCACGGTTGCGAGCCCAACGATTCCTCCAGTGTAAAGCGCAAAGCCGACGAACATGCAATACTTGATGTCTTTGAAGTGAGAACTTGCCCAGCCGTAGATGGCAGTGAACGCACTGCTGGCAGCGAAGAGTGGTAGCAGACGGACTGCTCCACCTAAAGGATCTTGCGTGAAGAGGGCATTGGTCCTGATCGGCCTTGTGTTAGTACGCGCGACGCTATTTTTGTATTTGGCCCACTTACATGACAGGATAGAACGTGACCAAGGCGAAGAAAGTAACACCTTCGATGAAGAACAGGAAGCAGAATATAGCAAATGCCCAGCCATGTCTTCCGCCGCCTCGGAACAGTTCGTGTGGGAGGATTCCTGTTTTTGTGCCGAACGCCTCGTACAGACCAAAAATGATGAATGCTGCTACGCCAGACACGAGTGGACCAAGGACTTTTGCACTGGACCACGCGAAGACAGACACTAGGTTGAATCCAGCCACGAAGAGAGCTATTGCTGCAGTGAGGAGAGCACTTCCAACCCAGTCGATCCGGCCGAGCTTATTCATCAAGGTGGATGCATCAGATGTTCGCTTGGGCGGCAGGTAGCCAAACAGGATTCCCACTACAGAGAGGCCCCAGAGCGCCATTTGCACCCACTGTTCAGGTTTAGCGATGGACTAATCCAGTATTCAAGGTCGTCAACTTACATAAAATCTTCTCCATCCGTCTATGGGATCCTGTTGGGTGAGAGCTCCGACTGAAACTTGATCAGCTAGGATAAGAATACGAATGAATGTTATACTCACTGACGAGCGGGCCGGTGATAGCACCGAGGCCAGCAGCGACGTTGATGAGAGCTTGACACAGTGGTCTCCATCGGCGCGGTACAATCTCAGAGGGCACAGCATAGCTCAATGGAGCGGCGGCCAAGCCAAATCCGATCATGAGAGAAGCCCCGATCAGACGAAAGATGGATCCAGAGTTTGGCACAATAGCTGCTCCCACAAACGAGATTGTAGTCAACACCACCATGACTGCCTTTCGAGCCTGGAACACGTCGGAGATGGATGCCAGCATCGGACTGAGCGCGGCTTGGACGAGGGTCACAACATTTGGGATCCAGTATCTCCAGATCTCATCTTCGCCGAAACTGGCTCCTATGTTCACAAGCTATCGACACCTCAGCTGTTGCACCAATTTACGATACAAGGAAAACGTTCAAATTTACCTACCACTGTGGGAGGGCCGACTAAAGCGAGCAACGAAACGTACTGCAGAACGCACATTGCAGCCAGTGCCAGCCAGGTCTTGAGATGTAGTTCAGGTTCCTCATCTTTGGTGTAGAGCTGAGGAGCTGATCCATCTTGACCATGCTCTCTGTGCTCGACATCGAAATCCGGTTTTTCCAGACTTTTACGCGTGGTAGACATGCTGAAACTAGTTTTCGAAAGTGTGCAGCGAACAGAACCAGACTGTCCGCGTGGACGATCGTTATATGCTGCAGATCTCGCAATTGCTGCTGTCGCATTGTTCGGACAACCCCACAATCTGTTCAACGCCTCCAGCGGAGACGCAAGCCACTCGAGCGCACGCTCTGGTGTGTGGACCTATAACGTTACAGCACATGAGCTAGAAGCGGCTATGAGACGCCACCCCCATCCGTGCGTTGCTGTGCACGATCGGTTCGCCATGCCGATGCAGCTACCGAGACCGTATCTAGTTGCGGAAGGCTGCCGGTGAACTAAACATCGTCCGACAGCTCGGCCGTACCTTCGGACAACAGATCAAGTACCGCTGAACCTTTCCCGCTAGCTTACTGGTCAGGAGATTTTGAAGCACGGAATGGTATCAGTAGGCGACGATGATGATGGCATGGATATTTTTGTGCAGTCTGGTCCATGGTATGACTTGTTGTAAAGATCCGTCTTCCGTGCTGCCGTAACATAGAGCATCGGTAATAAGAAAGAGATGGACTACTCAAGGTATCGGGGTCTGCTTGGACCTATCCACATCCTGCCTTCACGCACTCAGGCGCCCGCGAAAACCTTCACGAAAATCAAGGCTGCCCATTCGGCTTGCAAGCAGGTCCTCCTACTCCAAGCATGGGAATGTAGCACCTGTGGCCCTCTCCACACGTGCCAGTGTAAGGCTTCTCGCCACAAGTTGTCTGCAGACGACTTTCTTAGCATGCCAGGGGGACCTAGGCGTATGGAGAACATGAGTTACTCACAAACTGCTTTTCGCTGTCGCAGGTCTATCTCTAGGTCAGTGGAGCTCTCAATGAAAGGAAATCGTCGAACAGAACGAAGATCGGAGAGGTCGCTACGTACCCATGGATCACCACGCGCGCAATCAGCTTGGCAGTGACCTGCCAAGAGTGCAGCGAGGAGAACGAGACTCTGGTAGAAGAACTGCATGGCCAGCGTACCTTGGGGGCTGGAGGTTGAGCAGAGAAAGTTGACCGCTACGCAGTGCTCGCAGGAGGTTTCTATTGCTTCGCTCACCGACCACCTCTGCCCCTGACAGATTGGATACATCTAAGGACCATCGACGGTGTCCTGATAGCGCTCCTCCGTTGGCTTTTCGTGCGACCGCTATTGCAGTGCCAGCGATCTCGAATACATAGTTGGCCAATGAGAACAAATCTCGGACTTCTAGAGCTGGGAGATCCTAGGAGACGAAGCTCAGCAACCACTAGCCTCCTGACACACTATCGTGTACGGATCGCAAGGCGAATCAAACCCGGTACGGGGCTACACTAGATGCGGCAAGCCAAGCACATCCCGATATGCCTGTATCAAAGAATGATTAGTGAACACACAGCTCTTCATCCTGATTACCCGCCAGCTCGTCTAATGTGAACTACAGATATGGGGTCGGACATCAAGCTCTACTGCCAACCTTACGCTAAAGTATAGGGTCAGAGCACATAAATTCAGAAACCAGAGAACTTCCCGGTTTTTGAGATACTGTCAATGGTGCCTGGAAAAGTGTAGTCCCGTGGTGAAAGACATTTCTATCGATATTCCCTTCTCAACTGACGGAAAGTCCTTTACATGGCTCATTAAATCTAGAAGTGCCAAGCAGTGGCTGAGACATACCCGGCAAAGGGACATTTGGCAGGATCGACATCGGAGGCAAGAAGATGGAAGGTGTCACGCAAGGGTCGTGTTCTGCCAATGCTTTATTTGGTACTAACTAGAAATATGAATAGCTTCGGGCTCTTGTTTCCAACTTTTCAACGATGCGCTGCAATGGAATGCGCTGCATTGGACAATTCGACCATGTGTCTAACGCTTTGGTGTCGAGCTGCAATGGAATGCGCTTGCACGTCAGCTAGCTACATCATGGCCTCGGAAAAATCAATCCGCACATCTTCAACGTATCGGTTTTTGGAGGTCCTTGCCCGGAAGATCCATCCACCAGCGCGAGATGTATTGTCGCATATGAAAGTCGGAAACATCAAAGATTATGTATGTTCAGCCGTAGAAGGGACAGTGTCAGTCTTTAGTATCATGCTTTCTGCTCATATGTCTGCGCCAAATATCCCTCCTTGTGAAGCCTTTCGTGGCGAATTCGCAGCCATCCACTGGACATAGGATCTGTCTCGCGCTCGCGTGAACTGTGCGTTGGTGGCGTTTCAGCGTTCGAGCTGCCTGAAAACTTTTATTGCAGTGCGGAACGAAGCAATGGTGAGATCGATTATGCTGGTGGGGTTGCTGCAATCTACACGCATTTTAGTGGCCGTCTTCGCGAACTCTGTTGCCACCAGGTTTGGACATTACCTCAAAGTTTCCAGACTTGGGCGGGGAGTCGGATAACCTGGTAGATTGGAGGACATCAAGGCTGACGTGGAAGACACGGTCAGATCTTGGGATCCCGCATGACTTCTTTGGCCGGATACCATGTGAGGAGTACCAGGGCTGAGAGGCGGCTCCAGATCGCCAATAGTACCGCCGTACCAGAGTTCCTCAGCCCAATCGTTGCATGCCAAGTCTGTGAATGAGGAATGCTGGGGAGTCTTGGGACGTGCATTGTCTGCGTTCGCCGCAAGAGAGTCGAAATTGCCAGTACCACGAGTTTGGATCGGGTTAGTACTCGATAACAGATATGCCCAGTCTTCACTTTCGGTCCAGCTTGATATTTGAGTCAATGTGGCCAAATCAAGGGACATATCATCTGATGCCCTTAGCTGTACAGTGGCATAGCTGCTCGAATCCCAGGACATCAATGCCTACGAGGATGTCAGCACTGCAACCCTGGCTGTGGAGAGGCAAGGACGTAGCACCTGTTGCCCCTGATAGCCACTCCATTGCGAATCGCCATAGTATCCGAATGGCCAGACATCTGTGTGTCCTGGTTCGGTCGACGGATCCAAGGGGCGGATATGGCGTGGCTAGAGCTTGGTGTCAGTACATTGTCACCGCGCAAGTCGTAAGATAATTTTGAGATATACCGAAAGCGAGGCATTAACCACTGCTGAGAGTTGATCAGGGGACGGGTGTGGCGCAGAAGCATCAAAACAAGGTTCGTGTAAATCATGGCTGTAATGCAAGAAATTGTTCGCAAAATCGGTGGATCGAAGATTACTTGATCCCAAGTCAAAAGCAGGAGCAGAAAGTAAGCATTGGCAGAGGTGTAAGCAATCAGCCAGGCCGCAAGCACTTAACCCCGGGCGGAGAAGCGTAGGCGACGCATCGTCAGATCGCGCATATTGTTCCGAGATTTGGTGACCTCGGGGGCGCAAAGACGCCCCCGCGAAGGAGACGGTGGGTGTGTAGAACTTGACAAGTAGTGATCCAAAGACAAACGTGCTGTGCACTGGTTTTTAATGCTGTACTGACACAAGTGCCAGCACCGCCGGCGGCATCCTCGCATGAAGTGTTGGCGTAGACCTCGAATATGATTGGCGACCACCAGCACCACCAGCGTCATTAGTGTAACCAGCAGCTGCAACTTGCAGCTTCCATGAGGCTTAGTCAGTAAGGCTGCGGCGGCTGCCAAGCTGCGATTTGAGGGCGATGCAGGACAGCATCGACACCTGCCAGTCTGTTGCGGACGTAGAGATATGTTTAATCCACATTTAATTCTGCTCTTGCATATGAACCCCTCACAATTATGCCAAATATGCATCTTCTTCCACTGTAAAGTATGTACTCCTTACAGTTGGCATGACGGAAGCATGAACATTCTTGTCCTGTCGATATCATATCCTTGTATACGTCGTTCAGGAGCGTGTTGCAACAAGCAAGCATGAGAGGATTCGTCTTCGGGAGGTGCGTGACTTATGGATCGGTGCAGAGGAGAGCCTCGCCGAGCTGTCGATCGGTTGGAGTCAGTACAACTGTGTTCTTCAGTTGGTAGAATGTGTGAAGACTGGCACCTACCAATGGCAAAGTGCAGCACTTGGCTGCATGACCAGATTCTGCGCAAGACTTCTTGAAAGCGGAGACAGAGGATGTGTCCTCAGCTGTGTTGGAATAGGAAATCAGTAAGGAAGGAATAATCGCTCGGTAATTCTGGTCATCACTTACGAGACTCGCAAGTCAGATCCAAGACTCCATCAACATCGACCTGGCAGCACTGAGGAGTGTCAAGAGCCGGGCACACATCGGAAGGAGCACGCTCGGCGAGCTTGGCGGGAATTGTGCCTGCAGCGGCGAGTGAGGCAAGAGCGAGGATGATGAATTGCATGTTGAAGGTGATCTTGCTGCTGTTTGGCTGGGTCGTCGCTGATCGGCTGATTGAAGTGATGACGAGAATGATGTCGAGAATGGCGTGCTGGTGCTGGACTTATATATGTCTCTGTCGACTGCTCTGCCTCCGTCGTTCTGCTCATCTGCCACGACCTCGTTACCATACTCGCCGTTCAATCTATTGCTTTTCCATCCTCATGTCACATCTATCAGCTTATCTCTCGCCGCCGCGCTTGAAATGCGATGACCTCCGATGATCGTCTCTCCATCTTGGGAAATTGAGGCACTGTTGAGTCGCTGACGGCGTACGTGGGATGCCAGCAGACAGCACTAGTCAAGGAATAGGGCAAATTATTTGATCTAGTGCGCCAGAAGGCCCTGATCCGAGAACCAGATCGATGGAGATCTGGGATCCATCGAGATATCTCGTCTCTTCTCGTCGTATGGCCAGCCAGTACAGTGATCGTGTGCGGCTGTGAGGTTCGAACTCGTTCCCTGCAAATCCGAGACGTGAAAGCTAATATTTAGTGGGTATAAAGTCTAGATAGACCGCTGTTGGTAGTGATCGTCCGGCCGTCGGAAGATCGGCGGGTGCGAGACTTTAGGGTCAGCAGAGGACAGACGCGTCTTTGTGTTGTAAAAGTCGTTGTTGCAGTCGCTCATGCCGATGAGTGAGATTCTAGCATGTTCTTCCCGAAGCATTGTCGGAAAAGAATAGCTTGTGCGGCCGATATTGACGTTCCAACCCCCACAACCTAGTCACCTAAGACCCAGCAACTTATTCTCCGAATAAGCACTTCAGTGATAATCTTATAATGCGCCATGCATTCATAAAGTCAGATCTCACGTCTTGTCTTTGTGCAAGCCTCGTATAGTGCGAATACCAAGAAAGTTGGGCGGGCAGAAGGACGTTCGTTGCCGAGTGCATCAGAAAGATAACTATCCGTTGATCGACAGTGACCGTACATGTCGCACTTGGCCAGTGATGAAGTCGACCTCCACGGAGTGCGGCTACGATGCGGCGAAACTCTAGCCTGGAGTCTGATTCTTCCCTTTTCTGGATGTTTGGGAAAAGATAGCAGACAACGAAGCATCGGCTCGACCGGGATTCCCGGACTCGCCCGTCGCCCCTATGCGTTGGTCATTGGGACCTTGTACCTGCAGGATCGCCGCATCTCGCATCGCTGGCCGATAGGGTGATGACAGTATCTTCTCAAGTGCCGGAGCCTCATCCGCGATATGACATGGCAGCCCTGTCGTCATCTTCACATGTAAACAGGATGATGCATTTGGAATGCGACTTGGTGCCTCGGTGAGATCTCATGTAGGAGGTAGAAAATAAGAAAAGGAAAGGTGCTCAATAGACGGCGAAGTGTCGCGCGGCTTTCAGCGTACGTAAGCAGTGCACGGGTCACCTGCCTTTGTAGGCCATCAAAGTCCATTCGATATTTGATGCTCCTTTCATCAATGCTTGCTTGATTGTTCTGCTCGAAGCGCAGTTATTCCAAGCACAATCTTTCTCAGCTCGGTCCTCCACAATATCATATCTCGCCATCCGTTGCTCATGGAGCGTGACCGTGTCTAGTGATATGGACTCAGTCAGCAACAGGATCAACGATTTCGAAGTCCGTGGCCTGCCTCGCATTGCTGCTGCAGCGACCATTTGGACATCTCAGCCAGGCAATCCCATTTTTGTCTTCAGAGTAGGTGTCGTAGCTCGCGATGAAGGTTCCTCCACAATCAAAACATTTGCGTCGTACTTCGCCCCACTTCCCTTGCACGACTCTCGAGATCCGTCGGGATGCTGCTTGTGCTACCTCGATGGCAAAGTCGACGTTCTCAGCCATCAGCGCCACGAACGGTGACCTCTCTTCCTTATCGTCGGTAAATATGTCCCCTCTTCCGATAGAGTACTTCAAGACTGCCGCTTTCATTGCCGATGTTGGCCCAGGGGCGTCCCAGGTAGAGCGAATGGCGTCAAGTAGGTCTTCATTTGGAGCCTCCAATGCCTCAATGGCGGTGCGGAACTGGCACTCTGCAGCAAATTTCAAGTCTGACATTCTATACTTGTCCGCGATGATGCAAATCTGAGTGTGTGAAGTCAAGGGGGCGTGGTCTTCTGCCAGCTTGTATTCGAGCTTGTAGAGGTACTGAACGAGCGCGTCAACAGCCACGACCGGATCGGCGGAGAGATCGAGTCGTCCATTCTGAGTTTCCTGCCACCGAGATCGGATTAGCATCGTCTTAAACCAATCCGGGACCAAAGACTAACCTTCCATTCTCCTTGCGTGACTGCACGCAGCGCTCCATCATGTAAGCGGAGTACAAGCTTGTGCACTCGCCACTCCTTTTCGCCGCAAGTGATCGCGAAGTCAGAGAGGTCTGTGTCATCCTCCTGGGCGTTTGCCAGTCTATTTACAAGCTTCTTTCGCGCTGTTCCAGCAGCCATGGTGACCGACATGGCGCGCTGTAGGCCACTATGGGTGAAATTGAGATGTCAGCGGAGGAGGTTGTGGTGAAGCCGCGCGGAAAGACACGACAGCTCATTCCAGTTCGGGCACCACGTCATTTCTTCGACTTTCAGAATCACCGGCACCTGCCTGAGGCGATCAAGTCAGACGTCACGAGCACGAGCCTTTGGCTGATTCACCTGAACGGATCTCACCAGTTGTCAGCAATTAAGCTATTTGTGTGTTATTCCAGTGGTACAGTACTCCAACGCTTGACTCGACTCACTAACTTTCTGCAGCTGAAAACAGATATCTCAGGATCTCAATCTTTGCCAGCCAATACTCAAGCTGGTCCGCGGTGGGAAAGGCTAATACGCATAGTCGACCGATTCCCAATCCCAAACCCTGCGGGCCTCGCTTTCGCAGTAGCCATCAGGGCACACCATACTCTGCTCCTTATCTTTGTTGCGTTCCAGATAACTGGTGTCGAGAATGAAAGTCCCTCCACAAGTTTCGCACTGGAACCGTTCCTCACCGTCTCTCGCAGCGATCACTCCTTGCAACTCATTTCGACGCATGGCTGCTTCCATGAAGTCGCGAGCGATGGCCGGGTTGCCGAATACGACCTCGGTGAACCTAGAACCCTTATATTTCTTGTCTGTGAAGAAGTCTTCGGTGCCGACAGTGTGCTTAAAGATAGCTTCCTGGATAGTGGTGGTCGTGTCTGGTGCGCCGTATGCGATAGCAAGAGCATCAGCCAAATCATCGTGCGGTTCCTCGATAAATCTGATACTCTCTCCAAATTTGGTCTCTGCAAGCTCTGCAAGATCGTGGAGCTTGTATTTATCCGCAGCGATAAGAACTTGTGTGTGCAAGCTCAGCTCGCGGTCAGATTCAGTTGCGGGAACTTCGTAGTCAAAGCGGTAAAGGTACTGAACCAGTGCGTCAATGGCTGAGGCTGGATCGGCTGAGAGATCAATCCTACCCTGTTGCGCTTCCTAACAAGCAATTGCAACGTGTCAGCAAGGTGTGCATCATGGGGTTCTCGGAGATATTTACCTTCCAATCACCCTGACATGCCGCAGCCAAAGGTCCATTGTGTAGGCGCAGTAGGAACTTGTGCACACGCCATTCGCGTTCGCCACAGGAAATCACGAAGTCGGTCAAGTCTGCAATATTCGCTTGTGCAGCACACAGCTCAGTGCGAAGAGTGTTTGGCATGCTCCGCAAAAGAGGCATCATCGTCGAAGAATGGCTGGGTGTCCTGTCGTGTTCGGGATGATGAAAAGATGTTGTCGCAGGATTTGGAGCAGAGGTAGTGCACAGAGGCTATTTCTGCTCCAACCAGTCAGTTCACTTCCCAAATCACTTCACCATTGCGCAGTCGCCTGGTGTGAGCCAGCCAAACAACCTAGACCACTCACCTCACTTCCTAAATCAGCACTCCGGCCAAAACTCCCCTTCAACCCAAATAACCTGCCTCCAAACCGCCTCACACTCCCTCCAAACCCAACCTCCCTCTTCAACTCCCCACTCATCAACCAAATCCCCCAACCTCCTCACAAACCCCTCAAACTCCACACTCGTCCAATTCGGAATGAGCACCCTCTGCACAACATCCCCTTCCCCATCCCTCTTCCCATTCTCTTTCTCTTCTTTCTCCATCACCCCCCTCGCAAACCTCCAACTCCTCAAATAACACTCCTCCGTAGCCCAAAGCACAACCAACCCCACAATAACCGGTTTCCCACCACTCACACACCCCGCGAATAAATCTTTATAACATCTCGTCGCCTTCTCACATTCAACTTCCACGTCCTCCCCATCATTCCCGTCTCCCTCCTCCCCGCCACTCTTTTTCCCACAAAGCACCTCATTCTTCCACCCCTCCCCCTCCGCAACACTCTCAAACAACCTCACCTCTCGTCTAATATTCTCCAGCGCATCAATCAACACATCCGCAATTCTCCATTCTAGACTTTCTTCTCGTTTGGCGTGAGCTGGGATGCGGATGGCAGAGAGTAAAGAGCCGATGAAGTTGATGTAGGAGAGGGCGTAGAGTCGGTCTTGTGCGAGCCAGGTTTGGAGTTTTGGGGTGGGGAGAGATGCTGTGGCGGCGAGGGAGAGGAAAGGGTGGGTTGTGGCTTGGTGTAGAGAGGATGGGTCGAGGGAGAGGAGGTGAGTGGTTAGGGATTTGGTGGAATTTGAGGAAGGTGTGGGTGGCGGCATGGTTTTGGTTGAGAGGATGGGAGGGGGAGGTGTTGAGAGTAGAAAGGATTGCTTCGGGAAGAGAAGATAGACTGCTCAAGGTTTCCTGTTGCAGTCAGTAAGGATAGGAGCGCAATGTGTTTTCACAAAAGTCGTTGAAGCTGGAGATGGAATGACGTCTCGCTTCGCTCCACCTGGTGAAGTCAGAAACCCCGCGTGGGGTAGATCGATACGAGCTCCAGCTTCGACATCCGGCTGCGAGATTCTTCAGCAAAGAATGATGGAACGAGGTGTAACTCGCATTTTGAAAGCCTCTTATTGCATGTCAGCTATTTCGTGCACACTGTATGGCGTACTACCTGAGTCTCCCACGGCCCTTGCGCTTGTCGACGTCGTCCTTCGCTTCCGGAGTGCTCGACTGTAACCTCTACTCTTCTACCACCTGCGTCAACTGGATGGCAGGGACATTAGAACTCCATCGCAGCAGATGCGCGTTGGGAACCTTCTCTTGAACAGCTTGTCTTACATCCTCGCACGACGGAGCACAAACTCCGCTTCACTTTTGTGGGCTTCCTTGGTCAACTTTGAGAATTTTTGCTGGAAGTGTTCACTCAGCTCAGCCGTAGCCGGCGGCACCATTCAGGCCGTTGATGTCGCTCCCATTAGGAATGCCGAAGAATTCGAACCAATCTCCCACATTAAGAGTCGTCGGCACAATCGGCCCGCCGGCACTACTCGAGTTGCTCCACGCGTCATCTTGCTGAGAGTTATTGCCCATATTCAGCTGAGACCACGCGGCTGGATCCTGCTGGTAATGCATTGACTGTCCTTCGCCCATCGACATCTGACCTTGCATTTGTGGTGTTGACAACGGATGCGAGAACTGTGGGTTGGAGTGCGACTGTGCCCGTAATGCCGGATCGACCATCTGGTTAGGACTGTTCGAGGTGACCGGGAAGAGACCATTCGTTTCGGGAGGGAAGAGCTGTTCCGGTTGATAATTCTGCCACAGATCTTCGGAGATCTTCGGCGAGTTCCGCGTGTGGAGGAAGACATCGGGGGAACCCAATCGCGACCAAGGCAATGCGTGGAAGGCCGGTGTGGTCGGCCTCGTGTTGGACCGTGAGGCTCCCATGAACGTATCGGTAGCTTGACGCAAAGGCGGGCTTCCAGCGGTCATCTGTGGCATCTGTGGTGTCTGCTGGGCGTTTTGGCCAGTACCAGGCAACTCGCGAGAGGGAGTGATGGCTGGTGAGACAGGTCGTGATCGCTCGTACGACATTTGCGGCGCAGGCGGCCCATTGGCGAAGCCCATTTCCATCTCGTCGAATTTGCGCTTTTGAGCCTCTGCGGCATCCGGCACAACCGGCGTACCCTTACTCGCCTTGCTGCTCGCTCCATTGTGTTTGGTCTTAGCGTGGCGGCGACCTGCAGCTTTCTGGAGCCTATCCTCGAGGTGTTTGTTGCCAAGGATCGATTCGAACAGGGTGTGGACCATCTTAGCGACCAGCCAAGTTTTTGAAACATCCTTGAGCGCGTTCATGCAGACCTGTAACCGCTGTTGTGTAGCCGAAACGATTGATTGATTCGAGGACCGCATCTGGTACACGTGCATGATCAGTGCAGAGAACAAGCTGTAGACACTACAATCGTTGTTAGTCTTCCACGCGAGCACGACAACACTGATCACAGGACTCACATGAAGGCAGGCGCATAGCGCAATTGTTCGTGATTTTGCAGTGCCTCAATAATCGATGTGATCATGGCGGCGGCCTGGTATGCAATAGTTCGCGAAGGGTACGCAGTCTCCTCAGGGTAGCCGTTCGTGGGGCGCGATCCTGGTGATCCAGCTGGAGGCATGTGAGCCCTGTGCAAGAGACACAGTGTCGTACTGTATGAAGTTAGTCCGTCGTTCCGTCGTCACACCCGTGATACTTACTAATAATTTGAATGTAACAACGCAGACCAGAAATGGTGCCGTTGTGGCTCCCACCTCACCTCTTGAGGACAGTTCTGGAGCCAATCCGCGAGTGCCATATCGCTGTGTGTCAGGTCCAGTGCATTGTTCCGCGGTAATTTGGAAGCGACAGAGTACTGTTGAGAGAGGACCAAACCCATGATCTCGCACAGCTTGACATAGTTGAGGAAGAACTGTACGTGAATCGGGTCCGGAGGATATTCTGCTGGCCGGTCGGGCTCGTCGTCGATAAAGTCGTCAGGTGAGACCATCTCCACGTCCGAGTCGTCGATGTTAATGCAAACCGGGCGGCCGAGAGCAACAGCGACAGATCTGTCACGCGTGAACAAGGTCCACCAAATGCGCTTCCAGAGCCTCTTGTCAGTTTTGCTGAGTTGTGAGCCTTCGACGCTGTTTCATGTCAGTAGTCAGCCCAATACACGGATGCTGATGTACAGACCTTCGATGCATTCCGGAACCCTGTGCGACAATGACGGCTACTCTGCTCCAGTAGAAAACATTCTTTGTTACGTCTGCACCAATGTCAGACTGAGCAGGAACTGACCTATCCATTTTTGCCCTATCCTTACCCTCTGGTCCTTCCCAATACCATCCCATGAGGATGAGGGCTTGGACGATTGTGACTCTATCATCTTCGTAGTTGGCGTCGTAAAGTGCCTTTGCACGCTTGTAGAACGTCATTGCCGCAGGGGTAGTAGATCCATTCGCGTCCATGAGCTGTGGGTTATTGCAGACTCGTGAGCCGGCGAGCAGAATTGATTGTAGAAGGAGAAGTGAAGGGGGATTTTTCGAATCACGATAGCGCCGCATGAACTTGCTCCGATTGATGACCGGCACCACGGGAGCGATCCATGTGAAATATGCGTCCACCAGTTCGTCGCAAAGCTGTCGTGGAGGCAGCAGGAACGCTCCTCTTTGGTGCAGAATGTCAATCTCGACGTTATCCAGTTCGTTGATCCGCGCTCGCGTTCCTCTGACATTTTCCGGCAGAGGATAGTGAACCACGTCGGTCGTCCCGTGTCGATCCTGGACCAGTAATGATAGATTCGAAGACTCGCCGAGATATGCCACGCGACCTGCTTCCTTAATCGGGGCACGAGCAAATTTGGGCTTCATGAACTGCGCATAGGTGCCGTTGGTCGCCTGCTGACCAGCATAGTAGGATTCGGAGCCCTCCACTTTCGGCATCCCCGCTGGAGTGTTCATGCCGATCTGTTCGGGCTCTACTTCCCGGGACATGACCATTTCGCCTCTGGTCGGGAATGTGGTGCTCGTGGTGCTCTGAGGCGCGGCGGGTGAGCGGTCATCTTTGATCGATTCTGTGCGGTCGCGCTCGCTGTTTGTCCTGTGGTCAGCCACTGCTGCCTGCACCTTCCTTGCATATGCATCGCACCTTTCGCTATCCTTTTTTGCCGCCGTCTTCTTCCGCTTGGGAGTGGGAATTTTGCATTCGATGGAGAAGGCCACGCAGTTGGTGCATGGCACACCGAGACTAGCGGCATCGCAACGGACCTGCAGACGTGAGTTTCTGGGCATGCGCGACGCTGCAGATTGAATTTACCTTGCGCGCATGACATGTCTGAATAGTGTTAGCATAGCACCGGATGCGTATACACACTGCAATGCACTCACTTCACAAGCTCGCGATGCGCGTTGTCTGTGCATGCGCCGTTAGCCACGCTGCGTCCCAGCACCTCGCGTTGTCTCACACACGTACCGTCGAAATGATGGATGTCCGGGAATCTGATCTTTCGGTGCGGCCGAGGATGTCGCAGGACCACCGCCGCCGCCGGGCGACACGCCTGTCGAGGACGCTGGGTTCGGCGGATCGGGATTGGAGGTTGCGGCGGCGAGAGGGCGCGGTTCGGCCATGGTGAAGCTTGAATGGCGGGCGCGTTGTGATAGTGACGGGCGCTGGTTCACGTTCGCAGGGCTGTGCTGGCCATCGCCCGCGGCTTCCGACAGGTGCGACTCCGGCGACGCTGCGTCGTCGTCGTGGTGTGCTGCTGGTGTCGCGGGCTGCGAGCGCAGTGGGAGCGCGAGGTGTAGCTGTGCAGAGTGCATGTGAGCCGGCAAGGATCCAGGCCACTAGCGTTTGCGGGGATCTTGGTATTATTTACAAACATCTCCTCCACCACCAGCCCTCCGCGTGCTCCAGTGGCTGTCTATATGCTCTGCTCATATGCTGCCGCCCGTAGCTTGGCCGTCATGCTGCCCTACATCATGCTGTCTGCTCCGGAGCGCCCCGACTACAGCATCACTCGCTGATCTCAGAGGTGAAGTGCAGCTGCCAGAGATGCCTCGGCGATTCTGGCCCTGCTTCTCTGCTCTCCCACCTGCTTTCGGTTCCTCTCTACACGAACAGCGTGCCAGCGATCATCATCAGGCAACCACCCAAGCCCCTTCGCACAAATGCATCTCGGCGGAAATGCAACTATACGCCCCACGGTGCCTGTTGGATCTGGGCCTGCTGCCACGCTAGCTAATGTAGCCGCCTCTCAGGCCAAGATGCATCCGGTTCCTGGCGTTCGTGCTATATGCGCCTCTCGCACGGTTCGGAGAGCCTGGGCGTCACCTCTCCACAGAAGCGCCGACATACTTGCCTGATCAAGCCCGGCAGTTGGCATCCAACGACCATATTCTGCTGGTCTGCATACGATCATCAACACGCGATTTCAACCATGCACGATGCCAAGCTGGATCTAGATCCGAGTGATTGCTCATCAGGTCCGCGCTATACCGTACGACCTTCAGTCATGAAACGAAGCTCTGCAGACCCCAGATGAGGCGCAAGACGGTGTGCGAGCCTCCTCCACAACCAAGCAAGCTTCCCGTTTATGCTTGAAGTGCTGGATCGCGAAATGTCCCGCGTGCGACGCCATGGCAAGATTTTGGCATCATGACAATTAGCGCTCACTGGGGCTCGCCGAATTCAGCCGCATCTGGTAACGAACCCGCCAATTGCATGACCCTCATTGGTCATCGCTCGAACGGCAGACAAACTTCACCTGGATCTTCCTCCACGTGGAGCTGAGGCACGACATTGAGGTGATGAATAATGATCTCCTTCTTGAAAAAGTATACGATCGTCTATGAAGACCTGCAACCACAGCCTGGAGCTGCCCAGGCATCTGCACTTGGCCCGCAAGGTCAAGTCTACTAATTTAGTGCCTTGCCATTACCACAGTGGGCCATCCAGACATGACTTGCAGCGATGTCTTCACGATCCAGACGTGAATTCTGCACTGCGGCAGCGTACAGCCATGCAATTGCCTCAAATAGCATAGTCGTAAGCTCGTGAAGTCGGTGGGAAGAGATCCAGTCATTGCTAGTCACACTGAATGTGAGCAAGTTGACTTGTGCAAACCGACTGACTGCTCACCAGAGACAGCTCGCAGAATGTGAGGAAGACCACAGCAGTCCCAACATTTATAACTGTATAGCTCTATTCCCAGCTCGCTCTGCGGCAAATCTTTACTCCAGCGACCTCGGCACGATTTACCTCGCCTAAGCCCCGCCATAGCATGTCGAGACGAACAAATGACAAGCTCAACCTTGCTTGGCGAGACATATCATCATCAAATCCAATAGTGCTTCTTGATTGACTGAGTGGGCGCTTCGTGCTAGAATTGACGTGATACACCAGTCGAGCGAGAAATGCTCTGGAAGTCAGAACACCCCGATCTGGACAGTAAGAGACACGCACAGATCTAGGCCATTGGCAAAGCTGATTCCTGGCCAAAGTACCTAGCAATGTGACGACTTGGGAATGGGCGTTTGAATCGAAAGAATACTCGCCAACACAATACGCAGAGCCAGAAAACATTGGCTTCTACGAAAATGCCATCACGAAAGAACGCTTGAACTACTCCCAAGTCAAAGATGTTGCAACAAAATTAAGCACTGCTTTGGTGCGTGACTATGGACTTCGACCTGGAGAGACAGTGTCCATCCTGGCCACCAATACCGTATGGTACCCAGTCGCTCTGTGGTCAACGATCAGAGCCGGTGGACGCATCAATGGAGCCTCTCCGGGATACAATGTGGACGAGATGACTTATGCATTGAAAACTGCAAAGACGAAAATATTGTTCACTCTACCGAATTCGCTTGATGTTGCTGTCGCCGCGGCCAAGAATGCGGGCATCCCGTCAATCCAAGTGTTTCTGCTCGAAGGAAGCAGACCAGGCTTCAATAATATTCAAGATCTCCTTCACATCGGCTCGAGGTACGCTCCAGGTCGGCCATATAGCATTCCATCAGGGAAGACGAACGAAGAGATCTGCGGGTACCTCAACTTCAGCTCTGGCACAACAGGACTTCCCAAGGCAGTGATGCTCTCACACCATAACCTCATAGCCCAATGCCATCAGCTTCGCCAGCTGCAAGTCATCGAACCAGGAGAACGTCTCCAAGCGCTCGCCGTCACCCCCCTTTTCCACATCACAGGCCTCGTCCGATACATTCACTACCCAATCCTGATGAACGGCGTATCAATCATGCTCCCCTCCTTCGACATGGACTCCATGCTCCGCACCATCATCACCTACCGCATCCACGAACTAATCCTCGTCCCACCCATCGTCATCCGCATCGTCAAAGACCCCATCGTAACAAAATACCTCCCAGACCTCCAACGAATCGTCAAACGCTGGTCCTCAGGCTCCGCTCCCACTCCACCAGAAATCATCGCCCTCTTGCAAAAGAAATTCCCAAACACCGGTTTCCGTCAAGGCTACGGCGCTACAGAATCTACAGCTTGTATTTCCTGCCATCCATCCTCTCATTACGATTACAAATACGCAACCACAGGTGGGAAACTCTGCGCGAATACAGTCGCGAAAGTTCTCTCACTCGAAGATCCTACGAAATCTCTTGGACCGAACGAAACGGGGGAAATTTGTGCTCGAGGACCGCAAATCGCAATGGGATATCTCGATAATCCTATCGCTACAGCTGAAACTTTCGACAAAGAAGGTTTCTTCCACACAGGTGATGTAGGATATATCGACTCCGAAGGCTTAATCCACATCTCCGACCGTATAAAAGAAATGATCAAAGTTCGCGGTCAACAAGTGGCTCCTGCGGAATTGGAAGATGTGTTGCAAGGACATTCTGCTGTGGAGGATGTTGCGGTTTTGGGGATTGAAGATGAGTATTCTGGAGAAAAACCTAAGGCTTATGTTGTAGTGAAACAAGATGGTGGGTGGGAGGGGGAAGGGAGTGAGGAGTTGGGGAGGGAGTTGTTGGAGTATGTGAAAGAGAGGAAGAGTCGGTTTAAGTGGTTGAAGGAGGTGGAGTTTGTGAGGAGTGGGCAGGGGATTCCGAAGAGTCCGACGGGGAAGTTGTTGAGGAGGGTGTTGAAGGTGGGGGATAGGGATGGGAAGAGGGTGAGGGGGGTTGTTGTTAGGGAGGAGGGTGGAGCGGGTGGGAGGGCGAAGTTATAGAGATGGAATTGAATGTGGGTACGTATGCAAAAGCGAAATACAGCATCCGTGCATGATACAGTACATACCGTGCGTGAGATATGGCATCGCAATCGCATTTGTTGATGCTTCGGTAGCGTAGCCGATCAGCCCTAACAAGTCCGTGCGTCACTTCCATCTACGCGTGGAGATCGCGCTTCGATGTCAGCTCCTGCTCCAGTAGAAAAAAAGTGCACACACAGTACACGGGCAATGCAATAGCAAGCCTGATATCAGCTGGATTCGCACTGATTGCTTGCCAGAGCTTTACGATGGTCTTCTGCGTGGATTCTATTTCCGGCGACTGCTGTGCAACGATGCTTCCTTGCTGCGCCGCAGAGGCGCCCAGGCGTCCAGCTGAGCCCTCCCAGGCTGACGAGCGATATCACTCGTCATATCCTGTCCGCACGCCTGGGACATGAAGTGAGCAGATCACGACACTATGCGCTTCCTCGAAGTCGACGACGGCGACGGCTTCCGTCTCACCAGAGACTTCCCCGAGAACGATATCTCACGTACCTACGCGGTTCTTTCGCACACATGGGGTGAAGATGGGGACGAAGTTATATTTCAGGACATGCAACAGGGGGGCGGGACAGACAAGCCTGGGTTTGGGAAGATCAGGTTCTGCGCTGAGCGAGCACAATGTGACGGTATCAAGTACTTCTGGATCGATACTTGTTGCATTAACAAGAACAACCAGTTTGAGCTTTCCAAATCGATTATCTCGATGTTTCGGTGGTACCAACGCGCGGAGAAGTGCTACGTCTATCTCTCGGACGTCCCCCGGGACTCGAAAGAGCCAATCCGCGACACTGAGGACTGGGAGAAAGACTTCTGCGAGAGCAGATGGTTCAAGCGCGGCTGGACCTTGCAGGAGCTCCTTGCGCCTGCTTCGGTCGAGTTCTTTTCCAGACATGGGGTCAAGCTTGGAGACAAGGCAGGCCTAGAGCGGCAAATACGAGAAGTCACGAACATACCTGTTGCAGCGCTTCTGGGCAGGCCCTTGTCTTCTTTCACCAAGCATGAGCGGTTCTCCTGGCAACGGAGTCGGCAGACGAAAGAGGAGGAAGACATCGTATATTCTCTTATCGGCATATTCGACGTGTCGATACCAGTCCTTTATGGCGAGGGAAGGGATCACGCTCGAACAAGGCTGGACCGCGAAATTGACATTTCTCGCAAAGGTGAGTAGTACTCGTGATGAGTACGTTTTCCGTGGACTCTTAGGATATTTTTGGGTCTCATTTGACTTAGGACCGGATCACGAGTCATTCTCTGTCACCTTTGCGTCCCCTGAAGTAGCCGAGACCGCACACTTCGTAGCACGGGTATCCGAATTACGAGAAATACACGAGGTGCTAAGTTCCAGTGGCGTCCGGCGAGGTGTAACCATACATGGACTAGGCGGGATGGGCAAGACGCAATTGGCGATCGCATATGCAATGCAATACAAGGACGACTACTCGGCTGTGTTCTGGGTCAATGCTAAAGACGAAGACAGTTTGAAGCTGAGCTTCGGGAATATAGCAAAGCAGATCGCTCGTGAACATCCTTCCGCCGACGCAATGCGTAATGCAGCCAACAGCTCAGATCGCGACGAAGCTGTCAATGCTGTGAAACGGTGGCTCAATCTGGCGAACAACACCCGGTGGTTGATCATCTACGACAATTACGACAACCCCAAAATCCCAAGCAATACAGATTCATTCGCCCTCGATCTTCGTAAGTACGTTCCAGAGTCGCATCAAGGTTGCTTGATCGTCACGACTCGATCCTCAGAGGTTAGATTCGGTCAACAGATGCGAATTCGAAAACTGGAAACAATAGAGGACAGCTTGGCCATTCTGTCGCATAGCTGTGATCGAAGCCCGTTAGCAGACGGTGAGGATTCCAGTCCGCTTTTGGACAGTCACTAATGTACAACAATAGACCCCGACGCAGTCAAGCTCGCGAAGAAGCTAGATGGACTGCCTCTGGCTTTGGCCACTGCCGGTGCTTACCTGCGTCAAAAGTCCATGACTTTTACAGAATACTGTAATCTGTACCAGGCGTCATGGGCGAAGCTGCAACAGACCAGCCCGTCTCTGGACTCATACGAAGATAAGCAGTTGTACTCGACTTGGCAGATCTCTTTCGATCAGATTCAACAAAGAAACGAAGCCGCGGCCCAGCTACTGCGACTATGGGCGTACTTTGACAACGAAGACATCTGGTACGAACTTCTCTGCTACAAGCACGCGAAAAGGTACTTCCCAGCATGGCTTTGTAAGTTGACCGATGATGAGCTTGACTTCAACAGTGCAGTTCGGGTCCTATGCGACCATGGCATTGTAGATGCACATCCTCCTACGCGTGGACAAACGAACGGGTATAGCATGCATAGCTGCGTACATTCGTGGACCCGAGATGTTCTGAACGCCGAACCGGATGAGCATTTGGCAAGGACGGCCCTCTTTTGTGTCGCAAACTTCGTGCCGAACACAGATTCTGCCGAATGGTGGGTGATCCAGCGGCGTTTGTTCAATCATGCCAACAGGCAGCTTCATGGGCATGCGAGTGTTGGAGACGATGCAAGCTGGGCATGCTACCACCTTGGTGTGCTCTATCAGAACCAAGGCAAGCTAGCAGACGCAGAGGAGATGTACAATCGAGCACTACCGGGTCACGAGAGGAAACTAGGGCCGGATCACGAATCGACTCTTCTCACAGTTTGCAATCTTAGCGTTGTCTACAAAAGGCAAGGAAAGCTTGCCGAGGCAGAGAAGATGTGTGACCGAGCACTACAGAGCGCAGAAGGAACACTAGGGCCGGAACACATGTTGTCGCTTAGCACTGTCCATAATCTCGGCGACATCTATAGAAAGCAAGGCAAGCTGGTAGAGGCAGAGAAATTGTACGAACGAGTACTACAACGGGAAAGGAGGACACTAGGGCTGGATCATTCGTGGAATCTTGCTACAGTCAACAATCTCGGCTTGCTGTACGTTGACCAAGGCAAGTTAGCAGAGGCAGAAAAGATGTACGACCGAGCGCTGCAGGGGGGGGAGAGGGCACTCGGTCTCAATCATCCGTCAACGCTAGACACTGTCTGTAATCTCGGGACACTCTATGCAAGTCAAGGTAAGCTGGTAGAGGCAGAGCGGATGTATCAGCGGGCGCTGCAAGGCTATGAGATGGCACTCGGTCTCGATCACCTGTCAACGCTAGACACTGTACACAATCTCGGTTTACTCTACGAGAAACAAGGCAAGCTAGTAGAGGTGGAGGAGATGTATCAGCGGGCACTGCAGGGCTCTGAGAGAGCACTCGGACCTGATCACCCCTCAACGCTAGAGACTGTCCACAATCTCGGTTGCTTCTATCGCGATGGCGATCAAGGCAAGCTAGTAGAGGCGGAGAAATCGTTTCAGCAGGCACTGCAGGGCTTCATGAAGGCACTGGGACCCGATCACCCGTCAACGCTGGCCACAGTCTTTGAGATTGGCCGCCTCTATGCAAAGCAACGCAGGCGGCCGGAGGCGGAGCAGATGTATCATCGGCTAGTTGCGGCGCAGGACAATCTTTCGACAGATGTTCGTGATGAGTTCGCAATCTTCGAGCAAGAGCTGAGAGCACTGGGAGTGGAAAAATTTCCACTACGAAGACTACAAGGATCTAGTTCAAGCCAAGAGGAAGACGATTTAGAAACAACCGATCAGAGTCGGTCGGATGAAGTACAATCACACGATGGAAGCCGGTCCGATGATTCACAAACATCTGATCAAGGTGCGATTGAAGTGGGACGAGCATCGAGAAAACGCCAATTCGAAGAGCCGCAAGAATCAAGAAAACGCCTATGCGAAGTCCCACGAGTGCCCGATCAACGCCGGTATAATTTACGGACTACTCGCCCACACTCCAGCAAGAAGTGATACTCTTGATGATGTGGACCGGAGATGTAGGACCAGCTGAATTGCGACTTCGTCTGCGCGTTCCGCAGAGCCCATCTTTGTTGACAATGAGCAGGGGAGTGGCCTGGCAGATTTTGTACATTACATCTGCAACGACAAGGATCAATACCGGAGGCGAGAATAAATGCTGATCATCGAGGGAAGAGCAGCGTGTCTTGGAAGTTGCATCCTCGCGATGCCTGATGGGGAAGGCATCGGGTCTGCTTCGTACTGCAATTAGCAGTCCCAGCCATGAGAACGTTGCTTAACGGGCATCGAGCGACAAAGGTCTGGAGTGGCATTTGCGGCAAGGTACAGGGATCTAAATTTTCATATGCAGGCCAGAGAAGTTGCTTCATTGAGACCCGGTGAACGTCGAAGGCAGCGAACAGCAGGCCTCTTGCGCTTGCATTCTTCAATGGTATTCATGTCGATTGTGGGACATGACAAACATCAGTCAATGGCGAAGACACAGATTAATGCAGTATTGGAGACGGAATGGGACGCGAGGCAGAACGTTTATACAACAAAGAGATATTGCACTCTCGCCACGTTGCCAAGTCCGACTTTTTCGTATTTTCTTCCCTTTCAGTTGGTACGTTTTGTCTTCGCTCGGCACAATTCGCGTGCAAAATGGATACTGGCTGTCGATGTGATTACATGGCTTGACCCTTTCACAGGACTCGGACAATTCTTGGTTGCCTTGAACAGCGCGGCTGTGAAGCGATGCTCATTCAAACATACTAATACCTCGCACATCTTCTTATGGTAGGTTGCTGTCTCGAGCGCATTGCAGGCTGACGAGCTCAACACAGAGGCCGAACGGATTTTCCGTACAAATGTAACACTGCCTCGATTGCTCCGTTCGGCGTCTACTCGGACTTGGCTTTCTGCTTCAGTGCTTATCGTGTTGCCTATACTGCGGTCGGAGCTACTGGCGAGGCGGTGTGTATAGAGCGACTAGCTTAGGACCGCGAGACCGAATGATTGCGCCATCATGCTGGGATGCGCTTGAACGTCACTTCGAGGAAAGCAGGAGTGGAATAGGTGTTCTTCCGAGCATACTGATATGTCTTCGCATATAGATTCTGGATTGATGAAAAGCAGACCGCTGTCTGACAAGCTCACCAAACTGTAAATGCCGAGAAGCATTTGGATTATTCCCGGCCAACTCCATGTCAGCCACGAGGTTTCAGTGAGAGCGGCCGCGTCGCTAGTACCCCAGTATGAGATCAGCAGTTCCTGCCAAGTCGAGTGGGTTGTTCCTAGTTTTTGTATCCGAAATACAGCAATTGACCTGTCGTCTGTCTCGGGTCGGGTGTTCTGGGTTGACATTCAACACTTCAGACAAGATCCTCAGGGTCTGCGGGTGTCATCATCCCCAGGTCATCCCGGCCGTTTTTCTGCCGTGAAGAAAATTACAGTTGGAGACGTGTCGTGTGGAGATGAAGATGGAGAACCAGCGGTCACGAGTCGATGACTCCAGACAACTCCATTCCGGCGGGAACAGCATGTGATAAAAGGCAAAAAATGGTCGTTTCTGCAGCTCAAAGGGTGGACATGTGACAGAGAGTGTGAGGTCAGATCCTCCACAGTCGCAGAGTCGCGGCACCTTGTCGCTGGGCTCAATTTCGAGCTGCCACTAAACTCTTTTCGACGGCAGTCCTTTTTCATTGGTCCTTTCGTGGCTCTTATCTCTTGACCCTTCCTCGTGTACCTCTTTTCGACTTTCTCTTTACTTAATGGAAAGCTGATTTTACGCAACACATTCCATGGAAGTTTGCGCTTGTGTTCAGCATCTCAAAGATCGCTGCCGGTCAAGGCACGTCAGATTGTAAATTGTGGTAGGTCTTGGGGTCAGACTGCGCAGAGTTATTATCTCGCCCGCGCACAGCGCTCGCGTGCTCTCCGGCTGCGTTTCTTTCTGGCCCGGTGCTGAGGCATTTTACTGAATTGTTTTGTTGCGTCTTTTCGTGGTTGTTGCCAGCGTCGAGGCAGCGATCTGCAGTCTTTGACGAGGCATTTCTTCCATCCCAATGACCCCAAAGACGCTCGATCATCTCATCTTTCTCGCCGCCCTGTGCGGTCCTGCTGAACACGCCTAACTAGTGCTGCTTGGACTGGCCATTATCCCCGGGTTCGAACGGACTGCGCTCCTCCATATTATTCCTGGCGACACTGGTCACTACTGATAAGCGATCATCTCTTCGCCGCACTGGATCTGGAGATAACTGACACCTGGCTCCTGCATATCGCGCCGTGCAACAGCTGGATCGTCCTGCTGACAATAGCCAAGCGCGGCCTGTCGTGCCTATCTACATATTCACCTATCAGCACACTACGTCAAAGCCCTTCGCCACTCGAGCGGACATGGCTACAGCGATCGCCATTGCCCCCATGGCCCCACCACCTTCTCCTCGCCCCATTGCCGCCTGGTCCTCTCCCAAACAACAGACCGCCGGGGAAGGCAAGGAAAACCGCCCAGCTTTGAAGCAGGTCCAAAGCACCACACCACCTGCCAAGCCCAAGAGAGAACGACCCTGCGACGGCTGTAGACGCCGCAAGTCCAAGTGTGTGCTGCAAGAGAACCGCAAATGCGTTCTCTGCGAGTTCCACAAACAGGAATGCACGTTTGTGGAGAACGCACAGCCCAGGAAGCGCAAAGCGCCGGACGATGCATCGAAGAACGATAGCAGCAGCCCCATGAAGAAGAGTAGCCCTGTCGCTCAGCGTAAAGCAGTCGCTGTTCCTCCTGCTGTCAGGGCCGTCTCTGTTCCTCATTCGGAACCCATCTCACTACCGGTGTCCAGTCAGCCCCCGATGAGGAAGCCTTTTGCAGTGGACGAGTCATTGAGCTTGCAGAGACATCGACACTGCAAGTACTTGGGCCAGACGACGCCATTGGATGCTTCTCTCATAGGGCTGGGAACGTTCAATGACAAGAACGAGACCCAGTCACGGCTCGGCACGCTTCGTCAGGTCACGAGCACTGAGTACTTTAGCACACATGACGATGCCAGTGTTGCGATACCTGACGATGAAGCTCGTGCTCTGAAAGAGATTGAGCAAGTCGTCGGCAGCCATGGCCCTGCTCTGATCGACATCTACTTCCGCAATGTGCATCCCAGCTATCCGATCATTCAGAAGCAGGCCTTCCTCGATCGACATCGACATGGTGACAGGCACTTCAACCCACCTTTACTTGCTGCGATGTACTTGATGGCACTCGTTTGGTGGGAACATGACCCGGCATTGGCTTCACATCCTAAACCAGATGTCACGAGACTGGAATACATCGCGATGGCCAGCTTGACGATCGCAATGCAGAGACCAAAGATCTCTGCAGTACAAGCAGGACTTCTACTGCTGCAACGTGCAAAAGCCAGCACATGGACACTGACAGTCCAGCTCGTCGCACTCGGCCAGGACATTGGCCTTCACCTCGACTGCTCCGACTGGTCAATACCACGTTGGGAGCGATTACTTCGCAAACGACTAGCATGGGCCTTATACATGCAAGACAAATGGAGCGCCGTCATCTACGGTCGTCCATCTCACATCAACGCATCCGACTGGAACGTCCCGCAACCCACCGAAGACGACTTCGACGAAAGCATCGACTCCGCCAACAACACCTCGTCCGAAGAAGTCGACTCCTACTCCACCAAAGGCCGCATGGTCTTCATGCAAATGATCTCCCTCACAGCAATCATGGCCGAAGTCTGCGAAACCTTCTACAGCGAAACAGCCAAAGCGCAATTCGCCCAAGCAGGTCGCTTCGCAACACAACTCGTCCTCAATCGCGCAAAACCTGTGCAACTCAAATTGAAGGACTGGATTGCTAAGCTGCCCGCATCTTGCAAAATGGACAGTTTCACACCTGGAACTCTTTCTCCGCAAGGCTACCTCCACCTCGCCTACTTCGCAACAGAAATCAGTATCCACCGCCGCATCGTGCAATCCCTCGATAGCAGCGCCACATCCACAACCCCCTCCACTCAGAATCTACAGTCTAGTACAATCGACCCCTACCTCCTCTACATCTGCCGCTCCGCCGCCAAAACCCGCCTCATCTCCGCCTTGGACTTCGTCAACCGCCTCAAACCCGAACACTTGAACGCATTCTGGTACTTCCCCTCCTCTTCAAATTTCGCTCTCATCGGGACTTTCGGCGCTTTATTACAAACGACTTCACCAGGAAAAGAGGAAAGCCATTTTTATGCTTGTAGATTGAATGAGTTTCGTTGGACGTTGACGGTTAGTAGGAGGAAAGCGGGGTGGATTGAGAGGGCGTTGGAGATGTTGGGTGCGACGGGGAAGTTGTTGAGGGGTTTGCCGGAGAAGCCGAGTTTGGGGCATGAGAGTGGGTTGGGTGGTGGGATGGGAGGGAGTGGGATGGGGGCAATACAGCAGGTGCAAGCACCGTTTGGGAGGTTTGAGAGGCGGGAGGAGTTTGATGAGAGGGAGGAGGAGGAGATTTATGAGGATGAGGATATGGATATGGAGTGATGGGTTTTGTGCTTCTTTTGCAGGCGGGATACCATGCTGAGCACCACAGAGTGCATGAGTGACAGCGAGTCCTGCCCATCTTGGTAACGACATTTACGATAGACACATGATTTATATGCATGGCTAGAGGGTTTGGGATATAGATATCCGACATTGGTGTCGGGACAACAGGAAGCGATGGGATATCTTGGGAATGAAACAAACGAGTTCTATCATGAAACTTCATTTCTTGTCATTGTCATCAATTCTTCTGGTATCATTTGAATTTATCTTTCTAAGCAACAGTGCATTTGAACGGAAGACCACAAGGTCCCTTGCTGTCATCATCCTTCTCTTGCGGCGCAGAAGATGAACCTGTCTGCTTCTGTTGTGATTGTGTTTGCTGTTGTGATGCTTGTCCTTCTGACTTCAAATTGCCATTCCCTGCAGCAGCAGTGGTCGTCCCATTCTGACCCGCTGTGCTATTCTCCTGCTTCCCCGCAGCACCGCCATCTAGTCACGCGAAGTTGACGCGAGCCACGGCCTCGTAGAATTGCTTTCCGTGAGCTTGAGCGAGCTCGATCTCCTTGGCTGAAGGCTGGCGAGAGCCGTCAGCGCCAGAGAAGGTTCCGGCACCCCAGGCGGAGCCACCGCGGACTTCGGAAAGGTCGGCGAGGAGGGCGAAGGTGGTCTTGTAGCCCAGTGGAACGTAGATGAAGCCGTGGTGGGCGAGGGTGCTCATGGCGGCGATGGCGGTGGATTCTTGACCTCCGCCGAGAGTGCCAGTGGAGATGAAGAGACCGGCGTACTGTGAGATGTGTTAGTATGATCATACTCGCGACTGACTCGTTCGAGAATATCGCTCACCTTGCCCCAGAAAGCACCAGTCTGCCATTGGCCTCCAGTGCGGTCCCAGAAAGCCTTCCATTGTGCTGGGAAGTTACCGTATCGGGTTGGGATACCGAAGAGGAAAGCGTCGTATTGCTCGAGCTGCTTTGGGTCGGTGAGGGTTGGGTAGCTGGCCTTTGCAGGTGCGTGCATCTTGCTCAGGACCTCCTCGGAGAGAGTCTCCTCGACTTGGTAAATGTCGACCTGGCCGCCAGCAGCCTTGATGCCCTCGGCCTCAGCCTCAGCCAGCTTAGTGACATGGCCGTACATGGAGTACTATTGTTAGACATTCATGGTCAGCTCATGCTTTCGCAGAAGTGGTTGAAGGTGGGGTGCTGTCGAGCACTTACGAAGAGAATGGCGATCTTTGGAGCCATCGTGAGTGATTTCAGCTGTGTTTCTTGGGTGTGTGAAGTGTACGCGAGAAGAAGCAAGAGTAGTCAGTGGGGGCAGTGGGCTGAAAGCAGGCCGTTCCACTTCTTATACAGCTTCCTCGTTGCAGCAAGCCCTCCTGCTGCTCACAGCACCATCAACACGCAACCGAAGCTTCATGCATCATCAGCGCCGGAGCGCGCATCCAGAATGCCCCAAAGCAGGATATTAGCAGCGCAGAAGCCACAACGCTAGCTGAGAGTGTATGTTTACTGGAATTTATAATGATGCATAAGTGCATTACCGAAGGCGTGCCTGCGGGTGATCGCCGGGCCTGGCTTTGTGATGCTTTGTCAATGGCTCGGCGAACTTGTACGGACCAATTCCGGATCGCAAAGCAGGTAAAACACGAGCGGCGTGTTGTGAGCCCATGTCAAGTCGAGTAGATCGAGCGATGGAGGAGAAGACTGCTGGCAGTCTGGACTGCATTTGCGGAGAGTGGGGGAAACGTTGTTGCTCTGGTTGTGATGAAGCTGCAAGGCCACTCGGCGACCCGTCAGGCAGGGAGCGGGAGTGCCTGCCGATCGGAGACTGAGCCGGCACGGCCAAAAGCTGTGGCAGTGACGTGCTGCGAATTTTGGCAACTTCAAGCTGGACTTTGTAAGTGAGGTGAATCGAGCGCGTGTTCATTCTGGCATCACGTTCTGGCTTGCATCGCCTCGTTACGTACCGAAGATTGAATACCGCCAATCTGCGGCGCCATCTCAGCAACCATGGCCGACGACGAAGAAGATGACTACCTCAACATGACCTTCGAAGAAACCCCAGCCAAAAAGGAAACTTCCCTACAAAGAACAGCCCGCCTCAAAAAAGAAGCCCTCGAACGCGGAAAAGTAAAATCCAAAGCCGAACGAGCGGAAGAAGAACGTCAAAAACTCGAAACAGCTCTCGCCACAGAACTCGACAGTTCCAACAAAGGTGCCAAAATGATGGCAAAAATGGGGTTTAAAGGTGGCGCGCTTGGCAAAACTGAAGGTGCAAGGACGCGACCGATTGAGGTTCAGATTAAAGAGGACCGAGGTGGCATTGGAATGGAGAATGATCGGAAGAGGAAAATTCGGGAGGCGGCGGAGGCGATGGATGTTAAGGAGAAGAAGGTTAAGCTTACTGCGGAGGAGTATCGAGAGAGGAATCGGGCGGAGGTTGAGCAGAAGAGGTTTGAGGGGCAGATGTGGTCTGCGATGAGGACGCTGGAGGGGTTTGAGACGGAGGATGGGGAGGCTGTGGCAGATGGATCTGCGCCACGTGATACTCAGTCGACGTTGGAGAAGTCATCGAAGAAGGAGTTACCGCTACGATCTGTGAATCTGTTATGGCGACCTCTTGTCAAGCAGAGGCTTGAGAAGGAGAGGGAGCGGCGTATGCGCTATGATCTGGACCAGAGTCTGTCACGGCACAAAGACTACACGACTGCTGATGACGATGAAGACTTGGCGTATGGCAATGAGGTGGAAGAAGACTTGGAAGAAGAAGATCCAGAGCTGGATGAGTTTGAAGCCCTGCCTGTGGAAGACAGGCTGGAGAAGATACTGTCGTTTCTTCGTGAGAAGTACCACTACTGTTTCTGGTGCAAATACCGCTATGCCAGTGAGGAGGCATTGAGTGAGGATTGTCCAGGCCTTACAGAGGATGAGCATGGCTAGTATACGCTTCGAAGGAGGCGATCCCAAGTAGATAGACGAAATGAGCAGTTGTGCAATGCACAACTTTATGCAGCCACAGCCGACCAATCACAACTCGTCAAAGCGCGTCTCTGAACGCGTTCCTCAACTTCCTGTCTTCACGCTCCACATCATTTCCTGTCCATGCGATCATGGAATACGAAAAGTGCTATGTCTTCGAGCCAGAAGAAGACAACAGACCTGCCAAGAGAAGGCGTACAGAACCTCAAGGCCTGCAAGCATCCTGGAATCTGAGAAAGAAAGCGTATCACCAGGCATGGGGCGCCCAACAGCAGCGCATCAACGAGAGACTCGATACCATCAACGCATCAACAGTCAACGAGATCGCGAAGTTCCTGGGCGAGTCTTCTGCAGCGGGGAGTAGTACGCGCATTCCCACAGGTCTTATCCTCGCCGGCCCAAATTCTGCTCTGCGCAACTCTATCGCCTCTCAGCTTTCCAGCCTGAGCACAAATTCAGCGGCCAAAAGGTGCTTCGTATCACTGTCATCAGGATCTGGCTCAAACTTGAAAGCGCTACTCAAGATAATCAACCAGAAGGCCACCTCAACTACATCTACTGATGATGATGCCGACGAACTGGAAGAGACAACCACATCTCGCAAAGGTCCCAAGCGACTGAACTACGACTTGCAGATACTGTACGACTACGTGCAGGAACGAAAACTCCAGCAAGTTGTAATTGCCTTTGAAGACACGGAAGCCTTTGATCGCGACCTGCTGTCTGAACTCATTGAAATTCTGGCATGCTGGCAGGATCGCATTCCTTTTGCGTTTCTGCTAAACGTGGCAACATCAGTGGAGTTCCTGCAGCAAAGGCTATCGTCTGCCGCCATCAGATCTCTCGATGGCAAGCTGTTCGATGCAGCAGTGTCGACAGACGAAGTCGAGCAGGTTTTCGAGGTGCTCACAAGCCCAGAATCGGAGCTCTGGCTGGGTCCAAATTTGGCGTCAATGATCCTGGAACGACAAAGCGACTATATCCAAGGCATAGATAGTCTGGTACAGGCTACGCGGTATGCTTACATGTCACACCACTATGCCAATGCGACGAGCCTGCTGCTGGACCCGAACATTACGTTCAGAGACGTTCCGAAAGATCATTTTGAGGCTTTGCGCAATTTGCCAACTTTGCGTGACTATGCGAGACAATTGCTCGATGATGGAGAGACGGAGCAAGTGCGAGAGCTTCTCGACTCAGATCAAGCGCTTTTCGATTTTGCGAAAAAGAGCGTTGCAGCTGGGCGACAATCGCTTGCAGGCACGATGGCAGCAACGGAAGCAATCAGAAAGATTCAAGCATGCCTGCCGTCCACTCAAGTCTCCTCGAAGCCAAGCCTCTACATCCAAGCCATGTCTGGCAAGCTCACCGACTCGACCCTGATCAGATCACTCCTCTTAATCCTCCGCAAATCGCCTTCCGACGTAGCCCTCCAAGTCATCGAACAATTCCACTCCATCAGCCTATCTCCCAGAGCCGAAACAGAACTCCACACAATCGAAAAGGAACTCAAATCCCTCACAAAAGACCACCAAACCTCCACCAAACCCCTCCGCAGCGAAGACGACATCAAAAATTCCACCCTCCGAACCACAGTCGTCGCCCAAAAAGTCGAACTCAGCAAACAAAAATCCACCCTCTCCAAACAAGACGCAGCCTACACAGCCCTCGTCCGCCGCCTCTCAACTCTCCTCGAAACCTACTTCTCCCAACACCTCATCGGCGTAAAAGAACTCCCTCTCAATGAAATCTTCGTCTACGATTCCCGAACACCTTACAGAGAAGTTTTTATGCCTCGACCCCGTCACGCTGTGGAACGTGCTCTTGCTGCTCCGCATGATTATCTGGATTGTGAGTGTTGTGATCCGGGCACGAATGAGGAGGCGACGTTGTCGGGTACGCAGCCTGCTACGGCGATTTTGTATCAGCTTTATTTGGAGTCGGGGAGTTTGATTAATGTGCATGATTTGTGGAAGGCTTTCCAGGCGGTTATTGGGGATGATGAGGATGGAGAGGGAAGTGAGGAGAAGACTATGGCGTTGTTTCAGCGTTCGTTGGCGGATTTGAGGTATTTGGGTTTTGTGAAGAGTACGAGGAAGAGGGTGGATCATGTTGCGAAGGTGGCGTGGAGGGGGTTGTAGTGTGTGTGTGGTGTATCATCGCCCTCTATTGCCTTCTGCTGCGGTATGATATGCGATGCAGATCTCGAAGATCGTTGTGAGCCATTCGCTCCTGTCTTTACCTTCACCTGGGATGCATCCTAGTTTGCCGCCGGCTCTCAATGACACGCTGCCGACTTCGTAGCACTATTCCCCGCTCCACTAAACATCAGATACCCAACAGTAGCTCCAACGCCGACAGCGATCATAATCCAGCCATTGTAGGTCATGAACAGAAGCCTAGAATTTGCGCATCAGCGTCTCATCCTCCTGTCCTCCAAACATCTCAGCATGCGAAAAGTGCAACTTACATGATGAAGAACGAATAAAACACTTGAACACCATAGAGAATCGCTTTGATTAATTTTCCTTTCTTCTCCTCGGAAACAGACTGGGTTCCTGGGATCCAGAGGAGTGAGCTTCGTTCGTTGTGGGGGACGGAGTGTGTAGATGCGTCGTTCTCAGTATCTGGGAGGGTGACTTTTGATTTTGGGAAGAGGGTAAGTATCTCATTTTTGAGAAAATTAAAACAAAAGTTCTGAATCGAAGCGAAGAGGTGTGTGAATTTGAAGGACTCTGGGGATGTGATGATTCTGGGGCATCATCATCTTGATAGAAGCAAATTGTGGAGGACTTTCCAGCTCTTGTACACGGCCGACGCCTGCCTCGACGCGTGCCTGAAAACAGGAAACAGAACACAAAATATCAAAATCGGGGATATACTCACGTCCACCAGTCCTTCTCTCCAGCTGCTGTTCATATCTCCTACTCGCCTCCCGCACAGCTTCATACCCTGCTGTAAGCGCCACCACAGCAGCCAGCGACCAGATCAGGGACCACGCGCCGGAAATCCTCCAGCTGGAGAAGACGATGCAGAGGTTCGATGTGTCCCAGGTGAAGAGCATGTTCATGTTGCACATCATAGGCTCGTCGGGGGACCCGTGGCCCATGTGGCCGTGGTCCATGCCCGGCATGTTGCTGCCGCTACCGTGGTCCATGTGCGCATGTGGATCCATCTTGGAGGTCGAGGTCGTTTGGATTCTATACTGTGTATGATTTGGAGTGTGAGAGAAGAGGTGGATGGAGGTGAAGGTGAAGTAGTGTGGGATATGTATCAGCTGAGATGTTGATTAGTCCAGTAATGCGAGTGCCTTGGACAATAAGTGCTCATGACCCTTGCCGATCCGGAGTCGAGACGAGATCACATGCTGGCGTGCGTGTCGCTGTTGCAGTTTCTCCGAATGCCGATGCGCTCTAGGGTCCAGCTTCGAGGCTCCACATTAAATTTTTGGAGAGTCAAAGCAGAGGCAGGACGATTGAGCTGGACTTGCAACCAACATCTTTGTGATCTTGACATACTGCCCAAGATGTCTTCCATGATCACATCCACAGCATGGGTGCCTCGCGGCCACGCGGCGGCTTTCCCAACAAAGTACAACATGGACGACGAAGAGTACGCGCGAATCGCGAAGCTGGCGAAGCTCGAATTGGACGATGCGAAGGACGATTTGGAGAAGGCGAGAGAGTCGCTCAATAAAGTCAACATGGGCGAGGTCACAGAAGAGGAGGCGAAGAAAGAGATTGAGAAGGACGACAGCGAAAGCGACGACGATGATGATATCGCCAAAGACGACGACCTGGCCGAGTACGACATGGAGCACTATGATGACGAACCAGATTTGCCAGATGCAGAGGAGGAGGAAGAGGGGAACAACGGCATTTTCAGCAACATCAAGGCGCTGGCATATCATGCAGATGGGGAGAAAGATCCATATTTGACACTACCGGAAGGTGAAGCCTCGGACGATGAAGAGAGGGAAGAGCTGCAGATTCTGCCCACAGACAATATGGTTTTGGCAGCGAGGATAGAAGACGAGGTTGCGCATTTGGAGGTGTACGTGTACGAGGACGAAGCAGACAACCTCTATGTTCACCACGATGTCATGCTTCCTGCTGTGCCGCTGTGCGTTGAATGGATTGGGATGAAAGTCGGACAACCAGATGCTGGAGAGGGCGGCAACTTCGCGGCTGTTGGCACGATGGATCCGGACATCGAGCTTTGGGACTTGGACATCGTGGATTGCATGTATCCGAATGCTGTGCTGGGCCAAGGTTCGCAGTCACAAGAGGAGGCCCCGAAGAAGAAAAAGAAGAAGAGCAAGAAGGCGAACGAGAACTACCACGTTGATGCTGTGCTGTCACTGGCGGCGAACAGGAATCACAGGAACCTGCTTGCAAGTGCTTCGGCGGATAAGACGGTCAAGCTGTGGGATCTGAACACTTGCACAGCGGCACACTCGTACGAGCATCACACAGACAAAGTATGCGCGCTCGCATGGCATCCAACACAATCGGCGATCCTCCTGTCTGGGTCATACGATCGAACGATCGTAGCAGCAGACATGCGAGTCAAAGACGGCAAAGTTCCCCGCTGGGGTGTTGAAAGCGACGTCGAGCAGATCAAGTGGGATCCTCACAACGAGAACAACTTCTACGTCAGCACAGAATCCGGTGTCCTACATTGCTTCGACGCTCGACAACAACCCTCCACACCCGAAAAGAGCAAACCGCTCTGGCGTCTTCAAGCTCACGAGAGCGAGCTCTCAACTTTCTCTCTCAACCCCGCCGTCCCAGGCTTCATCGCCACGGGATCAACAGACAAGACAGTCAAGTTGTGGAACATCACAGAAGAATCAGGACCAAGCATGGTCACCTCTCGAGACCTCGAAGTTGGCAAAGTCTTCTCTGCGAACTTTGCTCCGGACAAGGAGATCGCATTCAGATTGGCTGTGGCGGGAAGCAAAGGCGCTGTACAGATCTGGGACACGAGTACGAACAAGGCCGTCCGAGAAGCTTTTGCTACGAGGGTCAAGATGCCCGAGGGAGATGTCAAGGAGAGACTTGTAGGGATTGAGCGCGATGATGAGGTCGAGGAAGAAGAGGCGGAGGCGGAGGAAAATGGAGGTGAGGGTGGTTGGGAGTCGATGGATGAAGATTAGAAGGTTGCAGGAGAGGCTGTCGCATGCATCGATCACTGTGCGGTCTGGAATACAGACATGACAAACTCGCTTCTGTCAGCTCCCGTCATTGGGGGAAAGGCGACGGCGATGTTGCCAGAACCAATCATCTGAGCGCACTTTGCCGGATGGCGACCACACTGGGGAACAGACGAGAAGGAGAGCGAGAAGTTTGAGCAGAGCCTGGCCAAGCGGCCGCTGGATGGAATCCATTCAGGCTACAGAGAACAATATCGAAGGCAAGCCGATGTCGATGTCTCGCTGCAGCGTGATATGTCCGCAACGATATTATGCCGTCTGGCAGACATTGCCGCCAAGATAACGAGATATCGCTGTAGCCCAGAGTCACTGGCCTCGCATGGCTTATTTGGTTCACTGTCACAACCTGGGGGCCAGGCCATTCCACTTCTTCGATAGCACGGAGTTACGAGCAGAATCAGAGGATTATTCCTGCACAATCAAACCGCATAGAAATGTTGCATTGTCGCATGATCATCGCCAGCTTTGAAACTGGGTTGCATATATGCTATTGCACTATCACCTTTTGAAGATCCGGATTTCTTGCACATTTCGTGAATTCAGAATCGCACTCACTCGCTATTTACGACTCAATAGAGGCTGGAGAGCACGACGTAGTAGTCGTTCGGTCCACATTCGTACGAATCAGCAATGTTGCTGCCACTCGATTTGTACCCCCTCAACAACCCTAAGCCTATCAGCCGTCAATTATCGTTAGGCGGAGAGTTCTTGGAGGCTAGCCAATAGGCCAATAGGCAGCGGAAGCGTCATCCCCAAGCTTGCGACAATAACCCGTATGAGGCAACGACGCGTATCGCAAAGAGATCTTGCTATCAGTAAGTGTTCGCATAGGTTGAGCTCGCATCATGACTTTCTGATGATTGTGCGAGCAATCTATCACGATGAATGAGGATGAGGATGATGAATTATCGGGGTCGAAGTCGCGTCGCGACTTGACCAAATCCGGTCTTGGCGCGTAGGCACCACAGATCTCGACGCGACTTCCTCCACGTTCCACTTCCTTCACTTTGCCATCATCGCCCTTTGCATACCATCTCCTACAATCAGCTTCTGCCCTTACCCCTTGCTCTGTTGAACGAACGCAGCGTGGAAGTTGTCGTGAACCTTTTTCACACACAAGCGCCGCATCTATCATATGGCAAAGTCAACGCTTAAGAAGCCCATGTCTTGGACAATCTACATCAAGTCGGAATGGCTGCCCCTCAGCGGTCCGATGATTGACGGCTGAAGACTGTGGAGCAGCGATCAATCCGTCATTCGTCCAGATCCCAATCTTTTGGGCTCACGTCTTGACTGGCAATGACAACGGTGACTCAATCGGATATCCATGGACGGCAATCTCAATTGAAAGTTCGCGCGTGACGAGATTTGATGTATCGGTATTCCAGCCTGGAGCTTCGGTTATCTTGTAGCTTCTTGCACGATATGTTGCTCCCAGAAAGGAAGGCTAGAAGGAGACGCTTGGCAGACACCTCAGGCATCACTAATAGCCTTCGAAATTCTGGCCTTCAACTGCAGCATGGCAACATGGCATTGTCGGCACCGAGCTTGAACGGACTAGACTCCTTGGCCGTCTCGCTCAAGACTCCTGAACAACGTGGCACGCGGACAAGACCGACCTCTAATGCAAATTAAAGAAGCTCTATCTCCATGCAACAAACCTTCCGGGATAGCGTCTGCTCGCCATGTGGTCTGCTCTCAGCCGCAAGTCTGGTGGCTTCAAACTCTTGCCTGTTACTCGCTGTCATACGTCTTTGACTTCCTTTGCGATTGCACGAGAGTTCAGCCATAACAAGACGTCTTCGCGGCTCAGCAGCTCGTGGTCAGCCATGGAGAGTCTCGCATGGCATCTGCAGTCGGGCTGGCAGCGCGTGGCTAGCCGGTTGGAGAGCGCTGCATGAGAGACCATGAGTATGGCTGAACGACCATGCCAGAAAGAACCAAGCTGGCGCAGAGGCGCTCTGTAAACTCTTCTAGAGTTCTCATACACTTGCCGTCGTGGAGCTTCCAACAATTCGAGCCGCAATCACGAAGCTTTAGGTAGGTTCTGATCCCCTGCCGCTGGTTTCTGTTCCGCCCACATTCTCAATAATCGTATACTTTCGTCGTACGCCGTGCTGGCACTCCAGACGATGCTATCGGCCGCGGTGTGGACGTTCTGCCTGTCAGCATTGGCACATGGCTCACAACACACACCCGCAGATATCGTTAGGACGAACTTGGATACGCCGCTTCCCGAACAAGGCCATCCAATCCTAATCCCAGCAATACATCCGCATCTCAACAAACGAGACTTGAACCACCTTCAGCCTTCCAATGGAACCTCGATATTCTTCACAGAAGATGTACCGGTGTGGCGACGGGAGAAAGTGATCGCAGCTACCATCACGGCGCAGACACACTCGTTAGCAGTACCTCTGGATCATTCCGAGTGGATCAAGTCGGTGGTCTGTCGCCATGACTCCATGACGATCCAATTCACACATCGGGACGCTCTTGATCATGTTCGGGAACGATGGACAGCTGGAGAAATCACCTTCATCTCCGCCGCAGCAAGTTGCAGCACTCCCAATTCTGGACAACTCGGGTTCTTTCGTGCTTCTGCGCTGAACTTTGATCCTTGGAAAGCCATTGCGCATGCTACAGGCCGACTAAGCGAATTCAAGGACGCAGTCAGTGACTTTGATATCTCCTGGGGTACATTCGATACTGGCAGCACAGATCAGGCGCCCTTGCAGCGTCGCCAATATGGTTATCAAGCGCCCCCAACAATCCAGCCGGGCAAGTTCCTGCCTTCGTGTGATGCCATCCGCATCGAGAACGCCCCGCGCACGCGCATCTGTCATGTCCGAGGCTCGTTGAGGAGGACGTCTCCGCTAAAACGAGCTTATTCCTCACGAACGTTGACGAAGAAACAATGCGCACGAGACTGTCTGGCGAACAGCAAATGTGCATCATTCTCGTACTCGCACGCTCGCAAGCTGTGTTCCCTCTACAAGGATGGTCTGCAAAAGCAAGGCTTCACCGCAGCTAAGAAGACTTCCCAGTCCACGACCTTTTACTACCAACGTAACTGCTGGGGCTGCCAGGAACAGCGCTCGGGAGTTACCACCACCACTTCCTCGACGAGCAAAAGTACGGCAACATCATCGTCTACAAAATCGTTGAGTTCATCTTCTACGACATCGACGTCGAGGCAGACGACCACTTCCAGTAGCAGCAAGGCATCTACGACTAGCAGTCGGACAACGACGTCGAAGACATCGTCTTCGGCCACTGCCTCCAGTACCACCACGAAATCTTCGTCTACTGCTTCCAGGAGCAGCGCGACATCATCATCGTCTTCTACTACTACTACCAGTGGTACCTCCAGATCTAGCAGCACGACATCCTCGTCTACTACTATTACCAGTAGCACCTCCAGATCTAGCACCACGACATCCTCGTCTACTACGTCTAGTAGTACCTCCAAATTGAGCAGCACTTCAAGCACAACAACGACAGATCCGGCAGCATCTGTTGAGACTGCGACTTCTGCTGGTCCGGATGGCAAGCCAGTATCTTTCAAGGTCTTTCGCGGATCGTCCGTGGTCGGTACCGTCCTCGAGACTTTCAATATCCCACGCAAGATAAGAGCGCGCGCAGTGGTATCCGACAGCGCCGCTGAGTCGGCTTGCCTCGCAGCTTGTGCCCTGAAGGCCACATGCCAAGCATGAGAAATGAGGACCAATGATCAAGGTGCACAGTCATGCACTTTGAAAACTGATGTAGGAGAGACTAAGGATGAGGGCGGTTGTGTGCTTGGTCTTCGCGTCTTACAATTGATCACGTCAACTAGCACGAGTCACAGCACGACATCGAGCTCGTCAAGCTCCCTCCCTATAACGACGACTACAACGTCTACCGTGTCCTCGAGCAGCACCAGCGGTACATCATATGGAACCTCATCGACCACTGCAACCACTTCGCAGACGCAGATGACGACGACTCTTTCCACTACCTCGAGTTCTCCACCTCGACCCTCGGTCAGTTGCTCCACCGCGGTCAATCTTTTTGATAATCCCAGCTTCGAGCGTACGCCAGCTAGCAGCGGTCTGACGGAATGGACAATCATACCTGGCAGTATAGAAAAAGGCAGTGGTGTGTACGCTCCAGCAGATGGAGAGCATTTCGTGTAAGTGACCACGCGTGACCTCGAGCTGACTGTTGTGCTGAACTGACTTGCAATAGACACGCATCATTCCCGTGGGATGGAAATTCTGGTTTCAACTACCTCCAAATGCTGATCGGTACCAACGACGACCTAGTGGGCCAAAAGGAATTCGTCCTCGGCTTCAGCTATGCTATTGGTGAACGTCAAGAGTTCGGAGATGGCACCTGTCAAATGAGAGCCGACTTTTTCTGGGATTCCACACCTGCTCCGACCATCGAGCTTGGCAAAGGAACAGCTGGAAAATGGATTCGAGTGGAAAGAGTTGTGAGAACGGACAAGTTTTCCTCGAATTTCAAATACCCAAGCCAACTCGTACGTCTGTGATGGCTGCACTATTCTGTTTGAATCTCACTAAACTCTATGTCTAGGACTTCCAGGTGAACTGTACGCAACCAGGACTGACCAAGGTTGACTTATTGCTGGATGATTTTTCGCTCACACAAGGACCCAGGGAGACTTGTGTAACCGTAACACCAGCAGCCGGCACACCGACTTCCACGCAACCCGCCTGCCCCGAGCCAAGCGTCAATATACTACAAAATCCTAGTTTTGAAGAGCCAATCGCCTCGATGGGACGATATCAATGGTCCGATTCTGGCTTCGCGCGTGTAGAGAGCAACTCGGTGTATTCCGCTCAGGACGGAACAGCCTTCTTGTAAGTCATCATCTTTATCTCTCCCGGACTCGTCAACACAAGCTACATCAATCAGTGCTAACGGAAATGCGTAGCTACAAGGACCCGGCAACACTTATCTATCAAAATCCAGGACTAGTGCTTTTCGGCACGCAACCTAATAGAGAATACCGTCTCAGATTTTACTGGGCGTTCGGAACTCATCAGACTTGGGCGCCGAAAGGGTGCCTCCTCAGAGTGTACTTCAACACGAACGGCCTGGAGCTTACACAGGCCGGTACGACAATGACTTTCACGACCCCGCAACAGGCAGGACAGTAGAACCTGTGGGAGGCAACTGTGCAGAGGGTGCCAGGTTTCGAGAGAGCTCGCCTAGTGAGTGGACTTCAACCATGTGCCTTTGTGCGGAATGTCTGCTGACCAGTGTACTACTCCGGCAGGAAGTTGAATTCCAATGCGGCAAAGGTTATGATCACTCCGAATCCGTGGACTTCTTGCTGGACAACTTTTCTCTCATGGACCTCAACGAGTGCCGCCCACCGCCGGATCGCACTGCGCCCCAGGCACCATCGAATACGAACACACGAGCGAGCAACGATCCAACTGCAGCATGTGGGCGAAAGCCCTCGACATTCCCGTTGAACGCGAATGGCAGAGAAGGAGAGGGTGGCAAATATTCCAGCACCTACGACTTCTCGCAAACCGTGCTCAACAGCCCCTTCATTCCATGCGGGCCGACCTTCGACAACGAGCTGGACATGGCATACGGCTTTCACAAGTATGAGCCCGGCATAGCGGGAAACGTGACCGGGTTGCGGGAGAAAATGGGCATCATCGGCTTCGAAGAGGGCTGGCCGATTTCGATGATCATCGATGGATTTGCCGGCGCGATGGGTCTTGCGGCAGCCGCCAAGAATATGGCTAATTTCTTTAATAATTTGGAACGGCTTGTCAACAGCGCGATTGAAACGATAAAAATGGTGGTGGATACCTTCACGACCATCAGACCCTCTATTGGATTTACGATACCATTCGACATGAACCCTTTCAAGGTCGATTCCTCTTTTGGAGAAGGGAACAGCATCCCTCTATATGCGTTGGAACTCAAGGAAGAAGAGGTGGGTACGGCGGTATTCTCTGCGGCAAGCTCCAAGGCAAAGGCTATTGCCGAAAAGTACGCTATCCAGGATCCGAAGCCACGAGTAAATGTCTGGTGCGTGGATTGCGGCGTGACTGGCTCGTTGAGCGTCGCAGGGACTGCGAGTATCTCTCTTCTTGAAGGACCCACCTCTCTGGCAGTTGAACTGCATGGTAACATCGGCGTGGGCGTCCATCTTGGCATCGAAGCTATGGTCGAAAAGGAGTTCGAATTTCTCAAGAAACAGCTCTACTCTGCAGGGCTACCGGGCCTTTCGATTCCTGGTATCATCACGCTTGGACCAATGATCACTTTAAGCGTCGATGGCAAAGCTGGGGTGAAAGCCCTGGGTAGGGTCCTTGCGGGTGCGAAACTGGAATTTCCAGAAATGAGCGTGGTGTTGGACGTAATCGACACGAGTAGAACTGGACTTTCAGGCTTCAAGCCCACCGTGACCACGACGTTTGAAGCAGTGGGCGAGCTCGAACTCTCGGCATCAATCGGCCTTCCCATTAGTGTCGGCATTGGTATCGACGTGCTTAACGGCCTGTGGACGCAGGGTATTGCGGTGGTTTCCAGGCCGAATCTCGGCGCCAAAGCCCACTGGAACACGCCCATGGCAAAGGATGAGGACAAGTGTGATGGTATCGACTGGGAACTCGGTCTTGGCGTCGACTTCGAGCTTAGCGTTTTCGAGAAGTCGTATGCCCTTGGAGAATTTGAAGGTCCTAAGCTTGCAGAAGGATGTCTTGGAAATGAGATTCCAGAGGAAGAGGAACCAACGCCGATCGAGCCCGCTGATCCTGAGGAGAGTTCGACTCGATCCGTCGAGCCCGTCGAGAACCCGATCTATGAGCTGCCACCAGTGCCGACGCTCCTTCAGGGTCAACCCGTAAAAGACTCTGTGCCCTTGAAGGCTGGCCAAGTTCGCATCTCGGATGTGACTAACGCAGCATACCTTGTGGCTGGCGACGATGGCAGCATCTACCTCGGTTCCGCTTCGAATCCCGATACCGTGTTCGACATGTCCTCGAATGTGACCTACGGGGCCAAAGGAAAGTTCCTGGCGTGTAAGTCACGACTCTATTGCGCCATATGTTTCTCACGATAGCTGACAATAAGAACAGGGCATCCCGACAGCATGGCTGCATACGGAGTTTCTCGTTTCCGCCTTGTGGATGTTGAAAGCGGCACACGAGGCCAGAACTTCGCCATGATTGTTCCTGGTGAGCGAAACATTTACACGATCAGAGGAAGCAAGTGGGGTCCTGAGGCAACCGACCTGACCTATGGCCTGGTGTGGTGCAATTCCCCTGCGTATACTGCAGCCAAGGTCTTCCTGGTGCGGACGCACGAGGCTGGCACAGCAATGTTGAAATCACCCGATGTGCAATGGCTGGTCACTGGTGCCGAGGTTACACAGTGTGCGCCGTTGATTCTGACGCATCCTGGGTTCCTGCCGTTGATGGCTTAAATATTATCGATGATTTATGCAGAAACGATGGAATAGGACATGACTCATTGACTTCGACGTGCATGCACATTCCATACCTTTCGAAACGCTAAGTTTCAGCGATCTTATAGTGAACCCTTCCGACGCTTTTTCGTATATACTATCCTCGTGTCTGTTCGGGGTTGAACTGAATATTTGATTAAGACAGAATCAACTATTCATTATTCAAACTCTGTCGGCGCGCAGGCATCTTGTTTCTCAACGCGTCTTTCTTCACATCTCTCTTTCTTCACTTTCCCACCATCGCCCTTTGCATACCATCTCCCTGCTCAGCTGCTGCCATTCTCTGCTGCTCTATCGAACAAATGCAGTCTATCCTCGCCTGTCCAGACGTACTTGTTCGACAGCGTACCGATCTTCTCCACCCACACCGAAAATGTATCGCCATCCTGAATGAAGCCTGGCGGGTTCATGAACAAGCCTACGCCGCCCGGAGTACCAGTCAAGACCACTGTGCCCTTCTCCAATGTGGTTCCACGGGATAAGAACGCGATGATTTGTGGTATTCCGAAGCACAAGTCTGATGTGTTGCCTTGCTGTCTCAGCTCGCCATTGAGATACGTCTTCAGCCCCAAATTATCAGCCGCACCTAGGACGTGAGGTGCGACGAGGACTGGACCCAGTGGTGCGAATTTGTCGACCGATTTGCCATAGTTCCACTGCGGTACTTTGCCTGCGAGTTCGGGATCACGCTGCCAATCTCGGGCGCTGACGTCGTTCACGGCTGTGTAGCCGCCCACATAATCCAATGCGTCTCTCTCAGAGATGTCTTTGCCCGTCTTACCGACAATGAACGCGAGCTCGCCTTCATAATCGAGCTTCCTTGATACCCATCGAGGGATCGGGATGTCTTCGTCGTGGTCCGCTACGGAGTGTGGCGGTTTGGTGAAAGTCGTTGGGTAAGGTGGTAGAGTTCTGCTTGCTTCTAGGACTGCATTATGATGACAGCAATCAGCCACTGATACTCTGCGACTGTGAATCGTGCTCGCAATGGGCAACACTGACTATGCGACTTGTAGTTCAACCCAATGCACCTGAAGCCTGGCGTGTTTTGCACCTCTATGGGACCCAGAAGCTTCTTTACAGTATCGGTTCTGTCCGTACGTGTGAGAGTGATTGGCTCATTCCCCTCCAAGACAGTCACCTTGAGCTTGCCTTCGCGAGCTATTTCGGCGATCCGATCGACATCGTTGGCGTCGATGATTGCATCTCCATAATGAACCTGCCCGTCATCGGCAGAAACGTATCGAACAAGTCGGTGCCAGGAAACTTTGACAGGCGCCATTTCTGCTACAACAAGAAGAGGAGATTATGTTCGTGCGGATGAAACTGGATCAGGGATTGCGCGTTTTGGACACTGTTGATGTGCTACAACTGATGCTCTATAGTACAATGCTTTCGCTGCTCTGGAGCTATGATCGGGAATCAGCTGCGAAGGTGTGATTCAGAAAATGCGGAACAGCTACAGTGTGTCGGAAACGGACCCCTGCTCGGAAAGCTCTCTCGGAACGCCGATACTTTCACGCAGCATGGCAGTCGCACGAGTGCATGCTGATGCACATGACGCTGTGGATGTACATTGTGGTTGCGGGCGCATCTCGAAGCGTCAGAAGCTGCTATATACTGTATGCTGGAGTTTTGTGATTGTCTTTGGCGTTGTCAACGAACATCAACACTCAGCTTCATTACCGGCTAATCGTTTTGGGCCTAGTCCACCAGCCCTAGCCAAGAATCACAAGATGCCTTTGCCAGACGACGACAATCGAGTCCGCATCCTGAAGACCGCCTTTGTGAGCTATAGTCACGCAGACCTGGCCAACGCTCGTCAATTTCTGCTTGACTTCGGCCTCAAGATCGAGAAAGAAGAACCGGGCAAGATCATCTTCTTTCGAGGATACGGCTCAGAACCAATCTGTTACGTTGCCCGACAATCAGAAAATGGACAATCATCTTTCGATGGCGGCGCTTTTGAAGTAGAGTCTCATCAAGAACTGGAGAAGGCGGCCAAGCAAATCCCAGGCGCCACAGAAATCTATCAACTTGATGGCTACCCTGGCGGCGGCGAGGCAGTGACCTTGACAGACCCAGCAGGCTACAAATGTCACCTGGTCTATGGCCAACAACCTCGAATACCCGACCCACCTCCACGAGAGAAGCTTGTCCTCAACTTCGAAAACGAGAAATCTCGCCTCGGTAGATTTCATCGCGTTCCACCTGGCCCGGCGCCTGTCTATCGCTGGAGTCATGTAGGAGTGGCATATCCCATCGGCACTTTCCAGGAGATGTTCGATTGGTATACGAAGAACTTATCATTCGCGCCTTCGGATGTCCTGACACGGGATGGAAAGCCTTCGACTTGCTTTTTGCATATCGATCGTGGAGAGGAGTTTACTGATCATCATGCGTTTTTCATCAAGAGTGCGAAACCGCATGCAAAGCCGGATGTTGCGCATGCGGCGTTTGAGGTTCATGATCTGGATGTGCAGCAGCTTGGTCATCAGCATTTGGAAAATCAGGGATATAAGCTGTGTTGGGGTGTGGGGAGGGTAAGTTACAGTCTTTTCAAACGCCTTTCGTGATGCTGATGGAGTTGCATAGCATCTGCTCGGAAGTCAGATCTTTGACTACTGGTTTGATCCCAGTCAATTCGTTGTGGTAAGCCTTTCTCCCGTCCCCGGGAAGTGCTCTTGTTACGACAGCTAATGCTGAGACTCGCTTATAGGAGCACTATGCAGATGGAGATATGGTGAACAAAGATACACCTGTTGGTAGCATTCCTGCGGGGCCGGAAGCGTTGTCTGTTTGGGGTCCAGCTGTTCCAGCAGTGTTTTAGATAGTTGGACTCATGCAGCTTTGGTAACGCATCACATTATGTTCACTTGCTCTCTTTCATCTCAGATTAGAGAGTTCAGTTTGGTTTACAGGGCAGACAGTCTTGATTCTATCTCATCTCAAGTTCGGCGTGCTAGTTTGTGAAGGGATGCGTGGAAGGTTAGAGTTCAACACCCAAAGTGCCACATTGTGAAAGTGCCAAATTGTCGAATTGTGAAATTGTGATATTGTGATATTGTGATATTGTGATATTGTGATATTGTGATATTGTGCCATTGTGAGATTGTTATTTTGTCATTTTGTCATTTTGTGAGACTGTAAAATGGTCAGATTGTGAAATTGTCAGATTGTGAAATTGTGAAATTGTGAAATTGTGAAATTGTCAAATTGTCAAATTGTGAAATTGTGAACTTGTCAAATTGTGAAATTGTGAGCTTGTCAAATTGTCAAATTGTCAAATTGTGGAATTATAAACTTGTGAATTTGTCAAATTGTGAAGTTGTGAAATTGTGAAATTGTGAAAGTGCTAAAGTGTGAACGTGAACTTGAAGGGTGGAAAGTGTGGAAGTGTCAAAGCGTGAAAGCGTGAAAGCGTGAAAGCGTGAAAGTGCAAAGCTGCTCCGTGAGTCCCTGGAGCGTGGTAGTTACATGCCGCGCATGCCTCCCGATTCTCTTTCCCTGCCGGAAGATTCTGCCGCACTCTTAGAAGATGTCCTCAATGGAAGCTGAGGTCTCGATCAAGGTGTGCAGCTTGACTGATTGCTCCATCAAAGCTCAATATACTAGAATGAAGCACAAACGATGGAATTGAGTCAACCAGTCTACGACCGATAAATAGCTGATGCTGGTCCGAGACGCTCTTCTATGCTTCACTGAGCTATCCATTGTGGTGGCTTCTCATTCGCCTCCGCAATATCCAGAGCAACAAACACCCGTCCAATCATGTTGTACGCCCCAATCAGCGTCGTCAATTCCACAATTTCCTTCTCACTGAAGCCTGCCTTGCCCAACTGTTCGAATACGTCATTAGGAACTGCAACAGCTCTCGACATGTGGTCTGCATAATTCAATGCAGCCCATTGCCGCGCGTTCAAAGGACCTGGGGAAATTAAATGGACGGCTTTGACGATCTCTAGACCACTTTCGCCGGGAAAAGCTGTGGAGGCGAGGAGTTTCGGAACATGGCCGTTCCATTCGTGCCAGGCGCCGAGGACGAGACATGTGCGGCAGATGGCTATTTCGAGGATTTCGTCTGTGAGGGAAGTTTTGGTTCGGACTGCGGCGAAGAGGGCGTTGCAGCCTGTTCGTGGACAGTTGTTGTCAGCGTTGCACGGAGAATGAGAATAACGTTGAAATAGTGTCATATCGAACCAGGACATACCATCTGCGACCTTTGGAGCGTGTAATAGTGTCAGATCCAATGGTATCAGACCCTTAGCTCCTCGACGGGCTTTGATACGTTCCACTATAGCTTCATCGTCGGCTTCCAGGCCTGTAGGAGGGTTGGAGACATAGTTGAGTCGCATATCGAAATCTTATTCCTCGAGCTGAGATTTTTTGGAGTTCTGAGTTGTTGTCTAGACCTGTGCTCCGAGGCTTCGTCAAGTCTACCAGTAGCCATAGCTCATCCTGGGCGTGTGGCACATGAATGCCAAGCTTTTCGGAAATCTGGGGATGTCTCATTCCGACAAGTGTTTCGGAAGCGCGTCAGGAGTCTATGCAAGCTCGATCACTAGCTTTCCATGTCGCCGGAGCTACTGTAGTAAGCCGACAGGTCAGCAGAAAGTTCTAATGGCATTGCGGGCGGAATGAGAGCTGGTCCAGGGAACTGTAGAACTCCGCAGCTTCGCGACAGCTGATGTAAATGTAAATCTACATTCCTGATTCGTCGTCGAATAGCATCTTTCCTGTACTGCTGTCAAATCGGTCTTCCTGCCTCAATTCCAGTCATACTTCCACATAACAGGAAGAGATGGGTGACATCGGCTCCGAAGAGGGGACTCTCAGGATAGAGCAGAATGGCACGCACGATGTTGATGTCATGATCATTGGGGCCGGGCATTCGGGCGCAACAACAGCACTATTGCTGAGCAGACTCGGCATCTCGTCGCTGGTGGTGTCTCGTCACTCAGGCACGTCACCCACGCCTCGTGCACATCTCTTCAATCAGAGAGCGATGGAAGTGATGCGAGACGCGGGAATTGAAGCAGATCTGCTGAAAGCAGCGACTCCTCGCCAGTATCTACAGCATACGTCTTGGACGCATTCTTTGAATGGTGAAGAGTACGCTCGTCTGTACTTCCAGGGTGCAGGCTGGAGCAGGAAAGGCGATTATGAAAGAGCAAGCCCTTGCGAGATTGTCGATCTGCCACAGATGAGGTTTGAACCGATCCTGATTGAGAAGGTAAAAGAGGCAGGTGTGGAGGTCTTGTGGAGGATGGAGTTTGTAAGCCAGACCGAAGTGGATGGCGGCCGTCTGATCGAGACTGTGTTGCGTGACCGGGATACCAACGTCGAGCGGCGCATTCGGTCCAAGTATCTCGTCGGCGCAGATGGAGCACGGAGCGTTGTACTGCAAAGCCTTGGGATTCCCGTTGACGGGAAACAGTTGAATTCGGTGTTCAACGTTCACATCAAAACAGATCTGAGCCGCTTTATACAAGACAGACCCGGAGTCCTCAACTGGGTCTTAAATCCAGATGCACCTCAATGGTCAGCGGTGGGCAATTTCAGGATGGTGAAGCCATGGACAGAGTTTGCAGTATCAATGCATCCGGCGGCCAAGGAAGGAGGTGTTGCATTTGAGCCAACTCACGACGACATTCGCGCTCGACTGTACCAGATGATTGGAGCGGATAGAGATGTGGTTGGAGATATTGAAATCTTGTCGGTCTCCAGATGGCACGTCAACAATCAGGTTGCTCGTGAGTACCAGAAAGGCCGAGTGATCTGCATTGGCGATGCCGTACATCGACACCCTCCTATCAATGGGCTCGGGAGCAATACATGCATCAGTGACGCGATGAACATTTCCTGGAAACTGGCGTATGTCATCAAGGGACTCGCGCACCCGAAGATCCTGGATACTGTCACGTTAGAACGGAAACCTGTCGGCGATGGCGTAGTTCGAAGAGCCAACGAAGGCATGGAAGAGCAACGCCGACTATGGAAAGTCATCGGACTGGACAAAGAAGAGCGGATCAAGAAGCTCGAGCTCATGAGTTCTGTTTCATTAGCTGGTAGCAAGCTAAGAGAAGAGTGGTGGAGCGCCATCAAGACAAATGATCGCGAGGGAAACGCCCTGGGTATCCAGATGAATCAGCAGTACTGCGCATCACCCTTGTCAGTGACAGAGCCTGACGACACCGAGAAGCCAGATGTAGCAGAAGTCGATCTGGAGATGGAACTCGTTGTCACGACTTTTCCAGGCTACCATCTTCCACACGTCTGGGTAGTTCCGGCAGGGCAGTCTCAAAGGATATCGACCTTGGACATCTGTGGGCGCGGGCGCTTCACCTTGCTCATAGGGCTAGGGGGTGACCTGTGGCGACAATATGCCAATGAGATCAATGCCAGGCGACCAGGACTCGACTTGCAGGTCGCGTCAATAGGCTGGCGCCAAGAATATCATGATGCCTACGATGACTGGCGGAATATCAGAGGAGTCGAGGATGATGGCGCAGTGCTTGTTCGTCCAGATCATTTTGTTTGCTGGAGATGTAAATCTGTAGCGTCTGTGGGTCCAGGAAGACTTGCGGAAGTGCTGGAGCAGCTGTTGCCGGCGGCGGTGCCCGCATAGATATTGTGAAATTCCATGGCTGCTGTGACTTATTGATCAGTGGTTGGCGGGTCATATTGAAGACGTGTTGTTTCGTGTTGCACAACGCGTGAAGTTCGCGCTTTCGGCTTCCAAAGCCCCCGATGCCGTACAAAGTCTTGGCAAACAGTTCCGAGAAGGTCCCAGGTTCTCCGCAGCGGGACCAACCCTATGCACTCCACGTCTCCTAAAACATGAAATCTCACCTGGAGTCGTTCTTCTTGGGCTGGCCCAGCGCCACCGGCGGAAGTGCTACAAAGACCGGACTGTTCCTATGCTGACGGCAGCCAGCGGTCCGGAGATATGTGCCGACCACCATCATGATGGGTCTGCGGTATTATGGACAATAATCCTGCTTAGTTGACCTAACATCCGCGAACCGCATTCACTTGACCATGGCAAACGGAATGGAAGGCCGGGAAGGTCGCCCTGGACCGCAAAAGCGCTCGAAAAGAACGCCATATGCTGCCAAAGCATGGTAATTTCGTTCTCCAAATTTTGGTCTCCATCAGTCGCTGACCAGTAGTGGTAGTTACCAGTGTCAGCAACGCAAGATCAAAGTATGTTCAGATAAATATGCACCTAGCCCAAGGCAGTGCTGACCTGCGCAGTGTGAAGGCGGTCTACCGTGTAGAAATTGTTCGATTAAAGGCCGAGAATGCTTCCTGGTTGATGAACCGCCAGCTCCGGCTCGCAGAGCCTCCACGCCTCGACGAGATGAGATTCCAGGGAATGCGCGGAACAAGCGCCGGAGCTCCCATCATTCGTCCTCGACGAATGCGAACAGTTCACACATCACGACCACCGAAGTCTATCAACGGCTGCTCAATGTTGAGCAACGACTCAATGCATCACTGTCTCAGAGCGCCTGGGCCTCTTCAAGCAACGGGGATCTGTATTCTGCGGCTGCCATTACGGATCATGCGTCACCGGAAACATGTCATGACAATGCAAGAGGACGACAGACGTTTGTAGGAGAAGCATCTGTCCGTAATGAAGACGACGAGATATCGGAGTCTCCTACGCATAGCCCGATCGCTAATCGCAGGCCACTGACGCCGACTATCAGTTCTCACGATGAGCGCAACAGCAGAGGGTCCACCACCTGGCTTACAGATGTACTCTCCTCATTTGACGTTCGCCCGGACTCACTAGACTGCAAAGGTCTTCTCAACGTCTTCTTCGACGAAGTGGCGATGATATATCCTTTCATTCACCGCCCATGTGTCTGGAAAACCTTCGAATACCTCTGGAGTCGCTCCTTGCAAGTCACTTTGGAGGATTTGGAGGCTCATGGCGAGAGCAAGCTTACTGTTGCCCTGTTGTTCATGTGCATCGCCTTAGGGCGCTGCACAGCTTCGCCTCGGACACCGAGTGCAGAAGCTGCGCATTCGGCGGGCTGGAGTATCTACAATGTCGCAGTAGAGCTCATGCGTCCCTACCTTGATGTCACATCGGATTCACCGCCGTCTCTGCACAGTCTCCAGGCACTGACGATGATGGTAAATTCCTCAGTGTTACACATCGCACTATGTCAAGTCTAACCTTGAAGCAGGTCATTTACTTATTCCGACTCGACGCTTGCGAAAGGGCGGAGCGCACACTTGCACACGTCATCTCGAGTGCTCATATATTGGGCATATACCGCACAGATTTTTATGTTAATATGTGTGCTTTCGACGAAGAAATGTTTCGCCGCCTATGGTGGTGCATCTACCTGCAAGATCGTAGAATGTCTCTCGAAAGCAGCCGCCCCTTCCTCATTCAGGATTCCAATATTGAGATTGGACTTCCCTTAGATGTCAGCGATGCCTGGCTAGAGGCCTATCGCCGGACCAGTACGAGTATCGCATCGTTGCAAGGCGAGATCGAGAAAGAGAAGAGTCTCGAGAAAGTCACGATCTTGCCGTATCTCGAGGCGCATGTATCCCAATCTCGAATCGCAGCTGATGTCTGGAGGGCAGTCTACAATAGCAAGCAGGCCTCTTTTGGCAGTTCCAGCATGGTCTCCGAGTACCTGGACACTGCGCTCGACAGCTGGCGGCAAGAAATGCCTACGAGAATGCAATACCAGGAATCGGGCAGCTTCGAAGAACAGTTTTCCAACGTCCCGTGGTGGCAGGCGAAGCAATCAATGTTGCTCTACGTGGTAAGCATGTCGACTTCTTGTACACAAAATAGGATCTGACCCAGCTTCTTACAGCGATATTGCCTCTTGAAAGCGATTATTCGTAGAACACCGAAGATCCCAAGAGATGGCTCCACAAATAGAGAGCAATTACCTGTGGATATGCAGTGCGCACAGCTCGCTGCAGCTGTGATTCGAGTGTACGAGAAGATTCCGCAGAATCGCGCCAGGCAATCGTTCGCATTCATACACCCCATGACGAGTGCGACGATGATCCTGCACAGCTTGGTCTCTCTACACCCTGGGCTTCGTGACCCATATGAAGCCGTTCTGCGCACGGGCATCGATGCCCTTGTGGCTTACTGCCAGAGCACATGGGTCAGTGGCAAAATGATCAGAACCACGTTCAGGTTGAACGCATTGGTACAAAGGACCCTCGGAGTGACTACCGAACGTGGCGATGGTGTTAGAGACAAACAAGGGCAGGACCAATTCGTTGCACAACAAAGTCAGAATATGCCCTCCGGTCCAGCAAGCCAGCGACGATCAAGCTCTTTGGTGGACGCCCAAAGTGCAAGACCCCAGCCAGCGCCCATCAGAGGACTTTTATCACCGCCAGTGAGCACAGCGTCCGCTGCGCAACGGAACGACCTCGCCTATTCTGAAAAGAACGCGGAACACATCACAGAATTCTCGTGGAACCCGCTACATGATACAGATGAGAACGCGATGCTATCACTCTCGCAGTCAGACTTCTCATCGCTGGAATTGCCCGACTGGGCCACACTTGACTTCGACTTTGAGCATGCGGGCAACAGGCACGCTGCTAATGGCGCTTCGCAGTACTCTAGTGGCGACCTGTTTGGCTTCGAAGGCTGGGCTACTATGTGAACTGTCGAGCAGTACTCCAACGCTCTCACTTGGACAGACTAGTATCGATACGACTACATGAAAATGCGCAATGCGTACGACCTTCAGCAGGGCCAGCCATTGTGCACCAATTAATCGGTCTAATACATTGTAACAATTATTTTGTGGGAACACCAACGTAATGCCAAATCCACATGCTGTACTGCGCAATGATTCCGGAGTTGGGATGATGCAGCCAATATGGCGGGCTGAGCTACCGGTGCTGATATACGCTTTCCGAATTTCCATTCCGAAGCATTATTGCTTTCGGCACCACGGACCAGAGCGAAGCCGCTATGAGTTCCGCACTGTGGCGCTGGGGCCACCAGCCCTTCATCAATTGCGAGACCAGGTCTACCAGAAGTAACACTCGACTGATAGCTGAAGCAAAACTACCATCGTCGACCCATTGAGCCCGGATCCCAGCACTCCAGTCACAACATCACATCATGCCATTCACACAACCCCGAGTTGCCTTCGTCACAGGCTGCAGTGGCATCAGCGGGAATGCCATCGTCGAATATCTCATCAGACAACCAAAATCAGAATGGTCTCGTATCGTTGTCACCTCCAGAAGCCCTCCTCGAAACTACTGGCAAGATCCACGGGTCGAATTCGTCGCCCTCGATTTCCTAGAGCCCGTGGAGACGACTATTCAAAAGATGTTCTCTTACTGTCGAGACGTCACTCACGCATTCTTCACCTCTTACGTCCATACGGATGATTTCACAAGGCTGGCGGAGCTGAATGTTCCGTTGTTTGAGAATTTCTTGACAGCGATCGATACTGTGGCAGGAGGGAATTTGCAACGAGTTTGCTTACAGACTGGGGGCAAGGTAAGTCCATGCATTCATGACAATTTGTGCACTTTCAAGGAGAAGTAACCCACAACTTGTAGAACTACGGTGTTCATTTGGGCCCGTTCCCAGCTCCTGCACGAGAGACAATACCACGCTACGAAGACCACGGCTTGAACTTTTACTACACTCAAGAAGATTTCATGTTTGAGCTGCACAAGCAACGCAGTTGGTCATACAACATCATTCGGCCTGGTGGTATTATCGGCTTTGCGCCTGCCAGTAAGCGATGTGCCAACGTTCCTCGATCGAATGCTAACCTGTCGTCACAGAGAATGGGATATCCGAGTCTATCACGCTCGCGCTCTACATGCTAATCAGCAAAGAACTGGGCGAAGTCCCACGCTTCCCGGGCAATAAGCTCTTCTACAACTCTTGCGACGACAAATCCACTGCCGAAAGTATCGCTGATATGTCTGTATGGGCTGTAACTCGAGAGCATACGAAGAACGAGGCGTTCAATCATGCCAATGGCGATACTTTCGTTTGGAGATACCTCTGGAGGAATATGGGAAAGTATTGGGGTTTGGACGTAAGCGCCCGAGAGACTCGCCATTTGACCAGATATTTTGAGGTGGCTGTACTGATGGTCAAGCAGATACCAGATCAGACTACATTTCCTGAGATCAACGACGATGGCAAGATGGCGAATGAGTTTCGCATGTCTGAGTGGGCGGCTGACAAGAAGCTGGTTTGGGATCGTATATGCGAGAAGTATGGAGGGTCAAAAGATGCCTTTGGGAGCGGAACTTGGTAAGTCATTCGTCAAATATCTGGAAGTTTGAACACTCATGTTTGACGCAGGGGTTACTTCGACTGGGCCGTAGGCAAGACCTGGCCCACAACAATGTCCATCACGAAAGCGCGCAAGTTCGGATGGAACAGATATGATGATACTGAGGAAAACTATTACGAAACTTTCAGAACGTTCGCAAATGCTGGTGTCTTACCCTCTCGGCGCGCAGTGCTGGGGACCATCGGAGACGGTGGCTCTGCACCAGTCAAGGCGGAGGCTAACGAGCTTGAGCATGGTGACTCGGTGATCACAAATGGAGCAAATGAGAGTCAGAAGGTCGACACGTTGGAGAGGATTGATTCAAAATGGACCAAGGAAGACCATATGTCCGTGACCTCGCACGATTCGGCAATAGAAGTCGTGTCTTAGTTTACAGTTTACCAGGTACCAGGGCTTGTTCTGTAACACGTTCGACGGCACTTGCACATCCTCCTCTTTGATCGCCAGTGATCAGTCACACACGCGCTGATCTTACGAACGCTCCAAGCGTGCTGCCACGGCATTGCTGCGCAAATCCAAGACGTAGAATAAGATGAGAGGTTCTGCAAACCGTGGCGGAGTCTGACATCGGGCTGTGTTCCGAATACAATATTCAAGTGCCGAACTACTGAATACGATATGCAAGTGCCGAGCTACTGAAATGCACACGGTTCCACGCGAGGATGAGAAATCATGTCGGAACCATGCTTACCTCTAACCATGTTGACACGTTCCGGGGCCGCCACCATGTCGCCAAGAAGCCAACCACGCGACAGCCCCATGGGGTACGCCTGTATGCCCCCGGTAAAGGTTCCCCGCGTGTTCCGCAAATAAGTGCGTCTATATTAGAGTTGGTCGTTGGCCATAGCTGAATCGCTGTCTCTGCGTGAATGCAGAATCGCAAAGATGGAGAAAAGTACCCAGGAATATTCGCCAGGAAGCAGTGATGCAGATCATCTGGAACTGAAGCATGAGCCGACAATAGAGCCAGTACCGCAGGAGTTGCAAATCAATGGCGGCATCCTAGTAGATGTCAAAGATGGGGACAAAGCGACCAACTTTAAGCTTGCTCAAGACGGACACGTTGCGTACTCCTCTAGCATCGCCTTGGGGAAGACACTGATCTTTCTGTAGACTGTTCTCATTCCTCAACCGACCGACGATCCAAACGATCCCTTGAATTGGTCATGGAGGAAGAAGCATGCTATATTGTTCGTTGCTGCGTTCGCTGGCTTCACAGCAGACTACACTTCCACTTGGGGACCTGCTGTATTGTTCCCACAAATGAGGGAATGGGACGTCTCAGTCCACGCAGCGAATCGACCAAATAACCTCAATGTCTTGGCTGGGTAGGTCAAACTCGTCGCGATGTTGGGAACACAACGCTGAGAATTTCGAAGAGCTCTCGGGGGTTTGATATGGGTGCCTGTGAGCTCGTGGTTCGGACGTGCGCCGGTATGTGTATCGCTCGATCAAATCTCCGGAAGTACAGTGTCTGACTGGGTCTCAGGTCATGTTCTGGACGGCCATAGTCGGATTTGCGGTCTCTTGCGGAGCAGCTGCAGCCCCCTCATATGGAGTTTATTTCGCCATGCGAGTCTTGACCTCGCTCTTCCTCACGGCTGGCCAGACAATGACGATTGCGGTCTTGAAGGACATTTTCTTCTTCCACGAGCGAGCGCGAAAGATTGGTCTGTGGGTAAGTCATTATCTCGGAGCTTCCTTCTCGTGGGCTCTCGCTGATCCATGCTTCCAGGCATTGTTGTACATTGCGAGTCCTTATTTCGGACCCCAATACAGCAACTTCATCCTGTACGGCACCGGAAGTTGGACTGATGTTGCTTGGGTTGGCGCTGCAGTCGTTGCCATCAACATCATCCTGGTAGTTCTGATCATCGATGAGACGTGGTACGATCGGACCAAACCCTCCCATGAGCAGCCAGAGCGAGCATCGAGCCTGTACGGCCGATTCGAGCGCCTAGTGTAAGTTGTCCTTCGAAGAGAAACGTTGCAAGGCTGATGTTGATTGCAGTGGCATATGGCAAATCCGGCATCACAACGAATACTTCCCGAGTCTGTGGCCCACGTTCAAGGGCTTCTTCGAGATCATATATCAGCCAGCGTTCTTCTTGGTTGCTCTAAATTAGTGAGTTGCCTTGCCTGCAGAGTCCTCGTCACTGCTGACAATCTTGAAGTCTCATGAACTTTGCTTGGGCTATCGGCATCAACATCAGCGGTGCCATCTTGTTCGCTCAACCCGAAGCAGCTGGAGGCTACGGGTATAATTCCAAACAAGTCGGATATCTGTACTTCACACCAATCGTGGCCATCTTCCTCGGAGAGATATTTGGCCACTACTTCAACGACTTCATGGCCAGAAGATATGTCCGCAAGCATGGCGGTGTTTTCGAGCCTGAGGTCCGAATCTGGACTATCCATATTGCCATCCTGTTCATGGCTCCCGGGCTCATTCTGTTCGGATTCGCGCTGGAGAAACATCTGAACGTGGCCGCAGTCATCTTCGGTTGGGGCATGCACACCTTCGGCCTGATGGTCATGTCTGTAGCGAACATCGCCTACGGCCTTGATTCATACCCCACCTTGCCTGCAGAAGTTGGTGGCTGGCTCAATTTTGCTCGATTGATGGGTGGCTTCAGCGTGGACTACTACCAAACCGATTGGGCGAATGCTGTCGGATATGATGGCAGCTTCGGCACTCAAGCTGCCATATCGGTGGCTTCGATCGTTCCGGCCGTCATTGTGCACATCTGGGGAAAGCGCCTGCGTGCAATGGGCACACTTGCCAAGAAATAGATGTCAACAAAGAGGACAGAAGCATGACCAGAAACTGCTGCTGAAGCCAACAAACATCTCGTCCGTCAGACTGCGTGTAGAAAGCGTTGATGTTTTGATTTGAGTGCATAACAAGAAATACACAGATGTCATGGGGGAAATTGCGAATGACGAATCACAGTGCCAAGAGAAACCGTGACCCACTTTTCCTTCACCTCCTCTCTCCCATCATGTGCTTTCTGAATCAACACGCCGGTTTATACAATTGCCGACTCTGTTGTTCATTTCGCCCCTACCGTAGCGATAACAGCATCTGCTTAAGTATGGGTATTGTCGCTGAACGTGATCGACATGTGTCAATTACAAAGATGCATCTGCAGCCACGCCGGGCACTCCACCAGCGTACGCAGATTCATTGCGCTACTATCTATTCTACCAAGCACGATAGTCTCTCATACTGAGCTCTTCAGCATGTAGACGCTGAGAAGGGCTGGACCTGAAAGGCGCGGAAGCCAGACCCCGGAACAAGTTTCGGAAGCCCCAGACGGAAAGGTCTCGGAATAGTGCCTGCCCAGCATAGCTTCATCTAGGTCAGCGCCCAGAATGCGGAGTCTGGAGAGCATTAGCATGGATACGCAGTCATCCAGAGCAAGCTAGGTCCCATTGGCCAAAAGATTCAAAACTGCCTGGCGATAGCTTAGAGACAATAGTCTGGAAATCTTCCTACAGGTTTGAGTTGTCACAAATCGCTACAGAATGTTGATACTATCGCCTTTGGTATGGCTCATAGCAAGCGCCTTACTTGTATTTCGCCTATTGTTCAGCCTGCGATCACGTCGACCGAAAGGCACACAAGATCTTCCTGGGCCTTCGGGTGAGCCATCGCAATGCCGAATCGGTAGGTAACCAGATACTGACGACGCCCATAACAGGACTGCCATGGATTGGTAGTGTTTTCGATCTGAATAAAGGCGAAGGCGGCTACTTCTGGTTCAAGTTCACAGAATGGAGCAAACAATTCGGACCCATCTACCAATACAAGACCTTTGGCAAGATCAATGTGGTTGTCAATACAGAGAAGATGGCAAATGATTTGCTGAGGGAGCGAGGAGAGTTCTACAGCTCCAGAGAGAGTCTCCCAATGGCATCTCAGCTGCTAAGTGATGGATATAAGGCTCTTTTCCTTCCATATGGAGGTACAATGATACGCGAAACGTGCTTAAAGAAGTCCGTACTAACGAGGATGGTTTGGCAGAGAAGTGGCGCCGAGTGCGAAAGCTGCAACATCATGTAACTCAGGTCAATGCGGCAAATTCGTACCAACCACTCCAGCAGCACGAATCCGCTCGTATGGTGAACGATCTGGTCTCGAATCCTGGAGAGTACAAGACACTATTCCGTCGGTATGCCTCCGCCCTCATTCTGCGACTCACCTACGGCATCGAAGTGCAGACAGGCAACGAAGACATCGTCCGATTGGTCTACGAAAACCAACTCAATGTCGAACGTGTCTCAGCACCAGGCCAGTACCTGGTCGACGTGTTACCGATCCTGATGTGGCTGCCAACTTGGCTTGCACCATTCAAGCAAGAGGCAAAGGCTCACCGCACGCGGGAGGTGAATCTGTTCTCAAGCCTTGTGAAAGGTGTTGAGCAGGACATAGAAGCAGGAAAGGCGGGACCTAGCTTTACTCGCACGTGGCTAGAGAACAAAGAAAAGTGGGCGCTTGAGGATCTGCAAGGTATCTATGTTCTTGGAGGACTTTACTCAGCTGCCGCTTCCACGACTGCTTCTCTGGCAACGAGCTGGTTACTGATGATGGTTTTGCATCCGGAGTGGTTCCAGAAACTACAGGCTCAAATCGATGAAGTTGTAGGACCTGATCGACTGCCGCGGTACGACGATCTTCCAAATCTACCACTGTTGAGAGCAGTGGCAAAGGAAGTGGCAAGAATGAGGCCAGTCACTGCCGGAGGTAGGGACACTCCCATTCTCGTGAGACTTGCATGCTGGTCTTCGCTCACAGCTGTTCTAGGCATAGCGCACAAGTCCACGCAGGACGATACTTACAATGGCTACTTCATTCCCAAAGGTAGCATTATTCATCCGAATCTGTGGTAAGTCTCCCAAATTCGGAGTACGTTTCTCTGTTCCACTAACGCAGTAAGGGCTATCCACCATGATCCACAACTCTACCCAGATCCGTTCACCTTCAATCCCGACCGCTGGCTATCTCCAGACTTCCCCACCACGTATAAAGAGCCTCTAACAAAATATCCAAACATGAACAACTTCTCAGTTTTCGGTTTTGGCCGGCGTCTTTGTCCCGGTGGACACATCGCGGAACGAAGCATTTACATTCTATCTGCTCGTATGGCATGGGCTTGTAACATTGAGAAAGCTACTGATCCGAAGACTGGAGCACCAATAACTCCTCCTGAGTATAATTGTGAGTGATGAAACCGTTTGATTGGAGGACACTAGTGACTTTGCTGATCTATCGCAGATGTCAAAGCGTTGAATACCGAACCTCATCCGTTTCCGTTCCAACTCGAGTGTCGGAGTGAGAAGCATAGGGAAGTCTTGCAGCGAGAGGCGAGGGAGGCGTCGGAGGCGTTGAGTAGTGGGAGTAGATAGTGCAGGTCGATTGAGCACACCATGAAAGGGCCTAGATCTCTATTCTCGTATAAAGACGTTATTGAGTTTCATTTTGTTCGGTTTGACACTCAGTACCCACTGCCAGTGCCTCGAACGACATCGCACTGCGGTATGCGACTGTATGGCGCTCCAGTGAGCCATTGTCCCTCCAATACAGGTCTCGGCAGGCTTGTCCAGAAACGCTGCACTCTCCGGCTCGACGACAGAAACCTCTGCCTTACTTGCTCAACACCTTCATCAACCAAGCGGCCATCTCTCTTCCTCCACTCGCCATCAATGAGGACGTGCTTGATCTGTCCAACGTGCGAGTGCATGACGATGGCAGCCACAGGATCGTTGAAGCCAAGAAGACCTGGGGCTGTGCCATCGAAGACTACGACGTCAGCTTTAGCTCCTGCTTGCAAAACACCAAGATCTGGCCTTCGAAGTGCCAGACCTCCAGATCGTGTTGCGAGTAAGAAAGCCTGATTCGTTGAGATTGGATTGTTCGCTGGTACTCGCCAATTCGCTCGCTCCGGGCCATAGAGCTGATCACGGCCACGCTGAAGCCAGAGACGCGCCTGAGACATGAGATCCCCAGACTGAGCGTAGTTTGTACCCACACTCAGTGAGGCCTGATCGGACATGTGGATTGTCCGGGTCAAGTCAGCTCCGTGACTCATCTCGTAGCCGACAGCTGTTGAGATGTAGTGATTGAACCTGCGAAGAAGCGTTGCATCTGTGGGAGTGATCCCATTGCTATGAATGAAGATCACTGGCATCGAAAGGTTGAGTAGACCGAGGGAAGCGAGTAGGCTTGGACTGTTTTCGTTACCGTCGACGCCGCCGACAAAGTGTGTTTCTAGTACTGTCGCGTTCGATCCCCTGCTCAAGAGTCAGCTTCCACGGTATCTTTAATTTGCTCCAGAGATGAAGGAGCCGGAACATACCTGATGAACTCAACAACCTGCTCGATCTCTGCTGGTGCCCCAATGTCGAAAGTCTCATACGCCAAGCCCATGCTGATCAAATTGCTCTGCTCCTGGCTGTGTACTTGAAGCTCTCTCCAAAGCTCAAATTGGGCTTTCAAAGTAAAGTTGCCAGGCTTAGCCCCAACTTGTGGAGCAAAGATGCCGCGTATACCGCTGTCGAGATGAGCTCTATGTGCAGCTCGAGTGACTTCCTCATTCCATGTTGCGGAGGCAAGATCAACAATGGTTGTCACTCCTGCATCTATGGCTTCGAGGAACCCCAGGAGCTGGGAGTCATATATGATATCGCCATCGTAGACTTCAGCCAGTAGTGTGGTGTTCGTCCAGTGCGCGATGTATTCTGCAAGGGTTGCGTTGCCCGCAATGGTGCGCTGAGCTGTTTGCCATGAGTGTCGGTGGGTGTCGATGAATCCTGGGACAATAATGTCTCCGGTTGCATCGATTCGGTCGATGCTGGTCGTGACGTTACTGGTATTGGACCTTGAAGTAGGAAAGATGCCGGCGATGCGATCGTTCGTGATGAGAAGTGAGGAGTCTCGAAGGACCAGAGGGATTCCATTCGCCTCATCATAGGAGACTATAGTTGCATGCTCAAAGAGAGTGGATTGTGCGAGAGCAGACAGGGGAAAGATGAGACTGAGTATGCATTGCCGCCACGAAAGAGAATTATGCGGAGAAGGCATGATTGGTAGAGTTCGTGGCCTCCTTCCCGATCTGTTGGAGAAACGCGATGACCTTCAAAGGTGTTCTTACCAGTACTGATACTTATACAATCGGACGCAAGCTGCATCCGATACCTGAGAAGCCATGAGAGGAACTAGCACGTCAGTAATTTTCCCCAAACACGTCCCAGGCCAAGAGGTCGCAAGACCTCAGACTGGCGCTCGTCGAAGCCGTCGTCTTCCATGCCGGCATAGCCAGGAAGATGGACTCTGTGCTTGAACGCGAACGGACTTGGGAGTTGGTGGATTGTGAGACCGGATTTAAGAGAGGCAAAAGTTATGCCGACTGCTGATGTTGTCCCGACGTCTGAGGCTTGGTGGCTGGAAGTCGCGTCAAAGCTCAGGTCAATATTTGATGTGCGCCTTGCTTGAGGTCCGAACTCTGTACTTGCGACTGTTGTTGAAGAGGAGAAGAGTGAGCAACGCGGCACGACGCGTACAATACACATCTGGCAGCGACCGGCACAGCACGGCCTTGACTCGACGTTGATGAAGCACGATATGCAGAGATGGATCAGCAAGCCACCAACAATCCTTAGCCCACGCGGAATGGGCCACGATCACGGAAGAGAAGGACAAGTAGAGTCAGCATAGCTGCGGGCCACCATTGGTCTCGACCACCTTCGGACAATGCCTTGACTCCTCAGATACGAAGCGATAATCATGCGGCGGAGAGATGAGCATACGATGGAAGGAAGATACAGGCAGAAGGTCTCAATTGTCCTCTGTCAAGTCGAAGCTACTGTACATGCGGTTGCTCTTGTTCGGAAGAGCCATTAATGCAATGTCCATCCGAGGCGGAGTGTGCTCAGAGGGCGTCCAGCAAAACGAAAGCAAAGTCTGTCAAAAGCAGTAACAAAGTCCTCCTCGTTCGAGAGCTGTGAAGCTCATATGACCTCTCAGAAAGCAGAAAAGAAGTGTGTGAAGCGCAACGGAAAAGAAGTGCGTCAAGCGCAATGACAAATGCCGCCATATGGAGCCGTGAAGCTCGACGAACAGCTGAGAACGCAAAGAGTGTCGAAGGCGGTGACAAGTGTCGCAATGTGGAAATTGGAAAGCATCTGCTGCTCGCGTCAGTCAGGTCTTGGTTGAGAGTATGCTGGATGGACCTTACCAAATGGACCAATGCTGCAAATCTCATGTCGCTCTGTCTGGTGTTTCGTGTGTCTTATGAGCAAGTATGCCAAAACCAAGCGGTCACGTCTTCAAACCTCGTTCCAGTCGGGAAAGCGAATGCCTCTGCATTTCTTGCAGAGCTTGCAGACGGTAATCTCCGAAGAGTTCTTGCGCGTACGAAAGACCCAGTCGTCCAATACATCAGACTCGAAGAAGTTGAGTAAGTATTCGCTGATGTCGTACGAGGCCTTGGGGTCTATTGGATCATCAAGGAATGGGTCGTGTGGGTAAGTGTTCAACATCTTGGTGTTCAGACGACGGATTTCCTTTCGGACTGTGCACTCGCACAGCTCGTAGCAGCGGGCTTCGTGAGCTCGGGGCCAGCAAGCTTCCTGGCTCAGCTCGAACCATTTGCTCTCGGAGAACTTCGAAACTGTCAGCCCGATTGTGAGTTGGAAACAAGAACGTGGACGGGAGACTTACGTGTGGTGGAATGAGAGTGAACATGTGGCCGTTCCACCCCATGAAGTGCTCGTCGCGCCAGAGGGGACGGAGCAACTGGAACTTGAACTTCTTCACCAGGTCAATGTAATGACCGACGCTGCGAATGTAGTTGCCGACGCAGCGCTGGTGCACAACATCTGCGTCGAAGACGAATGCATCGTGCTCGGCGAAATAGATTGGGCCACATTCGGCGCGGATCTGGCGACAAGTGTTGATGATGCCGGGAAGGTTGTAAGTCGCCTTGCGGTGGAAGCAAGGTCCTCCGCGGCACGTGAAGTCCTCGAGGCTGACCATCACCTCACCGTCAGGCTCGAGAACAGCCAAGCGGTAGATCTCGTTGCGGATCTCGCCTGGCAGCTTCTTGAGTGTTCCAATGTCGGACTTTGGGGTTGCCCGCTTGCTCTCTTTGTGGGCAGTCTGCATGCGCTCGAACGCCTCCTTTGCCATGAGCAGCTTCTGGCCGAACTCGCTGTTGATCGGACCAATTGCATCCTTCTTGTCGCTGAAGACATCGCCATCGCCAAAGACATCTCCATCACACTTGAATTCCGCCCCAAAACACCCATCTGCCGATTTCACCTTTGCCATCAAGCTGCCGCCAACGCCGCACACGCCGAAGCCAACTTCATCATAACGGGCGAGAAATGGATTAGACAAACCTTTGACTGAACCGCCTGGCGGCAAATTCGGAAACCACTGGGCCATTTCTTCGACTTGCTGGACGCGGGTGCCGGTCTTCCAAACTTGTGAGCGGCGCAGCTTGCGAAGCTGACGCGACTTCTTCTTGAATGCAGCTGGAATGGGGATCTTGAGGTGCCGGTGGCGGCGGTGGTTGCGGTCGAAGTGAAGAGAGTTTGGGTTGGCAAGTGGTGCCACTGAGTGGAGTGAAAGCTTGGAGTCGAGAGGGATTTGCGAAGCGAGAGCGGAAGAGCTCATTTTGACTCGCGTGCGTCACGTGTAAGTCTGTTTGTTGACGTGCTCGCGCTCTTGTGTAATAGACTCAACGGCTTGCAGGTAAACAGGGGCGCGTGCAGGGCGCGAAATGATGTCCGACAGTCGTGAGGACAACTGGTGTAGCTGACAGTCCGAGAGATCTTGCAAGAGCGATGAAGTTGAGAGCGTGTTTTATGTTGTTGGATGAGCGCGAGCAATCACCGGAGGGAGGTACAGCGGTGGTGAAAGTATAGGGGTGGCGCAAGTGAAGTGCGCCAGATGCAGCTCTAACCTTGTTTAGCGCGCTTCACTTGCGCCTTCGCGACAAGGTTGACGTACTCGGCCGTTGCGGTGCCGACCGACGCGCGATGAGACAAGATCCAACTAGTCGGAGTGGCTGCGATATTCGAGGGCCTTCTCATCGTCTTAAGCGCCAGAAATGCGCTGCCTTGGTTGGGATGGGCGACCGAGAACTGAGCTGCCCCCAGCAGTTTACCGCCACATTAGAACTGCAGAAGGAATCAACCAGTCCACTGGCATCACTATACATCACATGCCTCAACGAATTTCACGTAATGAGTGTCTGTTCAGTTGCTGTGTGCACCTCTAGACCCAACTACCACTGACTATTCTGCTCTTCTTCCATACCTCTCACCACTCTAACATCCATCCATACCACTCTAACATCCATTCAAATCCGACATCATCCACACCTGATCAGACCTCAAGTGCACAAGGCAGACCCAACACCATGGTCACTTTGCAAGAAAGGATTGCCGCCGCCAAGGCTGCTGAAGCTGAAATCGCGCTTGAAAAGAAGAAACAAGCGTGGGCCGACGAAGAATTCGAGTATTTCTCAAACTACTTCAAGGATCGTCATCAGCGGGCAGAGAAGTTAAAGGAGCTCCAAACGATCGCGAAGTCGGGTGAAGTTCTTGACCTTAATACGGACGACGAGAACGAGGAAGCCGACAGAATCAAAGAAGAGGCACAGGCTATGCACGTGCATGAGTCTGATAGTGCGCCTGAGACAATCTTGACCTTCAACTTAGGCGGACATACAGAAGCACTCTCCAGTGCACAGGCTCCTTGCTCTATGCAAGGATTCGGCCAGCGAGTCCGCGCGCCAGCAGGTCTTACTAGTGCGATCACACCTTTCTCTGCCGCAGCAATCGACCAGCAAACCAACACGTCAGAAGCTCAGGGTCAAGCACTCATTAGTACGAACGCCTCCTCACCTATGCTGCCACTATCCCAGCAGATACACACGTCACAGACACATGTTCATGTGCCCACTCGTTCCAGTTCTCGCCCTGTTTGGCCCATTGGACGGAAGGAATCCAGCTCGACACCCAATGCGGGCAGTGGGATGATCAGAGCTGCAGGTCCACGTGAGCAACCGCCAAACCCAGAAAATATGTTCACGCCCTTTCGCCCTCCATTCAAAGACCTTCCAACAATCATCAACGACCCCTATGGGACGCATGGTAGGGACTACATCGAGCTGCGGTGCGGCTTGTGCAATGCAAACACAGGCAGAGGCCGGACGTTCATGAAGGGAGTACATGGCTTACACACGCATATCAGGTCGATACACTACGCAGAGGTCATGAGGCGCATGGAGAAGTTTCCTTCCGCCGAGGAGGTTGTCCAAATGTGTGCATATCGGTCCCTCACGCGAGAGGAGGTCGAACAGATTCGACGCGACCCGTTGCAGATCGAGGTCGTTGTGGGACCTGCTGCAGACGCCGAACATCCCTCACGACGTTCGCGAAACAGATCTTCGAAGGGGAGCAAGGGCGCCGAGTCAGGCCGACGCGATCGCTCCAAGCGCGAAGCACAAAAGAAAGTGGCCAAGACGAAGAACAAGAAGAGGCAGCAGCATACCACATTCAAAGAGCGCCACATTGTCGAGAGCGAAAGCGGAGACTCTGCTGATGATGCGGTCCGAGTGACTCGTCCGCTTCTGCGCAGTCATGGCGAGAAACTTGTGCGCAGAACATCACCTCCACCGAAGGTCGTCAGTGATGTTGCTGGTCTGCAGTAAGCAGGAAGTGAATGACATGGAGTATGCTGCAGCCAAAGCTTCAAGGACGACTTGGAAAGATCCTTCAGGAGTCATCGTTCGAGGGCCCCAGAAGCAGAGCTGCACGCGATCGGGAAGCGAACGAAGCTTGATGAATCTGAATATATGCCATACTGGAGCAGAGAGCATGATTTCGGCCTGGATGTGGAGCGATGTGTATTAGGCATGATCTTGCAATAGTGTGAATCAAAATTCTTTCCAGATCAACTGTTCCAGTCCTATCAGTGTTGCCAACGTGCTTCCAAACAAGAGTTCTCTGTCGCGGACCGCAACGCTGTAGAGTGAGCTGTACAGAAGCCGATGCTAACGACAGGGGACGTCGCGAATCACACAAGTGAGATGCGTGAGCTCAAACATAGCCGACTTTCGAAGGGCGACATGATGGCAAAATGCCCGTGAAAGGTGAAGTGAGGTGTCGTCGTAGTAAGCAGACCCTTTGCCGCTAGCCGGGCGCTCGGACGTTTTTGGACCCACACAGCAGAACAGATCTTTTTGAGTTGCGAACTGAGAAAAGTGCGCTTCTCTGCTCTGCCATCTGCACCCTCTCTCCACCACCCACTTCTTCCACACCACACATACAACATGGCGGACGAAGTTTACGACGGTGCCATTGGCATCGATCTCGGAACCACATACTCATGTGTCGCCAACTATGAGGGCGCCGGCGTCGAGATCAGTATGTGCAGCGCACAGCGCCAGCGCCGAACCATTGAAATTCGCATCTAACACTCGCCGATAGTCGCCAACGAGCAGGGTAGCTTCACCACCCCATCCTTCGTCTCCTTCACCTCCGAGGAGCGTCTTATCGGTGAGGCCGCAAAGAACCAGGCCGCCATGAACCCAGAGAACACCGTCTTCGATGTCAAGTGAGTGCGAAATTCGAGAGAAAAGAGGAGGCGAGCGAAAACACCATACTGATCGCCCGCAGGCGTCTCATCGGTCGCCGATATGATGACCCAACCGTCAAGAAGGATATCGAATCATGGCCATTCAAGGTCGTTGAGGAGGGTGAGAACCAGCCAAAGGTCCAGGTCGAGTATCTCGGCGAGACCAAGACCTTCTCTCCTCAGGAAATCTCTGCCATGGTCCTCGGCAAGGTCAGTGATCCGCGAAGACTGCAGTTTCAGACAGTCCAAAACTAACAATGCGCAGATGAAGGAAGTTGCTGAGACCAAGCTCGGCAAGAAGGTCGAGAAGGCTGTCATTACTGTGCCAGCTTACTTCAACGACAACCAGCGTCAGGCCACCAAGGACGCCGGTTCCATCGCCGGACTCAACGTTCTCCGTATCATCAACGAGCCAACTGCTGCCGCTATCGCCTACGGTCTCGGTGCTGGCAAGTCTGACAAGGAGCGCAACGTCCTCATCTACGATCTCGGTGGAGGTACCTTCGATGTGTCCCTCCTCAACATCCAGGGCGGTGTCTTCACTGTCAAGGCCACTGCTGGTGACACCCACTTGGGAGGTCAAGATTTCGACGTGCGTAATCAATCCGCTGTGCTTATGTTGAATAACAACTGACCATGCGCAGACCAACCTTTTGGAGCACTTCAAGAAGGAGTTCCAGCGCAAGACCAAGGTACAGAGCCATTAGGAGTTCCGACGGCCAAAGAATTTTGCTGACAACCAAACAGAAGGACTTGTCTGGCGACCCACGTGCCCTCCGTCGTCTGCGAACTGCCTGCGAGCGTGCCAAGCGCACTCTGTCCAACGGTACCCAAACCACTATTGAGATCGACTCTCTATTTGATGGGGAGGACTTCAATTCCAACATAACCCGTGCTCGTTTCGAGGATATCAACAGCAAGGCTTTCAACGGCACCATCCAGCCAGTTGAGCAGGTCCTGAAGGATGCTGCCATTGAGAAGAGCAAGGTTGACGAGATTGTGCTTGTCGGTGGTTCCACCCGTATTCCACGGATACAGAAGCTCCTCAGCGACTTCTTCAACGGCAAGAAGCTCGAGAAGAGCATCAACCCTGATGAGGCTGTCGCCTACGGTGCCGCCGTCCAGGCTGGTATCCTCTCTGGAAAGGCCACCTCCGCCGACACTGCCGATCTCCTTCTCCTCGATGTCGTCCCATTGTCGCTCGGTGTCGCCATGGAGGGCAACATCTTCGCCCCAGTTGTCCCACGTGGACAGACCGTCCCAACGATCAAGAAGCGAACCTTCACCACCGTTGCCGACAACCAGCAGACCGTGCAGTTCCCAGTGGTCAGTATCTCTGGATTTCGAACTCGCGCGAAGCCACCAGCTGACAATTTCACAGTTCCAGGGAGAGCGTGTCAACTGCGAGGACAACACCTCTCTTGGAGAGTTTACGCTCAGCCCTATCCCACCCAGTTCGTATTCCCAGCTTCCTGTTGAAAATGTAGACTAACAATCTTTAGTGCGCGCCGGAGAAGCCGTCCTCGAGGTCGTTTTCGAAGTCGATGTCAACGGTATCCTGAAGGTCACCGCAACCGAGAAGTCTTCCGGCCGCAGCGCCAACATCACCATCTCCAACTCCGTCGGCAAGCTCAGCTCTGGCGAGATCGAGAAGATGGTTGAGGATGCCGCCAAGTTCAAGGACAGCGACAACGCATTCAGCAAGAAGTTCGAGTCCCGACAACAGCTCGAGAGCTACATCAGCAGAGTGGAGGAGATCGTCTCCGACCCATCAATGAGCATGAAGCTCAAGCGTGGCCAGAAGGAGAAGATCGAGAGCGCTCTGTCCGACGCCATGGCCCAGCTCGAGGTTGAGGATGCCACCAGCGAGGACCTCAAGAAGAAGGAGCTTGCCCTCAAGCGTGTTGTCACCAAGGCCATGTCTACCCGATAAGCGCCTCACATCTACTTTTTGGGTCTTTGTATTATGGCGTTTTGCGTGCAGGGAGTCAGAAAAGGCATGCTGAGCAGGAAAAGCTCAATGTGCTTGGAACTCTTTATCGCGCGCATAGTATAGATCACTAGCAATGACTGAATGGCTGGCAAAAGCAAGATTGATGTATGATCAGCATTCGAGGTCAGGGTGTCATGACGCTGCGAATGTTTATCCGTAGCTACGAAACGAGACTGCAACGATCAAAATGCCATTCCTCCCAGGTCTCTTTCACATTCTTCTCTTCTGTGCTGATGAAGTGGCCTTGCATGGTCATGTTGGTGCTCATCCAATGAGAGCGCAGCAATGGAGTTCTCTCGCCAACGAAGCCGATTTTCAAGCTTTTCCCAGCCAAGCTGTTGCCTCCCCGTCATTGACCTACATACTTCTAGCCCACCTCGGAAGCTACAGCAAGCTATCATGATCGAAGCAGTGTGGCCCTCCTGTCCAAATCCCACTTGACCCAAAACAATTCCCACTGACAGCTCCGGCCAGCTCCCGACAACCACAGAGTCCATCACCATGGCGAACAAGAGTACGTGGCAGAAGTCGTGAAAAAGTCTAAAAGGAGAAGTTGTGCTGAAGCTGAAACTCGTATTTGTGCAGAAATGCCCGCCAGTGGCACGTTATCGGAAGACGGACTCAGACATTTCAAGACGTACAAGTACTCGTCTGTGGACCTTTCACCGATTTCGAATCATATTTTGAGGCATTATGTAGGTATCCGAGACTTCCCTGTGCTTACTGCTGTTGCCAAGCATTTTGCGCAACCACTGTCTCTATGGGGAGATGGAAGGCAGGAGCAATAAGATGTCTTAACTGAGTGACTAACTTCTGACGATAGTGGAACTTCTGCGTCGAATTCCTTCCATTATGGCTTGCTCCGAATATGGTCACCCTCATCGGGTTCTTCTTCATCATCGCCAACGTCGGACTCCAACAGCTCGCTGATCCTGGTCTCATCGGCCCTACCTTCTCCTGGGTCTCCTACTCCTACGCCTTCGGCGTATGGGCCTACTCAACAATGGACAACATTGACGGCAAACAAGCCCGCCGCACAGGCACCAGCTCCGGCCTAGGCGAACTCTTCGACCACGGAATCGACAGCTTGAACTGCACTCTCGCCTCCATCCTTGAAGTCTCAGCAATGGGCTTAGGCTCTACTCCCTTAGGAGCTCTCACAGCTTTAGTGCCTTGTCTTCCAATGTTCTTTTCTACATGGGAAACATACCACACCCACACCCTCTACTTAGGCTACTTCAACGGCCCCACCGAAGGCCTCCTAATCGCCAGCCTCATCGCCTGGGCTTCAGGGTACTTCGGGCATCAAATCTGGCACGAGCCCATTGCTAAAGTCCTCGGAAACGCACACCTCCTAGGTCAAACCTCCGTGAAAGACATATGGGCCCCGCTCCTCCTCCTCGCGTTCTTCATCGCCCATTTACCAGGTTGCATTTACAACGTCGTGCGGGCCCGAAGAGCTGCAAACCTGACGATCCTTCCCGTCTTCCTCGAATGGACTCCCATGCTCCTCTTCTGCGGCTCCCTAACCCTCTGGCTCGGCTCCCCATACTCCACTCTTCTAAGAGACAACCACCTCGTCCTCCTCTGCCTCACCCTCTCCACAGTCTTCGGCCGCCTCACAACAAAGATCATCCTCGCGCATTTGACACGGCAACCTTTTCCCTACTGGACTGCTCTTCTCGCCCCTCTAATCGGCGGAGCAGTGCTGGTCAATTTACCTTATATTGGTTTCCCGGCACCTTCAGCGGAAATTCAATTGTACTATCTTTGGGGGTATTTCGTGTTTAGTACGATCGTGTATGGACGTTGGGCGTATGTGGTTTGTACGGCAATTTGTGAGTATTTGGGGATTAGGTGTTTGACGATTCCGGAGGAGAAGTGGAGGGCGTTGGAGAGGGAGAAGCAGGCGAAGGCTGCATAGACGGAGATCGGGTAGTGCTCAAGGGAGGGGTTAGTGAAGTGAGCTAGTTGCAAGCTATGACTGGGTCTAGAGAGCCGCTCAACGCTGGCTGAATAGAGATGATTTGTGTTTAGTGCATAGAGGGAGTTTTCTTGTAGTTGAGCAAGCGGCATCAGACAGTAAAATATTATAATAGACAAGCATGGCATTTCGGAAGCTTACTCTCCCTACTTTCGCAGGATCGAAGAAGCAAGCAAGCATCACTGGCACAGTGAAGTGATATCGAATGTCTTTGACATGTGCTCATAAAGCTCATTAGATGCAATACAAAACTATCCACTCTATACATTTCCATCACTCATGATCATGCAATCGCCTTCTCAGAGTGCGTCACAGATTTCTTCCTGTTGACAGTATCCTCAATATCTGCCAAACTCGACTTCCTTCCATCATGGGCAATATCTGCCACATCAGTGAAGTTGACAGTCGGCACGAAGCCAGGCGACTTCCAAGCGTTAGGAACCTTCGCGTACAGCTCATCGACTTGTTCCAGAGTGAGGCCCTTGGTCTCGTAGATCAAAGTGTAGACGAAGATGATGCAGATGAAGCAGAAAGTGCCCCAGATGAAGAACACTTTGGATTGCAAGTTGGCGTTTCCTGGGCCGGAGTCGACGAGGTAGGGGGTGGAGTATGCGATAGCCCAGTTAAGAAGCCAGTTGCCTGCGAGGAGAATGGGGTCAGCAAGGTAAAGTAGAGATTTGGGATTGGTGTGAATGCAACTTACTGGCTGTAGTCATCGAAAGAGACTTGGCTCGGACCTTGAGCGGGAAGATCTCACCCGTGACGACCCAAGCACAAGGTCCCCAAGAGCAAGCAAAGAAGAAGATGTAGATGCACACGAAAGCGATCAATGCTCTCTGTGCTGGCATATCATCAGTACCAGCCCCGGTGCCGACACCGCCGACGATGAACTGGCAGACTGCCATTCCGATAGCACCGAAGAGGAGGAGGTTGCGGCGTCCCCAGGTTTCCACCATGTACAGGCCAGGGAAAGTCGAAGCCACGTTGACGGAAGATGTAATCATGCTGACCACGAAAGAGTTCTCGATACCAGAGTGCTTGAAGAAACTTGTTCCGTAGTAGAAAATGAAGTTTACACCAGTAAGCTGCTGGAGGGCTTGAAGACCACACCCAGTTGCCAATCGCTTTCCAAGGTTTCCGCGGAAGCAGTCGAGGTAGGAGGCTTGGCCGAGACTCATCTCGTACTCGTGGTTGGCCGTGATTTCGGAAAGCTCGTCGATGATAGCTGGATCATTGACATCGAGGCGTCTGAGTGTAGCCAGCGACTTTGCAGCCCGCTCATTATCACCACGCTTGATCCACATACGTGGAGTTTCAGGCAGGATGATGAGACCTCCGACCAGGATAATAGACCACGCGAATTGTACGGCGATCGGAATGCGATAGCTTCCAGTGTCATTGCGGTCTTTGGTTGCGTTGTCGACTATTGCAGCGAGGAGAAGTCCAATCGTGATTGCCAGTTGGTATGCACCGACGATCGAACCACGGATCCATTTGGGTGCCGTCTCGGACTGGTAGAGAGGGATGAGTGCACTGATCATACCGACACCATATCCAGCGAAGAAACGACCAGCAACGAAGAGTGGAATCTCAGTGGCCGCGGTTTGAAGAATGACTCCGAAGCAGAAGACCAGATTTGAGACCATCAGACCGATTCGACGTCCGAAGAAGTCACCAGTAGGCGCTGCGGTCAGTGCTCCGAAGAAGGTACCGGCGGAGAGCAGTGAGACGATGGTGGATGACTGCGAGGATGTGATTGCGGGATTTCCGTTCTCGTCCGTGTGTCCAGTTGAGAACTCCTTGAGCCAGTATGGCATGGCAAGGATGCCACCGATTGTGCCAGTATCATAGCCGTAAAGGACGCCACCTGAAGCGTTGTTAGTCCTGTGCAGCTACAGGAGATCTGATAAGTACTTACCAAAGGCGACGAAGAGGCCGACAGCAATAGCAGGCCATGCCTTACCAGGCGTGCCCTCAGGCGGCTTGATGGTGAAAGGCATATTCAGCGAAGCGTGTGAGAGACAAGAAGCTCACACCAACACACAACGAAGAAGCAGAAAGCAGTGCTTCACAAAAAAGCGCAGGGCAACCAGCGACACTTAAGAAGTCTACCCTGCTGCCACGCGACCAGCACGAAGTTCACTTCCCTCACCAATGGGAGGGGAGTTATGCCTGCTAGTATGGAGCCCCAGCTGTACTAGCCCAGATTCCCCAAGCACAGGCAAGATGAGCTTCGCTTGCCAGCCAAGGATGCTTCTCTCCGGCCCGAATAGAATGCGGGCTCGCGTGAGAGACTGTCGTAAGGCGGTGGCGTGGCCAGTGGTGACCAATACGCGCTGGTTGTCGCACTAGCTCGGCGTCCAAATGGCTCAGAAGCTGTGCATTCGTGTTGCTGCACTCCAGAAGGTGCGAAACTTTACGTAGGGTATGCTGGTCTTGCAGTTTCGCCAGGACACAGACGTTTATGACCCGGTCCGTGCCAAAATAGCAGCAGAAATTTCCTACCATTGGGCAGCCTAGCTTGGAGATCGTTCATCTGGGACGGGTTTGCATAAGTTTGCCATCCCATTCACATCCGCCGGCGAGAGCTGTGTAGACCAGTGACATGAAGGGCGTTGACCATTGGCAAACGAGTGGCCTGCTGCATGGCGCATGCTGAGTTCTGGAGCGCCGCTGGTTGCACGGAGCAGGGGAGAGCTGCGCTCCACATCAGCCGCCTCCAGAGCACCAGGCGGCCGGCGGGCCTATCGGAAGGCTATTCGTGAAGACGAAGCTTACGCCGCTTGTCTGTCCTTCGCCGGTGGTGAAGTTCGGAGACCATTGTTTCTCATCAGTGAAGCGGCAGTGAGTAATGCATTAATGACCGAGCGTGAGGCATCGACAGATGAAGTCGGCGTGCAAGTGGTATCGTGAAGTTGGAGAAAAGCTTTGTGGAGTCCGCCAACCGCCAGCCGTTCACGCCAAGCGCCAGGCCAGATGAGCTTCTCCTTCCCGACAATACTCTTTCCTTCAAGACACATCAAAACCCTGTCACTCGCTCTTCCAGTCCCGATCGCTTTCCATTATGCCATCACTATAGCACACTTCGTGTACAGTACAAACCAGCATCCCGCATCCACGCCCAACGGACTTTCACCTTCTGCGGAGAAATGCTACGAATCGAGCAGAAAACCGCCTCGGTCTCTCTCCGGCCACATCAGACTCCCAGGATCACAGCCCCAAAGTCGAACTAGGGCAACAATGCGATGCAACTCGCAGCGCCGTCAAATCCCGCCGTCGTGTCCAAGCATTACGCCAGCCAAACCACCGAGCTTGATCATGCGTTCAAGATGCTCGGCGTGGCTTGTATGTACTTGTATATTTCGCCTTAGGTGAATTCGGTAATGCTGTCGTGTTGATCAAACTGCACATTCGCTTCCAAAAACTCAGTCTCAGGCTTGATGTGCGATGCTACAGCAGAAGCGAGACAAGTCGCAATGCCGCCGAAAGACTCGCCGAGCCCATGGCATCGTACTCCACTCTCCAGAAAACCCAAACAGACCCATGCTCATCTGATCACTCCTGTTGTGGAGCTGCAGACTGCAGTCGAAGCTCCATCGAAGGCCAAAGAACGAGTCGAGAAGTCTCTCGCTTGCTTGCTTTGTTGCTGCATGTCAGACGGAGATCATGTAGTGATTTGGTTTGGTGGCGGCGAGGCTTGCAAGAAGTGCTGACAGCTTGAGCTCATTGTGTGAAACGGCAATAGTGAAAGGGAACTACTGGTCGCAGGCCATCGGAGTCAGCGGATCAGAGTGTTGCCGATACTAGAGTACGGCATTGTGAGGTCCGTGTAGTCTGGCTGTCCAGCTTGCTTTCATGCTGTCTAGATCTATACACTGCCACTTACCTTCACTGTAGCACAATCTTACACGATGTAGCTGCAGCCACACATCCTCTCCCTGAGCACACACGAGCGTCTACGCCAGACTAGCAAACGCTCTCTTCTTTCCGCCCTTCCCAACTACATCCTCACTCGCCTCTCCTACTTTGTTGTAATCCAAATACCCCCCATTTACAATCTCTTCCTCCCTCACCTCCCTCGTCATGATCTCGAGGGCCGCGACGTTCGATCCCAGGATTCTCTTCTCCCCATCCTGCCACTTCTCGTAGGCATCATAAATCTCCTGCAACAGAGGCTTCAACTTCTTCGAAGCCACTATCTGCTGCATGTGCGCCTGCAGCATGAAGTATGAGATCGTCCATGCGAGTTCGGGGGACATGCATTTGTGGAGGAAGATGGCGAGGAAAGTGAAGAGGGTAGGCAGAGTGGAGAAGGGAAGGACCAGAAGAGCGTCATTCAGTGCCGGTCGAGGCACACGCTGCAGAGTGTTGAGGACGTGGCGTTCGGCGGAAATGTTGCCGTAGGCTGTGAGGATGGGATTGCGTTCAGGAGGGTAGGCGGGCATCTTAGGGTTTGTGAGTCGTTGTCGATTGTGCTTCGTCATCAGCTCCAGGTCTGCGAAACCAAGTTCTAGCGCTTCCATAATCTTCTCGCCGTGGGTGAGTGTGGAGATTGTTTGCTTTGAGGCGGCGGCGACTTCTGCATTCTCGTCTTCGTCGCCTTCGAAGTCGTGGTCAATGTTCTTGGCCAGAGTCGCTTCGTACTGTTCTTCCAGCTCGCGCTCGCGCTCTTCTTCGAGGAAGATCAGGTCATCGCCGACGTTCCAGGTCCGAATGGACTTGTCATGTGAGGCCGTGACAATAGTCTCGCCAGTCTGGCTGATGGCCATTGCCCAGACTTCACCATGATGGCCTTCCATTTTTTGAATCTGCTCAAATTTGTCGCCATCCCATGATTTGACCACTCCATCCTTGCCTGCACTGAAGACTGTATGCTTCTCTTCCTGCTCTTGAGGATGCGGTATGAAGCCGACCTGCATAACGCTGTCTTGGTGTGCGAAGAAAGACTTGTGGCAGTCACCAAAGTCAAGACCCCATATCTTGACATTCTTGTCTGCCGAACTGGTCACAATAAGCTTGGAGTCACTCGATATGCTGATGTTGAGCACGGGAAGTTTGTGGCCGTAGAGGATGTGGTACGGCTTCAGGCTGTCCACGAAGAACAGCTTAACTGTGTTATCGAGGGTGCTGAGCGCGAGATACTTTTGGTCAGGCGAGAAGCAGATCGAGAGCACGTCGTCGTTGACCTTCAGCTGCCGTGTTTGTGTTAGCTTCAGCCTTTGCGTTGTTCTTCTTGTGCCGGGAATCTCTTCGTCTACAATATCGAATCGCCAGAACTTTGCGCTCTTGTCTGCAGATCCAGTGACTACTGATCTTCCATCAGGATGAACAGCGAGAGACCAGATCGCGTGCTTCTCATCATGAGCCTGGATCTTCTCGATCAGCGTACTTGTGCTGATGTCCCACAGTTCGAGCTCTCCGGACTTGGTGCCGAGAAGCACCATACGGTCGCCAGGCAAGAAGGCCGAGCATAGTGCAGTGCCGCACTCCATCGTCCGTAGGCATGACTGGGTACGCAGGTTCCATACTTTGAGCGATCCTGCTGAGGCACTTGCGAGCATGCGATCATCGGACGACAGCGCCAGAGTGCGAATATCTGTCCGATGCCCAGACAGCTCTACTGCAAGAGAGCGACTGTAGTCGGGCGCTTCTCGACTCCCTTTGTCCTCTCTTGCGCGATGTGCCACAACCTCGTACGCCTCCAAACGGTTGTCCGTGGTCGATATCAGCAGCTGCAGCTTCTTCGCAGCCTTAGCTCCAGATGTAATCCAATTTACGGAGCGAACCTTTCCTCCCGACGCCCATTTCCCATCTGGCATTTTGACACCAGTCCGAACGATCACGTACGGGACGAAGACGTCTGTCACCTCCGGTTGTTCCAATGCCTCCTCCTTCTCCGGCACCAGTGTCTCTCCCGCTGCAGCAGCCTTCTCCCTTCTTCTCTTTCGCTTCCTGAGCATCACTCGGTGTAACTCGTCTGCAGACCGTATCCGAAACAGCTCAACAGCCTTCTCTGAGCCGTGGACCGCGATGTAGTCCTGTTTTGGATGGAAGCTAACGCTGACCGTCCTGTCTCTTCCTTGTCTTTGTATGGTTCCTTGGCTACGTAGCACATTTTGTTTTTTGCCGTCGCCCACAGACAGCGCCAACTGAGACAGCGCATCGATGCCCAGACTCCATACTTTGAGCTCGCCATCGTTGCCCGCGGTGATGCAACCCGCTCCATCTGGACTCATGCCCAATGCCCAGCACTCGCCACTTGTTTGCGCAACATGTGTCTCAATGCAATGCTGCGCTGACAGATCCCATATCTTGACCAGTGCGTCCTTCGATGTGGACAAGAGGTAACGTTCTTCCACATCTTCGTCTGCTATGCCGTCTACATTCTCGTTGGCCTGCGCTCCAGCCGTCGAAGTTCGAAGGAAAGACAAGCCGGTGATCTGATCTTTGTGGCCCTTCAACCTGAACTCGGCAGTTTCAGAGAGCAGGTTCCAGATAATGATGTCCGTGTCTCTGCTCCCACTTGCAAGTCGTGAACCCTCTCGATCGAACTGTAGATGTGTGATGGCGCTCCTGTGCGCATTGAAGCTCACTACAATCTGTCCGGACAGCGCATCCCATATCCGTATAGATCCGTCTTGATGTCCCACAGCGAAGAGATCGGGTTGCACATCGCATTGTGATATGCAGGTCACGACACTGCGATTGTCCTTATCGTTCCATCGTGACAGTAGCTCGCCCTTCTTCACATCCCAGCATAGCACTTCTTCATTCGCGCCTACAAAAGCTCTTCCACTGCCAGCATTGCGACTGGATGAGTCGGCAGTCCAGACGGTGTTGGAGGAAGCGGTGGCAATGGTGCCAAAGATTTGTCCAGGCTCGTACCTGCGATAAGAGCGCACCATGGTCCTGTTCGGTCTAGTCAGCCAAAGTCGACATGAAGCAATGGCGCAATGTTCACTTACCTGTCTGGAGGAAAGAGCTCCTGCACGCCCAAGAATATTTCTCGAAGATCGGCAGTCGCGCGCCCCACATGCCGACCGCCGACCGGGATCGCAGAGCCGCATCTTGTCCCACTTGCGCAGGGCTTGGCAGTTACGACAGCTGCATCGGACGCCAGGCAGGAACTCGACTGTTGCAGCATTGAGCTTTCACAGCACTTTCTCCTGAGCAGCAACACACTTCACAGCAGCGCCGAGCTGCCACACCTCTCATAATGCTGCTCCTCGACTATCAGAACGTGCTCATTGAGTCGCTGCTCAAAGACCGCTTCAACCCAGAGTATGTCTTCAGGCAATCGCATATGGTATGCATTTTGGCTAACAACAGGCTAGCAACGCACCCGCTTCGATCGACCAAGTAGTCTCAGACTTTGACAATGTCACCTTTCACATCTCCACGCCGAACGCCAAAACCCAGATCCTCATCTCCATCGCCGTGAAGTGCTTCCCCGAACTCGTCAAATACGGCGCCGAAGCTGTTCTGCAACGCGAATATGGCCCCTACATTGTCCAGCCCGAGCAAGGATACGACTTCAGTGTGCAAGTGGATTTGGAGAACCTGTCAGAATCACAAGAGGAGAAGGATGATCTGATCCGCCGGATAAGCTTGTTGAAGCGCAACGCTATGGCTGCACCTTTTGAGCAGGCGTTCGATGAGTATGCGAGCTTGGCGGAGCAGGCCAGTCACTACACAAGCGAGAGTGCGCCACAAGGAGTGAAGGAGGGCGGAGAGCTGAGGGCGATACACTACCGTGATCAAGAGGCCATCTACATCAAGGCTAGCCACGATCGTGTGACTGTCATATTCAGCACAGTGTTCTCGGATGAGACGGACAGGATATATGGAAAGGTGTTCTTGCAGGAATTTGTGGATGCGAGAAGGAGAGCTATCCAGAATGCGCCGCAAGTGCTGTTCAGGAATGACCCTCCTTTGGAATTGCAGGGCATCTCTGGGCTGGCGGGTGGGAAAGACAAGGTTGGATACATCACATTCGGTGAGTCTCTAAGGGAAGCGTCATACTGTGGGAATAGACTGACATCTGGGCAGTCCTGTTTCCACGCCACCTCACCCAACAGCGACGATATGAGGTCATCTCACACATCCAGACCTTCCGTGACTACTTCCACTACCACATCAAGGCCAGCAAGGCATACATTCACAGCCGCATGCGGAGACGGACGGCAGATTTCCTGCAAGGTGAGTTCCACCCCATGCGAGTCTTCACATCTCTGCATACTGACGTGGCACAGTTTTGCGACGAGCGAGACCAGAAACGGAGGAGAAGGAGAGGAAGACGGCTTCAGGAAGGACGTTCAAAGTGCAGGCTTAAATTTTGACGCTCGGTGCTAGCGATAAAATGCGGTCAACGGAAGTCAAGTCGGATGAAGTGTATGCAGTGCGACCTCGCTCCTGCCCTTTGCAAGTAGGGATCTGCAAACGAATGAAGTGAAGCTCAGGCCGTCAGGCAACTCAAGTTCGGCAGTGCGAGCCGACGTTGACGTGGTGGCTCGTCGTTTCAGACCAGCTTCATTACTTCTCACCTTTCGCTTCTGACGACGACTACTGAACAATTCTGTGATAGTTCGACACGATGGACGCGAACTCGGACGACTCATGGAGCGAGCGGCGCAGAAAGAATGAACTCTCCGAAGCCTACATACCGAAAGACCCACGCGACAACTCAACGCGCGACTCCAGTGGCCGTCTCGCGTACGCGCCGTGCAACTGCAGTATCTGCTTCGACCTCGAGCAAGTTGCACAATTGATCGAAGGAATTCAGTGCGACAAATACTCGGACTCATGGTGGGATCTACACTGGGCACAGATCGGTGTGTGGACTGGTCGGACGCAAATGCACCAGAGGCACATGCCGGAGTTGTACTTGACGGACACGCCAGTGGTCTTGCCTGAACCCGATGCAGTTATCACAGCCTCTGGAAGAAATGTGCAAGAGCGGACCGAGCTGTCTCCATGTGCATGCGAGAAATGCGAAACCTTGTTTCGAAGATACCGCGAAGTACTGGAAGCCGACGGAGATGGCGTGGACAGTGGCGAGCGATTGTACGGTCTTCGTCTCATTGTCGCGGCCCAAATTCAGCTTCACCCTGACTATCCGTTGACCTCTGAGACGGAAGGAAGCGTGCTCACTGAGCCTGTGTCAGCGAATGACAGCGCAGCGTGGGAAGACTCTGATGATGCCGAGCCCCTCACAGTAAACGATATGGCATCGTGGGAAGGCTCTGATGGTGCCGCCAATGAAGCCGATCAACACGTCGAGGGCGTTCATGCTATCAGATTGTTCCGTGGCGCTCAGCAGAGAACCCAAGAGTCTGGAGTACGTATTGACACCACTTTGGACTCATCAAAGTTGAGCTAACCAGTGCACAGACTACCGACATGACACATGTTATGCACGGCGGACATCACAACAAGTTCATGGTCTGCGACCACTGCATGGCACATGGGCTGCCGTGCAATGAAGCATCTGTCTGCGACCAATGCCAGCTTTTCGAGCAGCCTTGCATCCACCGTTGGTGCCGCGACAGCCCAACGAGGAAGCTGTTGTGTCTGAACAATGACTGTCGGTATGCGCATCGCGACAGTGTCGTTGCGCAGAATGACGATCCGAGATGGATAGTCCTGCCTGGTAAACTTCCGTTATACTTGTCCAGAGCTCGTATTGCATCAAGAACTTTCGACATCCGACGGCGTTTGGGTATGCTGAGCGATACGGAGAAGGAAGTCGCCCAGATTACACTTGACATCAAACAAGAAGAGGCGGTCGACGAGCTGCGAGCCAATATCGCAGCCGAGGAAGGCACTATGCTTACCATGCGCTTCTCCTGTTCTTGTCAATTTGAGTCGTATGACGACCAAGCACAGCAAGATCTGGAGGTGACATTTGGAGAACCACTTCCTCGCCTTTCGAACAACCCTCAGCTCGATGATCGCCTTGCATACCTCAACGAATTCATTCCCACAGCCATCGACAGCGAGCAGGCGTCGGACGTGACGACGGACAGCGGAGATGAAGATGAAGTCGAAGATGAAGCGGAGACAAGCTCAAGCCAAAGCACTGAAAGCGGAGATGAAGAGGAGGATGAGGAAAAGCAGGACATTGACGATAAAGATTTGGACCTTGACGATGGTCGAGATGATACCGCCCGTCAACGCGCACCGCTTTGTCCAGATTGCGGCAAGCGCAACGATCACTACAGCGTCCCTCCTTGCAACCACCGCACCTGTATCGAGTGTGCCCTCACGCTACGCCTGAGTCGCGGCGACCGCACATGTATTGAATGTGGTGCTCATGCATACATGGTCTGGTTTACGGCTTCGGAAGACAAGCTCTTCCACGAGATGGAGGGTATCCGCTCAGAAGAAGGACCCCAAGGAATCGCCGCAGTCGACGGAGGCTTCGACATCCTCTTCGAGAATGCAGTGATCAGGAAGGACACGATTTGGCTGTTGGACCAGCTGCCAGACATCCCGGTGTCGCGCCGGGACGAGACTGCCGCGTTCTGCTTAAGATGATCGAAAGATGTTAGTAGAAGGAGGTTGTCTCGAACCAGGTCTTCTGGCGTGGCGTAGCTGTGGCCATGGCAATGACCAAGGACCATTCCGTGTTCTCGGAGGAATAGACGACCATCGGCGTTTGTTGTTGAGTCTGAGGGTGTCCTGTGATGACAGCTACGAATATGTGCCAGAGAAGACTGTGCGGCCTACGATACGACCACAGAAACAAGCGCATGGCTTCACTACACAGTATCGTGGCGTGAGAATCTGGGCCTCACTCAAGACAACGCGACAGGTCGAGATCAACAGTGAAACTGATGCATAGAACACATGGCGCTCTCACATTCAGCCTTGTTCGACGAAGTTCCTTGGTGCTGCATCTAACGCCCCCAATCGTTATGCGCGCCGCGCTCCCAGCACTACCGTTGATAGAGTTCTGCTGAGATGCCAGCTGTATATTCATCACGTCCATGGTTCCTTCGAAATCGATTATTGCCCTGCCAGTCGTCCACGCACGCAAGGCTGCGCGTCTTGCAGCTGGGATCATCCCTGTCACTCAACGTGTCAAGCGAACGGTCAAAGTTGCAGCTGCAAGATTGAACTCACCATCCGGAGTTCCTTCCACTACCCATGAAGCTAGCACGAGGCCACTTCGTCTGAAGTGGTTTGACTTTTCGACGGATGTGACGTATTATGTTGCGGTAGATTGGAAGAAGATCCAACTGCACGAGTACCCGGTAGAGGTTTCTTCATCGATCAGCCTGGATGCGTTCGTTGCGCTGAACACGGGCACTGATTATTGTCACCCTCTCATCATGATCGGAGGAAATCTCGCCCCAATACTATCAAGCAAACCGAAACGATCACAAGCCAAATTTCCAGCGATGTACAGAGTGTTCATTGAATTGTGTCTGGCTCTCTATTGCTGCGGCAGTTGTGTAGTGCAGTCTGCGAAGCCGGCATATAGCGCCAAGCATGGAGAGACTTACGACTTTGTCATCATCGGTGGCGGGACTGCAGGTCTCGTGGTTGCCAATCGTCTTTCGGAGAATCCAAATCATACAGTACTCGTTATCGAGTACGGCTCTCTGGAGGATAACATCACCATCAACGTCCCTCAGACGAGGAACTTTTACTCCCTTAATGCAATGCAGCATGATCCCAACGTGCAGCGCTTGTATTATACATTTCCTACGGCGCCAATCGACAAGCTAGATGGCCTGATGTTGCCTATAGGCATTGGTGCAACAGTGGGAGGTGGTAGCGTTGTTTCAGGAATGCTCTTCAACCGGGGTTCTAGAGCCGACTATGATGCGTGGAGGGATTTGGGCAACCCTGGCTGGGGATGGGATGATCTTTTGCCGTACGCCCATCGGTCTCGTTCCTGAACGAGGACTCTGCTGACTTTGTCGTGTGATAGATACTTCATCAAGAGCTCCAACTTCACGCCACCCAAGGACGCTCCTACAACTGGCAGGACATGGAACTCTTCGGTATGGGGATCAAGCGGACCAGTGCACAGCAGTTTCCCCGCGTGGAGATGGCCGCAGGAAGAAGTGTTTCATGACGCTTGGACAAACCTGGGACACATCATTCCAGCTGTCGAGGACATCAATGATGGCTCTTCGGTCGGCATTGGATGGACTCCTAGTACACAAAACCCGGGTACTCAAACCCGAAGCTCAGCCAGAACTGCCTACTACGATCCTGTCGCGCATAGGACCAATCTCAAGCTGATGCCCGGCACGAAAGTGCTATCGATCACTTTCGAGAATCGTATTGCCACTGGTGTGATGATCAGAGACCGGTCTGCAACTGACGCTCCTTGGAGACATATCAAAGCCTCGCGGGAAGTCGTCCTCGCTGCTGGACCAATCTTTAGCCCAAATTTGCTGCAGATCTCCGGAGTGGGCCCGCATCATGTTCTCAAGGAAGCTAAAGTCAGTTGGAAATTCCGTTCACTGTTCTGACAATACTGAGTCTAAACAGATCCCTGTCGTGCACGACCTACCTGGAGTGGGCATGAACTTGCAGGACACACCAACCATACAATGGTTATGGAATCTGCCCGGCTTCAAAGGTCCTCGATGGACTGACCTTCTACACAATACCACATTGTACAGCGAAGCTAAGCAGCTGTACGATTCGAATCGAACGGGCCCACTGACTGTAGCGATCGGCGACTTGGTGGCCTCGCTTTCGCTCTCTCAAGCTTCAGTCAGTGCCTTGAGCATGCTCCAGACAATTCCAACAGAGTATCATCTGAGTTATCTGCCAAAGGTGTACACAGCAACTTCCCGACATGGGTACGTTGCCCAGCTGCGAGTCCTTCAGAAACAATTTGCATCATCTCAGAGTGGATTTTACGAACTTGCTTTCAAAGGGTGGTCTGAGAGTTTCATCAATCTATTACAGAAGCCGTTCTCTCGAGGCACAGTCCTTCTGAACACCAGCGATCCGGATCTTGGACCCCTAGTACAGTACAACACACTTGCAAACCCGACGGATGAGATTCTCGTCAGCGCAATCGTCAATCTGACGCGTGAACTGTTCCGATCTCCAAAGGTCTTTAATGAGTTTCAACCGGAGGAGTTGCGTCCTGGGCCCGACGCTACCAGTCCGAGGGATATCATTAAAGCTTTGAGCAGGCATAAGATGCTGATGCCTTCGTGTTCACACGAGAGTGGCGGATGCTCGATGATGCCTCTCGAGCTGGGTGGCGTTGTGGGGCCCGACCTGAAAGTGTTCGGAGTTGAGAATTTGTGTGTGGTTGACGCGAGCATCATTCCGCTCTTGCCAGCCGCACGACTGCTTCATACCGTACGTTGATCGGTTTCCAATGCTGTTTGTCCATTCCACTGACAGATGTTCAATCTGTGCTCTCAGGTATATGCAATCGCCGAGAAAGCATCCGACATCATCAAAGAAAGGCACGTGTGAGAGGCAGCGGAGTCCACTTTCGATCGGACTCATGGTACGTCGGTGTCAAGGCTGCAGTGAATCAACTGAGGCTACACTAAACTGTAACACTCGTGAGGTTATATCCATTCAACAGAGATCTATGCTCGATGTGAACGTTCACAAACAATACTTTTCCATTCGCTGACTTCCGATAATTACAAGCGGGCAACCAAGGCATCGTACAATACGTACAAGTCGAAGATCGATTCGACAAATCCGTCATCAGAACTAACGAACCAATGCAACAAGCTGCAAGCCCTTCCCGGTGACATGGTGTTCGTTCTCCTCAATGACCGCCTCAAATATATCAGCAACCTCATCAACGACGTCTTCCGCCTGGGCGAACGTGTTGACGGATGGCACTGGCAGGGGTGGGATACGCGAGAAGGGAGTTCCTTTCAGGATGGACTCGATGTTCTCCACGTAATGAAGGAGCCTCTCACGTTCGTCCTTGGTGAGATCGGGGTCGGATGCTGCTATCTCGGCGATCTGATCCCTATCCAGCCGCTGGAAGCGGTGATGCAGGAGAGCCACTTTCATAGCGACACGTCGAAGCGCTGGAGATGCACTCAACGGCTTCTCGCTTTCCGGCGGCACAAAATTCTTGAGCTCCTCGCAAGCTTCCAGTTCTCTTTTGGTATACAGTGGCGCCACTGACATCTCAGGGTGGCTCATGCGGTACGCCGAAGTGCGCAGCAGAGCTTGGGCGGTAGGCAACTCGTCGTTCTTAGCCTCCGTAACGCGTGGCAAAGTGCCTTCCCACGGTGATCCTTTTCCACGATTGATCGGTGGGAGCGTTTTCGGTGGAAGATAGAAAGTCGTGCATGGGTTCAGTCCAATACGCTTGATGACTGCATTGTCCCGCAGGTCCTTGATGGTGATCTTCTCAAGCTTGAACTTCTCGAGAGGCCGCATAGCTGCGACGTAGGAGAACACGGGAAAATCTGGACCGTAGAGTGGCTCCAGATAGTCGGCCAGCTTCACAACATCAGTAGGACTCGCAACAGTGCTGAAATTATTGTCACCTACCTTATGAACATGTTCATTGTCGAAGATCATTGCACTCTTTCCAATAGCACCTGGTTGCCAGATGATCAAGTGATTGCGGGTGTCGATCCTGTGACAGGCGATGTCAATGATCTTTAGGTGTCCACCATCTGTGTTTCACGTACCTGTCCTTCTCAAAGAGCAGAAATGTGGCTTCGAACATGGAGCATCCAGTGGTGCTCGGATCTATCCCTAGATCGGCATACAAACAGTCTTCGGCTGACACACCGGGGAGCATCTTCGCCTCGTAGCCTTCGTGCCGTGCAATGTCAATTGCCCGATGCGAGGGATTGACAAAGACACCGGGGTGGCCGTACATTACGCCAACGGTAAGCTTTCCGCCGCGAACGCTGTTCAGCATGACTTCGGCCATCTGAGTGTATGTTCTGATGCGGGGCTTCTCCGTGCCGTAGTATTGATGGAGATTCTCGCTCTTCTTGGCATGAGCTTGGATGAAAGCTTCGGTAGCCAGATCCAGAACCAAGTAGAAGACCATGTCCGCCTGCATGATGTAGTCCAAGGCCTTTTCACGGCATTAGCATTAATGCTATTTTGTTGATTGGGAAGAACGGTTATTACCTCAATGGTCATCTGACGAACGCTCGCGATGCCTGTTCCTACAATCACCAGTTCCCCCTTCTTACATTGTTGCTCGGCCTCCAGAACCACTGGTGGTACAGGACTGACTAGAGTCTCGATCGTGTTCCAAAACGTGGGAGTCGTCATTGTGGCAAGCGTTATGTTCGTGTGTGGAATATGTTGAGGATTAGGACCAGATGGAAGACGAAACGAAGAGCTGAAGCACCACGGCTGACTACTTTATACGGTCATACCTCAATTCTCGAACAGCGGAAGACTCGGTGTCTCATTGGTATCCATGAAACAATGAAAGGTGGATATTCCCAACTCATGACAACCAACACTTCGACGGGAAACGCATGGTGAGACTGGAGAGCAGCTTCACGGTCCAGAGCGCACTCTCAAACTCTATGCGTGTTGAACCAGCGCATAAAGGTAGTTGAGTAGACTTCTCCGGCCATACTGCTTGTGCATCCCAACGACGAGCCCAGGCTCAGAATGATCCACGCCTTGTGATCCCTCCATAGTTCCACATGAAACAAATGCATGAGCCATGGGCAGAATGCACTGCTTGCTGCGATGCCGCTCGATTTCGATGCCAGAGGTCAACGAGGACTGCAGCATGGAGTCTGGTCGATACGTGCGGCCGCCGACCAGCTAATGCTGCTCCGGGTACCACATCCGCTCGACAGCCCGGTATGCGTGGAGTCTCTCTTGCTCGCTTCTTTGACCTGCAGTGGCACTGGGTGAGCTCTGCTGTTGGAAACCAAAATGGAGAAAGTTCAACCGAAAATCATGAAGCTGTCTGGATGTTCGCATGCAGCATCGCAGACAGGCAAGCTTTCAGTCTTACCTCGCTCGTCACGCACCATAATCTAGCTCAGCCTGCACACGCTCCCGTATCTTCAACTTGAAAGTGGCTGCCATGTGTCCTAAACGACGGTCCGCTGGTGTCATACTGGTCTCGCTCTGGACTCTTACACCGCTCATATATATGCAACTGGACGTCTACCCGAGGGTATGGCTCCTACTCCTTCTTGTTTATTGCTTTCATTACACAAAACATCGATTTTTTCGGGCTCGGAGATATCGAAAACCCGTGACAATCATTCCATCACCCCGCTCGATAGAGAAGATTCGCATCGATAAGTCAAAGAAAGACGACATGGACAAGGCGAAAACGCAAAGAGCTCCAATGCCATGGATCAAGGTCCTGCACGAGAAACCAGTCCTCATCCAAGTCGAACTCCAACAAAAGTCGCCAACGAAAGCAGACCTGTGGTCCATTTTTGAGACGAGGCAAGACCTGTAACCTAGTCAAGGCTTGAAGGGTCTAGCGGGGACTAGAATAAGCCGTCGTGCATGACCAAGGGTATGGCAGACTCTCAGAACAGTAGTACAATCGTTCGAAGACTACCAGCAGAACGCCTTTGAAAAGCTCCATAGGGCTCATCAAGTAGGTTGATACAATCCGGCCCCGTATGATAGATGCACTGCTAATTCCTGAGCATAGACACATCGGGTCCCCGTATTCGCCTGACGATTTATACGATGTCAGCTCCAAATGCCAGCTAGATTCCTATGAGCAGGGCATTGTCTGTGCCATGTTGGTGCATAAGTTGAGGTGTACTGTTGTCATCATGGCTTGGATTACAAACTCTATGGTTTCATTCAAAGGCAAGGGGAGAGCGGCCGACAAGGTCTCAGGCTCTCACGGCTTGCCAGGAGTTCGTGTCCGATGTATCGAAACTTCTCAATGTTGTCTGGACTTCTCACTCTACAATCCGTCGCCTGCATACGGGGAACGGGTAGTAGGGTATATCTCGAATTTTGGGCATTTGCGACCTTTTCAGTAGCCGATTCAAGGCAGCCTTTTGGCAGGAGAGCCCCGAAAGGACCTTGAGCTTATATTCCTTGAATCCGCGTATGCAGATGACAGACTGTAGAGAATTGCCACTTTAGCCGAGAGTAATACCCTCCTTTGACTCACGTGAAGGACTAGGTCGCCAAACCGAGCCGGATTGTTGTAGACAACAAGAGTAAAGGAGCCCGAGGGGGATTCGACCAACATGTTCGTCACTTGGCTGGATACGACGAAACGCTCCTCTGCTCTTCTCAACTCTAGCTCAAAAGAAGCCCTATGTGACGAATGTGATTTAAGATAAGCTTCTGCAAGCATGATCGCGAAGCTTACAAAGCTTGAGGGTCCCGACTACCACACTCGAATGCAGGCAGGGGTTTTGTATACAGTATAATTGGAGGCTGGTACATGTTCCCTTCCCATTCATACACACTGCACCTCGGAGCCCACTCCTTTTTTCTTGTCCGGACGACACTCATATGAGCAAAGCATGCAGGAAAGCGGCATTTCGACACCGACGATACCGTTTTAGCCTGCCGGTCGAAGGGGATCCAGCAAAGCCGGAGGAACGGTCGACCTTGAGCTGATGCTTTGGAGCAACGATGCCGTCGCACACTTGGCGCAATCTGTGTAGGTGGATATGTCGTTCCCGGATACAGACCAGCATCCTACCACACGAGATCTTTACACCGCTATTGGATATACCCGAGTGTTGAGTGAAGCCGACGAAGACTTTCTCGTCTTCTCCGATGAGCTCGACAAACAGCGATTCCCTTTCGATCCACGCCAGGCTATGGTCTATGATGTCGCCGGGAATGAGTCGCATTTCTCGCTTGACAGATGCGGTTTCCAATGGTACAAGCATCTCAGCAGCATGGCTGCTGAGCAAGACTTCGAAGACGAGCTCAAGATTGAAACGATCTATATCCCTGAGATGGAGAAGTTCCTTCGTGAGGTGTTGGTCTCTCGTTGTTATGCTTGGTGCGTCTATAGTTGGACGTGAGCTGATCATTCTCACAGGTTGAAGGCCTCGCATGTTACCATCTTCAATCACTTCGTCCGCAGGGAAGGCTGCCACCCAGGTCCGGTTCCTGAATTCCATCTTGGTATGCGAGCTGTCTCTTCAATTCAAAAGTCGTCCAAGGCTGTACAGTCTTTTCGTCGACTGACATGTGACAATGATGACAGACAGCTCGATAGCATTCGCTCAGACGCTCGCCCAATACTACAAAACGACCCGCCGTCTCTCGCATATGAACGTGCGCGAGATGCACGTCAACGTATGGCGGCCACTCCGACCAGTATTGAACTCACACCTCGCACTTCTCGATGCCTGCACTCTGGTACCGGACGTCGACGAGATTCCTCTCACATTCGTGTCGCAGAACCCGCGCAACCCACGACGCTCCACGCATTATCTTCGCTATAGCCCATGGCATCGCTTCTTTTATCGCTCTGAGATGGGTACAGAAGATGTCATCATCTTCAAGACTTTCGACAGCAAAGTTGATGGGAGAGCGAGACGAGTCGCTCACGGCTCTGTGAAGGACCCACAAGTACCCGAGAATTTGTGTCCTGGACGAGCGAGTATTGAGCTCCGAGCAATGGTGTTCTTTGAAGGTGAAAGCAGGGAGTGATAGCCTCAATTGATACACAATTTCATGGTCTCCGCGTCTAGCCGGTCTTCCTGCTCAAGTCGTTGAATGTGCTCTCCCTACGCCCAGATTAGCGATGACCAAAACAGAGTGATAGAAAATCTCTTGTGTCTACCTTGTTTACATTGGGAATAAAAGCTAGATCGCGAAGCTTCCACGCTTAATTCACTTCCGCATCATGAACGGCTCGTCAGCTCCGCAAAGGACACAAGCCATATCGGGGACTCTGATCCCATCGTGAGCAAGTTCAATACTACCACTTCGAAGCTGAAATAGCATGCAGTGATCGAACGAGCTTACGCGCTATAAGAAAGCATCAGCGTTACCGTGCTGAGTGTCTGCGGAATTAAGGATGTTCTCGAGAGGAGGATTTGGCGGCAGGTGGCGATCAGCGCGGAGTGCGAGCAGGCATGCAGCAGCAGTACTAGCAGTAGCAGTGGATATTATCATCCTTCTGTGAAGTGCGAACGAACGGCCCACAATAGTCGAGGAGCTACTGTGTTGTGAGTTCCCAGTTTGCGGCCACTGGGTGAAATGTGGTTTATCTTCGATCAAGATGACAGGGAACGTCCGTAGTTCTCAGCTAAGCTTTCGGTCTGCTCAAACAAACTTGCGAGGTGCCTGTGTTGCAGACGGCGTAACAGTTGGAGTCGCTAGAGACAGACCAGAAAGACGCTTTGTCTGTCTGCGCTTGCGAGGTCGTATTGTGAGGCGGATCGCAGAGGTGAATAGATTGTACAACCTAGCAACACCAAGTCAGGGAGATAATTCATCTCTCTCAATCAGATTCTTCCCGAGCACTCGCCTTATACAAAACCCTTGAGAGTTTGGTGCTTGGCCGCACAAGTATCAAGATCCTTTACCACATTGACACAACCAACGCCCCGAAAGATCTGGGACAATCGCGCACCTTGAGTTACAATGTCTCTGAGCGCACTTTTGTTTCGCAGTTAGTATCCGTAGTTCTTTTGCCCTCGTGTCGAAGGTTGATACTATCATTGCAGTGTGTGGGGAAAAGCTTTTTTTTTTCTTTGCACTTCTTGGGAGAATCTTACAATTCCATTGCAGGCCATTCGACATTCTTCATGGTTGTCAGATATGACATCGCTTCCTGATTTACAGAGTTGTACTGGCGGTACAGGGGCTGGACAACCCCGTATTGAACCGGGACCGCCAGGACAGCGGTTGTTGGGTGCTTGTGCGGATGTGGCAGAGAGGTAGAGTATGAGAAAGGCGGGAAGGGTGTACCGCATTGTCGGATCGAAGCTGGGAGAGAGAGACGATGAGAGATTTGTCTGGTAGACAGATGAGACGGAGTAGACCTGTGTGGAGAAATGCCCTGGGGAATAAGAGAGAGGCAGCAGATATAGAATAAGAGAGTAGCCCAAAACATGGCTCTTGGCAGACTTCCTTCCTAGCTCTTGTCTCGTATCATGCATCACTCTAGCAAATGGCCGAGGATGTATCGATGGTGACGGGCCTCCACTTCGGCTGTTTGTTTGCAGATTCGAAGTCGATTTGGTGTACGATCATTATCGAGCGAGACTTGTCATTAGAGATAGGATCACGGGGAATTTGTGAAGACTCGAAGCACACGATGTGCACGCGATGGCTGTATTTCTGTTCGAAAATATGGTTGCAAATTCGGTCAGTGATGCTACGCTGGAGTGCTGCGTATAGAAGATGGCTGCTGTGAAGATGATCATTCGGAAGATGACTATTGAAAAGATGACTATGCCAAGGATATGGGGTCTTGTCGGAAAGACGAGTTCGCAGAGCAATACGGTCGGTTCCTCCTCGCAGTTCAGGCCGATCGATGCCGCTCCGAATCTAAACAAGTAAGGACTGACCTCGGACAGATGGTCAGAGACAAAGTCTCAGAATGCTCGATTTTCCTGACCGCTCGTGCCTATCACTGCTGCTTGGCAGCAGCTGCCACCTACCCCAGCATCTTCTCGTTCGAAAAACTCCACACAGCTTCAAAGATTGTGCAAATGAAGCACTTGCATCACACAGCGGACTTTGCGGCTGCGAGCAGCTGGTAATGTCTCCCAAGTGAGCAAGATGTCCCTTTCGCCGGACGCCATTTGTTGGCTCCATATACGCCAGGAACCGGCCGGGTGACAAGACGCCACGCTCTTGATCTTGCTCCAACTCCAGTAATCGTCTTCCCTCATTGCCGTTCAGACTCTCGCTCAACGCGATGGCGCTTGTCAAGCTGAACGGAGCCTCAAACATACATACAAGAACACCGAATGCCAGCGGTAGGTCCACCACATCGCCAGCTACTTCTTCTTCGGGGACAAGACACGCGCTCCGTGGTGGGGTCCATGCTATCTGAACGGTGAAGATATGGAGCGTTTGGCCGAGGTAAAAAAAAAACGACTGTGTCGTTGGTTTGGTAGGAATGCAGCTGGTAGACGCCTTTCTTGGTGTTTGGGAGCTGCCAGCGGATTGGTTCCAGTCAAGGATCGCAGTAGGGATGAATTGGAAGAGCCGGAATGTGATAAATTGGAGGATCTGCAAGAGAACAATCCTCACTTCTCGTGCCTCCAGAATTGTGAGATCCTTCGATGCAGTGAATAGAAGGATCGCCACGCACGATGCGATAGAACTGATCTTGAAGACAACATCGTACGTCTTTTGCTTTCTCTGATCGATTGTATCGTGCGAAGCCACTTGGAGCGAAAGAACTTCAAGATGTGTTCAAAGACGACATTGGCCAGATCTGAGATGGCCGGAAGTACACGATTTGCACGCGATGGCTGTACTTTTGTTCGAGAAGACGCCTGCAAATTCTGTCAATGCTGCTACGCAGGAGTACTGCGTATCAAACATGGCTATGCTAAAGACATGAGGTCTGGACGAGAGGTCAGCTTACAGAGCTGGTTGATCAGCTCTCCCTGGCTGCTCGTGCCGACCCTGCCGCTCCGTATCCCACCGAGTCGGGTTTGGCATCCAAGAGATTGTCAGAGAATAGGTTTCAGAGTAATCGGCTGTCCCTGACTGCTCGCGCCTATCAATGCCGCTCAGTATGTCGTTCGATGCGGTTGTCATGTGAAGAGGGACCCAGAGATGACGGTCCCGTAGCCGAGTCTACCTTTCGAATGCGAAGAGTTTGTACACATCATGAGCTGCTTGTTCGATGCCGCTACTCGGGAGTACGGTGCCGTAGACATTTCTTTCTGGTGGTCAGCTCAGAGCGTGTGGCATTGTTGCCATTGATTCAAGAACACTCGCAGTTGCAAAGTTCTAGGCAGGTTCGATCATTCTGCAAAGGAAGCACTTGCACCACAAGACACTTGGCTTTTCGCGGCTGCGATCAAGTCCAGTCGCTACCAAGTGAGCAAGATGTGCCCTTCGATGGAGGGCGCGTGTCGACTTGGCTGATGCCGTGGAGAAATGGCGTGTGGAGATACTGCCCCATTGATCTTGCCTTCGCTCTCGTAATTGTCGGTCTTCATTGCCGTCAAGACTCCGGGTACCCGCGAAGGCACTCACCTGTGTGTATTGAGACTGGCTGGCTGGCACCAGCTCTCGATCACATGCTCCACGTCTGCAGGTACAGCCGAGAAGTGGGTCCTTGTTGCAGATTGTACCACATTGCCTGGGAAGTTGGGCGGTTCAGGGTGCGCGGGTAGCACGAAGGCTGGGTGTTCAATAAGCGCGTCCCCATGTGCTGAAGGTCCTGCCTGTGTGAAGAGCAGTCTGCTACAGAGGGTCTGATGTCTCCGTCAATGGGAAGGCCACGCGTAGGGCGACGGTGCAGTGGAGGTTTCACGACGACACGAGAGGGTTTGCGTGGCTGCGCAGTCCTGCGTCTGTTCGCCCGCCCATCCCGGTCACTTCCGCCGCCGCATACTGGTTGCTGTCGCTGTGGAGGCTGGGCAGAGTCAGGGTCTCGTGCTGACAGCAACATCGCCTCTTCTCGTGCATCTGTCTCTTTCGCAGTATACAGCACGCGTCTTCCGCAGATACAACTGAAGACAGCACGAGTGAGGTCAGTGAATGGATTGGGCTGGGCATTGCGAACGAACCGTCCCGGCAGCGGGTGAACTATTGCGCAAAGCGCGCCGCTGATAGGTCGTTTGCGCAGTCGTGCACGCGGCACATCCGAGATTGCATGACCGACTACGTTAGCGTTCTGCTGCTCCTGAGCCAACGCTGCACATTCCTCAGCGACACACGACTCTGCGACGTCCTTCTGTGTCCGACCGGCGACCGCGACCGAGCAGGAGGCAGGAAGCACGCCGACAACCTCACCTCCCAACAACTCACCACAGTCTCTCGTTCTGTCCGAAACGCCAACTACCGTCACTCACTCGACCCATCGCCATTCTTCCTTCCCGATCCAGCGCGCAGCAGCTCCCAGGGACGCCACTGCCGGAACACTGCATCTGCAAGCACCGCGTCACTTGCTCTGCGAGAGTCGACCGGGAACCTTTCTTCTTCTGCTTCACCCATAATACCAATGCCCCGTTAACACTCGCCATTTCTTCGCTCCGGACCACCGTTTACTTTCGCGCGACCCGGACATTCCTATCGCTGGCACCGATTTCCCACCGCATCCTACCAACCACGCCCGATTTCACGATCCCGACCGCCCGACCGACCGACAACACACCACCTCCTCTGCCCGCTCTGGCGCGATAACGCTTGCACACGTCGCATGCGATGCGAAACCTCCTCCAGCAATTGCTCGCCCTCGGGCCTGAGCTTGCTGCCTACATTCTGACCACCTCCGTACCCGTCGCGCGCGCCGCCTTCGTGCAATCCGCCGCCTCCTCACCGAATCTCGATCTGTCACAGCTGGGCCGTGTCGCAGTAGGGGGAGACTTTGACAGCATCTCGCTCTACACATATCAGGGACAAAATGAAAATACATCAACAAACGGCAGCCAGTCGCTGCTCACGCGGTATCCCGATGGCGCATTCCAGTCGCTGGCCCTCGCCGATGCGGACACCTCAATACGAGCCATGTGCTCGTTTGTCGTCGATGGAAAGCTCCAAGGCGTGGTCGTAGGAGGCAATTTCACCAGTTTAGGAGGAGTAAGAGCGGAATCCATTGCGCTGTGGAATCCCGACAGTAATGAAGTCACGGCCTTGCCCGGTCTGTCTGGTGGACCCGTGAATGCGCTGTACTGCGACGACGAAACCGGGACCGTGTACGTCGGAGGCCAATTCAGGGCAGGCAACTCTTCAAATGCCATGGCCTGGACTACAGGATGGGTGAATTTGCCTTTTGCCGGGTTTAACGGACCCGTCAACACAATCACCAAAGACAGTGGAAACAACATTGTTTTTGGCGGCCAGTTCGCTGTTCTTGGCAACACCACCACGAGCACTGAAAGCATCCCACAGGCTGTCAGCATCGGCTCAGGAAACATCACGGCCGCAGGATCTACGAGCCGAGCGGGCTTCAGCGATCCGAACAATATCATCTGCAAAACCGGCGAAGAACAAGGCTCGGGAAACACCTGGCTCCTCAACGACAACACTGGAGGCTACTGGGAGTCCGCGCTGGGATTCGGCGTCAGTCCCACCGCCTTGCGAATTTACAACACCGATTACGAGGGGCGCGGCACCAAGAGCTTCTACTTCGAGGAAATGAACACCGCCGGCATTCTCGAACTGGAGTACGTCGATCCCACGACCGGTCAAAATGCCACCTGTATCCGATTCTGTCCTCTGCCAGAAGGAAACACCACCGTCCAGGAATTCCGCTTTGTGCGCCGTGTTGCTATGACCACATTCCGTATCTGGATCACCGACTTCTACGGAGCGGGTGCTGGCCTCAACGGTGTGGAACTGGTCTCGGACGAAGTATACAGCTTCGCGGTGAACGACTACAACGCGCCTTCGTGTGTGGATACCGCAGCCGCCTCAGTATCGACCGCCACCCCTGCGGAATCTTGGGGCATCGTTCGAAATCCTGGCTTGATCTCATCTGACTTCCTTTCCACTGTGATCAACTCCGAGGCGAACGTGGGCGACAACACCAATGTCGTGTTCCAACCAAATCTGCAGCAATCCGGAAACTACTCCGTCACACTGTACACACCTGGCTGTATCCTTGACGAATCATGCAGCTCCAGGGGTCGCGTCGAGATCACGGCCTCGATGACCGCCGACTCTGATCCCGCCACGACCAGCAGCTTCCAGACCAACAACTACGACAAGTTCGAGCAAATCTACTACGGCTACATCGACACCGATGGCTTCCAGCCTACAGTGACTCTTGCACCAGCTGCCGGGCAGCGCGTGCCCCTCACCGTCGTCGCATCGCGCGTTCGATTCGAGCTCATCTCTGCTGCTGGTGGAAACTCCTCTACTAGTACATCCTCCTCTACTACGGGAGGACTGAATGGTCTTTTTGAGTACAACCCCAATGAAGCGACCACGAGCACGAACTTCTCGACTTCTGTCGTCAACCGAGCTGGAACCTCTCTTGACGGGCGCGCAAGCTTTGCCAGCGTCATCCGCTACAACGACAACCTCTACGCTGCCGGCAACTTCTCCGGCGATGGAATCTCCAATATCATGTCCATCGGCAGCGATGGTCCTGCGTCGCTCCCACGCGGCGGACTCAACGGCGAGGTGTTCAATATGATGCTCAACGGAAGCACCCTCTTCATTGGTGGCATCTTCACAAACACTGCGCAAGACCAGACTGAGGGATTGAACAACGTCGGGTCCTTCTCCATCGACAGCAACGAGTGGGCACCTTTGGGCGCCGGTGTGAACGGCGGTGTCTTCAGCATTGTCCCCCTCGTCATGAATATGACTGCCGACGACCGTAGGGACACATTGGCCATCAGCGGCAACTTCACTTCTGTCAACGGTTTTGGCGACAATGCTGCATTTGATGCCGCGGGCTTCGCAATCTGGGTGCCTAGCGAGAACAACTGGCTACAGAACATTCCCGGCACTAACAGCGCACTCAATGGCCAGCTCACCGCTTACACCACCGTACCCGGCATGGATCCCGTCTACGCAGGAAAGATCGATTCTCAAGGTCTTGACATCAACGACGTTGTTGAGCTCGTGGGCTCTGGCACACCAGAACTGCAGTCGCTTAATATTCGACTCTCGGCCAATACTGCAGCTAGTTCAAGTGGCACGCAGAAGAGAGATCTCACCGACGGTCAGTCTGGCAGCAACTACACGGGCGTGTATGATGGTGTCTTCTACAACAAGAACAATCTCAACATCACCATTCTGGGAGGAAGCTTCAGCACGACCGCAAGCAACGGCAGCACGATCGAGAATCTTGCTTTCATCAACAACACTGACAGTGACCGAGAATCTGTCAGCGGCGTGTCTGGTCTCACCTCCGACTCGATCTTCATCGCCATGGACACGTATCAGACAGCGCTCTGGGCTGGTGGTGCCGTGAACGGTACTGTCAACGGCAACCCTGCTACAGGTCTCGTAGTCTACGACCTCTCTGCAAACCGATTCGCAGCTCCTCACCCGCCAGCTCTCGGCGGAGAAAATGTCGTCGTGCACTCCATCGCTGCTCAACCTGAGGGAGAGGATGTCTACGTTGGTGGCGACTATGCGACTGCAGGCTCACTTCCTTGCGGACCATTGTGCTTTTACGACACCAGAGCTCTGCAATGGCAGAGCACTGGATCCGGACTTGAGGGCGTCATCTACACCATGGTGTGGACCTCCAACACCAAACTCATGATCGCTGGAAACCTGACTGTCAATGGCAACGAGACTACAATGGCCACTTATGATGCCAAGGAGCAGACTTTCACCGAACTCGAGGGAGCATCCAGCTTGCCAGGACCTGTCACTGCCATCTCTGCCGTCAATGGGGACTACAGCCAGTTCTGGGTCAGTGGCATGTCTACCAACAACCAATCTGTGTTCTTGACCAAGTACAAGGATGGCACGTGGACTGCCGCTTCCGGTCTTGGTGAATCTACCTCTATCCGAAAGCTGCAAATCATGCCACTCACTTCAGACCACGACTTGAGCGATATGGTGGCCACTGACCAAGTGCTCATGATTCTCGGCAACATCAACATCCCCGATCAAGGCAACGCCAGTGCTGTGCTGTTCAACGGCACCGTGTATGAACCATACATCCTGACCAACATGGAAGATGGTAGCCAAGGCAGCTTGTCAGCCATCTTCGTCCAGAACCCCAACAACTTTGTCAACAACAAGAGCTCTGGCCTTGATGTTGGCATCATTGTTGCCATTGGTCTCGCCATCGCCCTGGCAATCACTGGTCTGATCATCCTTCTTGGCCTCCTACTCGAACGACGAAGACGACGTATTGAAGGTTACGTTCCCATTACGGCCGACAAAAGCGCGAATGTGAATCGGCTTCCTCCCGAACAGCTCTTCTCGAAGCTTGAAGGAGGAGGGCATTCTCCGCCGAAGATTTAGAAGTTCTTTTGTTGCTTGACGCGTTGTTGCACTGCTGCAGAACAACGACAGCTTTCCGCCGCTGCTGATGCGCCTCGTCCTGTACAGACACGAAGGAGACCGCGCAAGATGCCGCCTCCGCGCCCGCCGCCGCGACCGACATGTGGTCAGCAGCAGCAGCAGCAGCGGAAATGAGATGGAACATACAACCTTTATTACGCCCGTTACGAAACCACACACATCGTTTCTTGTTGTTGATAATGACCACAATATCTTTTGCTCTTTCTGCAAAACAAGGACAGGTGCCCAGTCGCCCTCGAGTATAGTCGGGAAAAAGAAGATACCGAATCTGAGTCATTTTTTCTGGAGCCTGGCACATCGCCGGCCTACCTTCATCGTCACCCCGGTCGCTGGATCTCCTTCGCCTCGCTCCGAGGAAGAGTTGGGGGAGGAATAGCAGCGCAGGAGGTGAACAGGATAGTACAGTTCGCTTTTGGTGGAGAGAGGGTCTCGTTGGATTGGATTTGAGTTTTTGTTTTTGCGGGTTTGCACACATTTTCCAGATGATGGAGCAAGCAAGATACCACCCCTCGCATTGGGAAAAGAACTCTTTTTTTGTTTAGTGTGTTTTACTGTTGTTGACTGGAGTAGTTTGTTGAGATGGGAGATCTTGGAGATCTGATTTTTTCTACACTACTCTTGCTTTTCTTCGTCTCATTTTCTGTTTTCGAGCTGTCGATGCTTGTTGTGCGTAGGGTGTGATGCAAGGGAGGGAGGAGAAGTGGGGAGGCAAGGATGGAGTGGTGGAGAGGATGAAGATTGCTTACACGGGCGACTTACACTATAATATGATCGTGTGAATCTGATCCTTGGGGAGCAGGGCGAGGGAAGGAGAGGAGGGAAGATGTAATGTCTTTATTGAGGGTTGGGATGTGGGATGGTGTAGGACATATGACTCGGGGACGGAATCGATGTTGAGGATGGATTGGATGTATGGAGCAGATAGGAAGGCAGATATGCGTGGCAATTGAGAGATGTTGAGACTACATGTGTTTGGTTCTGTTTTCGTTTCTTTGCGTTGTGCGTGGTGATACTCGTTGGCGTGTGTCCAGTGTTTGTGGTGGTGATTGAGGGCACCAGGAATGGCCGTTCGGTTCTTTTAATCTTATGGACGTCCCATTCTATCGCCATCCATTCTTGGCTTCGTCTTTTAGGGCGGGACAGACTCTCGATGGTAACACATTCGTGAAGACGTAGTCATCAGGATCGCGATATATTGTGGTTGAGAAAGTTACAGAAGTGAGGAGGAGGTGCGAGCGTTCATGCAGAAGGATATCAATGCTCAATACGAACGATCGTTTGCATAAGCTTTGAGAAAGTCTGGCATCGAAGACAAACTCGTTTAAAACTCTTGCTTTGCGGGCAGATGATCGAAGGATATGCATAGTGATTAATCTTGAGAGGGAAAATGAAGTTCATTGGTAGGGTGTTGGCATTGAAATATTGGATGGGATCAAGCGATTCCATTTGATATGATATGGGTTGGTTGATGCCTACTAGATCAGTCCGTGAAGGATGCTAGCATCCGTACTGACGAGGACGCAGCGGATAAAATGTCGGTCGCCCTGCTTCAAAGCCAGATGTAGCTCATCACCGCTATAGCAATCGGGACAAGACATCGGAACGAGGTGCGTAAGGTTGCGCTGCCTCCTGTTGAGATCTCCGGCGAGGTGGTCGTGTTGCTTCCACCAGCAGCAGCATTCAAAGCATCACAGCTAGTGAAATTCTGTCCACCCAGCATTCTCCCAACTTCTAACACCGACTCTCCATGGATGGCTTTGAACGCCGCTCCCGCAACTGTCGCGTCAGTGGCGCAAAATACCGTGGTGAAATTCGCCTGCACCGCCCTTCCATCGCAAACTCCTTCCCACACCTGACCATCAAAATCCGCGTAACTTGATATATTCACACCGCCAGGAAGCGTGATACCCAATGGAGCTAGTGTATGAACCTCAACATAAGGTCCATCGACAGCAGGTCGAGAATACGTCACAAGACTCTCAATAACCGTAGCGCCTTGTAATTCGTAAAATCGAGCATCGCCTGGTTGCCAGTTGTTGTCTGATAATGTTGAAGCCGAGGCATTGGTAGAGACACTGTCGGGTGGAGAGCCTGCCCAGACAAGATTGGTGAAGTTGCCGACTACACCAATGACTTGGGCGTAGGTGTAGGGAATTGTGACGATGGTTTCGTCACGGCCGGGGAAGAAGCCTTCGGCACATGCGTTGCCGTCACCTGCTGGTGAGGGTAAGGAACCATTTGTTGCGGGGATTGTGAAGCCGGCGGGTGCTAGGTACTGGCCAAGGGCACTGTAGGACAGTGGCGCCAAGAGGAGCAAGCTTCTGCCAAGGTAAGACATAGTTTGGGTCCGGTTGATTTTAATGGATATATGTGTTATGGTAGAGCGAGAAGAAAAGGGAAGCAAAGACGCAGAGAGGGGAATCACTATGTCTTGTTGTGGCTTGAAAATCGGAAATCCAACGGGAATATCGAGGATGTACGCTAGCAAGCTAGTGTTGATTGAGACTAGGTCTCAGCCACGTCCAAACAACACACTTACGCTTTCGATTTGACCGACCATAACCGATAGCATCGATTATATGAGTCTCATGCAGACATTCTAGCTTCTATACTATACGGAGATTCGAGTTTAGATAATAAACCTATCCGTACCTCGCGAATAATACTCTCTCCCTTCCGGACCCGTAATAGTTTCGATCGTTATCTCCTCCCCCTCGTAATCTATTAGTACAGCCCTACTCGTACTCTGCGGAACATCCTATGTTGGATTAAGAACATCTCTCTATAATTTCAGTCGGAATTCTATGGACTGTCTATGCTATTATCGTATCTCGTTGTTAGATCTGCAGAATTTATCCAAAATCAAGCTCTTTCTATATACTAAAGTCTCCGAACATTCTATCTTAGTTTTCGGGGAGAATATAGGTGAAGATTGTAGTGCCGGCTGTATACATAATATGTTAACGGAAGATGTCGAGGAAGTAGCTTATTTGTTCTTATCGGACTATGTTTAGGGAGAGACTGAAGCGAGCACCCTTATAGAAACGGTAGTTAAAGAGGAAAGGTCCTACGAAGAGTGTCGAGCTAGTATATTTGTTCATGATTCTGAGAATCTTCCGTGATAGCGACAGCTACTGTACATAACATCCTCGTTCGACCAGACTTTGAACAAGTCTGGGCCGTTCCGCTCTTGTGCCATTGCTCTGAATCAAGAATGCTAGTGCAATGCGGCAGAGAAGGGTATCTTCAGCTCCCTACATACGATCTTCCATCGAGAAGACGACGGGCGAATTGTGCGAGACGATGTTGTCTCGTTCGTCTATGGAAGCTTATCCGGTATTTCCGATCCTCATCGCATGCGAAAGAAAATAGGACTTCTAGAATGAATGCTTGTATACCTAGCACAAAAGCTGTTAGCCTGCTTTGAACGAGTGGTATTTGGGTGTGATAGTCGATCCTGGTCGAAAGAGTTGTTGGAAACTCGTAGGCTTAACCGGTTATATTAATAGACTTGATGCCAGTCTATCTTGGCGCAAGCGTTGCTGTAGCCTGTAGGCACAACCGGCTATATTGATAGACTCAATGGCATGACTCATGCATATACGGGATGCTATGGATAAGGTAGCAAAGTAAGGGAATCGGTTTAGGAGGAACTAGGAGCCTAAGCGGCTAAACTTGCTTATTCCGTTCACGATCTGGCATACGCAGGACTGGACTATAGTGCTGACATGGTAAAGGCCACTTTACTATCATGAAGGTACAATGCACGGTTTAATTCGGCCACCACTAGTGAGAATGTGAAGATCGTTACAATTGATTAATTCGACTACGCGACTGTGGGTGTTGTTGTTCACAAGTGACCTATAGAGTGATGATTGCATTCCGGGTTGTCAGTACTGCATCCGAATTTGATATACAGCCCAGTTACTTGGACTTCAACGAAGTGACCCCCAATTGGAGCTCAGGCACATCGATCCACCATTAGGCTGGATCCATGGTATTGGACATTGATGTACGAAGAAAGCGGCCGCGTTCCCCAATATAATGGGCATGGATACATGTTGTCACGATGCCTCGAACAAGGCCTAATGTGGTACCAACAGAACAAAAGACATTCTTTTGTGTGTTTGTGAGCTTCGAATCTCCGCGTCCACTCAAGTTGGTGCTCGTATCACCGTCCCGAATATGTGCACTGCCAGGGACGGGGAATGGCGATTCGTTCGACGATCGAGCACACCCTGCTTAGAGAAACACATATATTTATGACATTCGGTGCCACAACTCATCCCATTTCTTTGATAATACTCCGAGCTTTTCCATACACTATCATACAACACTTTGGAAGCAAATAATCGGCGCTCTACCGACCCTCTTGTCAACATGCTGGGCCTCAAGCAGTCATGGATCTTAGCTTCCGTCACGATCATGATGGTAGCGCACGCAGCACCGACTCCTGGACATCTCCGTGGTGAGTGTAATCCAGCGACTGATGGAAGTCGAGATACCGAACATCGATACTGACATCACAAGATCCGGCAGTCGTGGCCCGTGGAGCAGAAGCAGAGAATACAGTCGACCACAAGTCTGGAGTTATCCACTCTACTCGGGATGAGGACCCGTTGACAGGAATGCCCTATTTTTGCAACGAGATAGATCCCGACACCGGAGTTCCGCACTTGGTGCTATGCGATAATCCATAGCGTGCTTGGCAAGAGGAGTCGCTGAGACTGGTGAAAGCCGAGTAAAGGTATGGTCAGATCGGATCGGACCTAAGACGAGAAGTTGCTAACACCGATAGAGGTTGACGAACGACCTGGAGAAAGGCGTGGCACAAGTTTGCAACATGCTTGCATTGATTGTGGTAATCTGACACTCGCTACGCGCTCGAGGATATTCAGGTGCCTCACGCGGTTGGGTCTATTTCATGCGCATAACACGTCAACGTTCATTGCTCTAGTAGAATGACATTGGCTGCAAGAGCGAAGTCGACGAACGTTCTTTACTTCATGTGCTCTGTCGTTACAACACTTATAGAAGCAAGAGATGGAGGAAAAGAGGAGGTCATTCTTTTCATGGAAGGCAGTTTATTATATCGCTCAATGGCAAGCCACTCAATGTAGCCCTCAACCCTCAAGTCGCCGTGTCACCGGGAGGAACAAATAATCTAGGCTGACGCATTATCTACAAACCGGACGCAGCTGACTGTCAGTTGGTCATGGCCATGTGTAAGGAGGCTCGTCGGTACGCCCTTGACACTGACATTTCGCATCATGTTCCTCCTACATCCTTTGTAACAGAGCTTGGGCATTAGTCATCGTACGGTTGTAATTGAGTACATGACACAAGTCTGGAAGGCGCATCTGGTAGCAAAGATGATCCAGATGAGGATTTGGTATGCTATTATCGAAGGCCAGAGCTGTGGAATTGCTGTTGCTGACCCCTAGCCACAGTGACTTCTGTTGCATTCGGTGGCACGTTTCGCTTACTCGACCACGTACCGTCTGAAAGAACGAATGCGGTCCCAATGAGGGTGGGCTGACATTCCACATCGTCCTACACTTACCATGAGCAGTTCCATCTCTAGCTATACGTCTTGGCCGCTGCACTGCTGAAGTACGTGGCCTGCAATGTGCAAGTTAGCGTTGCAGACGGGGACCACGCTACGACAATGCTGAAGAACTCATTCTCTGTGGAGCCCATTGCAGCATATCGGAGGATGACTGGTCTCCCAGTGGTCCTCCCGGCGGCAGATAATGCGTCCGCAGCATGACACTGCTCTGCTGTACAGGCCCTAATCGTTGGAATCTCTCAGGGTCCTGTCAGATGTTTTGCCTCCAGCGAACGACTCAACAGACTTTCGAGATAGACTCTGATCCACGAAGCGATTAGGTTGAACCAATCCGTATTCAAGGTTGGGCTGTCCATTGCGAATCCCAGAAACTGGGTAGGCAAAATCGGTTATACTGTTTGGTGCAATGCCAAGAAGGATCACTCATCTACAGTCTGACTTATGCATTCGGGGAACGCCGAGCAGGGTATGTCCGTTGACTGTAAACAGCAATGTGTACCTTTGGTTTCCCTTCGCCCTTCGGCGCCCCCGAATGTATATGACGAATTCAATGACTTTGCTAAGCATCATGTCGACATGGCGCTCGCGAGGATCTCAGCCTTGGAATCGAAAACTCACGAGAAGGAGAAGTGTGTCTTTCTTCAAGCCCTTGCGAAACAGACCAGCAATCCCGTTGAAATACGCGCTCGAATGCTCAACATCCTTCTCGCTGGTCGTGATACTACTGCATCACTACTCTCTTGGGTCTTTCACGAAATGCTTCGTAAACCGCAAGTCTACGAGAAACTTAGCTCTGTTGTGCTCGACACCTTTGGCACCTACGAGAGTCCAAAGGACATCAGCTTTCAAAGCTCAAAGGTTGCCAATACTTGCAATATACCCTCAACGAAGCTCTCCGTCTGTGGTCGCTTGTGACAATCAATTCTCGAACGGCGAATGAAGACACTACGCTCCCTTGTGGCGGAGGTCCGGATGGCAAGTCACCCGTTTTCGTACCGGCCGGAGCACAAGTTGACTTCTCAACTCATGTTCTGCATAGGAGGAAGGACCTATGGGTAGAAGGTGCAGATGACTTTGACCAGAACGATTCGTGGGGAGGAGACCTGGTTGGGAGTTTCTGCCCTTCAGTGGTGGGGCGAAGAGATTTATTGGGCAGCAGCTAGCGCTGACTGAGGCTGGCTACGTTATTGTGAGATTGTTGCAGAGGTTCGACCGTGTTGAGGCTGCAAAAGGGGACCTGAAGGGGCCGGTGTTGAGTGATCTAGGGCTGACGAATTGTCCAGCCAAGCCAGTTACTTTGAGATTCAGGGAGACGAGGAAGTGGGAAAGTTAGACTGACGAGGTCCAGTCTCCTTGAATTACAACATGGATGTATGATTGCCTCGAATTTAGCTGACACAGATGTACTCGCAGTGGCCTCCAGTATGGCGACGTCGTTGTCGATATACAGCACCTCAGTTTGAGCGATCCGATCCAGAATGAGTTGCATACATGACGCTGTACCGCCGAACGGTCTAGGGCAATACACCTTGCAAATGGATCCCACGATGGTGAATCGCGTCACGCCGAGAGAACAGGAACGAAGGCCATTCGGGATCTTTGAATGCTTTCCAGTCTCCTGGCCCTTGGAGGTAGAATGTCAGCGCTACAACAAACGATATCGTAAATCCTTAGCCTGCAGCTGAACCTTGGCGGCAGTACATGTTTCCGCGATCTGTGCACTTGACTGTCCCGCACCATCCATCTCTGGCTGCACTTCTTCAGCTTCACGGTACAAGAAAAGTAGAGGTAGTATGTCGTCGCGCCACCGGGGAACTTTGGCTTGAGAGCTTTTCCACAAAGTTCCGATCCAGGTCAGAAGGGCAAGAAGCCACACCAAAGCAGGCAGCACGATCCATACCCATTGTATGCGCACAAAATTGACCATAATCAACGTTCTGCCGCGAGCCATGGTGGTATTGTCCGACCTGCTGGCGACAAAAGCGCTGTCCCTTAGCGTCTTCGTCATTGCTTTTGCAGCATTGTTTGCAGCGCATACGAGATGGTCGTCTTCATCGGCACAGCCGGATATATTGCCGTAGAAGATGGAGCCAAGGATGTCCTGTGCTGCATACATGGACTGTGGAGGCAGGATCGAGAGCGATGGGGACACTACGGTTACCGCTCCTGCGAAGATGCCTTGGATGAATCCCATGAGAGAAGAAAGCGAGCTTGAAGCGATCCCAAAGGATTGACCAGCCTGCATGCCACGGTCGATTCCCCATGGCGGACTGAGCTCCAATCGGCGCCAGCCAACGGGGTTGTCCTTGTGGAGGAGGCTGTAGTTTGTAGGCATAGTCTGTAGGGTGAAGTTGCACCACCAATCGATGTTGTCCTCGTAGTACACTCCATTGTTGACGCGAGGACGTAGGCTTTGTACACAAATTTGAAAGGCACACTCCGTAGCAAAGATGGTCGAAGCATTGGAAATGCTGTTGCCGAAGGCCAAAGCAGTGGAGTTGCTGTTGCTGCCTTTCGCCATCATCATCTGCGCGACGGGCAAGCTTTCTCCGGAATGCACTGTGCCGTTGACTGCTGTTGTCAAGTTCATTGGCACGTCTCGCTGACCTGGCCATGCACTCCACGAAAGGCCGAAATCTGTCCCGGGAAGGCTGAGCTGACATTGCTCTTCGTCGTCCATCTGCCATGAGCAATTCTTTTCGAGGACAGAAGAGAAACTTTTGCAGCTCGGGCGTACTGCTAGCGTTGCGATTGGATCCCAAGTGCAGTTGCCAGTGGCACAATCGAACTGGGGTATAGACCAGGCCTGAGACTTGTCCGTATTGAGCAGCGAGTTGTAGACGTTGGCCTTCATGACTGAGTCGATCCAGTAGACTAGGGTTTGTTAGGGATACTGGAATTTTCCTCTTGATGTCCAGAGAGCTCACCATACGAAGCGCCCAATTGTGAAGCCGACGCAGGGATGCCATTGGTGCTGTAGTCTGCCGAGTACGTCACATAAGCCGGCACTGTGATGTTCTCTGTTGGCCCGGGTGTATAGTGCACAAGGTTCTGAATGAACGGATCGAACCCGACAGCAAGGATCGTCGCGAGCGCCGCAAGTACAGCGAAGTGTCTGTGATGATGAGCTCAGGTGAGCGAGTACAGATACTGGCCGACCTTACCTGCCCTGCTGCTCAAAGATGAGGGCCAAACTGCCAATGATGCCCCGACTGGCGGAGTCGAAATATCTGAGATCTGACATTGTCCGACGTTTCTGTGCAAACCAGACCCATTTGAGCTGAGAGAGCCCAGATGTGACGGGGATCAGAACCATGACTTTGGCCAGCGTGCTGAGCCATGATATAGTCGTGTTGAGTGACACATTTCTCCATGTGGGTTGCGGCTTGCCATCGTAGTGATACAGGATGCCAACAATCGCGGCCAGAGCGCAAGCAGAGACAACTATGCCGAGCAGCTCTACGACCCACCAGTCCTCAAGTCTGGCGAGAAAGCCGGCTGTTTTCGAGGCGCCAGATCGGTGTCGCTGCGAGTCTGAAGGTGGTCTGGACCCGCGGTCTTGCTGGCTGAGCGCAATACTCGCAGCGTGGACTGTTGCGCTACCTTTGGCAATAGCGGCCTCTTGTGTGCTGGGTACAGGGTGGTAGTCGACTTGCTGGAAGGTAGACATGCTCACTACCTGGGTTGGAAGAGGCCGCCGGGAGAGCGTGCTGCCATGTGAGATCGCCCCAGCTGGAGGCTTGTCCTCATCACAGCGCCCGGTGATCTTATCAGTGAAGACTCGTTCTGTGCAGTGCCGAGTGCCGCACAGAATTACTTAGGCTGGCAGCCTTTTTGATGGCTCGTTTAAGAAAGTTTTTGGCTGGTTTTGATGTTTGTTCGACAGCTTGGGAGCAGACCGTTGGCCACCTTCGCCGTGAGCCGTAGACTTGGCGGCGCGTGCGTAGGTCGCCAAATAAAATTTGATGATGTGGACATCAAGCGTGTTCAAAGTGCCCGGGAGCTCCCGCAGCCTCTATGTTAAGTTAGAGCACTTTCACGCCCCGCCGTCCGACTTCCTTTCTCTTCTCTACGCGTTCATCCCGATTCACTCACTCCTTCTTCCACCAGCACGCACCGCGGGATGGCGCAATCACGGCATGTTGAGGTTGAGCTGCGAATGAAGTGTCACCATGGCACAGGCTGACGGCTTGGCTCACGCACTCTGCGATTGGTCCCCCGGTCGCACAGAGGCGCTGCACAGCCTGGTTGAGCAAGATGTAGTTTTCGACCCGCGTGCGTCGTTTTGACCGCGTTTCTGCACTTTTACCATGGGCTGAGTGATCTGCCATGGGACTGCGATGTCCGGAGTCCAGCAATTGCAATCATCATGTGGCTGCTGAACGCTCGGACGCGGCGCTTGGAGAACTTTGTTGATGACAGGCGGATGGATACTACCTACGCACTTCTCTCGCATACCTGGGCTAAAAATGAAGTCGGCTTTGACGATATTCGTTATGACTATGCGAAATATATGGACGGTTATCAGAAGATCGAGTATACCTGCCTGCAGGCTTTGAAAGTATTTTGACCTCGATGGAAATGTCGGGATACCGCTGACAAAAGCTGACGCCTGTCAAGGACGGCATCGATTACGTCTGGGTCGATACATGCTGCATCGACAAGAAGAGCAGTGCTGAGCTTTCCGAGGCGATCAATTCCATGTATCGCTGGTACTATAATGGACAGGTATGCTACGCGTTCCTCGAAGACGTCTTTACACCTATGGAACATCGTTGCAACGCACATGATCGGTCTACTTTTTCACGAATGAGGGCACACATCGCAGCGAGTCGATGGTTCACCCGAGGCTGGACGCTACAGGAATTAATCGCGCCTCGCCGAGTCGAATTTTTCGACCAGGTCTGGAATCCTCTTGGCGTTAAGGAAGAAGTTGTGCTTCCGCTCTCTGAAATTACTGGTATCTCTACATTCGTCCTATGCGATCGTAATCAGCTACCACGAACTAGTATCGCGCAAAGAATGGCGGGGGCATCTGGTCGCACCACGTCGAGGATGGAGGATGAAGCATACTGCTTGCTTGGACTATTCGACGTCAATATTCCGCTCATGTATGGCGAAGGTAAGAAGGCTTTCATGAGGTTGCAAGAAGAGATCATACAAACTCGAAGCTGGGAAGATCAAGATGATTCAATTCTTGCTTTCAAGAGTATGAATGGGGACATATTAGCTTCCTCGCCTGGAGACTTTCGCCAATGTCACAAAGTTGTCAGAACTGAACTCGCTGGACATGGTTCATTAGAACTGTCATAAAGAGGGCTGCAAATCAGTCTGCTGGGAACTACATTGCCTGCTACCGGCCAAGCTTACGATGAGGACGATCGAGTGCTAAACGACGTGACAATCATGCTGGACTGCGCCAAATCCGGCGGTCATTCTCGTTTCGGTCTACGCCTGAGGCCTCGACCTCCGATTGATCGTGCGGGGCGTCCAAGAGTCGATACTGCACGAGCAGAACTAATATACGATCGGCTACCTGGCTTACTTGAACTGAGTACGTTGGATCTAGTTGGATTCAGTCGCATGGAGGTTACGATTGCCCGCAAACCCTTCTCATGGCCACGTGTATTAGACCACCTGGTGGTGGAATGTCCCGATGCCAAGCTTCACCTCGACAGCACCGCTGACGCTGGCGAGAGTTTCGGTTTCACGGATAGCTTTTCGAAGCAGTACTGGACGAATCAAACAGGGGACCAAATTGGTGCAACAAGCGAAACAAAGTGGGAACGTGGCAGAATCAAGATGAGACTTGGGAGCGACGGAAGGCTTTTCGCCGACTTCAAGTTGCATTTCCAGACGCCCAGCAGCGATAATGTGCCTGAGGAGTACCTCGACACATGTGTACACGTGGAGGCAGACCCAGAGCCATTGTCACCTGTGCTCGTTGTGCACTGCTGGCGTGGAACGAGTCACAGCGTAAAGGTCTCCGCACAAGAAAAGCTCCGCGTTTTGCGTGTTGGAAGTTCGCGCACTTTCAAACTCGATGCGGGTGAAAGTTTACAGGTAAAAGCAGGCTTGATTCTAGAGGCTGGGGAGGGTGTCTGGCGTTTGAACCTCGCACGGAAGAAGTCCGAAACAATCTGCAAGAGTGACGGTGGCATTCGAGATGCGACTTCCGCGCTCTTCGCTGAGCAGCAAGCATGTCCTCATTCGGATCATAATCGTCCTTGCTGCTCGGCATCTGCCGTGCAATCGACCATTGACAACGCTGCAGATGTACGGGCACTACTGCAAGAGCTGACGGATCTGCGTGGCAATTTGCGGTCTCTGTATCAAGAGTCGGTATCTGGCGCAGAGAATATTGTGCAGCGATTGGAGAGTGGACGATCTTCCCGTAGTGGATCACGAGGCACATCAGCCGAGGGAGAGATTGCCCTGTCAACATCCACCAACGTAATGCGAGAGAGGGAGGACACTGAACTGAAGACTATAATACTGACAACGGACTCCGGCAGTGTAGATGTCTTGGCTGAGCACAACAAAACAATCGGCGGAGAACAGCCTGCTGTAGCAGAAGCGCAGATCGAAGTAAAGACGTTCATGTCATTCATGCATTCGGGACCATATTACGAACTGGAGGCGAACGCCATCGATGGCCGGAGACCTGAGGAAACTGCTGCTGGATCGCCGATCGAACCAAAGGCCTTCGCGTCACTCATGCATTCGGAGCCGTTTGATGAATCGGAGGCGGAGGACACCAATGGTTTGAGGGCTACAGTGGCGCATATCGGAGTTGAGCCTGTCGAATGGATCCTGGGGATCGGGACCATTCCACGAATTGGGAGCGAAGGTGATGCGTGGCTCGGTTGCTGCGGAAGCTGCTGCAGTGGAGGAGAAAGCGAATTTTTGGGATGAAACGTCTTTGCCAGCATCTTGCTGGGTGGTCGAGCACGAGATGATGGTCGCACCGGTGATGAATCAATGGTACGACATGATCTACGACTCGGATTCACAAGTAAGGCACTGGGAGGCAGCTGGAATATTGTCAGGTGGAGACAGCCCTAGAGAGAATCAGCTCACAGGCTGCTCGACAGATGCTCGGAAGGGCTTCAAATCTGATGAGCTATTTTCGAGTTCGGACGCCACACTGGATCTGTCGTCGACGAAGGGAAGGTGTCCGGACGAACACGGTCCTGAGCAAAAAGGAGACGAACAGTTGACTCAAGCCGGAGAGGTCGAAGGTTCGCTTCCGATGGTCACTGAAAGTGCTGACGGTCGCGCGAGTCCCACTCCACCATTGATCGTCATCGAAGACGTTGAATCACAGGAGGCAACCGACATCACCGGTTCGGTGCGCTCCAGAACAAAGGCACCCAAGAGGTGGCAATGACGGTAACGTTCATCCTGGCGAATATCTTCAGCGACCGGGTAACTTGATCTACTGGACCAAGGATGCACATGAGGGCGAGGCTGAGCAGTGCATCGATGAGCAATTCATTGCCTCGAGTGAGGTGGGTTCCGGGAGTGATTGTGAAGTTGTTGAAGCAGAAGCAGAAGCTTCATCGGACATAACCTGGTCTTGGCGGGCACTTCTACGAAGGAGGTACTGGAATGTGTGGTGACAAAGGCGGGATTAAAGCCACTGCAGCACGCCCATTTGACTGACGCGTGAATTCATACCTCCCACGTTTTCGTGCGGAATTGATTGTCAAGATACTTGTTGGAACGAACACGACTGCAGTGACGAGCTTGTGTCGACTAGCACGCAAGTGAGATTTAGCGCACGGAGAATCTGCTAGGGTCTGGACGCTTGTTGTTAGCTGAATCGCACTCTGATCGTGGGAAGGTGAGGTCGGAATTGAGTCGAAATGGTGAAGATTGCTTGGCCGAGGTCGGCGTGGAGAGCTCCATCTCGCGTCAGCTGCGTAGGAATTTTTCGACGTCTGCATAGAGCTCCATCGCAATCGACAAGCGTGAATAGACGAGTATATAGACAACTACCACGGCTACCCTCCCTCCGATGCATCTCGATCTTCACGGGCGACTAGTTAGACGAGGGTGGTGCTTTGTCGACAATCGGCCGGAGCGGTCAGCAGTGACTCAAAACTTCCTTATCTCTCAGCCTTGGCACGAGCCATTGAGAAAACCTTCATCACCCGGAGCTTCGCCAGTCATTTTTCGTCCTTTTTCCCTCTCCCATCCTCTGCCATTTCGCTGGAAGTGGCATGTCCCACTGATCCCTCGCTGAGCGCATTCGTCTCCATGGTGTTTGCTCCAACCATCTTCACTTCGCAAGGTGAGTGCGCATTCCCAGGGCCGTTGGTGTGGTCACCGCTTTCTGCCTCCCCCGACGAGCTCCCGCAATCAGAGCACCATCGCACCACCCTTCCACCTCTCGAAATTCTCCTGTCCTCTCTCCCACGCCTGACTGCGCGCTGACAGGAATGCGGTAGACTACATCAGTGACCACTTGTGGAAAGCCTGCGGGTGCTGAAACTGCAGTCCGCCATGGCCGCCGCTGTCAGTGGGCGATTCGCCCGCCAGCTGCACCACGACCTCTTCCACTCCTCCATCAAGCAAAATGCTCCCCGCATAGCTCGACGAACCCTTACCACCAAGCCTGTTGCACGCTGCACAGCCAAACAGCCAGCTGCGAAGCACGCGCAGACTCAGGTCCGCAGCTTTGCCCGCTCCGCCAAACGCGCTGCCAGCAAGGCCGACGTGGCACCCAATGCCAAAGCATACCTCGAGAGCGGCGCTATCGCCGGCGGACAAGACCTCGTCGATGTTAACAAAGTCCTCGTCATCGGCTCTGGAGGTCTCTCCATTGGCCAGGCCGGCGAGTTCGACTACTCCGGCTCGCAAGCTCTCAAAGCTCTCAAAGAAGCCGGCATCAAGTCCGTGCTCATCAACCCCAACATCGCTACCATCCAGACCTCCCACGTGCTCGCCGACGAGGTCTACTACCTCCCAGTCACACCCGAATATGTCACCTACGTGATCGAGAAAGAGAGGCCAGATGGCATTTTCCTGTCCTTTGGTGGTCAGACCGCCCTCAATTTGGGTGTGAAGATGGATGAGATGGGAATCTTCGAGAGATACGGCGTCAAGGTGCTCGGCACAAGCGTGCAGACGCTGAAGACTTCCGAGGATCGTGACTTGTTCGCGAAGGCCCTCAAGGAAATCAACATCCCCATTGCCGAGAGTATTGCCGTCGAGACTGTCGAGGATGCTCTCAAGGCTGCTGAGGAAGTCGGATACCCCATCATTGTGCGAGCTGCTTTCGCACTTGGTGGTCTCGGTTCAGGTTTCGCCGACAACCCAGAAGAGCTTCGAAACATGGCTGCTCGCTCTCTGACTCTGTCTCCTCAGATCTTGGTTGAGAAATCTCTCAAGGGCTGGAAAGAGGCTGAGTACGAGGTCGTGCGAGACGCTTCGGACAACTGTATCACGGTCTGCAACATGGAGAACTTCGACCCTCTGGGGGTGCACACTGGTGACTCCATCGTCGTCTCGCCTTCTCAAACGCTGAGCGATGAGGAGTACCACATGCTGCGAACTGCTGCTATCAAGATCATTCGTCACTTGGGTGTGGTTGGAGAATGTAACGTTCAGTACGCTCTCCAGCCCGATGGACTCGACTACAGGGTCATCGAGGTCAACGCCCGTCTCTCTCGTTCCTCTGCTCTCGCTTCCAAGGCTACTGGGTACCCTCTGGCATACACTGCTGCGAAGATCGGTCTCGGTCACACTCTGCCTGAACTGCCCAATGCCGTCACTCGCACCACCACTGCCAACTTCGAACCTTCGCTGGATTACATCGTTACCAAGATTCCTCGCTGGGATTTGGTCAAGTTTCAGAATGTCAACCGCAACATTGGCTCTTCCATGAAGTCTATCGGTGAGGTCATGGCTATCGGTCGTACCTTTGAGGAATCTTTCCAAAAGGCTATTCGTCAAGTCGATCCCAAGTTCGATGGTCTCCAGGGTGACAAGTTCGAGGATCTGGATGAAGTGCTCAAGAACCCCACCGATCGCCGCTGGCTCGCTGTTGGTCAAGCTATGCTCCACGAGGGTTACTCTGTCGACAAGGTGCACGATCTCAGCAAGATTGACAAGTGGTTCCTGTACAAGATTCAAAACATCGTCGACACCACCAAGGAACTCGAAGCCATCGGATCTCTCTTCGGCGTCAAGAAGGAACTCATGCTCAAGGCTAAGAAGCAAGGTTTCAGCGACAAGCAGATCGCTCGCGCTGTCAACTCTACTGAAGACGAAGTTCGTGCCCGCCGCAAGAACTTTGGCCTCAAGCCTTGGGTTAAGCGAATTGATACTCTGGCTGCTGAATTCCCGGCTGACACTAACTACCTCTACACGACTTACAATGCTTCCAGCCACGATGTAACTTTCGACGACAAGGGAATTATCGTTCTTGGATCTGGTGTTTACCGTATTGGAAGCTCGGTTGAGTTCGATTGGTGTGCTGTGAACGCTACGCTCTCGCTAAAGGAGCAGGGCAAGAGGACGATTATGATTAACGTGAGTACACTATTTCGTTTTCTACTCGTCGTCGCTAGATGGTTGTCTCATCTCCGATTCGTCGTGTTTCCACTTCGCATTTGTGCCTGGTGGCGACATGGTGAGCAGAAAAACACTTCTGTCCTCGGAGAAAGGCATTCCTTCTGGCGACCGAGTATCCAGTCCATCCTCAGTTGACACCCCACCCCCAAATCCCTCACTTAGCCCATAACCCACTGTGCACGCTGTCTCCGACGTCTCTCCCGCCACCTGCCGGAATATTTGCTCGGAGCACCTGCCAGACGTGACTTCGCTCACTGGATGAACTGGACCATGGACCAAGGCGCACTTTCCGCGACGTGCCTTCCCTCACTAGGTTTCTGCCTGGAGCACCTTCCACAACATGGCAGGAAGGTGGTGGGTGGTCCTGTACCTCCACCCTGACGCTCTTCTCGCGGACTTGTCGTCGCACATCCACCACCACCTCCCTCCACCACCATCCCACCGTCGCCGCACACTCGCCACAAGATCAATACAGCGCGCTGCGCAGCGCCGGACACTATCCAACGTGTCACACGTTGAGCGCAGATACACTCGTTTCAAGGTGAGTAAGGACAGAGCGCTCTTTTCCGCCTGGCTGAAACGTCTAACACGTTGCACAGCTCCAATCAATCTACTGCCGCCAACATGGCTGGCACCACCGCCACAGTTGCGGCAATGCTCCTGCTCATGTGCAACATGTTCTTCGGCGTACTCACAGGCACGGACATGGCACACAAGAACCCGCTCTTTGATCATTACTTCACAAGCCTAGACAGTGTCCAAGCTGCTGCCCAGACTACTGGCATGACCTTTGCACCTGGCCTGTACGAGTTACTCGTTGGACCCAATTTGCCTACCGTCGACTTCTTCAAGACTCTCCCGACCAATGAAGACTTTCTGAAGGATATCTGGTCTTGCTACTTGCTCGTTCTGTACAAACCCGGCAGGCGCTTCAGAGTCTACATCGGATCCGCGACGTCCTTTGAACAGGGTGCACGACAGCGTATGCAACAATACGATAACTTCCTTCTTCTCCCGCGCTACGTCGCAGCTTCTCTCGACGCGGGTTTCGTCATTATACACAAGGGCATGCTTTGCTGGATACCAAGACCAATCTTTATCCTCGTCCCACTATACCGCCTCTTTATAATTGGGTTCGAAGCTGTCTTCTCCTACGTCTTCTGGGCATTTAAGCGCCGCGGGCGAGATTTCGGCCTGTCTCATATTTGCCCGTGGGACCGCCACAGTCTGGAGTATAACGGTCTATGTTCACACAGCGCACTCGATGAAGGCATCCGCGGCGACTTTGACCTTACACAAGAAGAACTCGAGGCACTCGGCGAGACACGTGAGGCCAAACGCATCAAACTGAAGGCGGAGAATGCTACCAACTGGCATCACAAGCAGATGGAAACCAACTACTCCGACTACATGGATGCCTCAGTTCGCCGCGTTCAGAAATCACGCAAGCTCAATCCCAAGATGCATGCCGATACCCAGCGAGCCCGTATTAAGAGAGACATTGCAGCGAAGAAGTACTGGTGCGACGACTGCAGTATCGCTTTCCAATCCAAGCAGGTCTACGATGACCACATGGTGTCCGACAAGCACGAGAGAATGCTGAACAAGCACCTGTCACCATTCTTCTGCGGTCTTTGCAATATGCCGTCCGCCAACAAGAGCAACTTCACTCGTCACTGCAAGACGAACGGTCACCAGGAGAAGCTCAAGGCTGCCGCTGAGGCTGCCGAGCAAGCTGAGGATGAGGACGACGACGACTCTTTCAACCAGGCTGAATGAGTCGACACTCTTCAACGTGTTACACGATATACCAGTCACGACTACACTGCTCAACACCTGGACACTGTCCACTGTCCAACGTCTTACACGATGCATGCAATGCATCTGAGCAACACATTCCTGCGCATCATTCTGGACAATCTCCACCTTTCTCTGCACGCTTGCGTCTGTGCCTGGTCATGGAGGTGACTCCGGGCATGGATGGGCTGGCGGGAATGTCGGAGACACTGGCAACCACATGGAATATCTTCATCTGGGTTCATCTTTTTCTGAATAACTGCCGATCTGTCTGGTCATGAGCGTCACTAGAGACATAGCTGGCGAGGGAGAGACCGTCGGAGGCACTAATGATTTTCACTTTTTCTTCACTTCACTCACACAAACACTTGATACTTGTACCCATCTTACACTTGTTGTACCCATGCTAACAACCGTGCCGTTTAATCCCGAGACGTACAGCACAGACTTCGACGTTCCCGACCGTCTCTACTTTGAAGAGCTCAGCTACGAACGTGTCATGGATATCTACGAAATGGAATGTGCTTCCGGCGTTGTGGTCTCTGTGGGCGGCCAGCTGCCACAGAACATTGCCCTCAAGCTCCAGGAAACTGGCAAGGCCAAGGTGCTTGGTACCAACCCCGAGGATATCGACAAGGCCGAAGACAGGCAGAAGTTCTCGCAAATCTTGGAATCTATCGGAGTGGATCAGCCTGCCTGGAAGGAACTCACCAACTACAACGATGCCAAGGCATTCGCTGAACAGGTTGGCTACCCGGTCCTTGTCCGTCCATCTTACGTCCTTTCTGGTGCGGCCATGACTGTTATCCGCTCTGAAGAAGAGCTCGAGGAGAAGCTTCTTGCGGCCAGCCAAGTCAGCGGTGACCACCCAGTTGTTATCACCAAGTTCATTGAGGGCGCTCAGGAAATCGACTGCGATGGTGTGGCACACGATGGAAAGTTACTCGTTCACGCGGTGTCTGAGCACGTCGAGAACGCTGGTGTCCACTCTGGTGACGCTTCTTTGATCCTTCCTCCTGCCAACCTGCCAAAGCGCACTATCGAGCGTGTCAAGGAGATCGCTCAAAAGGTCGCCAAGGCTTGGTCGATTACTGGTCCTTTCAACATGCAAATCATCTCTGCTGCGAACCCAGAGGGTGGTGAGCCACTCCTCAAGGTCATCGAGTGCAACCTGCGTGCCTCTCGTTCCTTCCCATTCGTCAGCAAGGTCCTCGGAACCAACTTCATTGATGTCGCCACTCGTGCCCTTCTCGGCAAGGATGTTCCAGAGCCCGTCGATCTCATGGAGGTCCAGCGCGACTACCTCGCCGTCAAGGTTCCTCAATTCGCTTGGACTCGTCTCGCTGGTGCTGACCCATACCTTGGCGTCGAGATGTCTTCCACTGGTGAGATGGCTTGCTTCGGTACTGATCTCGTTGAGGCCTACTGGACTGCTGTACAAAGTATGATGAACTTCCGTGTTCCTCAACCTGGTGAGGGTCTCCTCTTCGGTGGTGACACTCAAACCGAAGACCTCGGCAAGATTGTCGACTACCTCAACCCTCTCGGCTACAAGCTCTACGCTGCCAACCACGAAATCAAGAAGCACCTTGAGAGCACTTCCAAGGATGGATCTGTCAATGTCGAAGTCATTGAGTTCCCCAAGGACAACAAGCAGGAACTTCGACAGGTCTTTGAGAAGTATGATATTCGTGGTGTTTTCAACTTGGCCAAGAGGAGGGCTAGCAGTATGACCGATGAGGATTATGTCATGCGTCGCAATGCTGTGGACTTTGGTCATCCGCTTTTCATGGAGCCAAGGACTGCCGTTTTGTTTGCGCAGTGTATGAGTGAGAAGTTGCCAAAGAAGGAAGGTATTCCCAAGGAGGTGAGGAGGTGGAGTGATTTCATTGGTGGAAAGCCTTTGTAGAGTATGGTGGACGTGGACTACGGTCTTGGTGGAAACAGCGATGATTTGGAGATCTCGCAGGGTAGAATGTCGTGATATGGAAATGCAAATGCGAATTGCTGATTTCAAAGAGACTACAATTGTCTGAGGTTCTCAGTTCATGCGGATGTGATGGTTTTCATTCACCGACCCCCGGTAGGGCTTTCTTTGCCTAGAGCGTCGCGTTGGGAATGAGGTTAACAGCCAATGCCAACAGTACATCGCTGTTGGTGTTCTGGTATATCGTGTCTGAACCCCACTCCAGCGCGTGGGGCGCAGTTTGCAGCTTCACAAGCAGAATAATGCGAGCCCCAAGGAGAGGGGTAAAGACTGACTAGGGAGAGAAAACCCCAACACGCACTTTGACGAGACTTCGGAATGAAGTTTGATCGATCTCGCTACTACAAGAAAAGCAATTGTTATGCAGACACGAATATATTCTCGCGAGCAGGACGGCAACGTGAGACGGGGGTGGCATTTCACGCACCAAGATCAAGACCTCCCGGAGAAGACCCAAAACTGCTATTGCAAGAATATACTGCTGCTGGTCGAATACGCAACGGAGACCCTTTGGCCGGCCCCGAATGAAAGAGTTCCCAACTTCTGCTGGACATAGCGACATACGAATGCAGTCGGACACGAACTCTCAATCGTCCGTCTTCTTTCGTTTTCGTCTACACAGTTCTTTTTTTAATCAAGCTTCCGATCGTGGCATGTTCCAAAATACGGCATGCTCTCTGCAAAGTGCTCATCCCAACTATCCCAAGAGCGATTCCTAACCTACCCCAAAAAGCCCGCGTGGAATCCGCACCCTATCATGAAACCGCCGATCATTCTCACTCTACTTACACTACGCTTAAAGGTAACAAGGTACTTAAAAACCACCTCCACCCCAGCAGTCACTTCTACTAACCCCCGCGATTCAAGCATCATCCACGACTGGCGCTGCTCTTGCAAATTGCCAAATCTTGGAAATCCCCATGGACGACTACGGACTCGTGTAACGCTATCAAAGCTGCGAAATCATATGTCAATACGAAGAATAATAGGGAGGAGTGTGGTTATTTGCCGACTCCGAAGGAGATCTATCGCTTTAGAGTGGCGTGTATTGAAGAGGAAAAGAATTTTGGGGGGAGTTGTGGAGCGATGCATTTGTGGGTGGGTGAAGGAGTTGAGGGGGAAAAGGGAAGGGGAGGGTGAGGGATAGAGAGTATTCGGGGACGGGGTTGGATTTCGTCGCAGGGGAAGTGTATGGCTGTGAAATTGGTCGTTACTGTATTCACCTGCTTGCTTCTACGCTTCTTTCGATGCGCCCACCGCACGCCCTGCCTAGTCTCAAGTTTCGGTGGCCGAAGCCAGGCTGCTGCTGATGCTATTGCGACTGCTGACAGCCATGAAATATCTCAAACCTGGTACTTGATTGACGGTCACTTGACTGCTAAGCCCGCGAGTAGGCTTTGGCGTCGCAGCTTTCTTCATATGCACACATACCAGTGCATAGTTGATTGCATTTGTGTGAGACACTTCGCTCTCATGCTGCAGTCGATGTTACTGCTTCACTTGGGTACACTACGACACCGGCTATGGAGCCCATGAGTCTGCCGCGCAACTACCTTGGCACCGATTCCTCATGCTCTTCGAACTGGCTATACGAGATGAGTGCGACTATACTGGACCAATGCCTTATCGGGGCTGGACGCTCGACTGGCAGCTTCCAGCAAGCTCCCCAATTTTCGATCCGTAAACTGGATTGAGAGGGCACGTCAGCCTGAGGGACCCCTCGCCAGTAGGTGATAGTGAAGGATACTGCGTATCAGAAGGAGTCTGAGAAGTCATCAGGTTACTTCCCAATGATGTTTGGGTCGTCAGAGGCGTCTCGAAGTGGTCTTCAGCCAGAAATTGAAGATCCCATTGCTAGCTACGGCCGTTGCCCAGGAGGCGAGATTTCGGCACTCTTTGCCCCCATAATGAAACAACCGCCCGTAATCTGTGAACTCTGCACACAGCTATCGTTATGCCCGTTGTAGTGTGCGTAGAAAGTGTTTCGGCTAGGTGCCAACTCATCCAACTTCTTCCTCAGAGCCGTTTCAAGTATTGTATCCTGCACCTCTCGGCTCCTTGCAGACTCTGACAGCAAAGCAATAGTCTCGCGTTGCGGGCTGATTCCATTGACTTCTTCGTCTGCCAGAACGTCGCGCGGGGAGCTTGGACTGGCGTATAGGTCCTCGAGATCTTTGACTTGTTCTGTAATGCTGCTGACCAATTGCTGTACCTGCTCGCGGCCACCGAGCGCCCACTTCGTCTTCGTCCTCAACTGTCTGGTCATGCGATCGATCGAGATGTGACGCATATCTGTGAGAAGCTTGGTTGCAGTGCCACTGACTGCACTTGGGTTATCCTCAATGCCACTTGGTCTACCTGCCTGGCCCGCGGAGTATTTGGCAGACTTGACGTTCGCCTTCTTGAGCAGGGCGATGATATGCTCAAGCTTGTCCGCCCCGGCACGTAGGTTTTGCACGTTGAAAGAAGGGAGCAAACCTGGTGTCCTCACTGACGAGGAGTCGCGGATGTCTCCCGATATCCCAATCGACTTTCCCCATCGTGAGAGGCGCAGTTCGGCGTTGTGCAGCTTGATCTGCTCTGTTGCGAGGCTGTCTTTGAAGTCTCGTCCTATGGAATAGTACTGGAAACACTCGATTGCATCATTAAAAAGTCCCGCGAGAGCTATCGCTAGACCCACAGCTTCGGCCGTGTCTTGCTGTAGTGTGAAAGAGATGCTGAGCTCAAATGGAATATGGTGCGGTACATGGTTACTGACAATTCCGTTCAGCTTGGTGGGGCTAAGAACTGCGAAGCGTGACCTGCCACGTTGAAGCAGGGGACCAATCAGTCGTAAACCACTGCTACACAGCATGGAAAGATGACGTCGAGCTCTACGGGCCACGTTGGCCCGAGAGACCGTTAGACAAGTGGCTTGATGGAATGCGGGTCGAACTTTAGGCCTTTACACGCTGGCAGCGATGGCCCGCACGTACACTGGCAGGTTTTCGCAGAACGAGAACGCGATCCAGGCCAATCACATCGAGAATTCAGTATTTATTTTTGGCGGCCAAGCGGAGGCTCACGGAGAAGTGAGGAGCGCCGAAGACCAACAGGAAACCGACGAAGAGGGAGAGTACGACTTCGAGACCGAGACTCGAGAAAAGAGGGAGGAAAGGATATTCTGGTCGAATCGTAAGCGCGCTTGTTGGGAGCCACGTGAAAGACTGGCTGACGCTACAGAGAATGTTTGCGATCCCTTGCAACATCCAATATGCGAAGCAGACCTGGCCTACAGGAGAAAACGCCCGGAACCTGTGATTGGATCCTCGATCATTAAGATTATAAAACATGGCTGCATAATGCCGGATTTCTGTACATCGAAGGCGAATCCGGGACTGGAAAATCGACGCTCATGCTGGATCTAGTGCGAAAGGCGCTGCGCAAGAGTCAGGCACATAACTTGTCCTTCTTCTTCATGAGAGGCGTAGGATGGGAGAGTTCGTTGCTTGCGATGCTACATGCATTGCTTCACCAGATTCTTGCCGCCGATGACCGGACGATGGTACAATTCTCGAAGAGATCCGACTTCAGAAAAAGATGCGAACAAGACGGAAGCCCTGGACACTCTACGGGCTCCTGGAAATGGACGGAAGTTGAGCTGCAAAGTCTATTGAGGACCAGTGCGTTGAGCACTACAGCGCAGTGTCCCATCACAATATTGATTGATGCCCTGGACGAATGCAAGCCTGAGGAGCGGCAAGCTGTCTGGACATTCCTCAAAAGTGTCGTTCGCAGTAGCCCCAAGATCTCCCTCTGTATTGCGAGCAGGCCTACCGGCAACGTGGATCGTAAGCTGGTACGGTATATTGATCTGAAAACTCAGACTTCACGAGACATTCAAGCGCAACTGAATGTCCAGTTAGGGAACTTTGAAGAGGGCATCCGATCTACGCTGGTGATTGAGCTTTTGCAAAAATGCCAGGGATCCTTCAGATGGGCAGCTCTCGCGGCAGATGAGCTCTTGAGGATACAGCATGACTTCGGCGATGTTTGCCTTACGGCCCGTGCTCTCTTAGAAGAGCTGGCACGGTTGCCCTCAGGACTGACTGCACTCTACGGTACATTGCTGAAAAGGTTGTCCGTCCTGGATGCTAGGCTTCTGCTCGCAGTGTTCAGCTGGGTGTCCTCTGCGTTTCGGCCCCTGACATGTGGAGAACTTCAGGCTGGCTTAGCACTGAGACCAGATGTTGCCGGCCTTCCGAAATATGAATTCTTGAGAGATACGCAGCATTTTCCAATCGAGATGGAACAGTGGCTGGAGAAAGTGAAGAGGCTCTCATTGGGCCTACTTGCACTTCATAAGACCCCGCATGACCCACTCTTCAAGGTTTATCTCGAGGCCGTCATCCAGGTCCAGTGTATACAGAGGGATTCAGACCTCCAGCCACGCCTGGTAGATGTATCTCCAAGTGACCTTCGCACACGTGTCTGTGCGCGACTACCTTCTCCAGGGAGGACTTCAGACACTGCAGTCGAGAGCATTTTCCAGCATCAAGACCACCGGCTTGCTGTATTCCCATTCGGATATCGGTCTTGCTCTGCTTCAAACTCAGTGGACGGAATCAGAACTGCTGAGGCTTTATATTTTCACAAGACGCCGGTTGGGGGATTGTGAACACGATCCACGTGTCAAAGTACACGAACGAATGAAAGACCAGGAGACAGATCCTACCTTCGTCTGGAGAAGCCGGCTTCGAAAGTATGCTTTCTGTTACGTTATCAAAAACGCCCAGAACATCGAGCCGGGAGAGATTCTTTGCCGGAAGTTCCTGGCGAAGTTGATGTCCTCTGCATATGAGTACTGGACGGCCATCCACGATCAACACTACTATGACCAGTTTCACCTTTGGTCGTATGGACTCCGCGAGCTTGCAACATCATCTTACAAAATATCCTTCGGCACGGGAATGCTCTGGAACTGCCGGATCGACCAGCTCAATGTGCAGTATGTACAATTGCAAATGGACTTGTCCCATATATGTCGTACTTCCAGCAAAAGATACATTTGCAAGATCTGGTCTCCCGAAGTCAAGACCAAGCTGCTCCTCCATGATGCGGCACGAGCAGGAGCGTTCTGCGCTGTTTACACATTGCTGAGAATTGGTTTTCCTTCAAGTCTGCGGGATGCAGACGGCATGACTGCAGACCAGGTAGCCAAGACTGACAGCATTAAGTGCCTTATTCGCCAGCAGCAATTGATACCCAAAACCCGGTTTGGCACTTTCGCTGGTGTGCGTTCGTCATATAACTTCCTGCCAGCAATGTTGGACAATGTATCGCTTTTCGTTGAGCGTATCAAATGCTGACACTTGTATGCTGACCTTGGCAACCGGTTTCGAGCTTGGAATTGACTGCAATCGCAACTGTTGGCCGTGTTGGACTACTTGTATTCTGTTCACGGAGACCGAGCATGACTACGCACTTCCACCATTAATACCATCCCAAGCTTGATACATATCATTGGCTTCGTCCTCCATTCCCTGTTCCCGAAGAAGCTCAGAAGCTCTCGCGTATTGCTCAGGTCGTGCATGGTAATTCCCAAGTTTGCCAGGAATCGTCGGCGGCGCAGCTTGATGCAAGCGATAGAGGGGCAGTGCATCGGGCGCCGTAGGATGATGCAGCATAGCAACGGCGTGCCGGCCTTCGGAATTGGCAATCTTCAGATAGCGGTTGAAAGATTCTTCAGATATCTTCAAAGACCGATTGTGCGGATCCGTAACCAGAGATGATGTGGTGAGAGCGTCGTGTAAGTAGCCTATAGCTCGACCGGTGTGCATATGGTCGTTGCATCGCTCTACAATGCGGACCGCCGAGGTAAAGTCCATGTGCCAGTACATGATGGCTTTGACGTGCGAGGCGAGGACCCTGGTGGCCCAGTAGTCCGTTGAGCTGGACCAGCTCTGCCAAGATCGCGAGCACGCTTCATCGAGCCATTCTGTCACAGGAGAAGAGAACTCGGGCGCAGCAGAATCTGTGCGGGGGATCTGCTGCGAATATTCCGCTTCCAAGTGCCAGCACAAAAAGTCTGCGAGTTGTGAAGTGACAACTTCATTCCGTGTATCGAGATCGAGGTTCTGCAAGTAGCGTACAATTTTGCTCGCGCCGACATCTGCGGCGGCACTCGCTTGTTCTTCAAAAGGGAGGAGCTTAATCTTGTGGTAGGAGGTTTGTAGAAGTGCTCGTGGTTCTTTGGGATAGATCTTGGTCCTCTCTGACGCTTCCAAGATCTCATCGCCACTGTTGAAACGGGGTTTGCCGAATTTGGGGGCCAGCCTGTACCGGAAAACATCGATTCTATGCCGTTTAGGATGTGCTGGATGCACTGCAGGGGTTGCAGAGTGCGTGAATCGGATCCCCAATCGAGCTGAGATAGCTTCGCAACGCCACAGCCGCGGAGCGATGGTAAGCAGTCGACGTGGTGTCGACATTCTTGCCACGAATTGATGCATTGCGCAATGGTATTGATGAAGGCAGGAGGCGAAGACGTGAGGTCGGATGATTCTTACCGCTTGACCCACATCTGACCAGAAGCTTGGCAAAACACGTCGCGTGTGCGTATGCTTGTACGACTTTCATCGATGGCATGCCTCTGCTTTGTGACTGATGCACATTGAGGGCGGCATCGTTTGAGGAGTTTACTGCCCACTAAGATGAGCAGTCATGATTTGCGATCAGTGAGATCTCCACTCAACAGAATTCGGGTGTGAAAGTAAAATGCCAGTCGCGGCATGTCCTCTGCTTCACATTACACACTCGTGTGAAATGCCATCTGCTCGTAAGCGGATCTTCTAGCTCTACATATGTCCTATCGGTAGCATCAGACGGCGATCGAGGCTTGATACACCACCGAGCATACTCATTGGCGAACGACATCATCCTCCTCCTCCTCCTCCTCCTCCTTCTCAGGCTTAATGACCTTTATGACCCGCGTTTCATGAAGTGGAAGATCCTTCCGTTGTTGTGCTTGACGCTCATTATGCGCCTGGAGCTCCTGGTGCCTTTTAGCAACCTGGTATCGCGCAGGCTGTTTCGCAGGCTTCTCTCCCTGAAAAGGATTCTCCAGCGCCATCTCCTCTTGCTCCTTCGCCTTACGTCTCTCTCTCATCTTTTCAGCCTGTCTCATCTGACTCTCATAGAACGCTTTCCTCTCATTCAGCACATTCCAGATCTTCTCCAGACGAGGACATTGCTCATGCAATTTCTGCAAGCGAGGATCGTGATGATATTCATCAAATAGCTTCACGCGTCGCTGTCGGGCTTCAAATCCAGTGACGCTCATCGGAATGCTCTGCAGTAGTTGATCGACTTGTTGTTCTTCGTCTTGAAGGAGGAGGATGTATGACGCGCGGATAACGTCGCGGTCGAACTTCGATTTTATTGGGATATTCGCATTAGTAAGGGCGCGTGCTTCCTTTGAGTTCTTCTTGCGTGCTCGCATTTCTATGTAGGCCTTCGTCAGGGGAAGAGCGTCTGGGTCGATGGGATGCCAGAGCATGGCGATTGCGCGTTGTAAACGGGAGAGCTCCAACCCAAGGAATTTGTCGTACGATTCATTTCGCTCGCAGTGATTTCTGATTTGCGAAGAGGTGCATACCATGGCAGTGAGAGATCTCGTCAAATTGCGTCCCTGAAACCTGGCCAATACATCGATCGAGACATCGGGAGATTCGTGCCAGTACAGAGTGGCTCGCAGGTGGGCTTGGAGCATTGCGCCAGGCCAATAGTATATCGCGCCTGGCGGAGCACGTGCGAACGCGCTTTCTCCTTCATTGACCCAGTCCAAAATTGGGCTTGGACTCAACTTTCCGAAATTGTGAAGTGATTCAAAGAGTCGCTCGGCTTCCAAGTGCCAGCACAATGAGCGGCACAGATTCTCAGTCAAGACCTTGTCCAAAGTAGACGGGCGATAACCGCTCACGTCATAGCCGTCTTCATCGATCTCGTGAACATATATCGGGGTTGTGTTCAAGCTCTGCAGGCAACGCAGGACTTTGCTGGCGCCCAAGTTCGCAGCAGTCGCTAAGCGTTCTTACTTTTCTTCCTTGCCCTCCTCTATTTCTTCGACACCGCTGCCAGTTGACACGACCGGAGTGCCATGTTTGTCATACACAATCTCAGCAAGTTTGAGTCGCTCCCATATATTTTCGATCTCCTTGAAGCCACGCTCCTCGTCTTCTGTCATACCCTGTTTGGCACACCATGTTTTCCGCCTCTTGGGTTGACGGTGCGTTGTGAGAATGTCTTTGGAGTGAGGTCGTGTAAGCGGAGGACGAGTGGGTCGAGGCAGGTTGCGTTGATGGTGTGGAAGGTGATCAATGGGGAGCTTGTTTCGCTCTCCGGGTGGACGTCTTGGCTTCAGTTCACTATCTGCCGTAAATCGAATTTTAAAACGTCCAGCATCTTGTCGCGCATGTGGAGAAGTTGCGACATGATCTTCACCGTTTCTCGAGAAGATCTAGACTTCTCCAACGTTCTGTTCCCTGAATCGGAGTAGGCAGGTGTCTTTGAAGAGGTATATTTCAGGCGAATCTCAGCAAACTGTCCTGTGAGCAGAATCACTGTTGAAGGGCGATGAAGCAGTAGTGCGACGCGTTTGCAGGATAGAGAACATCGCTGAAGTGGAGATGATGAAGACATGCTGTTCGTGCGAACGAGATCCTACCTGTCGTTGCGACGCGCCATCACGCGCTGTCAGCTCTCCGCACCAGTTACCAAGATAGCATGGATATCGCAGTAGACGCGTGCGAGTGGGGTGGACGTGCTGAAGATGGCTGGGCGGGGGAATAGAGGTGTTGGGTTGGGGGCTAATGCCAACGTCAAGAGGAAGAGGAAGAGGAAGAGGAAGACAGCTCGACGCAACGGAACGGAACGGGCCAGCGGCGTGGTAGGCGCCAGTCGCGAATTCGAGTCCGAGTTCGGCTGAACGACCACCACCACATTGTTACGCCCCGAGAATCGCAACAAAACTTTCACCATGCCGGCTCTGTCGCCGACGTCTGCAACTCGGAGCATAGTGTCTTACTCATCCAGGCGATTGGCCACCGAACTCGCACGACGCTAGTGGTCGAGGAAGAAAGGTCTCACATCACGATCTTTTAAGAGTCGGGTAACAAAGTACATAACTTGCTTGATTCTTCTCGCAAATGTTCCATCGGCGAAAAGAGTGTCCTCATTCTCTATTTCCAAAACATCATTCGGGCTGCTAACGACAACGGGAAAGGCTACCGCTCATCTTTCAATCGTTTTCGACTCGCGGTCGCCCTTTGGCGGCCGCTGCTTCATCATGCCCTCGTTAGACATTCGCGACTTCCTTGATGGGGCCTACGTACGGTGCATCGGAGAAGAACCCGTACGCAGCCGCTTCATCTTTCGCCCGCTTGACATTCGCGACTTCCTTGATGGGGCCTCCGTACGGTCCATCGGAGAAGAACTTGTACGCAGCCGCTTCATCTTTCGCCCGCTTGACATTCGCGACTTCCTTGATGGGGCC